AAGCAAAACGATATACCATTTTCTACGCGCTGTCTTCCAAGACTCTGCGTGCTCTTAATGTTGAACACAATCAATTATTTCAGGATAGTCTTCTGGCAACATTATGTACTATGTTGAATGAGGATACTTGTTATCATACGTTCTAAGCCAATTGTCAGAACACGTTCCATATGATCATAGTATGTAATCAACTTCACCAAATTTCTTTCCGTATTGTGCCTTCTGAGTCATCACTGCAAGTGTTAGAAGCAATGGAACCTTTGATTTTCGGGCCGATCTGGTAACTCAGACTTTTCGAATTAGTAAGCTTCCAAAGTTTAATCAATTATTGGCCGTATTATAAAAAGTAATCGTACTTACAAGTGAATAAATTGTACTTGGTTTTTAATCCACGGCGAGCATTCAACCATGTGGAATAATGATTGGATGCAATTTGGTCGCGTGGAGCCTCATACTCTTGCTGAGTAGCTTAAAAGAAGGCAAGTGTGCTATAGCAATTCAGATAAAAGATCGTAAGGATAGTTTCATTGTTTCTGCGATCTTTTCAAGTGAAACTGATTGTATCAGTGATTACGATAGATTAATAAATGTGTATGATTATGGATAGACGGAGTCGATTTCATTGAGTCGTTACATCTACAACTGCAACTCGCTAATTATCTCTACCTATTCAGGTCAGGTAGTTATGATCTAAGCATCGACTCTTGTAGATAACCTATGAATTGAAGCCCGTATTCGGGTAACAAGGGATACACAACATCTCCAAGCCTCTTGACTAGACCGACATAATTTCCTACATATCGAAATTAGTCTAAAGCATAGCGGGGGAGGTCCCGGGTCATCTATCCAGGGTGAAAGGCAACTGGTTTAAAGATCATGAGACCGGGAAGGATCGATTGTATATCACACGGTTTGAAAGGCTCTTGCCTTGCAGTCCTCTATGTGAAATATCAGATCTGCCAGGTAAGTTCGAGACGTCACCCACGCCGGAGGCAATACTGAGTATAACCACGACCATATAAAGATGTCTTACGTAGTCGCATCGAGACATTAACCATCAACTTCATCAAATCAAGAACCAAACAATTTGTAGAGTCCTACTAAGCTAGAGCAATGGTAGTCTTTGTCATGAAGTTAATGACTATAGTCAAGCCGTCTTGGCTATTTCATACCTTAGTGCTTCTGCTACTGCATGAATAAAAATACACTATGGTCGCAAAATGCTAATAACTCTCAAGTCTAAACCTCAGTGGTATCGGAGCTTGCTTTTACCTTTGGAGACAAGTTCGACTTGATCCTCAACAACTCCAGACTCTGCTCTGGATCCGACATTCACTCCTGACCCGACTGCTGAGCCCACGACGGAGTCTATTCTCGAGCCAACTCCTGATCCGACCACAACTCCAGAACCTATCCCAAGCGGACCCACGCTTTAGCGACCTATCACAAGCTATTTTTGCATATCTTACTGGCGCAACGTCTCTCAAAGACTTCTGAGTTTGCCTCACCAGGGCTCTGCCTCTGCTAACTCTTATACCCGCTATCAACGCGAGAACCACCTCCAATATCTTCGCCTAAAACATGCTTGCACAGGAGAATTGGCCTTTTGGCCACACAAATCTGGGATTTGGCCATGTATCTTGGATTGATTTCTAGTCTTCAATAGTGGAATGGGTCGAAAGTGTTTTGGTGCCGAAGAAGCTTTCCGTGTCGATACCCGTCGGTGGTGTTGTATGCCCGGTAGAATTAATTATATTGTTCTGCCTAGTTAGTCCAGAAATGACACTTTTATATTAAATCATCAATCAAGGATTTCATAGCACCTAACACCTCATCTTCTCACACTCGGTATTTAAAAAGCGCTGATAATGTGATGCAGCTGAAGAACCCAGTTTTCAACGTCTCGATGTCGGTTACATCGACTTCCATATGGATTACTTGCACATCTATTAATCATCCATTCTTCCAATTTCAACTTCTTTACTACAAACCATTGTTGCAAGGTAAATCCAAGATAGGACCTGTCTTTGTTGCTGCGAGGGTTGAAACTAGGGTAATTCTTGTCCGGCTTGCAAACAAATAAATCAAATCAAATTGAGGGTCCCATTTGATTTGATTTAGGTATATGGAAATTTGAACCGCAATTATATGTCGTATTTATTCGACATGCTACGACCGAGCTAAGAAAGGAAACCGTCTCATGTAAAAATGTCTTCGCGCCTGTGCGTTGAGATACGTATCGAGTAGGGTATACCTAACAACCTATGCGCTTTCTAGGAACTCGACACATAGCACTTCCACGAGGATGTGCTGTATAATTCCTAACTGCCTGACTCCTGCTGCTCTTAGTAGCGTAATTTTGACTCCCTTGTTGACGAGTGGGATGCTACATCTATCGCATTCCAAGTTGCTGAGCAGGTTGAGTACTAATTTCCTGTGATCCGAGGCTACTGCTGGCACTATTCCCTGAGAAATCTTTTTGATCCGCAAAACAACATTGTCGTCCTAGCTCGACAGCTGTGACGCTCCTTTGTTAAACACTGCCGGCAAGCTTCTGCGACTAAGGTGATAATCCCGTTAGTATCACTATGCTCTTGCTTGATCATCTTGAAAAGGCGATTCAAAGTACGAAGATTCTGGCCCCGTATGACATCCAAGTGCAAGTGTTTTCGTGACACTAGCAGTCAGGAACGATTGGTACGAAAATCGCAATACATGCCATCAGTTCCTAGGCTAACAGTTCCTCTTCTCCAGACGCCTTCCACATCTGAACTGGCCCTAGGACAATCACCACGTTCAGAAACGCCCAAGTTCAGAATCAAATCGCTAGTCACGCTGGGAGATTATATTAGGGCGGCCTCAATCCTAAGACGCCTGTTCGTAGTGATGAACTTTTTTTGACAAACATCCCCTTGTTTCGATACTTGAAATGTCGACAATTCAAAAACTCTTTTGGGGATATTGCAAAGACGCCTGAATACTTCTGGCAGAAAATCAGACCGGGTGTCTGTAAAGTGGTTCACACGAAAAGAGAGATATCTCTGCTGTCCTTCACAATTTCTTTCTACAGTCATTCTAAGGCATTGGATCCCTCGCCATATATCATGTGTATGTAAACGTCAAAGATTCTCAGCAGGCAATATACCTCGTCCTCAGACCTCCCTGTATGCCTCTTAAAGACCCAAGACATACCCCGCGTGATTGGTCTTGCCCAAGTCCGTGCTATCTTGCAGAACCTTCGAGTCAATCCCAGTGACATGGGCAATTATAGACCTCAACGAGGACTTGTGATCATGCAAAGCCGATGACTCGTCGTAGAATTCCACCAACCGTGGCACTATAAACTCCTGAAGTGTCCAGCCCCGCGTATGTCACCGGCAATGTTGGAAACTCAACTTGAAAGGCGTATTGCTTTTGAGGTTGGGCAGGTACACGGCGCAGAAAGCCCAGTTCGGATACCATTTAAACATAGAGTAAATGACCTTTGAAAGTTGAACACTAATTGACTTGTCAATGCGACACGTGTCGTAGTCTAAATTTTGCTGGCGGTCGAACTTACGAATGCCCTTGATCTTAACTATTTCGACTTTTTGTGTGACGAGTTCAGAGGGCTGGTCGTCTTGGAAAAAACCTCTTCGTCATCATTGCCCCATATATCCGACAAAATGGCATAAGATCGATGTACTGGAATAGTATGAGACACTAGCCGTCCAGTTTTAATGCAGCGACGTAGCATAGAGAGCAAGCGAGATGATGGTGTAATATATGAATATAGTAGGCACTTCGTGAAGCTCTGAAGGTCGTTAATATTACTCTCAAGACCTGCGCTAGTATTCCCGCTCCCAGCGCAAATGCCGAATTTGGCGACATGCTACAAGTAGTGTTTGGTGTAAGATTTGGCGTGCATTGGGCCTGGTGCAGCACGGGTAGTGCGGTGTGAGTGCCTTTTGCGGAGGCGGAAAACTGGAAACTTGAAGTGCTTCATTCTCCTGCAAGGTCTGAGACTAATTCAACTTGATCCGGGTGTTATGTTCCAATTCTCCGGAGTGGGAACAGGATAGACGACGAGGTTTCCCTCGAAACGACTGTCCAACGGTGGGAAGCCCCCGTTGCACAGAGAAGCTGAACATGCCATTTTGTCTGGGATTTGTGCACAAAATCCTGTAGGTCTTATTAAAGGTGCCGTCACTACCCCGTCGCTCAAAGCGATGGCCCAGATATGAGCTTGGAATGCACCTCACCAGCAGCCTTCTGTTCATGACTATGATGCTACGGCCCACTGATTTTGGGGCTTTACCGCATGATCACCATGTGTAGAGAAGTGGCAGCGAAGATATAGAAATACCGCAAACATGCGGAAACATCTATTACAGACAACGAAGGAATGTAAAAATTGCAGGTCTTGTGGGGCCTCGACCGGTAGACAAATGCGACGACATTCCAGCTTAGACCATTCTCTTAGCTCCTGTCCCAAGACTATTTATACCCGCAGGTGCAGGGACTGATGCATTTCAACAACAGAACCACCTCCCAGGATCTGTGACATTGGACTGTTGCTTGTTGTTATTCACGAGATGAGTTCCACTGAATATTTACATAGAGTAAAAGTCTCAAGCACGGTCTTTTGGTGATTTGCTCGAATGTCCAATATCGGACTAAAGACCCTGGATTTTAACTTGAGACCGCAGGATGTTTCCACCCATGCTTGAGTTGTTGACTTAATCCCGATCTTTGCGCAACATCTACTTTGACGTGCAAAGCATTCTACGTTTAGTGAGGTCTTGCTCTTTCTAGGTCCTTAATTTTCAGTTTTCTAGGACAAATTTGTTGTAGATTGCAAAGACAAAAAAGAAACTGTTGCAGAATTTGCCGTGAGTAGTTAGTGTGGAACTGGGCCAGCAACGCTGCAGGCCTGGGAATTGCGAGAAAAACTAAGATGATTGAGATTGATACTCAAGTCCGAAGGCCAGCAAGAAAATATCACCGAGATTGTCCACTGGTCAGCCACCAGACCCATTTGCTAAGTTCTTGGTTATTTCCACACAACTACGCCTCGCAAGGAACTTCGCCCGCCCACCTTTCGATTGCCAGTACTCTTCCAGCATATCGTTGGGAATCCTCTTCAGATTTGCCTCGAGTTCGCACAACTTATTGCCAGGAGTGGCGGGATAGTCGACCCATTGAACCTCGAACGTTGCGCCGTCGAAGTCTTGAGCGCCGGATCTTCTTTTGAGCGGTAGTCATTAGCATCTATTGACATACTCATGCCTGGGGGCTCATGGTCTAACCTTTGTGGTCCTCGGCTACCAATTCGACCTTCCGTTTTGTGAGGCGCATCTTGTTTGCCGTAGATGCAACTTCTCCGTTGACAGACTTATGCGAAGATAACGAAGGGTACGCCCAGTCCTTGATACATAAATAAGCAAGGCAGACCGCTAGATAATTTCTCTTTAGGTCCACTATATTCACGGTAGCTGTGTCCTACCCTGGCTTTGCTGACCACTCTCTCGGCCAACGGTCCCGACACCTAAAACACTCACAAAATATGTATTTGTCAAACGTGTCTCACGCCAGATAGACAAGCTATACGGTGACGGCGAGACATTGAAAGTCGGCGGGCTATTATCATCGACTTCGCGCATCCTCTTTTTGTCATGAGAGTTCACAGTGTCAAAATAGGACGAGCTTTTGAGGAGTAGATTGATTGATTGGCTGGTATCAGTAGGAAGCTATGTGTGCGGCAGCACGCTGTTCTATGCATGGTAAGTAGGTGCTTGGGAAGCCCGAGATATAGGTTGCTGGAACGTCTCAGCACACTAGACTGGCCACCTTAAGCCGGCTGCTACATAGAAGGTTCAATGGAAGCTTGACATGAAGTTACTCGTTGAATATCTACTCCTTTCTTACCTCCGGCGTAGGTCATAATCATTTTGCCACTTCGTGTTATGTTTCTTTCTTTCTCAAGTATTGAATCGAAGGCATCTTCTGAGATGAATTATGTATATGGAAAAGTCTAATAATAAATAGACTCACATTTACGGGATCAATGTTCCGATGACGAACCGTAAAACATCTCCATCATAGGAAGCCGGGACAATATAAATATATTCGGACATTGATATTGTTAAGAATGTCAACATCGCTAATACTTTGGCGTATCATCCAAATCAAGCTTTGGTAATGGACGAGCAGTCCACCCAAGCGAAACTAGGAATTCCAGATGACTCTGTCACAAACGAAGGTGAAGGAGCTAAGTCCGGACTGTCCAGTTATCTGGCACCCATCCCGGAATTTTATGCCGGTGCATAGAACTTGGAAGAGGGAATCAAAGGTGCGAAGGTTTTCAAGTACACTTGCCCCCAAATCTATAGCGCTTGTAAATAGGTTCGGTAGTCAGGTAGACGCCCCTACATGTCACGAACATCAATATATTGTGTGTTGTATCAAACTGAGTTTATGAGACAAGTGACCAACGACAGATTTAGTTGGGTTTTACCCAAGTATATCAAGGTGCGACACAAACAGCCTTAATTGACGACGATTCACATGTTCTTTAAATCAATTATCTTTAGCTCGTTTTATAACAATTCGGTAGCGTTTTGACCCTTTCAAGATATCGATAGAGGTGAAAAACCCTCGTGGGGAAAACCTCTCGCTTGATTTCATGCTACACGAAACCTCAGTATTGTTCTCATCATGGATCAAGGCTGTAGAAAGCCCATCACCACCGACCACGCTACTAGCCAGTATATCCGTGCCTATCTATGGGGAACTTGTCGATGCCACTAACTTTTGGTAGCGCACGTACACTCTCACTCCAGCCCTTATACTAATGACCGCATTAACGGATAGGGCTTACTCAGGGATCGAAGCGCTTATGTGCAATAGCAACCGCCATTGTCTGTATTATAGTAGCAGTAGTTACCGTTCCCTTGGCACTAATAAGGAACATATATTAATTTAAATCCCCAACCTTTTGCTTTCAAACCGAGATTGTGCCTCGGCATTTCTTCGTAGGGAAGGATAGTTGATTAATCGGCTTACCTGTGAATACTGAGAACAGTAGCAAATACCAGAGTTGCAGAAGTTGCCGTCTCTCCAGTACACCGTGCAAACTCCGTTGGTATTACAAGCCTAGTCCCAAGTCACTCCATGTCAGTTCAGTGACTTCTATAATGATGCTCATAGTTCAAAAATAAATTATGTCATCTATCACTCACCCCATTGTAATTATCTCGCTTTTCTAGCGCACTTCCTGAATCGGTTGTGCCGCCGAGGACGCCGTCAATAGGAGTAGACTCCGGGAGCTCGGGACCATAGCAATCCTCTCTTTCAACAAGCCCCTCCCTTGTCACAAGTTTGAGGGACGGAGTATCAGCATGATCTAACGGTGTGGCAATAACTCCACAAAAGGCTGCAATAGAAAGCGCCAAGAAGGAAAGGGGTGATAAAGTCTTCATTTTGTGATGCTGTGAGAGATGTTTGTCGTGTGTTTTGGTCTCAGTTTTGTTAAAGATAACAGGCTTGGATAAACATGATGATGGAATGGGGATGGTACTGAAGTATTTATACTGACCATGTTCATAATGAGAATTAAATACGCAAAGACACAGTCAATGAAAACATGCATATTGCCCGTCTTGCCAGTATCCCTGTTACTTCCGAGCAAGGCTGCCGTGACTGCTTTGAAGCCATCCATACGATTAGTTCGTGTTTAGATCTGCAGATATACTAGCCGGTAATGTTACTATCAAGTATCATCATACTTGGCTTTTGCTGTTGATCCCTTTTCACCCCATGTTCGATAGTGCTCACGAGATGACAGTACCACATGAATATGAATTATGGCTCCACGACGCACAGAGGGCTAGCCGGACTACAACCATGACTCGGCCAATTGCAATGGAACTTGGTACGAGAGTTTCCTGCCATAAGCATGCCACAATCTAAATATGGTTGCTTCTTAAAGGCTGGCGGATAGCTCAAACTTCTATTACGCTTCAATTCATAGGACATCTCCAGATCCAACCATGGTGTATCCATGACAATTTCCGTATCCATTGACCCAGGTGATGCATACCTCTGGTTGCAACTGCGTAATCCTTGTAGAAATACCATAGTACAGTCAGAATGGTACGTGGTGACAGGCTGTGATTCAATAGTTTGTCTATAAGATCACCAGCTCAATCTGGATCACATTCACGTCGCATTCGGAGGATTCATACTACGCAATCATTCTGATACGTACGCGACAGAATCCTTGAACTGTTTCTCAAATAAATCTGACCAATGTCGGTCTCTTGTTAGGATGTGAGTTCAGCCTGCACTGTAATTGGGCATTTATCGTTTCATCCGGATAGAAAAAATCTGGACTACTATGACGTCGCATTCGCCGGTGCTCTACCGTGCAGCCACTCTGATCTACATGCCAGAGAATCCTTCGATTACTTCTCCCAGAACTATGACCAATGACGGTTTCTGGGTAACATGTATGATCAGCCTGTGCCGCTTTGAAGCATGGTCCTTTCCAGTAAGCAAAAGAAAAAAGAAGGGCTTCGTTAATACGGGAAATTCTCGCACGGACGATACATTTTCTTACGCAGGCTATACCTAAGCCTAACTAAGCTAAAGCATAGTCTAGCTTTGCAGCCCTTTGATTTTCGCCACTAGGCTACTCGCAAATACCTGACGACTCTGCAATTCTGCAATTTTACTGCTTCACAAGTCTTGGTTTTCAAGTCCGTAAGACAAGGGCAACTAAGATGCCTACTTGGTCAAGCGTAAAAGTAACATTAAGTTCTAGGTATGTTATAAATAGGATTAGGATGTGCTAGGGATTTGGAGAACGGGAAGAGTCCCCTCTGTCAAAGGTAATATGCCATTGAAGATTATTGGAATGGTCAGATTAGGTGTGATGTGGCGCGTAGTACGTGTATGACTCCTGGCTTTTAGGAAGAAAATCAGTACGTTGAAGACACAATGCTATGTCTCTATTGTATATGATTACATGCATATGCAGTGCCCCTGCCAAGCGCTGTTTACCCATGTCCGGGTGCGCCCAAAAGCTGTATATGGGCATGATTCCGCTTGTCGGTAGCCGACCGGTTCTCTCGGACAGCTCTTTTCACTAAACTCGCGTCGTCGGCCTCTTCCACGGCGGCAAGCATATTTCCCACCATCTTCGCGGCATAGTCGGATAGGTCTGGCGAATGAGATGCAGCAGCATTAGCGATTTCCTCGAGTCGTCTCAGCCAGTATAGCCACCGCTGAGAGCTGAAACCAGGGGCATGCATCCCAATAGGCTCCCCAGCTATACCACTTGCAGTTGTGCAGTTGTTCCAGTTCTGGTCGGAAAGCTGGATGAGCTTTGCACCTGCTTCAAACAGCCAAGCATTCGCGCTGGGCAGTAAGCCAGCAATGCTGATATCGTGGGCTCTTCGGAGGACATCCTCCTCGTCGATCGCATGGATGACCGCTCCTTCCTCTAGCTGCATCTGACCTAGGGGTCTGGTGGTCTCGAGCGCATCGCGGAGCACTACAAGCCCGATGCCGCAAAGGTCATCTTCTGCGATCAAAGACACCTTAGCGAGCTTAGCTAGAAACTGGGCAAAGTTGAGACGTTGTGCCGCACTCATCTTGGGAAAGTCAGTGATCCAGTACTGGGTCATGTCGCCGACTAAAAATGGCAAGTCAGCCCAGATACGACCGTTGGCTGTCATAGCCTCTTCAACTTCTATGGCAGTTGTTGCGCTCTCTTTTTTAGGATTAGGGCGATTCAAAACACCCTGCCCTTTCAGTGCAATGAGTTGCAGTGCAAGACGATCCTGGGCAGGGTGCTGGGCCGAGATGTGCTTGCTCGCGAGGTAGTATGTGTGCCATAGATCATGCATGTCCCACTCAAAAGTCACAATTGGTGCCTGAAAGTGCTTGTAACGGTGGTTGACGGACAAACGCATACTGTCTGCCGTGATGTGCAGTCTGTTGTTGTCTCTGTCCCTCCTGGCAGCAGAGGCTTGCGATTCGCGGGCAATACCCGAGACCCGCGCCCTAGAACTCAGCTGACCGCTGGGTACGGGGCCCAAGCTAGAGCTAGAGCCTGCCGTTGGTGTATCGGCATCAGGGGGTGATCCTGAACCTTCTGAAGTCTGGCTGGTCAAGAGTGTCATGATGACGATCAATACCGATAGCGATGTAAAAATGTGTGTGGATAAGGCTTAGTCAGATGGAGGATAGTGGTTTAGGGATAGATTAGCAAGTGAGCAGAACTTAAGAAACGAGGAGAAAAGGAAATAGGAGAAATCAAAGCAATAGTAGCATGGATGAGTGTGATGGATCGTGTCATGCTTGTTGGGAGACCTGCTGATTTATAACTGTAGTAGGGAAGCCGGGCTGTGCAGGTGGCCAATGGGGTCTGCCGGGCTTACATCACTTGAGTATTCAGGCGGGGGTTCTCAAAGAATGTGGTTGCATTAGTGCACTTCCTCGTGCATCATGCCGTATATATACACGGCTTGGATACGCTAGCGCACGCAGAGATACCCTGCAAAATCCTATCAGTTGTGGGTTCCAAATGCTTGTTTGAATGCTTGTTGGTCTCAAATGCTTGTCTGAAAGCTTGTTGGTACCAGACTTCACGGTTCAGATGAACAGTGTATTTTTCATGTATCTTTTGGGAATAACAGATCAGTACAACTGGCGCTTTGCATGCGCTCCCAACATTCGCAGAACAATGGCCCATGATAGCGTCAACCTCAACAACTGATGCCACAACGAATTAGCGCGGTAACTCAATGCATCACTGATCTTGCTTTAGGTCTTCATTCACAACATCAATCGTATCCAAATATGATATAAATATGATGGTCTCCTCGCCCTTTCGAGCGACCATGATACACACATTCACATCGACTCCACACAGTACACCACTCATCAAACACAATCAATCGATCCATTCGAGGATGAAGCTCTCTATCTTTGCTAGTATTGTCGGTCTCGTTGGAATAGTCGCAGCGCAAACCGGTTGCGAGAACCAGTCAGTTCATACGCATCTTCTATTATGGTTGACTCATGCAATGCTGATATTGTCTGTGTAAAGAGCTGACCCCGATCATGGTATTGGGAATTATTGCTATTGTTCATCTACTGGTATGCTATACAAATTATCGCATTCGGCTCTCTCTTGTACTTGTTTGACTGATAAAATGACTGCTGCCACCAGGTGGATGCTATGCCCATAGCGTCGTCAACGGAAATGAAGTTTGCAACCCTCCTGGTGCTTCAATCCCATGCCCGGATTAAGGTTATCTTGCTGTTACTATGTGAGAAGGTTCAGATAGGATTCGCTACCTCCGCGGATTCAAAAGTTGTGTGCCATTGGTAGAAACGGACGACTTGGTAGAAATCGCAGATAGTTGTCTCGCTCTTATCAACTGAAAATTGCAATAATGCATAACAACTTAATACCGCAAACCAAGATGCTAGTTTTAACCCTTTCTCGAGAGATTATTATTGTGATAAAATCGCGTTGAGAATCGCTAAATATCCTGGTCTATTTGAATTCACTGAATAATTCAGAGATTAGTCTTGTGAATGGAGGATAGTTTAAATCAATTTCAGCTTACTATAGCGCCATTAACCGGTCATCCTCACTCATATGTTGCTGAAGTGCAGAATGACTCCCCAGACGGTTGTTTCGAAGTAGTATTCGTCTGGATTGAAACCGTTCCCGAGGAGTGCCCAAATCATGGCGTATGATCGAGACTGCCTGCCTAAATCCATGTTAAGTAATGGCCTGATAAATTTCTAACAGACTGAGGGTTTCTCAAACTGTTTTAGTTGCATAAACTCTCCAGGCCATTGCAAACAAAATCTAATTGAGGCATCGTATCAAGCTTCTTATGCGTGATCAATGATCAGACGTGCATGAATTGTGAACTCCCGGATAAAGGCAATAAACATGAAGTCTTTTGCTGATGAAAATTGAAAGGTTGTCTTTATTGATAAATAAATGGTGAGGAATAGATTCCAGAGCATAGGTAGTATACTACTACCAGCTCTCTTCACCTGAACTCTGAACTGCGTGAGATGGTCAAACATGAGAAGATTACTAGGGTGGCACGCGCACAGTTCAGAGCATCTTCGCCTCTTGAGTTGCGGATGTATTACTTGAAAGGAGACCTAATGGCATCAACCTAGTTGGTCAATGATGACTGCTGTGACGTTCTGGCTAGCGATTCGAAGAATTGTATCATTGGGACCAAGAGTAAGAATAGTGCAACCAATTGACCGAAACCTAAGTTGTCTTCTACATCCCTCTGAGCTTGCTCTTGCGTGACACTGTGTCCCGACTGACTGTCGAAAAAGACCCGGTAATATCCTAAACCATGCCATACTATCTGTTCGAATACGGCTGCAGTTTCTGATGCCAATAGATACCACGAGACTAAGTACACCAATAGAAATAATGATTTCAGTGTCAACTTTCCTAAATGTTGGTTATCCGGGCTATTAGGGATATTGATAGTTTGGTTTTCAATCAGGCAGCGCCAATTTGCCACCCAGTATTTTTTTCCACTGCGCCACGGCATGAATATACCAAAAGGATACGACTCGGGTATGAGCATCTAGTTAGCCACATTTCACCGGAAAGGGAGACTACCCTTCTCGTGTGCCACTGTCCATACAATTGGACAGCTTTGCACGCCGTACCACTCGTAGTAGCCTTTTATATACTGCATATACAACAACATACTAGCTAAGGCGCACATAAGAGTTGCTCGAATAATAGTAGGGGTCTTGGCGACGCATAGCCCTGTCGTGTTTTCAGCAGGTTCGGGTGTACCAAGCGTAATGCTGACTTCAAAAGACCGACCAACGAGAAGTGACAACAAGTCAATGTTTGAACAGAACCACACCAGGTCTGTGACGGTTTTCAAGTGATAGACCGTAAGTGAACTATCGGCAAGCCTTTTAAACGCTGCCACTGGTAGGACGATTCCTTTTGCGAACTGCTGGCCCCTCAAGCAAATTGACCATATCGTAAAACACAAGGCTGAATTTCGTAGTCTTGCTGTCGCGGACCCAGCTTCGTAATGGCTCACAGGCTTTCGCCCGGATGTAACTGTCAACTGGTTTAAACATACCGTCGCGGTTTGTACCACATAGCACAAGAAAAAGAATTTCGGCGACAAGCTTAAGGCTTGCTGATATGACGAATACTGCTATGACCTAGCAATGTGTATGTGAGACGAAACTGATTGCTTTGGCGAGCAAGTTAAACGTACCCCATATAAGAGTGGTGATTCGCGTCGTGAGTAATGTGTCAGTGAATATATTAGACCTGAAGTCCCTTCAAATTTGTAGATTAGCGAGTGTTTGCTCCTCTCATCTTTCAATCGTACCGCAAATATGCTTTCACCTTTTGAGATTTGTCTCCATCTCTGACGTTACACTGCGCATTGGAGCGCATTAATGCAACTCAAGACTGATAAGCTGCCAAAACCCCATTTCTGTCAACGGGGCTTGGACACTTTAGAAACGCTCAGAAGGTAGAAACGGAAAATTGACCACTCCGATATATTTTGTGACCTTCTTTGCCAATATTATCTAGCATCTCTAGATTCGAAATTGCGGCTTTACGTGATGTACGACGCACATTCCGCAGAGTTAGTATACCATAGATTTTGATTTTTTCCTCACATTTAATTAAAATGACATGTTCAAGTACTATAGGCATAAAGTGTAAAAGCTTTAATGTTTACTAAATGGAATTTATTTGTATGTCTCGAGCATTTAAGAAACAAGCGTGGCCATTAGTTGTTGAAATAAGATTCGAGCCACCGACAGTTTGGGCTTCCCAACATGAATACAATAAATGTGCTACCGCAGACATAGCTACCTACTGATACCCAATGAAGTAATTAACCAGTCTACTCCCCATAACCTCGTCCTATTTTGACATTAGTTTACTTTCCGCGTTAAAATTGGCATTAAAAATATTTCTCCTACCGATGCTTGATGACTGGCCGCTTCGATGCAAGCTATCAATTTTCGAACTATTGTATTATTTAATGCTAATAACGCAATTACTATTATTGTCATGTGAATCTTCTTGAACATTTCGAAGGCATGACTGCGGAGCTAGCGACCCGATGTCACTGACACGCGAGTATTCGCGCGTATCCAGATGTATAAAGAATGATGAATGAATCCATAGCATCCTATAATACTGCAAATGAATGACGTAATTGTCTAACCTATATGAGTCACCTGGGGAGATTGGTTTGAAATCCTTATAGATTAGCACCGTAACTCCATGTAGGCAAAATAACAACTCCCGGAAGACTTTCGTTTTCAGCGATTCGCTTCTATGTAGACAAAGTGCTGACTAGAAGATTGGAAGAATTGCTCGGTATATGAGCTTATTGTAGAGTAATCCGAGGATATAATGATTCGGAAGGAGAATATTCCGCCGAACCTACCAGCCTCTTAAACTATCCCATCTCATCGCTGGATACAGTAAAGAACCTCGACCATGCTAGAAACTTCATCATTCTAGCTATTCGTACCCAATAACCATGAATAAAATGGCAAGCGATCACCTTCTACTTCGGTATTCTTCAATTTGGCCCCTAACGCCGCCACATCTCTCCTGGGTACTGGTATAGCACGCGGCATCTGTTTAATCATTCTATAGGCTCTGCTTGAACTCCACATTGATCCTCCTTTTGCTTCGGCTCTTGCTTGGCTTCATATGGGATGTAGCCAAAGCAAGGAAAATGGCAGTGTTGCTGGTAGGTCAACGCCCAACCCAAGGAGCCGTGCTTCGATCCATTTAAAGTGCCCGCACATCAGGTTTGTGATAGGTCGCTAAGTTGAATTGATGAATATATTTCTGCTGTAGAAGAAAAGTAATCAATGCCTTGGAATTTAAAAGTGATTGCTGTGGAAACAACAGTAGTATTTTGAACACGATCACGCTGGAACAAGCTACCATGAATTCAAATGTGAAAAACCAAACAAGTGCCTATATGAAAAGAAAGGGGGAAGTGAATAAGAAAGAAAAGCCAGTCACAACTTAATATCTAGGCGATATCACGGACTTGGCAACGAAGTAACGTCTACGTAATACATCACAAGTGACCACTTGGATGCGAGTATTCGTCCGAGCATGGTACAACGAAGGATGCGAACCGTTTTCATCCTTTGCACGCAGCTTGTCGAATAAAATACGAACTTTCCTTTCGCACAAGACTTAAGTGAATTTTGCCAGTCAAGCTGCTACCACACATGTGGTGAAAACGATGAGCCGCAAGCGATTTATCATGCGTCCCTGCGGTTCAGCCCATTCATCAGTCACTCTAATCAAGCTTTCTTGATGAGCACGCCCTGGATTCTAGGCAGGCAACTGTGCGGATCGACGGGCTCCTCGATCCCCCCAGGGTTCTCCCACTCTCCAGCACCGAGAATATCTGCTTTGACATTTCGAGTCAAACGACATCCCACGAACGTGCTCCAAGCAGGGTTCAATACAGCTATCGCCACGTTAGCCCATCGTACAGCCGCCAAAGAAGTAATGGAATGCCAGCGTCTGAACCAGAAAAAAAACATAATGAAATAATTTATGCCGTACCTTGTGTTGCGATCGTCAGAGGGTCTTTGCTCCAGCCATGTTCCCAGAAGATGAACCTGCCTCCCGGTTTCAACAACTTGTATATCTCTTTCATTACTAGCTTCGGATCGTTTATCGCACACAAGACCTGAATGCTCAACACGGTATCCATGCTTCCCTCCACAACACCTGCGCTTCTTAGTATGTCGCTGTCTTCGATGCCGCATGTTATAAGCTTGTACCTGTCTCGGAGACTATGGTTCGCGAGCTTGGCGGCAATATCATTCTGGTAGTGGTGGGCAACAGGGTCGACGGCGTATACGAAATCTACCACAGAAGTCTCGTAACGGTGGATCTGATTGCCTGGCCCGGGGCCCAGTTCAAGAACCACGCCTCGGGCGGCCTTAACAAGAGAGGGGACAATGGTTGTGTCTTCGAATGCAATGAACCCGGCAGCTGATCCGGATCATTAGCGGTAAGTCGGGATACTTTTGGGAATCAAGGGAGCCTGACAGTGTGCGCTTAGAAGCTTTGCCGAAGCGGCATCTCGGATGAGCTGTGGACGGGCAAGTGCGCTTATACCATCTTTACGGACGGCATTCTTGAGAGTGTCCCAGTGGACTTTCCTTGAACTCTCAGTACAAAGGTTGAAGTAAGGAATGAGGAGGCACGGTTACAGCAGATGGAGATCCAGATAAGCGTCAATGGTCTCCAGTACGACGCGAGACGGCCCATGTTGAGTCGGCTACTGCAACTGGTGAGCAATGTGGAGACCTAGAGGCGCGGGGGATGGAGTGGCTTACTGAAACGAATGCTGGTAATTGTATCGGAGATGTGAATCGCTCGCTATGTATAGCACCTAAATTGGGCAACGGAATTTTGAGGAGTAAAAGTTATGCGAGGATCCGTTCACTCTGCTATGCCTGTGCTCTTATATATGACAGCAGCTGCATGTGTGGGCCCTTACGTGCCACTAACCTCAGACTTATCTACTCCGTAGTCTAACCGTAGATAAGCAGTGGGGCCGTCGTAGTTTCTTGTGGCTTAGCGACGTGTGTATCTCGGTACCAAATGGCCGCGCGACGCCAAACGCTCGCTTACTCGTCCCAAGTCACGTCCGTACACCTGGTGCCGGCCAGACTTGGGATTAACCCCGTCTTCTTTCTGTATAGGCAAGACAGAAATGTATGGTGTATACATTGGAATCATCAATACTCCAGCTTGAGCAGGCCTCGAGCCCGGGAATAGGGGAATGATAAATAGACTGCCCCAGTAGATCCAGCCGATGAGGAGCTTGACATAGATAAAGATCCTCGTAGAGTGAGCCAGAATGCACATTGTCACACTAATATGCGTGTAAGTGTACCTCTGATGAGAGGGCCCAGTTCATTCCCGAAGGCTACCACAGTCCCGACCATATCCAAGTAGGAGTCCCGCTGCTTCGGCCTTGTGATATCCGCGAAGACAATCTGTACGAACGCACGGATGGCCCTTGCGCCAAAGCCCTTGATTGCACGCGTGGGAAGCAGCTCTAAAGGTGTTGAGGAAAAGCCAGATGTGAAGTTATCGACGCCCATGATGGAAAGCGCCATGGCCAGTGTGGCTTTGCGGCCGTATATGTCTAAGTGCCTGCCATTGTTGAGATGGATGCTGGTGCTGGTGATGAGAAAACTCGCTCCGACGATAAAGAAGAACGCGCCGGCGTCCAGGGCATACGCGATTGCGGGGTAAACTTGCTGATATAGCTGTCTGGTCGAGAATTGAAGAAAATTGTATTAGAGCGAGTGCCGGAAAGACGACCAAGAATTGTCTCTGGGAACGAGAATGAGATTGATTCGGAGAAGAGGAGTGGTTTCGCCTATCTTTGATCAACCTTCATGACGCACAATGATCGCGCAAGGAAAATTAAATAGATTAGGATAGCATAGATAGTGAAGATGGCGAGGATGGCTGATATCGGTAAGATCAACTGCAAGTTGCCGGATTGTTTAACATATGCCCAGCATTTGTTGCTATTGATTGTGGCATTTTGACTGGCTTCATGGCTGCAGCCGAAGCCCACTCATCGCGTGTGCGGCAACTCGAGGTTGTAGATTTCGCAATACGTGAAAGGCTTCATTGTAGGCAGGCCGAACGATGCTGTCAGGAAAGGCCACCCAATTCGCGTCGCAGTCTAACACGTTGAATGCTACAGCTTTAAGGTCACTCCATTGGTGACGAATTTGTTCAATGAAATTGCCAACGCGTAATAGCGCGTGCATGTTGATTGTTTCGGCTAGACTAGATCGTGATCAACGTACATGCGGGCTGCAAATGGGACACAGACCTGCGGAATATACACGATGGTACAAGTCGAGCAGTGGCGTGCTTCTCTACTTAGTTGCGAAGAGTTCATCTGGCTCAGTTGTTCACAGAACGACCTAATGCCACTAATTTAGATCGGCTTCTACTAACACAGCAGCGGGTAGTGCACGCTGCGGTGGGTTAGCCAAGCCTACGGATTACAGATCGCCAACCCACGACGTAAGTAATGGGGCGATTGATAAGATTACGCTACCACCTATAGCTGCCAATATAGTGTACATCGTTCTAACGTAGGTGCCGACGGACGTGTAGACATATTGTTAATATTTTTAGCGTGAGTAACGCAATATTTTTTTGCCTGTATAGCGCTACATTCTTAGCGCCACGAAGCGCTATTGCATATAGCGCTGTATTCTTCGCGTATGTAGCGCTATATTTCTACATCTCAGCACTCCTAATGTCACGGTCACTTGAGCACGAAGACTTGGCTTGCTGTTTACCCTACAGGTTGTGAAGATATAAAACGAAAAGGCTTCATCGCGAGACTGCTCTGCCACCACTCACGAGAGACAACACGGAAGGAGTGTGCGTAGGAACCACGGTAATTTCTAGTCCCTATCCGGGATACGGAGGCCCCTCCACTCTTCCGCCGAAGATACTTTTCGACGAGGTCAAGCTCTCCACCCCCACATGTAGCTCTTTAGCCCTAGCCGCCACACTAAACATTATATTTCTACAGATCCGTATTGTGTGGAAAGCCACGAGCTCACCAGCTGCTGCCAGGTGGGAGCCACTGCACCCTAGCCCGTGTGTGCAGAAAGGATAGGAAACTCATTAAAGTGAGAAACAATCAGGCTTCTCCCCAACCTTTCCCACCCCACCAATTGAAATCATAGGTCTGCTAGGTACCTACGAAAGGCACTTAAAGACACATGCTCCATGTACATACCTCGGCCGATGAAGCAGCCATGGACTGATCGTTCAAAGTTCGGTATGAGCCATACAACAGCTCGTAAGATGTCGTGCAACTCGGATGCGTCTGATCTCGTGACTAATTTCACCAAGTTCTATGCGCCTACTCAATTCTCTCACCCTCCAGCTGTTTGGGGAAGATACCACTAACTTAGTGACTTAAGTAAAAGCCACCTCCTCTACAGACGAACCACCAGGATCATTAAAATCATTACCTACATCAAGGACGGACTCGAACACTATTTGCAGTCTTTATTTATTGATTTATTTTCTCTATTATTTTATTTTTACCATCTATAGAGTTGTCTCATCGTAAACGACGCCGCCTTCACAGATATGATTTACCAAGTAGGCAGCAATGGCTCATGGGGCCGGCGAATACTACTTCTGGAAAATCTCTCGGGAAAGCCAAGTGACATCATTATAATGAAGGCTATCCTACAACTAACTAACCGATCATGTGCAAGTACTAAATCAGCTGCCTTTTGCAAGATAACATACAAAATTGAGATAGTATGGCAGATCAAGGGGAACCGTAACATGCTTGTATCGACAATTTTTAAGCGTTATATCCCATACACTCGAAGCGACAAATCAACGGCACCGCCTATATCTTACGGTAACATAGTTATATTACATTTTCAGAGAATTGCGCCATGACTAGCTCTCCGTACGAGTCTAAATATGCTTATCTGTTCCATTCTCGCTAATATTTGCTGGGCCATAGGAAGGGTCCTGAATTACCTCACTGAACACCTCATTGGTGAAAGCGGTACGAGGCCTTTTGGGTGAGTGCTACTGCGACTGCTTGATCCAAAGTGTCATCAAGGAGACGAGGAATGATGGTAGGTGCAGAAAACGAGTATGTTGTATAGACGTGGATGTGTCCTGTAGATAGTGAATCAAGGACCAAAGGCCTGCTGTCAGTATAATCGGATAGGATTCTGCCTTGAACTCTGCAATCTGAACTTTGAGTTAGGTCATTCTTGGTTGCTAGTTCAGAAATACTTACGTCTGGAGTTAGCAATCAAGTCTATCGTGGCGTTGAGTTCCTTTTGTGTTCCTTCTAGCGATGCAAATGATCCAACGTCAACTGAATTCTGGGCACGAGGCGGGAGGTTTATCGCTAATAATACTCCTACTAAACATACCGAGGCAATTTGGAGTTGTATCGGTACCTCTCACATTTTGTTCATGGAGCATAATACGTCGGCTCTTGCCTGTGGAAAAAATCGTACCAGATAGTCCATGAAGACGACGCTGAAACAATAGGTGCGCGGTTAGAGAGGCCGTTGCTCATACTGAAGCCTAGAAATACATGTAGCAGTGCTGACTTGAAAAGAGATGTAGTGGTCGGGATGCGCATAATTGCCTAATAATCCATCCCCGTTAGACTAGTACAAAAGGCCACAGATATCGAACGAGATATATTTGTACTGACTATGAACGAGTCGTTAGCTGTACCTATCGTCACCATACTTTTATGGGTCAAACTACCCCTTGCGCTATCTGAGTTAGATTGGGAGGATGAAAGTTTTCGACAGCTTCCATGTACTGATCATTTCAGTTAGTTTTGAAATTTATTGCTAAGTAAAGGATACTTGAATGTTCTAAAGGTTCCCAATTCCAACCAGCATTGCCTAAACTATCAAGTTTGTTGACCTCGGCCTCTGTAGGTCGATGCCACATCAGGCCATTTACTGTGGTCAGTTAGTCGTCGTCAAAACCCGGATATCATCTAGTTCGCTTCATAATTATTTGCTTTTTATCCTTATGCACCAATGACATTTATGCAATAGTATTATGGAAATGCATAATATACCGAACCAATTCGACCGTGAATAGCAATCTTGCCTGTAGCATGTTGATCAATTTCGGGATGCATGTCGTATGACACCGAAAACAAAACGTCCTGCTAGGAAAGCATGAGGTACTAATCGTTGCAATTAAACTGGGTTGTTGTGCTGGAGCCCTTGTCCGTACTGTGTCACGTGGAACTCGCCTAAGTTGAGATGGTTGCTAGGGTAGAATTTCGAAAGATCAGCCCACCCATTTCACCTACCTTTCGTTTGTAAACAACACAAACCAGGCGGCTTGTCAGAGAGCCAGGGAAGTAGCAGAACCAATTTTACCGCGCTCGCTTCACTCCAGTCAACATGGGTCATCATAATCGTCACTTCGCTGGCGACCGCTACGCATTGAAAGGAGCTTGGAGCCCTCCAACAAGTAGCGCCAAGTAAGCATTAACCCCGAGCCCCGTCAATCTGCGTCATTGATGAGTTGACCGTCGTCCAGTTTTTGTGAAGAAGACTACGTTGTTACGAGATATATCGCCGAGTTCATCAGTTCCCTGACCAATTTCGCATACAGTATGTACAAGAACAAGGCCGACAGACTTATCTGGAGTCATGTTTGACATGGGTTTTGGCTAACGTTGTGCAGTATACTTTGCATTTCGGTACATGTATGGCCCCGGTAGCCAAGGTCTTTTCGCACCAAACTTGGATTTCATGTCAATTTCGTTATTTGTGCTGGGTATCTGCTCGTTCCTATTCCACGCATCACTCCGCCAAACCCTCCAGTTTGCCGACGAGTTGGGAATGCTACTACTGGCTTGGTCACTGCTGCAAGGTATCTTGACACGACCGCGTCGAACTGCTCAAAACAGACTAGTCAATACAGTCTTGGCCATCATTTTCCCCCTTTTCTCGGCTTTCTACATTTGGACTGGAAAGATCATTTACCACGCCGTCGTGTACTTCATGATCTGTGTGCTGATCACGGCCCGGGGCCAATACTTGTTCTATTTCCGGAAGCCTGAGTTTCCAAAAGACAAGCTTATCGATTGGAGGATCCGCGGTCGAAGACAGCTTGCTTCTCTTGTGGTAGCATACATTCTGTGGAATATCGATCTTGAGTTTTGCACAGAACTTCGAGCTTTTAGGGAACAAATTGGTTTACCCTGGGCCTGGTTATTCGAGTTCCACGGTTGGTGGCATTTGATGACTGCGTATAGTGCATCGTCTTTTATGGACACCGTACGGGAACTACAACGGGAAATGAAGGAGGAGAAGGAGGATTAAAGTATAATGGGTGATAGAATACCTTATTAGACGCATCCTAGGATTGGCGCGAGTCGCTCAAGCCCAGAAGTTTGCTCTTTGCCTAGAGGACGATCTCTATCTGCTTAATTCAATAGTAAATACTCATAGTATTGTACCCAAAATGATTCGTCTTTGACCATTCTGCCAACGGGCACAATCTGCGCAGAAGTTTGCATAAAATGCTTCGTGAAAGTCGGAAGCAACCTACGGTTCTGGAGCTTTTCTTCCTTTTTGCCCCCGATAAACACCATACACACGATCGATATATCAATTTGGAAGATATGCAACCAGTGGTCTTGTGTGTATTGCTTTTATTTACCACCGTTGTAGCTTGACATTGAGCAAACCGTATGACAAAGACCGAATCTTTACCGTCAATTACGGATTTCAAGGTGGACATGACCACCAGCCAGGTCGCTTCTTACACAGGACAATATAGTATTAAAAGTTTATGCTCTTAAACTTGTTTGTTAGCTATCGGATTTAGAATCATATACTCTTTGGGAGAAGTCAATTTGAATGCAATATAGTTTATTCATATGTTTGCGGAGTCGAGAAACAGTGCCGAAGACCCAAGGAAACTTAGGCTCCGTAACCCTGGTCACGAAAGAATGACCTTGAAAGACATGAAGAGTACCCCCAGCAAAAGAGAACAGATGCAACCTCCTTGAGAGGATTTATAGCAGTAAGCCCAAAGTCTTGCGAAGAGTATCGCGAAGGGCTCCAGCGAATATGGCGTCTGTGAGCTCGTCTGCCTGCTCAAATACTTTCGCGATGCCTTGGTCTCGTTTTAGGAACCGACCAGGAGTCTCGTTTTCCCAAGCACCCAAGGCAATAGCTTGACCAAAAATTGTGATCACTATCTTCAATTTGCCTTCCTCGAGTTTGTGGACCATTGCGAGCTCTTTGAAATGATAAGCAAAGCTCTGGAGCTGTTGGACCTGATGACGGAAGCGCTTGAAGGGACCTGCCCGATCCTCGATCAATGTACCAGTGGCTTCCTCCCGGCATTTTTGCCATAACCCCTGGACTAGATTATCATACACGTTCCTGAGTCCTGTAGTTGTTACTTCTAATTTTTCGCGCCAATACTCGTGCATTGTAGCGAGCTCTATAAGATCATACTTTTTGTCGGGCCACTCAGTTCCCAGAACTGCAAGTTCTCGGTCAAAGACAACTTTGATGCAGGATTCCTCACCTGAGCACCGAGGACAGGGCGAATGTTCCGCATTTGTTCTAGCGCAGATGTCTGGGTTGTCCTCTGGGTTCGGGTATGGGTCTGGTTTGAACACGTTTTCTCCTGATCGCAGACAACGAAACGCTAAGTTCTTTTTCAATTCACCCTTGCGTCGACACAAGCACAATCCGTACGCTGGATATAACCAGCTAATGACCTGTGACGACATAGTTTGCGAAACCAGGCACCTATTCTAAGCTGAGCTTTACTGTGGTCGAGCGTCCTTGAGCAAACCTTTGACAAGTTTCTTCTTCAGCATAAATGATAATCATCCACTGTTTTCGATATTTTTGGTCATTTCTGGTCCTGGTTGCTTGGCATTCAAGGTTTCAAAGTCAAGTGTTGAGTACTTGTATTTATACTTGCGACTGGGAGCCACGAAGTGCTAGTGATTCTTAGCTTTTTGCGAAGCTGTAGTGATTCGCTTATAATCCATTTGAAATAAAACGAACAAGGCTTCCAGGTCCGAATGGAATTTGCGCAAGAGAGAACTGAATCAGAATTTGCCGAGTGATCCTGTAGCTATAACAAGCAATCATACGGCACATAACGAGGCAGTCACATAACACTGGAATATTTAATAACCGTGTGGTATATCATTTAGAGCACTAGATTACCATATCTTTAGTTAAAATTAGATAGAAAGATGTACACTTCGAGCGAGTTTGTGGGGACTTCGCTTAGTAAAACAAACATTTACTTACACCGCATGTCTAGTCCTCATAACTATTCTACAACATACCGACGGCAGGCTTCCACATTACGATCATTCACAGTCGACTTTGGCGCAGGGTCCTGCAGCCATCATCAATTTGAACTTTTGTATCCATTGATACGCATATTTTTCATCACGTCAGTCTATCACCTTGTTTCTTCAATTCTGTTTTAGTATGCTCAAAAAGCGATCGACGTAATTAAGGTAATGAGAAACCATGACTAAGCGCTCCTTTTAAGCGCTTTTCGGAAGAAACAACCGGACTATCAATGCTGTGGAGAAAAGTCCTGGTATGTAGGGGTCGGGAATTTTATGTCTCGAAATTGTCATGGGAGAGGGTCTAAGCCTCACGACTTGTTCAAAAGCGATGTTCTCGTTCCTGGGACTGTGGAAGCATGTCCCGGTAGATCATCGTAATAGCATCCCGCACAGAGTGATTCTTGTGATACGTGAAGTTAAGAATACGGTTATTCGATGGTGCTCCAGCCCGACCCGGGTGAGTCATTGAATGGAGGCAAAGTTGAGTAGACTAGAAATGCGGTGAATAACCCTCTTGCGCATACAGCGACAATGTTCAAAAAGTTAGCTCACCTATACTATATAATGCAAGTCTCCAAGATTCGCATTATTGATCCTGTCGCACCATTGGAAATTTCTAAACACCATCTGAACCCAGAAATTGAAATGGGTCGTCTTAAATTTTTTTAAATTTTGTAGAAGTACTTGAATAATGAGTTGCCAACCAGGCCGGCACTCATTCACACGGCCAGAGAATATATTGAAAATATAAAAATCACTTGTATATAAACCATCATATTTAAATGAAGTGGGACCTAGGTTCTTCGTCCATAACATATTAATTTAAGATAACCTGTCCTAGTTATCATCGAGTCGTTCAAAGAATCAGCGGGAAGGCAATATCGTCTACATGCTTGATGAGAAGTTTAGACTTGAAATTGGCATTGACAAGCTCTGCTAAGCACGCCCGAATCTACAACATCTACTCAACTTTACAGATGATCGAGTGATACTTTTACCTTTTAGTCAAAGCTTTACCCTTAGGCACCTCAGGAAATTAAGTAGTCGCGCTCCTCCACTGGTCCACTTTCCAGTGCTTTTATTCTTTTCTTGGCATGAGACGTAACTCGATGATATTGTCAATACCTAATCCGACATAAGAGATGGTTCATTTGGGAGGCATCTGGAATTTCATGCTGCTTAGACAAGTAAGTGGCTAGGTTAGAATTGTGAAAGGTGACTAGCAGAGGCATTGAAGATCTCGGTTGCTCTTGTTTACGCTGGATACACGTGACGTGATTCCCTTGCAAGGGGAGACACCATTGATCGATGCTCGAAAGAACAATACACGCTCAGTCCATTGATTGATGATGATACTGCTGGTACTCGGATACGAGATCGTTGATGTTGGACTTGGCCTCGACAAACTCCATCTTGTCCATGCCCTCCATGGTGTATGAGCGGAGGAAAGCCTTGCGGCAGAACATGGCGGTGAATTGTTCGTCCAGGCGCTTAAAGATGCCCTGGATCCCCGTCGGGTTCCCGAAGAACGTGCCGGACAGGTCAAGCCCCCGCGGCGCCACGGAGAAGTAAGACGTCTAAACATTGTTCGGGATCCACTCCACGAGGTACTCTGAGTTACGGTTCTGTATGTTATAGATCTGGTCCTCGACTTCTTTTACGGAGACCCTGCGCGGCCTTTGAGATGGATACGTCTGGCGCCTCTCTTCCTACTAAGAGTACTGGAGATCGTTACAGGAGGAGTGTCTGGCGTGTCGAATGGGTGCTCGAAAGTCTTGTTGACTCCGTTTGCCTTTTTTTGACGTCGGCGTTTCGTCGGAGACTCGCTTGCTGACAGGTCCGGATTGGCATCAGAACAGTTGTCTGTTATGTCGAGAATTGACTGAATCCAGTTTCTTCTCTGCCGAGATACACAGGGCACTTGCACTCATGTTTGAGGGGTGTTGGGAGTATGGAGTGGTAATCGAGGGCCAAGATCAAGGTATTGCAGCTATGGGTAAAGTGATAAAGCGGGGGTGGGCTGGTCAAGTTTGCTCGCGGGGGCTCCTACTCGACTTCCGGCTTCAGGGTGGGAGAGAAATATCAGAGCAACCAAAAGTCTTGGGGTGGTTATCTGCCCCAGATTGCGGGGGCAGGTGAGTTGTCGACTCCTGGTCCAGGATGGCAAGGCGGCTGACTGTAGTGAACCGATACGGCATGATCAGAAACTTGGCGTTACCCGCATCCCCCACACCAATCTCGAATTCTCGGTTATTGAAGGCGAATATTAACCGTCGGCAAATGCCTTTTCGCTTTCCACCCACCATTATTGTGGTGGCGTTGAAGCCTCTGTTTACCCGTCTGGCGTCCAAGTGCAAGGCAAATTCTACTCGTGGAAGATTAGCTACCCCTTGGAAAGAGTGGCGGCCTGGGGAATGGGATTGCCAGGGGGCGGCCGGGGCAGACTCGTAGCATGCTCAACAGCAAGGGACACGATAACGCAAACTGGGGTTGCGGGGATCCAGGCGTCCGGGGAAGCGAAACTCATCGTGTAGGCATGCATGAGTTCACAGGCAGTTCACCACGGATCAAGCGACTTCCAAGCCACACCCAGAAAATGAAGGCCTAAGCCGCTCCCAAGTTATAAAGTAGCAAGTCCAGCCCTCGTTCCAGGTCTGAAAAACAGATGAACGCCATGCCAACTTAACGAGGCACGTCCTCTCTCATCTCGGCCCACCATGAGATTCTCTATCGCTCTAGTTTCTGGTACGGTCTTGGGAGCAGCCAGTGCCGACATCTTCTCCTTCTCGGCAAGCTCAGATGATCTGAAACTAGCCAGCAAAGACACGGCCCCTGTCATTGCTCTGTGTAAAGATGAATCCTGGGCCGTGCAAAGGACAGCCCAGGATCTTGCATGGGATTTCGGCCGCGTCGTTGGACTCAACGGCACCGTGACGATTGTCGATGGAAATCGCGACAACCTTGCGACTTGGAGCTCCTCCCGAGGCCGTGGCGACACCCCCATCATCGTTGCAGGGACTGTAGGCCACTCGCGTTTGATTGACGGGCTCATATCTGAGCGCAAGCTCGATGTTTCGAGTATCAAAGGGAAGTGGGAGTCGTACACGACACAGGTCATTCGTAATCCTATTAATGGCGTCTCTTGGGCACTGGTTATTACGGGTAGCGATAGACGTGGCACAATCTACGGCCTATACGATATGTCGGAGCAGATCGGAGTATCACTATGGTACTGGTGGGCTGATGTCCCAGTTCAGAAAAAGCAGGCCATTTGGATTGGAAGTTCCGGCAAAGTTCAAGGCCCGCCCTCTATCAAGTATCGAGGCTTCTTCATCAACGACGAGGCTCCAGCTCTAGCTGGGTGGATAGCCGAGAAATTCCCGGGCGGTTTCGGTAGCGACTTCTATCGGCTTGTCTTCGAATTGTGTCTTCGTCTCAAGGGCAATTATGTATGGCCTGCGATGTGGGGAAAGATGTTCTACGTCGACGATGCTCTGAACGGAAAGCTTGCTGATGACTTTGGCGTCATCATGGGCACAAGTCACCACGAGCCTATGGCCAGGTCAGAGAGGGAGCAGCAGATTTACCTTAACGGGACTTGGGACTGGATTTCGAACCGGGACAATATCATCAAATTTTTCAAGGATGGCATCGCTCGTGCTCGCACGTGGGATACTATGTGGACGATGGGGATGCGGGGAAGTGGCGATGTCGCTTCGCCAACTCTGACAGCCCCGGCCCTTGAGGATATCATCCAGGTCCAACAGTCATTGTTGGAACAGGGGCTTAATACGACCAACCTTACGAGTATCCCCCAAACATGGGTACTCTATAAAGTGAGTATGCACACTGATACTAAGGAGGCAGTAGTTTGCTGACATGTCCCGCAGGAAGTAGGAGAGTACTATAAGGCTGGTCTGAAAGTTCCTGACTCTGTTACACTCCTTTGGACCGACGACAACTCCGGTAATCTTTTAAGGGTCCCCTTGGCGAATGAGACAAGCCGCACTGCTGGCGCTGGAGTGTATTACCATTTCGATTATGTAGGTGGCCCCCGTAGCTACAAGTGGATCAACACAATCCAGTTGGTAAAGACTTGGGAACAAATGTCTTTCGCATACACCCGGGGCGCCCGCCAGATTTGGATTGCCAACATTGGCGATATCAAAACTTTGGTAAGTTGATATCTGCCTAATATATCCGAGATGGCTCCTGTTCTGACAGTGTTTCGAAGGAAATCCCCTTGACCCATTTCATGGACATGGCATACGACGTGACACGTTATACAACGCCGGACTCAACAAGGATCTGGATTGAGAGGTGGGCCCGCCGCGAATTTGGCGAGCATGCAGCCAAACCTACTGTCGATATTCTCAGTCAATACGGAATCTTGCTGGGTCGCCGAAAATACGAGCTCCTGAGCGAGCTGCCGTTTGCAATCAGCACCAGCAACTATGACGAGGCAGAGCGCAATCTAGACCAGTGGGGAAAGCTGCTCAAGCAAACGCAAGCTGTGTATGATTCTCTAGACAAAGCTACACAGACGGCATACTTCCAGATGGTCCTACATCCTGTTCTTGCTGGAAAGACCGTCGTGGACCTATACACCAAGGTGGCGCTGAACGCGCGCTTTGCCAAGCAAGGTCGGGCGAGCACCAACCAAATAGCCCTGGAAGCTGGCAACCTCTTTGCTGAAGACGCCAAAATCACCGACCGATACCACACCCTCAACGATGGCAAGTGGAACCATTTCGTGGATCAGGCCCACATTGGTTATACGTCCTGGAACGATCCACCAAATAATCTTAATATCATGCCAAACGTCACCTATATCAGCTCAAGCAATACATCCGCTGGCCTCATGGGTGTTGGCATCCAGGGAACCACGGCGGCATACCCCCAGACCAAGGTGCTGACCACGCTCTCGGTTGACCCTTACATGCCACCCAGTGAGAGCCGCTACATCGACATCTTTGCCCGGGACAATGGGACCTTCGCCTACACGATCTTCACAAACGTCTCATACGTAAGCGTAGCGGAGACAAGCGGGATTATCGAGGCGCCGGGCATCAATTCCGACTCCCGCAACGTCATCACCGTAGATTGGGACACAGCACCAGCAGGTCTGTCCCTCGTCAGTCTCAACATCATCAATTCCATCGACAATTCCTCCGCCACGGTCATCGTCCCTGTGAATAAGACTACCATTGCTCAAGATTTCAAAGGCTTTGCTGAGTCTAACGGAGTGATCGCAATCGAGGCCTCCCATTACAGCAGCATCGCCAACAGCGGAGAGGTTTCATATATCGAGGTTCCTGACTATGGCCGTACCCTCTCCGGTATGAAGCTATGGCCCGTCTTAGTCAATTCGCAGTCAACAGATACAGGCCCTGCTCTCAAGTACTCGTTGTATACTACTACTTCAACCACCAAGGCAAGACTGGTGGTCATGTTCGGGCCCTCGCTGAATCACGACCCGTCTAGGCCGCTCAGGTTCGCATACTCCATAGATGGGTCTGCTCCTGTTACAGCTCAGCCCGTAACTAATATCCCTATCTACACTGAGCCCACAGTCTGGCGCAATGCCATTGTGTCCGGAGGCTGGACTTCGTTGGTGACCCTTCCTGCGGCAGTTACAGTGGGTGCGCATGAGCTCACGCTGTGGTTGCTGGAGCCGGGGTTGGTTCTCCAAAAGGTGGTTCTGGATATGGGAGGGCTCAAAGACAGTGCAATGGGGCCACTTGAAAGTAAACCAATCTGAGATATGAATCCCCGAAGTTGTTCTTGGACGAGCCTTCGCTGCCTTGAACGTTCTGCTTGAAGGTGATTGGAAAAGGAGACAATAGTTACGAGGGTATATACGGCACGTATAGTAATGATAGTCTTACCAGCCTTGCCTGAACTCGAGCGCCTCCATTTAATTCCTCATACATCTGCCCGTGACCAGGTTTGTTGTTGATTGAACGGCCGATCGTGCCATGAAAGTCTTCCAAGAGAGGCTGGATGTCGCCTTGGCGTTTTGATTTACTAACAACTTTCGCCCTGGGCCATCTCCTTGTTAAAAAAAAACCCCCCCAATGTGAAGCAACGGCCGGTAAGCTAATTACGTAGACTTCTTCTTGTAGAAGTTTGACGAGCTACTGATTCTTTAGACCTGGAAAGTTCTCTCTAATGACACTATGAAAGTATTGCATCGATGATTTGCCAGTATAAAAACTCTATTAATACAAATTGAGATGAAGATGATGCTTGTCAAAGCTATCTTGATGATCAGGGTAAGACGTTATGTGACTTCTTGTAGAGACATACTCCGCCTTTCCATTTGATGAGGCTGTAGGTAAACTGGCTTGAATGTGTTCATAAATGTTGACTTCAGCAGCAGTGACAGAATCAAGATACGCTACATCATATCACACCGAAACTTAGCAGACCCGCACCGAGCAGACGGGGCAGCTGCAGTAGAGGATGCTGCGGCTGGGACAGAGAATGCAGCATTGACGGAAGCTTTGGCGGCGCATGCAACTTTGGCGGATGATGGAGAATCGGGCATGGAATTGCCTTTGATCAAGGAGGATGAACTGCTGCTTCCATTCCAGACAGCATCGCCGATGGGTGTTTTGGCAATGTCAGCCTTGATAGTCGCAGCGTTGTCGACCCGGAGATTGAGCCCATTGAAGAATTTCATAGTGTCATTATATATGCCCGGGATTTGGTAGATTGGGGAAGGCATACCAATGCCGGACTCCGAACATTGACCTGGGCGCAGCTGAAATCCTTGGTTATATCATCACCAAGGGAAGAAGAGATGCAGAGTATTCGGCTCACCTGTAAAGATCTCAGCCGCATTGTTCTGAGCACCATGAAGACCTACGTGCTCAGCCCGAACAAGATACTGTCCAGCTGGGGCATTCTTCGGAATCTAAAATTCAACCTGCGACGCACGGTAGGTACACCAGGCAGTCTTGGTCAAGTCCTCATTCTCATCACAAATGGTCGACTCCCAGATCTTGAACCAGTCGGCATCACCTACGTAATTTTGAACATCGCCAGGTGCCTTGGGCATGTCATCAAGACGAGATGAAGTGTTAGCTTCTATGCAACGTCAAGACATCAGTGCAGGATGTTTTTCAGGTCGGAAGCTTACAAACTTGACCCAGACCAGGGTGAGCAACGCTACCGTCGTAGAAGAGCTTCATACCGAACCGCACCACCAGCGGCTACACCTGCAACCTCGGTTTTGTAATATAGGCTCTTTCGCCGATGCTGCTATCGGAAATCGCTGTCGGTAGGGTAGAGGTCCTCGAATGTATTACTGAACTTTGTTCGCATATAATTCTCGGTCCGAGTTGTCTGACGGATGTACTGCCGATCTTCCGACATGACGCCGTTCACTGCGAGCTTACTGAAGGATGTATTGAGCGGAAGTTGTGCTAGCAAGTATAGCAGCCGCCGTGCTGAGTAAAACTGTGGAGTACGTGATTCTGTCTTGTTTTGAAAACGATTGACTCAGTAAACGAATGAAGGTAGAGATGACTGCCCACGCCGGGTGGTATTGGAAGCTTGAGTGCGGAAATCAAAGCAATGATAGGCTAGTAAGTTGGGTTGTTAACTCCAGCGCGTCCAAGTGTGCGAAAGTTTTCGATCAAATAGGTATTCCCTCTACAAGAAACCATTAAGGATATGCATATTGATCAACACTAGGGTACCCGTCAGCAGCGTGAACGATGCTAGGGTTTCTGGCCTGAAACTTGGAGTTACTGCCTAATAGGCATTGTCCCATGTCTACTCTAGGCTCCAACTGTCACGGAAAGGCAGGTCCATACGGTACATATGGTAGGAGGATCTTTATCCATGCCAGCCACGACAAGGCTTTTACTTTGAGTCGGCAATTGGTCGTCGGCGTTTGCATCAGAGAAGATTAGCACTGAGGTTTCTTCGTTCGGATTCATCGGCGATGCGCCGTAAGCAGGCAGGTGTTTCTACGCGGCCTGGATATGATAAATAGATCAGGTTGAAGATGCGTTGATCATTGAATGGCCCCAATAAATCCAAGTTGTGATCTGCCCCCCGCAGAGCGCCGCTACTTGCCACGGGGCCGGCCACCAGAGGAGATACTTCGGGAGGGCATCAAATGCCAGGGACAGACAGGCCTACCGAAACGCTGCTCGACTTGTGGAGAGGCAGGTCAGAACAAACGGAAGTGCACCGTGGTGGGCGGCCGCATAAGTAAGGAAATAGCTTCAGTGGCACTGGTGCGCGTGCGTCTGTTGGATATGTCGACCTTTTGAGGGGTACAGTACAAGTTAGTAGATCTTGTCCCGGCAAGTTAGTTAAAAGAAGCCTTGATGGCTAGAATTCTATGCAAATACTAATATTTGGCCAGTCGACGGGCAATTTTGCTAGTCAATGACCTCCGCTGGGGACTCGCTCCCCTACCGTAGTAAAGTCGTTACGCCGTAACAAGGCTCCACAAGTAACGGTTTCCACTCTCAGCGTTAATAATTGGCGAACGGCCCTTCTGTGAAACTCCATCGTTCTCGTTCTCGTTTTCGACCATTACTACGGTAAGTCGAACTAGCCGTCCAGTGATTGGACACGCATTAAATGGTAGTAAAGATCAGCGTTTTTCAGCCTTTTGAGGACTGCCAAGAGCTGCACAACCCTCTACCACAAGTATTATCCTATTAACAACTTTTTCTTTTATTCCCGATTTCCAAGACTAAGCAGGGATATGTAGCTCTTGGCAGTCCTCAAAGGCCACCCTACCGTTCTCGTTCTCGGCATCTTGGCGATGCTCGCAGCAAGATGGGTCCACAAGTAAGACAAAGCACCATTTTAATTTGTTTACATCGTTCTCTTCATTGGCTAACAACATCCTGAATTAGGGGTCGATCCAGTATAGACTATACATGTTCTTCGCGATCGAGTATTTAAGTCGCTTCTGTTCCTCAAGATATCATTACCCTCTTCTCCAGAGAGAACCATCAAACCTGATTTCGAATAAAATTCCGTTATTCGCTTCTTAGTCGTATCTTTTCAGAGGCAAATTTCCCATCATGCTTTTACGCCTAGCTCAAATTTTCTTTTGGGGACTTCAGGTATCTGCCTACCCACACATGGTGGCCTTGCTTCCTCGCGATCACGCCACAATATCAACACCTGCCAAACGAGGAGGGTGCAATATCGGTACAAGTGGACTTACAGAGAAGCATTTCAAATGGGCGCCAGCGGGGGATGGAGATTGTATGCAGCCCCTTGATGGTTTTTGGTTTTTCTTTCGGTCGTGCTGACCCAAGTCATAGTGCGATCGCCCTGTCCAGTCATGAATACGCTCGCCAACCACGATTTCGTACCTCATAGCGGTCGCAACATCACTGAGCCAATCCTAGTCAAAGCGTGCAAGGAGGCGTTCAACATTTCTAATTCCTTTGCTGCGAACATTTTTAAAAATGGAATTGTGTCCAACCCTGCACCGAACGCCACTGTGAGCCAGCCATAACGCATTTCCCTTCGTGTTCTACCCATAACAAGCAGCACATCCCCATTTGTACTTGATGAAGATCACTAAAACGTCGAATCGATATAGTTCTTCGACTTGGATATGCTTCATCACACACACGGTGTCATTGAACACGATGGAAGCCTGTCTAGGCGGGATGCCGTCTTCGACCCTACCAACCCATTCGACGAAGGGACCTTTAGCAACCTGCTCAAATATTTCGGAAATGCCACCACCTTTAACATCGCTACTTTGGCCAATGCGAGGTCTCGTCAGGCGTTCGATATGAGTTTGATCAACCCCAATTTCACTATCACTGAAGGTGCTGTTCCTGTCATCATGGGAGAAAATGCTATGATGATAGCGATTTGGGGCGGTCCTGAGACTCAAATCGGCAATCTGGATTACTTCAAGTACTTTTTCCGTAAGTCACCACAACCTCACTGGCTTTTTAATGATCTGCGAACTTATCTTTACAACTCGCAGGAAATGAGCGCATTCCAGTTAAGCTCGGTTGGACGCCAAGCCAGGTCGAAATCGGTGCCACTATCGGCCAGATTGTGCAGGATCTGATTAAGTTAAGTCCAGCTGACGTCCCACTTACTTATTCTCCAGCGAGTGCTTGAGGGGAAAAAGCCATCGTCAGCGTCTGTGCTTATCAGAAAGAGGAGGCGCTGTGTGGTGTGATGAGCCATCTCTTTCAATAAGATGTCATTGCTCCTCGAGTTTCGACGCTGAGGAGATGTCTTTGCTCGAGTTTCGACGCTAAGAGAGATGATGATCACCATGGGCTCACATCAATTGGCCTTCCCATCTCATTCCTAAGCTGCGCCAGTTTCTGCAGCACAAAACCTCGAATAGCACTTCCGTGGTCCAGGTATCCTATTTTATATCATACAGATGAGCCCTTGATCTGGGACGTTTAATCACAAATCACGTTGATGTGTACCTATGAACTATTTCCTCCGTCATTAATCATCTCCAGGAAATTGTTATCTGATACAAAAGATTGTCCGTGCTGAGGGATGATGCATATAAAGCTCCACGCTGGCTAATTCATCGAATGGCTGAGTTCTTTGTCTTGCTTGAAATTGATAGAGGCCGCTATGGTTGCTACGCCTCTGCACGCACACAGCAAATGCTATGATGAGGCTAAGACCCGCGACTGTTGTCACTAGCCAATATCCTAAATCGAGAAGTTGTCTCTGCCGCCTGTAGTTCCATTTCGTCTTGACGTATTAAAGTGTTCCGCACTCCAAGCTTCAGGATTTGTTGGCGGCGGAGCTTTAGGCCCGTAGATTGACTGACTCTACGAGGGGTGGTCAAGCATTTCGCCAATGGTTGCGCACTTGATTCGACTGTGCCAAGCGTTTCTAAACAGCACCAAGACTTGCATGATTGGCAGCGGGCATCACAATCTACAGAATTAGGCTGCCGAATTCAATAGTTGTGCAGCTTCTCGGTTATTCTCCACCCCGTTCTCTATAAGCTGGCAGGCGCAGGCCGATGTGCTCACAAAGCAGAGCAGGAATGGCTTGGCAGCTCGTGTTGTGTCCAAATTGTGGAGTGACTGCTCGAGTGCCGTCGCACCTAGATACTGGAGCTGACACACTGTTGAGGCGCAGCCAACTGCCGAACGTGGCTACGGTGCCTCCTTTTTGCCCCACTCCCAAGCTGGAAATCCAGCTTCTGCACGGACTCCGCGATGGATCGAAGACGACTGTGGTTGATACTTGATTCCAACATGTCAGCTGCCTGCGCCATTCACGTCCGGGCACAATAAAACCTTTCCGTCTCCCCGTGCATTCCCGTCATCTGGTCGCCCTGCTGTTGGTGGTAGACCCCTGTATAAAAGGCTGTGCCGGGGGCCCTGCTGCACAATGAAAAAACTGGGCTACAAGAAGTCCCGCCTTGGATGCTCTCGATGTAAAGAACGCAGAATTAAGCTATGTGAGCCGCCCGGCCTGCACCACCCTGAGTCGATGGGGGTGAGAAAAAGAAACCGGTGTTTCTGGACTGGTCTGATTGAGCAGGATCCAGTGCGACGAGAAACGTCCTTGTACAGCCTGCATAAAACATTCACTACCATGCAGCCTCGTCACCGCCGCCGCCGTAGGATGTAAGGGCCGCAGCCCAGCTGTGGCCAGACAGACAGAGCGGCTATATAGAATAGTATCGGTAAGAACCCAGATGCTTCAGTCTCCAGGCCTTCGCAGCAGCGTGTCGTACTGATTGTTGCGGCAGGACGAGCGGTCGCCACTCACCTCCCCTTCGTCAAATCCGTCTGTCGAGCCATCGCCAGATCTGGATATGGGAAGACAGTCCCATCACAACCAGGCTCAGGATGCCTCACCACCTTCGCCCGATCCATTCGCCTGCTTCGTCCGGTTTCTGGCCGAGAGTCCGACGCAGTGCTCCAGCGATTGGATTGCCGCCGCTGGATTGATGCATCACTATTGCACCGTTGCCTATCGCACCATATCTGCAAACACTGAGGCCCAAAACGCCCTGCAGCTTGATGTGCCCAGGGAGGGACTCCATCATCCGTTCTTGCTGCACCAGATTCTGGCCTTCTCAGGACTCCACCTGGCATTCCAGCAGCACGATCATCGTCAAATGTATCTTCTGCAAGCTTCTCAGCATCAGGGCCATGCGATAACTGGCTTGAGGGAAGCCTTGGCTGGCACCATCACCTCAAACAATTGCCACGCAATCTACGCAACGTCTACCTTCATCATCCTAGGGGCATTCGCCATACTTCCCTGTTACGAGGAGCGCAGCAACTTCGTCTGCACAATCGATACTATATTAGAGATATTCACATTAATTAAAGGGATGGGATTGATAGTGTCCAGCACTGCTGAGGATCTCAGAGGTGGACCTCTAAGAGGCATATTCAACCAGACCAAAGACCCCCGAGGGAGAGCGCCAATGCAGGATCTCCTATTTCACATATCCACCCTGAAGTCCCTTTTCGAACGCACTGATATGCTCGACCACCAAGAAAGAGTCTGTATGGAAGCGGCGACATCTGCTCTCTGTGACTGCCTCTCGGAAGGATATTCCAGCGATGGTGTTTTGGTAACTGAAAAGTTGCGAGCCATAATGCGATGGCCGTTGTTCTTACCTGATGGGTTCCTGGGGTATGTTCGGCGTCGGCATCCTGCTGCAATAGCCATCCTACTGCATTACTCCGTCATGTTGCATTCTGCGGAGCGGAATTTTTGGTTTCTCAATGGATGGGCCGCGGCGCTAGTCAAGGCAAGCGATGGCCTGCTTGCTGAGACACCATGGGCAGCCATTACCCAATGGGCGATTGACACCGTAGCGTACGGAGTTCAAAGCAAAGTATAGTGAAATCTCACATAGCTGAGCACCTCTGCAACGACACTGCAATACAGAGCAGCACCGTGTTTCTCACTTTTCTAACCTCAGGCTTACCAGGCACTGCACGCCCAAGGCTGGTAACTTAAATATTGAGGCACCATGAGAGGAAGGTCGTGTCTTTCGATTGCAATTAGAACGTATTCATGCCCAAGTACCTCGATACTCTCTGGCTATCTTGTGAGACCACGGTCAGAATTATGCGAGACAACTCAGGGTCGACGGGTAGTTAGAGTGGGAAAGGGGGAATCATTTAATTTGTGCCGTGCTATATTGGTCATGCACTCCTCGGTAGAGGAGCTTCATCAGCGTGCAGCTCTTGCCGGCAATCCCTTTGAACCATGTCTAAATTCTCAATGTTTTACATAGAAGCTGTGAAGAACAAGAGGACTGACTATACGTGTCTACAAGGTGCAAGGCACCAGCCACCTACTGCAGGGATGGATGAAAGGCTAGACTTATACCCCGTTCTCTACTGAATGGGGCATGGGCTTCTAGTATCAAGTCTATACAGCCGCCTGCACCCAATAACACCGCCCCTGATCGGAAAATCAACAAAGGAAAACCCCATATTTGCAATGCCACCCATCATCCACCATCTCCTTGATCGCTATGTAGCGTTCTACCCATCTGAATTGAAGCTAATTCGGAGATCTAAGCACGTTACACCCTTCATGCATCCCCTCTGGACTAGCTGAAACACCTGAAGGAGAAGCGCGGCTGGAACGAAGAGCACAGCCCTTCCGAAAATGTCACGGGACCGGTATACCATCACGACAACTGCCGCTGACTTGGTCCAGGAGACCACGTTGCGTCACTGTCCACTCCCACAAACTGACTTGTGAGGCAGTTCATGCTAGACCCAAAAAATAGCCGTTATCTCAAAATATCTGATAGCATACAGGTGGCCCGATTAGCTCCCTGTTTTGCACTGAACACCCCTGCCATTCGCTTTTGGCCGTATGCTTATTGCCCCAATGTCTTGACTGTGTGGCCAAGAATAATCCAGGTTTACTATCCCTTTGTACCTGTGCTATCCGGCCTTGAGTTCTAACCTCCCAAACCTGCAACCATGGCAGTGACAACACATCCTGTGATATTGGCGATCGGCACTATGTTCTGATATGACCCAGTGGTTTTGGGAGGACATGAAGGATTCAGTGTTGCTTTGCTTGTTGGACATCCTCCAAGAAGACAACCAAGGGACTCACACGTTAGAGAAGTACTAGTCGACATGGGCGGGTTAAATAGAAGCCCTTTGCTAGCGCGTCAAATTGCTGGGCCGAGTTAGTTGTTTGATCAAGAGCAGTAAGCTCAAACCATGCTGGTGCTACTCAGCAGGACGAGAGACTAATGTCCGATGGGGGTTCAGGAGTCAAATGATTGCGTATGACCTTTCTCAAGCTGCACGACCCACGCTCCGTCTTGTACCATATGGATTCGACCTACACATTGAGCTAGAAATTGAATGTTCCCAGAAGGTATACGTCCCCGTAGGTTTGTAGGGAGCTTGTTAGGAACGGACCGTCATGTCTGCTTCCAGGGTTGTTAGATGCGGCTCACAGCCTACTACTCGGAGTGACCCAAACCCCTAAAGATACCCACCCCCATCGAGTCCCATTGTTATAATGCGTTAGTCCTGACCTTAATGTCCGGGACCTGGTTTGCGTTAGGCACGTCACTTCCGCCATGTTGCTACTGTATTATGGTGGGGCTCTTTGCTTCGGTGCGCGGCGGAAGCTATAAAGCGTGTAATAAACGTCCCACTCCCGGAGGAAATAGAGCTCTACTTGTGTCGACGTCAAGATCCAAACTCTACTTTTAACATGATAGGCGGCACCGGCACTGACGGGCCAACCGCTATGATGCCCGGTAGTCTTCGTATGGCCGTTGACGAGTGCTTATAGTTCCCTCTCCTATAACGTATTCGAAAAAAAAAAAGAGCTACCGTATTAAAGAAAATGGCAAGCTCTAGGGCCGCAGTTGAGCTAGAGCGTGATATTATGGAAATCCTGACGAAGTACGGCTTAGTGAGGGCACACGTTGAAAAGGATGTTATGCGGATCTGAGTTATGACCTATCAAGAGACTAGTAACACCATGCTTATCATGTAGCTTACGGGCTTTATAGCTCAGGCTAGTTAAGGATTATACCTGGGAGGCATCTTAACGGAACACTCCCCCGTTAAGCACTAACAGGTTAACTCATTAGTACGCAACCTTAGTTAAACAGGAATGAGTTGTCCGTAAAGGCTATTTGAAATATCATAGGGCACAACAGAGATGGGCACCATAAGCAACCCTGCCGAAGAGCGTCGAGATCAATGGGCTAATACATGCGATATCCTTAGCCTTCTCCTCCTTATTAGTGGTGGCATTGTGCAAAAATCAATCGCTTAGCTTGTTGGTTACGAGGGTCGCCTGCCTGGCAAAAGAACTCCAGGCCTCTTAATTACACTCGTAGCATTTTTATTCAGATAGGCAGCTTACCCGTTCTCAGATCTACTCCCGGCTATCGGAGATATAAGACTAATGCTAACAAACAATAGTACTTCGATGGTTGTTCATTGCTCTAATGGACCTTTTAGAGAAAATCGTTCCTAGGTGTTAGGTCGCCACTTACGAGACCTCGAAATCAGGCACAAAGTCAATGCGCGTGCAGAGGAATAAGGTGGTCGGGCCGAGTCTATCAGAATTAATATGTTCAAGCTTAGCGTTGTCTCGAACCCTAGCTATGACTTCGTATAGTGGCTTAGATGGGTTACGCTTCTTGCGCGGATTGCGATTTCTATTCCACCTTGGGCTTTATACGTAATTAAGCAATTATGATTATTACCTTGTGTGGAAGTTTGCTTACCACTATTACATGTGCTATACCGTAGTGGACAGAAGAAAATGAGCCGGCCGAAACTTGAAGCGCGACAAAGTAACATGTCTGACACGTGGTAACGGGCATCTTTACATTATGGTGTTTATTGGCGCTTACGGATCCTGAGACTTGGAAAGTCTTACGACCGGCATATCGGTTCTATGATCAGAGACTCGCTGGATTTCTTTGGTGCTTGCGATATTATGGACCTGCCTTCTGATCACCGTAACAGGTCTCCAAGAGCAAACCTGCTTTCTCGCGGGAATAGGAGGTATCGGATTGCTTTAAAACGTTTTCGCAGCCAGAACGTCCCATAAACCAAGCGCTTCGAGCTTTTACATTACTGAGTTCTCTCGTGCCCCTACAATAGTTGGGAGACGCGAGGAATATAAGGATGATGCAGACGCTAACGTCAATCTGGAAGAAGACCTCCAGAGGCTCGCCAATATTTCTATGTAGGTATCGGAAAAGCCGAATCTGCCCATGCCGCAAGGTACTACCACTCTATCTCAAGGCGTCTAGATACCGAGATGGCTAGCTTCGACGTTAAAAGAAGACGGAGTCACAAGTTGGCTAGTGCTTACAAAGCTAGATCAGGTTAACCAAGCCATTACTAGTACCTCTTATCCTCTATTAGGTATCTAGAGGTGGTTCGCTATTGGGAATAACAAACTAAACAATATTATACGCGCCGTCGCCGGCGTCTTTACAATAACGGCGAGCCTAATGTCTCGGTATAACAAAATTTTATCAAGTACACTATCCGTAGTTGTGATCTAACACGGGCAGGGCGTTCGCTCTGCACGGACGGCTATTTATAAACGCGCCGCTGAGTAAGCGGATCCGGTCGTCGCGGGATGCGAAACCCACACGACCTGGTCTCCGTATAGTACGCTACCCACGGGTATAGCGAGTCATGCGGAGCATAACGTTAGTTGAGACGTATATCCGGATTGCATGCTGGCTGGCGGGAAAGCCCGACTTCCGTTCGGGTTCGTCGCGGGAAACGGGCTTACTCGCCTAGCATGACTAGCGGTACCTGACAGGAGACCTCCAGGAAGAATTGCAATCGACTGAGCGAAACTGATTTGACTGATCTGTGACTAACACACACATAAGGTCATTGAGTTAGTATCTTCGGCTCTAACTAGAAGAAATTTCTAGCGATTCTGATTACTTCGCTCAATACCTTACCCTTGCCAGCAACAGCAACAGCTAGGCCTACATTCGGATGTAACTCACGGATGGTTTTATAGAGCGCACCGCGCGGCCTTCCTATTAGGTTCAAAGGGGGCATCATAATCATCCAAATGGTTTTAGATTTCTGGATTTCTGCCAATGCAGCATCATAACATAATCCTCACGGCTGCTTAATGCTGTACTAGTTCTCACAATAATAATCTCCCATTGGCACTCAGACAGGTTCCAAAAGCTTCAAGCTAGTCTTTCAGTTTAAAATTACCACCTACTGCTTCAACTATTGTTTATTTCTCTCTTGCACCTATCCTCGCGAGGTGCACTAGTAGTGAAACATTCTTACGCGCTGGTCGTGTTGTGCATGCTATCATATATGCTTGTAGCCCGAATTCAATCGACCCTACTATTAAGCGTTCGGCTTTAGTTTGCTGTCGACCGTTTTTATATATCACAATGGACAAAAATATACCTACTTCTATATTGGCGGATAACGTCAAACTGTCTACTAGCGCAAGAAGTAAAAACAACATCGAGTACGAAGTCTTTGAAACCAGTACACTGAAACTCGAAACGGGCAAGTCAAACAGCGCATTCACCGGTCCATGATCATGCACCCTTATCACCGCACGGAAGCAGTATGGACAGATATACAAGAGTTTGGAAAGCATGTTAAAGGGGTAGGCAAAGGAAGACAAAATGTGATGGAGAACTCCCTTGTAGTCGGTATATGGATAATGGTCTTAACTAGAAATTCATCAGCAGGATTCGATTAAGGTAGCTAACAATTCGGAGAAGAGTTCTACTTGTAATCGCAAAGAAAGAGCAAGCTCATTTGAGCTTTATCACTCGGACTTTGAGCAAGACTATCGGCAAACAATGCCGAGCGAACAGAGCCTCCAGACACTCTCACTGCAAAGCTTCACCTCGTATAATGACTTGGATACGAACTTTTTGCCCGGTCATCTACGCTAAACACAACATTGACCCATTACACAATAAAAAACATGGACAATTATGGGGTAATTTAACTGATAGAAAAAGGGCGATCCTAGTTCATACATGATGTTTCCGGAATGAGCGTCAGTTGAAAATTCAACGGAGTAAATAGGGTTGAAAAGGTTTTGTAAAGCTAGAACTTATAAGTTGTTGGGTACTCCGCCATTGATTGAGCTATGACTGTACGGCTTTGTATGGCATACATCGCGCGGGGCGACGATAATGGGATAAGAAGCAGAGTGCAAAAGATAGAGTTTATGCTAGATTTTTACAGTGGGCATTGTCATCGTGACTCGTAGTACTTGGAAAGGAGACCTAAAATAATGCCTATAGATATTGTTCAGAGCAGCATGAATACACGTATGGAGGGCGATACTGCCAAGATTCTCTCGAGGTTTCCGGGCAGAGACGACCGTGGCATGCGGAGCCTCCTCGGGTTCTTTCCCTGACGTACCTGCATATCTGTCATCTACACCCCTTACATTCACATCCTGGTCCAAAGGCCCCGTACCGCATTCATTCCTACGTCTTCCTCTGAGTTTAGGCATATCCACCATTCGCCATCCGCCTTGGCTCCACTTCATAATTTCTCACCTTTTTCTATTGCCGGGTCGGAATTAACAGTATCATTGAGCCTTAATCGGCCGGGATGGGAGGTTTCAATCTGGCAAACATCCCCGCCAAAATCTGACAGCAGCCATAATACGAGGAATCGCATGTATCGAAATGCAGTTGCAGTTACATGACTCGTATGGTTCGACCAGCTCTAACATACCGATCATTTCGCAACCAATCTGTTTTTAATGTTGTTGATAGGGACTTGAGGATCAACGGTCACTCCTATATAAAGCGCAGTCGGAGGTAGCTTCAAAGCAAGCGATTAGCGAGATATATGGGTATACAAGTAGGGCAGATCGTGGACATGAGGTATATGACATGCACATGTCGGTGCATATTGCGGCCAAGGTGTGGATTCGACAATGAGGTCTTGTACAAATAGAAATGATTGCCCCTAAGTATATGAATATAACTCTTTTCGGTGGTAAACCTAACGGATTATGAACTCTAGAGAGATTATCTGCCGTGCGTGATACGGTGTTAAACAACAGTGATTAGTGTGGCATAGATGCTGGGTACGAACTGTTTTATCAAGTCGGGAAGCGTGACGAACCTTTGTGTAATGAACAAGGAGAAGACATACATGATCACGATGCATCACATTGGAACGAAGCAAACTTGTGCGAAAGCATTATTGGCAGATATATGGGGGCTGGTGTGGGAAGACGCTCTTGCTGGCCGAGTAGTTGTAAGCAACTCTTTGTAGTCCTGAAACCTTGAAACACTGTCCTCAAATATGTGTTCTCTATTTACCAAACCATTCTCATCTTGAGCTTGTCATCATTAACAATTTCCTTCTTTCGAGAAATGAATTCAGGCATATCCCATGTGCAGCTGACATATCTGCCTGCCAGCCATTCTCTCTTCTCCTTTGTCAGGAAAACTATCGTGTTTGAAGCAAGTTCGACAGTATCCACGAGAACTATCCATCTATTAGTCTCGCACATATGAGTGGTAGGATAGATACTCACGAGCAGAGAATGCATTTGACGGCATACCCTTGGCTAAGTCCGTTGGAATTCCTCCCGGATGGACGGAATATGCTAATAAGCCCTCGTTCCCATAATCGACATTCAAAAACTCGGTGAATCGGAGGAGTGCAAACTTCGTCGTCTGATATCCACTCGCACCGCGAGACAGGTTCTGAGCTCCGATGGAGCTAATATTAATAATAGTCATCTCCCCACCCTTTGACAAGAGTGGAATCATTGCCTTTGACATCCAGTATACGCCCCGAATGTTGATTTCCCAGGTCCGCCAATACTCCTTCTCATCTCCATCACATAGAGGTGCAAATTCTTCCAAGTAGCCCGCATTGTTAACGAGTATATCCAAGCGTCCAAACTCCTTCTCAGCAAGCCTTGCAGCTTCAGCTACAGAATTCGAGTCAGTAACATCCAGCTTGTTTTTAAGAACTTGAGGAGCAGTGTGGCCGGCCTTTTTGGCCGCATCGATGACCTCGTCCTGTATTGTTGCAGAGAGAGATCTTGCACCAAGTCCAATTTGTGAGGCACCTGCAGTGGCATACGCAAGAGCTAACGCCAGTCCAATTCCCTTTGAGGCACCAGTGATGTAGACAGCCTTGCCGCGGCAATCAGATGGTGAAGGGTCGATAGCGGGATAGGTGTCATTGTGGATTTCTTGGGTGAATCTCAAGCCTGGATGGTCAGTATTAAACGTGCTGAAGACTTAAAGTCGTACCTGATTCTGGCTCAAATGGTGGGTAAGTTGGCATGTTAGCTTGAAAGATGAATTTCCTGCTTTGTTGTTTGGTGATTTAGGATCTGCTCTGTCGTGGACTGGATGGTTGTGTCTTCCATCCTTTATATTCCTCCTCAACTAGTCACTACCTAATTACATGCGAGCATTGCTTTTGCTTGACTAATTAGGTATCCCAACTAACCCAGGAATCCATTTTTATTCATTGGCCACCATTCACTGCTGATTGCGTCAATTTGGAGACAGTCGGACATGCAGTTTATGTTACAGTATAAGCCGATAGGTCGGATATATAAACTAGTGCCAAGTTATTTTCCCCATAGTGTGAAGTGCTACGGAGTTACTATATCCAGATGAGATCCACTGAGTAACAAGTGATTTTCCCGTCCCGGATCGTAAATCAAGCTTTATGGAGCTGTATGCTTTGTAGGATGAATTTCACCCATTGGTTGATTGGAATGAATTGACGCAAGTCCATGCGTGTGGCCCGTACAGTGAATAGGCTTTAGCCCGATATAGTATCACTCGGAGCGGATCAGTCTTACTTACTAGTGTCACCGGTGTGGCCAGGGTCGCGGGGTGTCTGCTCAGAGGGAATAGGATATGCCCACTTAATTGTATGTGGGCCTGTCGAGTCAGATACCACTAAACCAAGAATTGCGTAGGATTGGGTTTACGTCACTTTCATATCAAGTGTAATAAGCGGTAATTTGAATGAGCCAATGAATTTGGTCCGACTTCATGTCAGACGTTGGTGTTGCAAGGAAGTGCTAGGGTGCTAGTATTGACGCGCTGAGCCCTACTCTCTATCACATATGGAGGATTCCAGCCCTCATATACCCTATTGCAATCCGATGCCGGATAAAATCTGACACTTCACCAAGGGTTATGCGTCTGTCTACCTGATGCCAAATGTATAGAGGATACTGACTTGATAACTGATGAATGAATAAACACACCAACCTAGAAAAGAGTTCCCGGAACATTCAAGACATTGTCGAACTCCCAATTTTGGCCCAATAGATCCGGGTTGAAGCGTTCGGGCTCAGGAACGATACTCTGGCTCATGTAATGACCGTCTTTAAAAGTAGCCCAACCTGCAGCAAAGTTCACTAGTGTATCCAATGGATAACTAGCGGCCCCGTATTGGCTTGGTACATAATTTGGCGCAGCTGTCATGAAACCAAAGTTGTCAGGTAGGGACGGTATTTGGTCTAAGCCAGCTGAAGCAGAATCATTAACTCTTGGTGCTGCCGACAAAGGCATCTCATCAAGAGTATCAAGTAACTTCTGAATAGATAAGATGTTGCTTGTGATCATTCCTCCACCAGGCACCATAGTTTTGAGACATTGCAGTCCAACTTTTACAGCAGATACATTTCTATTCTTGGCAGAACGGTCGCGCAGGACATCATATATCAGTAAGAAGCAAGCGCCTTCAACGTAGAAAGCGAAGAACTTTACACCCTGTATAGTATCAGCCGCTTATCACAAACCTCTCAGTAGAGAGAAATGAACTTACCCTCATCATGACATTCTGTTCAATGGCGGTAAATATGAAGTGAATCAGCTTGAATGCTGCGTCCACCGCATGGTTGCATGCTTCTGGCACCCACAGACAGCTCTCAATCGACGGTCGACCACTTTGATTTCTTGAAACGCTAGAATTTCCTGACTTGACATTTGACTTTTGATGATCCATATCAGCCACCAGGAAGGGTCGGAAAGTAAGAGCTAATGTATGATAATACACTTGAAATTTCATCAGTTGCTTTAGTGATAGAAAAGCTGCGGCGTCACTTACAATTTTGTAGGAAAATGTGATGAACATCTAGCTCAGTAGGCACAGATGGTTTAGTCAAACAGATTCCGAGTCTTTCTTGTACATCTAATGCATAATCCTGTAGTCCCCGATATATATTTTGAGCTTTGCGGTAAAGATCTTGCAGTGATGACTGCTGATATGCATATATAGATGCTGCAGCTTCCGACATCACATGTGTCAGCTTGACGAGTGCTGAAATGAAAGGCTGGTTATCTGGGTATGGACTGCTTATTTCATGACGGGCAATAGAACTGGGTCGGCCTAAAGCGAAGCAAATCAGGCTGTGCAAAAGTCAGCAAGAGTGTGAAACCCGAAACCTCATCACCACTGCCAAAGTATACTAACGATTCGAAGAAATAGAGGCACCATATAGTTGTGCGTCTTTCCTGTTGTTGTATATGTTTCCTCCCATTTGCTTCGTAAGTTGGTGAATCCCGGTGTAGACCTGCTGCAAATGCTTTTCGTACAGCTATGCCAAGATAAAGATACGCCGAATTGGGACGACCAAGAATAGATTCGTAGTGAGCGTGAAAATAAAGTTAGCTTGGAGCATTAGAACAGAAAATTGGGGGGTACGTATCAGAAGTAAGGATAGCTGGACAGATTTTAGGTTCACAACGTGGCCTAATGTGTTCGCAATATTTTTCGCCTTTTCAGCTAGCATTTCGGCCCACAATGTGTTCGTTGTCATAGTGGCACCAATGGCTAAAACAGCCATTAAGATAGCAGTCTCATCAGTGCCAAGGTTTCTCATTTGGGGATTCTCATATAACAGCTTGACTAGCCGACGTAGCTCGGACAATGACTGAAAAGGATGGAGATGGTAGATTGTGTTTAAGTAATCTTCGAGAAATGATTCGGCGAGTTGATCAGAAAGGAGAGTTAGCGGCGAGATACCTGCGTGTCCGTTTAACTGGTAGCTGGCATCAGATGTTCCGAAAAATAGAGAACGCTGCCCATAAAAGTCGAGTCCTGCACCACCCTCCTCAACTTCGTCGCGTGGTCTCGATGGATTTGCAGGCCCGGAAAGACTATGGTGGATTTGCTGCAAAAACGAAAAGTTGGATGATGCGCCGTAGTAAAGCTGGAGCATGCAGTGTGCGGACGTAAGATGGGTTGCAGATACGCTGCAATTGGTACCCGCAGTACTATACTTATCGCCATGCGTCTGCGATGTGTTGGACTGCAAATCTGAGACATCTTCTTCAACTGTTTGGATCTTTTCGGACCTTGTTTGAGGCTCTGTCAGATGCAACTCCTCCTGATGATGCAGAGATGTTCGAGGATCAATCACATTTCGCCGGCCTTCAATGAAAGACAGTGGCTGTTGGTGAGACTGAGCGATTGCTGCTCGCTTGGCCGACTTCCTGTTTCGAGTCGTTGACCGATAGGTACAAGCGACAGATATCTGTTCGCAGTTCTTGCACATTGAAGCGCCATCACATTTGACCTTGCGTCTACGGCACTCCTGACAGGCTTTGGAAATCCGCGGATGTATCTTCCTGCCTGAATCCACCGTATGTCAGTGCTTTGAATTGCTACAGCCGGAATGAGCGCAAACCTTTGACAGTTGGAGCCGGAACGTCCGGAGTATCCATGTATAATCTGTTGAATGCCGGTCACTAAGCTGGACGCTTCGGAAATAGGGATATATGTCCACGTCGAGTGAAGAGTATCTCATCGAGCCCCGTGGTTAATTCTTTCAAACGGGCATCCTTGGGCAAGCATGCAACTTATTGTGGTCTAAAAAGGAAGAAGCCGACGGAAGTACTGATATGAGCCAGCGCACTAAAATGTTTAGGATCAGCCACCACATAAAATTTTCGGCCTAATACAGTTTTGTCGTGACACCCTGGCATTTTGAATGATGATTCAGAGGTGGAGGGTGAACTGGCCAGGTACAAAAATGAGGTGGTCAGGTACCAGCCCCACTTGCCAAGCGTGGCTTGGCAGAGGATGTCGAAAGTACGGACTAGCTGGACTAGTAAAGCTTTGTTGCTCCGGCTCACTAAGTATGGCGCCCTACATGTGATATGATTTCGTCACGACTAGGACAAATGTTGACTTCACCCTAAGCCTCACTAATTGAGGATCAAATGTTTTGCAACAGATTCTCATCAACGCGCAAGAAGTAATACCAAGAAATTCGAATCGTCACTACGGAGGAGGCAGCCAACAAAAGTCACGGGCGGCCCGTGACTCTTCGTGAAGCCGACAATTATTCACAGTTTTCAGCGCTTTATTAGGACACCGACTTTATGTATCAGAGACAGAGAGATATGAACCCTCCTAGCCCTGCAGCCGCCAAAGCTTCAGTACGAAAAGCAGTGTGCTCAGCACTTCAACTTTCCGATATCCACTCAATTATATCTCCCCATTAATGGTCCACTATTACTATGGAGAACGGCGTTCCAGGATTCCGCGGGGATTCTGTTCTTTACTCACACCTACATAGGGCAAAACATGCCTTTCACGGATGTTGCGGCTGCGATGGATCTTAGTATGGTAGTCGGATATATGTCTTTGTCTACGGATATATCATGGGCGTTCCGCTTATTTGCGGAGCTCTGTGGAACCCCTAGACAACCTGATAGCCCATCCTGCTAATCCGGGTGCTTAGAAACTAGGACCTCGCTCTACAGCGGATATACAGTTTTGCAGACGAGAATGAGTTGTGTTTACAATCTATTAAAGGATTCTTGTTTCTTCAGAGAATTCCATTTTCAACGACATCAGCGATACCTTTACTCCTTCTCCTCAATTTCCTGTTCATCCTCGAGATGGTCGTTGCTGGGCCTACAGCTTTTGGCGTGAGTGCCGGTGCCGGCGACAACATTGCAGAAGTTCTTTCAAAGACTCGCAGCGGTCGGTCATCACGAAGTCATAGGACAAGCCGATTTTACAATGATATCGACGATGTGGTGGACGAGGATCCACATCCAATCAGCAAGGCCGATGACTGGAAGCTGATGCCGGAGGTAAAAATGCAACATCAGCAAGGCAAGGCAGATAATCTCAAGGACCGCAAGCTGGGAGTTACATGGCAGAATCTTACAGTTAAGGGAATTGGGACCGGCGACGTGCACAATGAAAACGTTCTTTCGCAATTCAATGTCGCTCAATTTTTCAGAGAAGCTAGACACAAGGCGCCCTTGAACACCATTCTCGACAATACACATGGTTGTGTGAAGCCCGGAGAGATGCTTCTTGTCCTTGGTCGTCCAGGCTCTGGATGTACCACTCTCTTGAAAATGTTGGCAAACTATAGAGATGGGTATGCAGAGGTTTCTGGCGACATTAAATTCGGTAGTATGGACCACATTGAGGCACAGAAGTACAGGGGCCAAATCGTCATGAACACAGAGGAAGAGTTGTTTTTCCCAACTCTCACAGTGGGTCAGACCATCGATTTTGCTACTCGAATGAAGGTTCCATACCATCTTCCGTCAGTCCACGAAAAGCCGAAGGATTTTCAGATTGAGAGTAGGGATTTCTTGCTCAAGTCCATGGGCATTTCGCATACATACAACACGAAAGTTGGCAACGAATTTGTACGCGGTGTTTCTGGAGGAGAGAGGAAACGTGTATCGATTATTGAGACGCTTGCAACAAGAGGTAGTGTCTACTGTTGGGACAATAGCACAAGAGGACTTGACGCTAGCACCGCGCTTGAATGGGCGAGAGCACTGAGAGCAATGACAGATGTTCTCGGTCTTGCCACAATAGTCACTCTATACCAGGCCGGAAACGGGATTTACGAGTTATTCGATAAAGTCCTCGTGTTGGATGAAGGGAAAGAGATCTTCTATGGTCCGATGAAAGACGCCCGTCCTTTCATGGAAGACCTTGGGTTCGTTTGCGATGATGCCGCCAATACTGGAGATTTCCTTACTGGTGTTACTGTTCCTACCGAGCGACGCGTTCGAGAAGGTTTCGAAGGTATATTCCCAAGGACCGCTACGGCAATTCGCGAGGAATACGAGAAATCACCCATCAAATCGGAGATGCAGAAGGATTACAACTATCCAATGCGAGAGGTTGCGAAAACCCGCACAGCGGACTTCCAGGAGGCGGTTCAACATGACAAAGATAGGAGCCTACCCACAAAGTCGCCCTTAACGACGAGTTTCGCCACACAAGTCAGAGCATGCATCATTCGGCAATATGAGATCCTTTGGGGTGATAAAGCCACTTTCGTCATCAAGCAGGTCTCAAGTTTTATACAGGCTCTCATCATTGGCTCTCTTTTCTATAATGCTCCCAACACGACCGCTGGATTATTTCTCAAGGGCGGTTCTTTGTTCTTCGCTATTCTCTTCAACTCTATCATGGCCATGTCTGAGGTTATCGACTCCTTTACTGGCCGACCGGTTCTCGCCAAGCACAAAGCGTTTGCATTCTACCATCCCGCTGCATTTTGTATTGCTCAAATTGCTGCTGATATACCAGTTATTGTATTTCAAGTCTCACATTTCGGAATTGTCTTGTATTTCATGACGGGCTTAAAGATGGATGGTGGAGCATTTTTCACCTTTTGGATTATAGTCATCGCGGTCACTATGTGCATGACAGCCATGTTCAGAAGTATTGGAGCAGTTTTTGGCACTTTTGATGGAGCGTCGAAAGTGTCCGGCTTTCTCTTCAGTGCATTGGTTTTGTTCGCAGGTTATGTTTGTAAACCCCGGCGCTCTCAAAGATCTCTCGCTAACCAAGACGAAGCAAATTCCCTATCCGTCGATGCATAAATGGTTTTTTTGGATCTTTTACCTGGTTAGTGAGCCCAGACATCCTGTTATTCCAATGTGTGGGTAGTCTGCTAACTGAGACTCTGCAGAATCCTCTTGCTTTTGGATTTGAAGCTCTTTTGTCGAACGAATTGCACGACCGCATAATCCCTTGTGTCTCTGCAAATCTTATACCCAATGGACCTGGATACAATGATACTGGTTACCAATCATGTGCTGGAATTCCTGGTGCAATTCAAGGAGCAACCAGTCTCACAGGAGATGAATATCTCCATGGACTTTCATACAGCCATACACACCTCTGGAGAAACTTTGGCATCGTCTGGGCATTCTGGGCGTTTTTCGTTGCCATCACTATCATCTTCACCAACCGCTGGCAATCTAATTCGAGCAAGAGCGGATCTCTCGTCCCTCGCGAACAATCTAAGCATATCCAACAACACAAGACCGACGTGGAATCTGGAGCAATCGAAAGGGTGAAAAAAGAGGAGATCAGCGCCGATCCTAGTGCCTATTCTGATGATGCAGTCACTCTTGACAATCAAATCGTTCGAAATACTTCGGTCTTCACATGAAAAGACCTTACCTATACAGTCAAAACACCCCAGGGTGACCGCGTACTATTAGACAACGTACAAGGGTGGGTCAAGCCCGGTATGTTAGGCGCGCTTATGGGGTCCTCTGGTGCGGGGAAAACTACCCTTCTCGATGTGCTTGCACAGCGTAAGACAGATGGTACTATCAAAGGGTCGATCATGGTCGATGGAAGGCCTCTAAATGTGGCGTTCCAAAGATCCGCTGGGTACTGTGAACAGTTGGATGTGCACGAGCCTTTGGCGACTGTCAGAGAGGCTCTGGAATTCTCGGCTTTACTTAGACAGCCTCGAACAGTCTCTCACGAAGAGAAACTCAAATATGTCGACACAATCATTGATCTTCTGGAGATGAATGATATTGCGAATACCCTTATTGGAAAAGTCGGTGCTGGCCTGTCAGTTGAGCAGCGCAAGAGATTGACGATTGGAGTTGAGTTGGTATCCAAGCCAAGTATTCTCATCTTTCTAGATGAGCCGACGTCTGGTCTTGATGGACAAGCCGCATTTAATACGGTCAGATTTCTCCGCAAACTCGCCGATGTCGGACAAGCTGTACTCGTTACGATTCACCAACCTTCTGCCTCCCTCTTTTCTCAATTCGATACCTTATTACTACTTGCACGTGGAGGAAAAACTGTCTACTTTGGCGAAATTGGAGACAACGCAAACACGATCAAGGACTACTTCGCGCGTTACGATGCTCCCTGTCCGACCACATCCAACCCCGCAGAGCATATGATTGATGTGGTCTCTGGAACCCTTGCGAGAGGAAAAGACTGGCATCATATTTGGCTGAAATCGCCAGAGTACACATACACTGTCGAAGAACTTGACAGGATCATCACCACTGCTGCAGCCGCTCCACCAGGCACTACTGATGACGGACATGAGTTTGCGGCGTCTATGTGGACGCAGATAAAGATTGTCACTCAGCGCATGAATGTGGCTCTGTATCGAAACACGGATTATATCAACAATAAGTTCGCTCTGCACATATTGTTAGCGCTTTTTGTTGGCTTCTCATTCTGGAAAGTTGGTAATAGCGTCGCCGACTTACAACTGAAAATGTTTGCGATTTTCAACTTTATCTTCGTTGCACCAGGTGTAATGAATCAACTACAACCGCTGTTCATTGAGCGTCGTGACGTCTACGAAGCTCGCGAGAAGAAATCCAAGATGTACTCCTGGATTTCTTTCACGACAGGCTTGATCGTTTCGGAGCTTCCATACCTGTGTCTGTGCGCTGTCTTCTATTTTGCCTGTTGGTATTACACTATTGGCTTTCCTACAGATTCCAATAAGTCAGGTGCGGTTTTCTTCGTGATGTTATGTTACGAGTTCATATACACGGGTTTGGGACAGGCTATAGCTGCTTATGCTCCAAACGCAGTCTTTGCATCCCTGGCCAACCCACTTTTTCTCGGAACCTTGATCGCTTTTTGCGGTGTCTTGGTACCTTACGGCCAGATCCAAGCTTTCTGGAGATATTGGATCTATTATTTGAACCCTTTCACCTTCCTCATGGACAGCATCATGACCTTTGGTATGTTCGACAGTCCGGTGATATGCAAAGAGTCTGAGTTCGCTCTATTCGATGCTCCTGGCGGTCAAACCTGTGCCTCTTATTTAGCAGACTACATGTCTGTAGATGGCCAGGGAGCACGTACATACCTCCAGAACCCAGGAGCCACCTCGGGGTGCAGGGTTTGTCAATACCGTTTCGGTAGTGATTATCTTGCTGCTCTGAACATCAAAGATTATTACTACGGTTGGAGAGATGCTGCTATTGTTGTAATCTACGTGATCTCATCTTACGCCTGTGTCTTCCTGTTCATGAGGCTAAGAACTAAGGCATCCAAAACAGCTGAGTAGATCAATACTTGTGAAGGGAGGACCGCCCTGCGTTCGTGTATTGGAGTTCGCTTTGTTTACATATTTTATTCCTTTTATTTGCATTATATCTAATTACTGCTTTGGAAACAATATGCATCGTTTGAACTTGCAAGGAAGCACGTCAAAGGCCTCTCAAGCATATGGAGTCTCCTAGCCAACTGAATGAGGACCATTAACGTTCACCTGTAACTATACGACCACTGCACCTCCCTCTTTTCCCGTCTTTTGGTCTTGCGACAAGTACAGAATCGTAGTAATAGTATAGCGCGTCAGACCTCGAAAGCATATCCTCAGACGCGTTCCGGCACTAGCATATCTACGCTTCATTACTCTGTCAAATTTATGGTTGGGCCAGCATATTTCACAAGTGCCAAATAAATAAAATACTAGAGTTAGACGAGAAGAGAGATAGCCGTCTGAGGAATTCGATGGTTTATAAAGAAAAATAATAGTCCGGTAATTCTGTTTGAATTTACGAGAAATCGTGCCGCTACACGCAGCTACATATCTTTAAATGTCTTACTGAATACTTCTGTAATCTCTGCGGGAATGTCGCGGTACGGCTTTAGCTTTCCCTCGACGATTAAATCCTGTAAAGTGGCCTTTGTGTAGTCTTTTGGTTCCCAGATATCTTTTCCAATCATTTCCGCCTGCTGCCCGGTGGCCCAGATTCTACGGCAGTACCAAGCTAATGCGAAAGGACTGGCCTCGCGAAGGCAGCTCTCAACTTCGTTCTCAATACTCTCCAAGCTGTGTCTGAAGACCTTTGGTGCTTGTTGGTGTTTCTTGCCTAGGGCTAAAGATATCTCATTACCTGTTGGGCTCAGCTCAGAAAGCCCGATTACCCTGTCTCGCAGATTTGCAATAGGTGTGCTTGCAAAGATTGACGCGTACGCTGTTCCGACATAGGACAAAGTGCTACCGGGTGTCTCGTATTAGCGTTGATCAAAATGGGGTTAAAGACGTACAGAAATACAACTCAAATAAACTTACCATAAATTCAACCTGTTCTCTGCACTATTTCCTGATAGTATGAGTCGGTTACCAGCGTAGTCCACTCCCATAGCACTATGTAATCATGTACATTAGCATACATAACATGGTGCTAGGATCACCACGATCGATTCTCTAGAAACCTTACAGAGTGTTGAGTGCGAATTCCGCAATGTTCCCAGTAAGGACTATAGTCATTGGTATTCCCGTCTTCCTCGCAGCCGATTCTACCGCGTCTTTGGCGGCATTTACGCTAATTCGAAGGCCGAGCTCATCGTATCGAGCAGCAAGATCAGAAGGCACGAAAAGCTGGACGTTGGTTTTGGGGATTGCTTCGACAAATGCATGCTGTCTCGTGACGCCTTCATGGCCTACAAGAGATCTATTGTCTTAACCATCAGCAGCGATAGCGGTTGGGCGAATCACGGAATATCTACAGGTTCAACATACATGAGGATATCCACGTTCTGCAGGGCATCGACCAGTGCCTTCTGGTCCTGAATATCAATCTCTATCTTTGTAACGCTGGCTGGAACACTCGAGACGTCCGAGCCATGGCGATACAGAACTGTGATTGGTGCACCGGAGGCTACAAGTTTGTCAAAGATGACAGAACTGGCCCAGCCACGATGGCCGTAGATAGCTATCCGATTGAACGTCATTGTAGAAAATTAACGGGCAATAAGATTATGCAACGATGTAAATCTACTTCGCTAGCAATTCACAATGAGTGAAAGTGAGGCTGAAAGTAAATGGGCATGTCGGGGAAAATACGTTAATATTGGAAAATGCGGGTTTGTCAATTTGTCAGCTGTACATAATCATCAAAAGTTGTGATGGTTTCCTCGCTAAGATCCGGCACTTAGCAACGGTACTCGGCGAGCCCGCTACGTTTAGCCTTTTGCTTTACCGCCCCTCCGGTGCTAACCCCCACTTCCTTCCTCATGAAATCGAGCACTTCTCGTGAAAAGAACTTCCCCCAGGTTCCAAGGTCTGACATTGTCATTACGCAACCATAGTCATTCAGCGGACCCATGTCCTCATTGAAGTTGCATTGCTCGGTTAGCAAAGACTTGGTTTGGTCCCTACGTATGGGTAAGAATCGTGTAAGTAAAAGCTTCGTCGGGAGAGAGGCCCAACGTAGGGCCTGCGATTGCCGGCGTCGTTGCATTGGCATAACCACATTGTGATGCCTGAACTTCATGGCGTCGGCACGTGGGGTGGACAGGATTCCTGGTCATAATGATTCAATACTACGGATCAGTCAGGCTGCAAGTGCAAAGTATGATCACTGGCTCAACCACAATCTATGGATCGCATACAAAGTTCGCTATTATACGTATATGTAACGAGATATTCAATATCGTGCTTGAGCCGATGACGTGAGTGTGTGATGAAGACGATATGGTATATTCAAGATGCCGTGTTATGCTTTCATAATACATTGGTAGGGGCACGACCCAGTTGTTCTTCTCCACCCTGCATCCAATCGGCAGAGCTGTGATGGGAAGCGCATGTAACTCCTTTGCGTCTGGCATGTGTGACAACCTTTGTCAAATCAGAAGAGGAACCGAATCGCATGGTGGATTAGCCATCCAAGCTAACCTAGAGCATCTAGAGCTGATCAACCCTGAAATTTCAGCTGAGCTAAATACTTACTAGGCGTTCTTGCCGACATCCACATTATTCGAAGCAACATGATCCATCGCTTAAAATTGTATAATATATGATTACTCTCAAAATGATCCCCTTGAGCAAGTTGCAGATAGCCAGTAAAGAAAAGCGGTACGTAGTCTTATATCATGACGATCCCTGATCGCCCCAGTAGTATGTGAGGATGTTTACGGCCAGGTACTCATCTTTGTAATACTTCACGGGTTCTTCATCGAAGGCCGCGCCCGCGGTCACAAATAACTGCATCATATGATCACCTCGTGACGGTGGATGCATAGTGCCAGCGAAAGGTAAATGCCTCCATTTTTCCAATGCCTCACATTTCTGTTCCGTTTTGGGTACCGAGAGTGACTTCCAAAGCGCGTCACTCCATTCACTAGACATCTCTCGAATTTCGCTTCTTCTGTCCGAGCTGGCGCTGCGTAATGGTATCATAGTATTGAGGTTGTGGAAAGAGGCGAACCCGGAGCCCACGATAGCCACATTTTTATTCCGCAGAGCTCGGAGAGCCCGGCCGATGCGCAGATGTTGCTTTGCGTCCTCACTCTTGAGCACTGACATCTGCAGAATGGGCAAGTTTGCTTCTGGGTTGACAAGTATCATGGGCACATAACCGCTATTATCTCATCCTCGTGTGCTGTCAAGCGAAGTATTCATAATTCCTTCCTTCTCTAGCGCTTGAATTACTTCGTTAGCAATTTGAGGGTCGCCTCTGCCAGAATAATTGAAATTATAAGCTTCCGGAAGGAAAGCTATAGTAATCGTATATCAAGTCGGGCTTCTCAACCGCGGATATGGTAGGTGAATCTGTGGATCAGTGTACGGTGATGAGGACGATCCTTGTAGGTTTCAAGGATGGGTTGTGCAAATCTAATATCTGAGGCACCCCACTCATCAAATATTGTGTGATTTCGCTGTGTTCAGGGTCCCCGAGGAGAGGCAGAGGTCCTGCCAGATGAATAGTTATTGGAGCGTGCGTGCCATCATTATATGCGATCGAACCATTATCGTACTACCTGCTCCATGAGAAACCACGATAGCGAGTGCAAGAACTATTTTCGCTCTCAGCTTCTATGAAACTTTGTGGTTGGGGTATGCTACAAATTGGGTGGCATGTTTTCATGGAGACGACATGACGCAAAGAATCAGCTGATTAATCGCCATGTCCATATTATAACGTTGCAATAGCTATCAGCGTCAATGCGATAGTGGATACACAGAAAAGAGTTTCTGCGGCTAGCTCGCGTGACCAATGATCGTTATGACTAACTCGTTTATTTATTATTTGCAGCTCCACCTGGCGCTCATAATACGAATGACGTATCGACGTGCATACTTAGAAAAGCACAAGCACAGAGAATTCGTGTAATTGATGGACTGGTAACTATGTACAGCGATATACCTTGACATCCTTTGGATCATTGCCGGAATCGATTCACGATGCATAGCTCTGGAATAGCCTTTAGAAGCTAAGGCCGCGCATCGATTTCATTATACATACTGAATGTGTATAAAAAGTCATCGTGGCACCATTCGAATGATCGTATTCGCAGAGCCAATCTCGGCTTCCTTCCATTGGGATGTCGCTGCCCAAGTAGCGTCCGGCACTGAATTCATTGTTATGGCGACCATAGATCCCGACAGAGGGCCTTCGAGGTCCTTGGCTGGAGGGGGTTATCATTGAGGCGACACGATTCCAATCTTTCGATTGAGCTCCGATCTGGAAGCCTGCACCGAGCGGACCCGCGATCTCATCCCTGATACATTGACTCAGGGAGCGCCCCGCCCTCCGCCGGATAACTCCTTCAAGTAGGTGCCCAAATGTCCATGAATGGTAACCTGAAGTCGTACCAGGTTTCCACCACGGAACCTCGCGCGCCAAGGCATCTGTAGACTTTGATAGATTGCAGAGATCCTCTAATGTCATCGGCTCCTCCCAGCCGGACAAACCAGAAGTATGGGACATCATATGACGAACTCTGGCCAATAGTCCGAAACTTTCGCGTCGATGGATATGCGCTCTTCCTCAACGAGTTCAAGTATAGCCAGACTAAAAGTTGTTTTCGTGCATAAGAAAACATTGAAGATGGTATCTTCATCCCACGGCTTCGTGCGTTCTGGGTCCGCATAACCGCCCCATGTCTACAACCAATTCGCCGTCGAGATCAACCGTCATAGCAGTACCAAGCTCTGCACCAGAATCGATGAATTGCTGGAGAAGTATTCGGGGCTGATCAAAACGAGGGCCGCAAGTTCCATTAATATTCTCCATGACGTTGAGATCTTTAGACAATTCAGTCGAACTGACGTAGAGAAGATGTGTACAAACCTTAAACGCTGGTAATCAACCGGCCCATACTTGCAAGCCAATCTGTAACGCTACCTGTCAGATATCGATTACGCCCATTAACGCGATAGTAGCTGTATGAGAAATTTGCAGACCATGCGACCTAATGACAAATCAAGCCGTGCTCTAAATCGCCGTGCCAAGTTTGATTAGACGTAAATTGAAAAGTATAAACAGGGGCCAATTCCTCGAACTGATAAGCTCTATGTCTCACCAAAATTTTGCAGAACACGAGTCAGTCACAAAGCAATGGAGCAATTTGCGTATGGCATTGAATTACCGCACGGGTCCCGTATCATGCACGGGAAGAGAGTTAATACCAGGAATGCACTACCTGCCGAATTAGGCGTACCGGGAACGCTGCACATTTTTAATGAAGGCCATGCAGGGGACCAAGCCATCCCTTGTTTTGGAGGCGCTTTTGGTGTCTTTCCCTTCGACACGACCGTTCGTATGCCACGACACGTTCATATCTCTCTCGGGGCAGAAAACAAACGATACGTTATGGAGAAAATCCTGGTTATGAATGGGGTCGCCCTGGCTGAATTAGCGGGCGAGCTTTTTGTCATCCCTCCGATGACCTCAGTCTTGATCGCACCGGGAGTTCCACACACCTGGACTGCAGCCCCAAAAGGATTAGATTTGCAGGAGCTTGGCGTTTGCGATAGCACCATTGTGTCAGAGGGCAAATTTGATGCGGTGTTTGAATACGAGGACAAGACAGGGTTTTTTCCAACTGCACAAACGCAACGGTTACATGATATTGCCGATTACGAGGCTTGCGACCTAGTGGAGCCTATAAGAATCCCAGAAATCAGTATTAAAGATATTATCAAGAGCGCATGGTTCGTCTGGGATGGAAATATCCGAAAGCTGTCGGGGGAAACACTAGAGGTTAGATGAAATATGTACCGTTCTTAGCCTTGCAATAGCCACGAAACGAATTGGATCTTAGCAAAAACCACTTCATGCGAGAAGAGGCTACGTGAGAGTTCATTCAAGAGCAAAGCCGCAGAATTGCCGACAATCCAGCCAAATTTTGCTAGACCCACAAAGACTGGCCACCCACGGAACTCGGGGGGGATTGAATACAATCAATTGCCTAGTCGAACCTTCTACTGGAGTTTGGTTTTCAAATCAGTATTGAGGCGTAGGTTCTCAATAAACCCAGCCCCCGCCCCCACGATCCACTTGTCCGTGCCCGGCTAGGTCATGACAATTCCGTAATTCCGTAATTCCGCATGATTATTCAGCTACAATTTGTGCGGTGATAAGGCTTATTCAAACTGCGGTGTCAAGAAATGCGACCTTAGCCTAACCGCTGGGTGGGCAACGGTAACAATCCTATTGTCTCTGTCTACTAACCCAAGGAGAAGAGAAATGAGCAAGCAAATTTGTCATGTTGGTGATCGCTTACCTAACGGGGCGAGTCGACGGGGGTTGCTGAAGCACGGCCTAAATTGAAGGCTCAGTCGGAGTGACTCCCAGCGACCGTAGTCCCCAAAGCCAAGATCGTGAGACTGGTGAATGTTACTTAGTGATGTAATGTAAATCTCGGACAGCATGGTCAACATTGAGGTAGGGTCTGCATTGAGACTGTGTATAAAGGATTACTGGTTCCCACGATATTAGCAGGTTTTTCACATGCACCTGTATATAGTCGAGTAGTTCTTTGTGTCCTTGACAAGCGACCATCAAGATGCGTCTGTGTTCTACTAGTATCCTAGCCTTGGGGCTGACTTCACCGGTAGTCGCCTACGATACAACTTTCAGCTTCAATAACGCACCGACCGTCGAGAATAGAACCATCGACGCTATCTACCAGGCTGCTCTGGCAGAAGGAGGTGTTGTAACCTGTTGGCATGGAGGCGACGAACGCAACCAGCAGGATGCTCTGAAGGCTGCCTTCGAGGAGGCGTTCCCCGGCATGACACTCAATATCACCGTCGACGTCTCCAAGTACCACGATGGCAATATCGATCGACAACTTGCCAACGGAAACTTATACGTCGACAGCATCATATTGCAGACCCTGCACGATTATCCCCGATGGGACCAGGAGGGCGCACTCTTGCATTATCAACCTCTGGACTTCGACGCCATCCATCCTGCCTTCAGAGATATCCGCGCCGCATGGCACGGAGTCTCTATCTTCGCTTGGACCTTTATCTGGAACACTGACAAGGTTGAATCTGGTCCCCAAGAGTTCGTCGATTTTCTGAAGCCCGAGTTCAAGGACAAGTTGGTCTTGACATACCCTAACGACGATGATGCTGTGCTTTACGCATTCGACTTGATGTGAGTCTTGTAAGCCTTGCTATGATTGGCCGGGAATTGTTAATAAATGTTTCCGTAGCATGCAGGAGTTCGGCTACGACTGGTTTGAAAAGCTTCTTGAGCAGAACCCCCGTTGGGTCCGTGGAACTGGCACGCCTGTCACCTTACTTGCGGCTAACGGCACTGAGGCTGTTACCTTTACTGCCGGCGTCGGACTGGTTCCAACTGCACCGCTTAACGTTACGATACCCACCAAGGGTAGTTTTGTGACTTGGGCACAGAGAGCCGCCATATTCAAAGATGCGCCTCATCAGAACGGTGCCATGTTGCTGCACAACTTCATGTTGAGTGAAGAGCACCAGAAGGGGTCTGGTTCCTGGAGCGTCCGTAAAGATGTTGCCTCCCCTGCCGGCTATCCCGATATCATGGATGTCTCGTCAACGAACCCGATTGAGTTCGAGCGATTCATGGGGGACCGTGTCCGTGTCGAGAGACTCAAGTTGTTCTTTGAAGACAAGCTGGGTACTGCGACGGGTCTCAGCCCCCTCATCGATAATCTGTAAAGTTACGAATAGGCTACGTACCCCAAATTTTGGGAAGGCGAGTCTCACAGGGGCAGTGGGTCAGAAGGAGATCATGACGGTTGTCACAAGCCAAGTGGAGCTGTAAAAATAAAATTATACGAATGTATTTGCTGGACAAGTTAAAGTATGTCTCAAACGTTCAAAAGTCCATAGTATTTGAATACTCAAGCGTTCACACAATCTGCGCTGATGCACGTATACTTCGCCTGCAACAGGTGGTGGTTTACTATTCTCTGTATGATCGTGGAACCAGGACGACGTACTGCTGCCTGGTTTGGTCTTAAAACTGGATTGCAACATTACCTTCCAACTTAGGCTTCTAGGAGACGTTCTTCTTGTATGAAAAGGGTTTCGCACATAGTATGACGTGGCGCTGTGAAGGCGCCCAGTCACTAAAGACTCAATCAATATCAACAGTAGAAGAGCTAAGATCGTTGAGCTGCTCCTAAGGAAAGGTACCGGCGTCTACGTGAGAAGCGGCCAGCTGTCTCAGGGTGATGACACCTTGCCTAATGCTTATTGGCAAAAGATACGATTGTATCCTATCAAGTCGTTCTTTTGGCACTCTTTCAGTCCATTTGTCTTACGTCTTTCTCTCGTCCTAATCGTTCAGTGTTATGCCAAAACTCATGGTTTGCTCTCGATTCATTGCATCAATGTTGTCTTGTGATTGGCTCGGCCTCCCGCGTTATACAAGATAAGTATGCTAACGCTCGATTTCCTTCCAATTATATTTCAGTCGTTAATCTACGTCGCAGTGGTGTCCAGGCTCCAATGCTCATGGCTGTTCACTATGTCTAACAATGAAGCACATGGCTTGTTGAACCCAGATGTACCAGAAGACTGGGCAGGCCCCGGTTTCTTCTAACATTCCCTTTTCTGTTCCATGCATCAAACGACCATAGAGGCTCAATTATGCCACGTTGCGTGAGTCCTTTATAGTTATTTACTTTTGAGAATCTGTCATTTGCAAATAAATTGACCTCGTATTTAATTCTTAGTACACAGCGGGATATTTGAGAGCGTAAATAATTCCCGCACCAGTGCTACCGTGAAAGGTTCCTCCGTTTCTGACTCGCTATCACCACATGCTCCCATAAAGCGCTTGGCATGCGAGTATGCGCCGATACCAATAAATGCCTTAGATAAGCAAAAGTTGACAGAAAGTTTTACAACTCTTGCCGAAATCGCAAAGGTTGTTGCAACAGGCCAACGTCCGTCGTCTAGTCCGATAGTATATCGTCACAATTTGTTTAGACCTTCGCTTCCGTACTGGACACTCGCATATTTACGCGTTCCATACCGCTTTCACATCTCCTTTCAACACCACCGGTTCGATATCCGTGAAGTTAGGGATGTCGGCAAAAAGCTCCGGGCCCCCTTCACTCGTGATAGCAGATTCGTAGGCATGGCTGCTATCCCATATCAAGATGGCTTGCACGATATATGGCCCTTCTGAATGGTGTGTAACAGTCATAGATCGAAGACCTTTAGGTTTCCACGTGTTGGTAACAGAAGTCATATGATTTTCAGTGTAATATTTCAGATCAAATTTGACTTCTCCGACGGGGCGAGGATAGGTAATAAAAGTGGTGAAAGACATTTTTATCAAAGTTGATACTTCTTAGGTTATAAACAAAAGACGTGTAGAATTCTTTAAAATCAAAGATGATCTTCTTCTGATATATATACTCTATACCAACCTTACTAAACCGCGGCCGTAAATCGGTCTTATTAGACAAGATTGGATGACGTAAGAGTGGGAATTTTGTCAAACCTTAATTAAGACCCCTCTTATGATAACAGGTTTGTCAAAACCGACCTAGGTAATGATTTATGCTTCGTAAGCAGAATCTCTCGTTTAGTAAACCAAACTGTCAGTTGGGATAAGCGCTCGGTCATTATACCAAGTTCAATTAAAGTGCAAGGCCTTCTTCGGCAGTAATCCAGACAAAACTTTATCCAATAAAATCATCATTTCTATTTAACTGAATTCGCCTCCTGTGCCTCGACCCAGAGTTCTTTGAAAGTGGCAAGAAAATCATCTCGAGTCTTAGTTGGCGTCCAACCGATCTCTCGAGCAAGGTCAGCCTTCGTTCTCGACCAAGAGGCCCACCCAAGCTCAATAACATCAACTGATATGTTTGCCATCAAATTTGTGGATAACTTTGTCGAAGCCTCCTCGAGAGAAATGTGTGTGACCTCTTCTGTAGGTAGGAGACCCATCTGCTTGCCGACTTTTCCTATATTCCGGGATACAGTCAACCATGATTCAGACCCAGTCTCATTGAAATAGATGCCTTTCTTATTGGACGGCAACTCATCCCCTTTGAGCAGACGCGAAACGATAAGTTCGTAAAGTGAACACATATCCTCAATGTGAACATGATTCCACTCTCCATCGCCGGACCCTACCACGCTAGTGTACTGTTCCTTGAATGCCAAGTCTACGAGGGCTTGGATCTGCATAGACTTCCGGTTGAAAAGACCCTTGCCAGGTCCATATATCGTTGGCGACATGAGGATATATGTTTTGACGCCCATGGCATCCCCAGCTTCTATGGTTGTCACGTCGGTCAATCTCTGTGGGAATGACTCTCCATGCTCGCGAAACTTCAAGTACTCATAAATGTCATCCTTGTCAGACAACACTTTGTTTTCGACAAGGCGTTGACTTGTGCGGCGATCAGCCACACTGCCAGTTCCTGAAGTCTGTAGGAGTCAGCCTCGTGGATAAAATATATAGCTAGAGGGTACAGTTGTGTGAATGTTGCGAAATTACCTGAAGAAGGTGGCCTTGTCGGCCCGTGAGTTTTTGGCGCTTTTCAAGCCCTTGGACAATAGCCTTAGCTACGCCTGGGTAGAAAGTGCTTGCAGCATTGATGACGATGTCGTGGCTTGAAGCAATGGATTGTATGAAGTCCAAGTCGTCAAGCCCTTCGAAGATTGGGGATTCAATTTGTAGATCTCGCAAGCGGGCAGCATGCAACTCCTTTCGAACCGGAGCTGTGATCTTGCAATCTCGAATTTTCGAGTCCGAAGACTTGATCAAACTCGCAAGTACCGAACCACCTCTTCAAATAATGGTCATTAGTATAGTGCAAAGTGGATAGAGATTTTGTATTCCGCTCACATATAACCAGTAGCACCAAAAATTAATATCTTAACTTCGGTCATATTTAAATATTGAGATGTAATACTCTATGAGCTGGGAGTTCTTGGAAGGAAGAATGACGAAAAGTTTGACTGAAGATATCCAACTTAGTTGATAACATCAAGTGTGGCTAAAGTAGGGAGTATTTAAGCCCGGAGAGTGGAGCCGTGCTAAACACACTTTTTGTGGTGCCTTTCTTAGTAATATCGCCCTTGTAAACTTAATTGACCCTGGGCAAAAATTCATACGAACGTGGCAAGTATTCGACCAGTCTAGTGACTAGGCATCACACTAACATGTCTAGCTTGCTGCAATGTCGGATTTAGAAACATTGGCGCTAAATTTACCATATTCCGTTGCCCCTAGCCTCACGCGAGTCAGCTTATCCGGTAGATTGATGGGTAGAACTTAACCCCAGATTACAAATTGATGATTCTTATCATTGATATGAGCGAACCTTGAAGTATCACAAGCGCTGGCGGAATAAGTGGCAATCTATGTAAGGCATCTATAAAACCGAGCAAAAGCTCTTCAGAATTAATGCATCTGCTCTACAGCCCAGAGAATCCATTGAAACTCTAAACATAATGTCTCGACAATCAGTCTTTCTCATAGGCCCCGGTTTTATCGGCGGCGAAATTTTGGACCATCTCCTCGAGGAAAATTACAAAGTCACGACTCTTGTCCGACGTGAATCAGCGAACGAAGCTTTCGAAGCTCGTGGTGTTAAGGTGGTCAACGGGACACTAGACGACAGAAGTGTGATTGAGCAGACAGTAGTAGCGAACGACATAGTCTTTCATACGGCGACGGCTGATCACCTTCCATCGGTTGAAGCTGTCTTGTCCGGCATCGCCCAGCGTGCTTCAAAGGGCAAGCAAACGATCTATATCCACACTAGCGGCGCCAGTCTACTTGGCGACGACAGCGCGGGCGATTACTTGAGCGATAAGATCTTCGATGATGAAAATCCTGAGGATATCGACGCTGTTCCAGACAAGGCGCCTCATCGTCAGATTGATCTTGCAATTGTCAATGGTAGCAAAGCACTAGGCGCGAAGGCTAAGGTCGGGATCATGATCCCGCCTGTGATTTATGGCATTAGTTCTCGCGATGAGCGCACTTCTATTCAGTTGCCTACCATGGTACGATACTCCATCAAACACGGATACGCAGGTCACATTGGAAAAGGCAAATCGGTCTGGAACCAGATTCACGTCAAGGATTTGGCTCGTGGATACATGGTACTTTTGCACTCGTTGGAAAACATACCGGAAGATGAAACAGTCAAGAATCTCTATTGGTTTTGTAACAATGGGGAGGAGATATCTTGGGGCCAGGCTGCTACCGAGATCGGGGCCGCTCTATATAAGGCGGGCCGTATCTCAAGCCCCCAAACAAAAACCATTCCCAGGGAAAACTATGGCGATGTCTTTGGTACGTACTCTGACATCGTCGCTGGTTCGAATTCTCGAAATAGAGCCAATCGGCTTCGGAAACTGGGGTGGGAAGCGACCGAGAAGAAAAGTCTGGTATCCCTAGTCGAGGACGAGATCCCATTGATATTACAAGAGAAGGGACCATATAATGGCTACTCGAAAGCCGTGGCTTCCTAAGTAACATCCGAGGATGACATCCTATATAATCCTGTTGTTAGTGATAGATAAATCGTTCATATTCAGGTATTCAAAATTTCATTTCAAATCTAGTGCTTTTAATTTTCTTTAAACGCTGGCGAGTTAGAATATAAAGCTTATATCAGAATTAGAAGTGTGAAGCTTAGACATTCAAGATATTACATACGCTACCCCGGTATTTAAAAGGGTTCTTCAGAGCTTTACTGTTAATTTATATCCTTTTTATGACAATTATACTATTGGATTGCTAAATATCAACAATATTACGGTGGGTTTTATATTAGTAAAGCATTTTATCTACAAAAATAAGACTATAGAGACCAAATTAAGTATGCTACGCAAAAATGGTTTACAAATGTAGTTATCGAAGCTTGACAAGCTTCACCTATAGGGTAACACAGATGCCTAGATTGATCACTTAAGTAACGAATGACTATGTACATAGGAACTCCAATCCTTGTTACATCCATCCATTCTTTCATTGGAACTTGATTGCTCAGTCATGGTTAATAGTGATGAGTAAAGAGCCACTAAAAATTGATTATGTCGTGAGTATGTAATCAAAGTCAAGGACGACTTAGCGCCTGGCGGTTACTGCCAGATGCTGCTATCCCTTATAGGTCGACGCACTCGTTAAAATTCCTTAGCTGCCTATAAGTGGGTTCTTGCAGCCTTAGCGGTGGTCTTGTGGGCTTAAGAGTCGAGGTTTGTGACAATATATGAAAACCTGTGGCAATATGGATGACTATAGATGGCCACAGTGAACGGAGAGCACTCCGTACACTAATACGACGAGCTCTCGGAGCACCTAACTTAGGAGTGATGATCACGTGACTTAGCTAGTGGGCATATGCCCACTTTCTGTACACCGATATTCTCTCTTGTGGACTTAGACTTCTATATACTACTTGACAGTACCTATACTATCATTTCACGCTTAGAGGGTTACACCTGCGATACCACGCTCATGCGAGCACCGTATTCGCTACCCTATGCTCGAGTAGATTCAGGCTCTTCCTTTCAGTGCATTAGACCTATCCTTCACTGAAACAGTGTTCTATATTAACTGTAGAAAATGTCATAAAACATTCATTCACTGATTCTCCCAACTTACTTATTAAATTATCTTACTTCGCTTACCATTATCTACCCATACAAATAGTTGACACAGTCGGCAAGGCTCATCGATGGCACCTATCTACCCTAGGCAAAGTGAATAACTTCATTGAGCCCGCTGTTTTCAAGGTAACTCACGCATTGCCCAGTCGGAAGGTGGATCTAAACACGCATTAAATTTAAAGTCAGCCAAGCGGTTTAACACGACCAAATTTGAAGAAGTATGGTCGTACTGCAACTAAGCTCTGGCTCACTTGTAATCTCGCGCATCTTGATTGATCGAAAGCTTTGCACTGGTCTAGCGAAGGCTTCTCTGTTGCCTATAACATACTCTTCTATCTGCAAAGGCATGATCATGAAGTGCGACCGCTAAGTTTATTAAGAACCAAGACTAGTTGCTCATCGTGCAGTTGCCATAGCAGCTAAATTCAGAAAAGCGTTCCTTGATATTGCTAGCTTCATTGTGGGTGGAACTGTTCCCTATCATATCGGCTCGTCAAGGCAGCGGTAATTGACCGATTTGGCTGCTTGTATCCTTCCCTATGCGTTATCCGTAGTACAACGCAATGCCGAGTGAAATCATGTCTGTTTTCTGTTTGCGTGATGTGCACGACTGGTAACGAATTAGGTTAGGCAGGTACTTACTTTTCATCTAAATCGGATGTCTCATCTTACATTTTGCCATTTGGAGTTGTTGATGCTGTTGCTTAACTTTAGGTTTGGCGGCTTTTACAGTGCTGTAATAAGCATCCCCATCGTAGCACATGAATAGCGAGTTGAAAGATTAAGTTACTGACTAACCTAGAATACCTAAGGTTAGTTGATGCCGGCCGACCCCTCCATCACATTTCACTTGTAATTCGGACCCTTACGAAACGCATATATCTATACAATGTTGACCGAGGTCAATACAAAGTGCACTGTTTCTCGCCTGTGGATGCGACAAAATTGTTGTTATTTAGCAAAGAGGTCTGGAGAATGAACCAAGTATTTAAGGCTGCACAATTGACGATAAAACTGACGATGTTGAGTTGCCACTACCAATAAGCCTGGCATTGATAGTCCGACTAATTCACATTATGGCTGACAACGTATTTTAGGTAGTTTACGATAGTTCTTTCTAACCTTAAGAGCCTTCGACACTTGAGGGTTTAGCACCTTTACGTTTGTGCCCCTGCTTCAAGGTCAAGCCAGCGCATTTATTAGTAGAACCAGTCGTAATCCGTGCACTGAAGCCTGGGGAAGTCGTCTAGCATAACTGGCTATACAACGTAGACATGGCATTTCCCTGCAAACGACATATTTTAAATTATACCGATTCATTTTTCTAAACAGTTATAACTATATAAATTTAAACTTTGTATAGAATCATAAGCTCTTTTTTGGCGTGTAGTTTTCTCCGTAATTGGCCTTGGTTAAATCATAACAATCAAGTTTAAGCTTCCCGTGCCTATGAAGTGTAAGCTGCGCCGCCACATAGAGCGCCTTAATGTATAGAAAGTGCAAGTTACCATAGTCGTTATTACCGGAAGGATGCACGAAGGGTTGTCAGTGAAATCTTGAAAGTACGAGAATCCTTCTGCATACGGAGCGTGATGAGCTTGAGGCTTGCTACCGGAATCAGATTAGACTAGACTAGGTTCACAGATTATAGGCTGGCTGAATCGGATACGCGGGGCAGACTACGGGATGAAACGGTACCTGCTTCAATTATATAAATAAGCTAAGTGGCTAAGTAGCGCCGTGCCTATATGAAGTATGGAGTAGCAAACTAAACTTCGTAGTTACACTAAAAGCCAACCGAAACCACTATCTTGCTTATCCCTTATTCCATCAAGGCAGCCTTTTGTAAATTTTTAGAAATATGGAGAGCCTTAGTTTGAGGATGATAACTCTAGCACAGATTTAAACTGGCGAGGCTGAACAAATCCATATCGTATCGCGGCGGCTATCTTACATGTTGCTATTGTTAAAACAAATATCTGGTTTCATCGCTGTCTCTCGGCCACTTGATCATATGCAAGAGACTAAAACTAGACCTTTAGCAGGTAAAGTTGAATGCTAGTATATTGAGTGGGGTTGGAGATCCTGCTGTTGGGCAATTAATGACGAACAGTGGAGTTCATTTCATGAACTCCTAAACGGCATCGATGCAAGCTTATTACGAGGACACAAAAGTATGAGAGTGACGAAGCATCCTCTCTCCTCTAGCTACTATCTATTACAACAGTACAGGTCACATTACCAACTCCAAACCATTTCTCCGCTAAATCCCAGTTCTTTGTACGAATTAGCATATTATTCTCATCGCTAACGCCCAGACACTACAATGCAATTTGGTACCATCCTGGCCGTTTTCGTCAACACTAGTGTTGCTACCGTCTCCAAACACAACGAGTACACCACGAGTAACTATTTATAACACTCACTATGTCCGTTGCTAAATAAAATTTTCCCCTACTTCTGTTAGGTCAACTCTCCAAAGTCCGAGGACAGTGCAATAGTCTAGTAGTACTTTGAATAGGATCTTCAGTCATTTATATCTTGGATCTGCTGAATTTTACCAATCAAAGGAGCGGACAGATTTACCATAAACATCCGAGAATCCGCTGTCCTCAAGCATCACTTGATTAGGACCAGTAGTGATGTGCTGATTTGCGTATAACAATGCTACGACCATCAAGAAGTAACAACAATGAATCGGTAAAACTATAAATCAGGGAGCATCTAGCGAAGTCGCACGTGACTCTGAGACTTTAACGACCGTTATTGGATTGGTCCGCTGTACCTCTGGCCGGTATACGTAAGTTGTAAAAGCATGATATAATATGTAAACCGTCTTGTTCAGTCATACTTAAGCTTTATAATACGATGAAGATCATGCAGTAAGAAGACACTCGAGAATGAAGTACAACGTACAACATGTTATAAGCATTATTGTAGCAAAACCTTTCGCATAGATGTACCTTTGAAACAAGATCCGGCATTAAGGAAGAAGCTGTCTTTGTAATTTAGCTTATATTTCTGCGTTCGCTGTAAGTGGCAAGGCAGACCGTACTGGATCAAGCTTCTATGAAACGCTGTGCATTCGCGGCCCTAAGTAGGCACAAAGATTTTCCTAAGGCTGGAGGTATATAATAAGTAACTTGTGAGAGTCATAAAATTTGGGAGTCCTCCATACCGCTGGCAAAGCTTCTGCCACGAAGTATTTACCAGTCTAAAACTTTGTTTACAAGTGATTCAAGTATCAAATTGCTACTTCTGATGAAGTGTCTAATTACAAGATATATAGTTGTAAACTAGTCTATAAGACCTAGTACAGTTCAGAGCAATGCAGTATGTCTTTATAGCACTGCGTCACATCAAGGCACAGGTCGAATGCATTATTAAGACACAGAAAACGTAACTGATACATAGCACATATATAGAGCGACGGTAGGTACTGTGGCTTTATAGGAGCGACCCTCCAAAGTGCGCTACGGCGACAGCGGTTGTTCCTAGAATTTACTGTAGCGATAGCGGTGGACTAGTCAAGATCCCGAATTGCCTGATTGTGGGTCGATGATGCCGAGAAGTAACAATTCTGCAGGCGTTACCATGGGCACAATTATCCTGCAGTCAGTGCCTCTCGAGCACAACGATCATGTAATATTTACTTACATAGTCTTAGCCCATAATCTAGGCACGAACGCAGTTGTAGAGTGTGCAAGCACTCAAGCGGCTTTTCAGAGCCGTGACCATGTAACATAAAGTAGGGCAGCGCACTGAAACAGAGGTGGCTGCTCACTAAGGATACTAAGAAAAAAAGGGGATGAGCCTACTCTGTGCGTTACCTCTATTAAAGGCTATCGCGACACGTATACAGATACTCGAAGGATTCCTGAATCCTAGCTACCGAACGTGTGTGCCGAAGGAGAAAAAACGCGCATTGTACGGGCGAACTATTAATACCTAGGTAACTAGAATGTCTTACTATAAGATGTAGGAGTGAGAACCAAGGTAAAGCAGACCTGGGGGTTCGTGATCTTCTCCATCAGTCTCGAATCTGTCGTTATGTTTGTTGCCACATCCAAACCATAGTCTCCTTGGCAATACAGGCCGGCTTGTCCGTTGTCCTTTCGATCTGGTCCGTCTGCCTCGGACTTTCGCCCTTGCGTGCTGACTCCTCCCCTCCTGGTGATGGAATTATATCTAACGAGGCGGTCAGCCAAGCTAAAATTGCATTAGAGGCCGATAGGATAATTTCTCGGAGCAAACAGACCGCCAAACTATTCGTGCTCTTCGCCTTATAATCTTTATCAGATGGCCCTTCAAACTCGAAGCCAGATCATGCTCGCAATCTAAATATTTAGATTATTATTTTGGATCGAGTTCTGAAGACCATCAGTGACACTCAGTTTCTCAATGGTAAGTTTACTGGTAATCATGTTCCTAGGTTCTCTTCTGACGATATTTCATTTAGGAATCTCAACATTGATTGGCGCATTTGCGCGCCAGGGAACACTGGAAATCTGTCATTTTCATGTCATATATGATACAGTTAGATACAGTTAATTCTATAGGGTAAGACGTTAACAGATGTCATTGAACGTTGTCAACTAATGTTAATGGTGAATCTGCTACTGTCGCATTGGCTGTGGTCTTGAGCAAGCCCGATGCAGTTGTCTATGGGGCTACATTGGTCTTTCTCTTCATACTGCTGCATTTCGCTTTCGTGATACTCTTTGGGCTGAAACTATAGTCGTGGGTAGCGAGGGACTAAGCCACTGTTACAAGATCCACCTGATATTAACCCATGATGTTACACATTCGTACGTTGACAATATTTACAGAATTTTATCTGTTTGCGAGCCTGAAGATCTTTGGCCGAGTCGCGCAGGTAAATTTTCTGATATCCTTGCCATTGGCTCACAGCAAGAAACATGTGGCTCATTAATAAAACGGCTGGGTCGATCACTTAATACGTTGAACGCTATCCTCCAGCCGACCAATCTTATAGCGCTACCGTACGGCTACGTGGTACCTTCGGCCTCGTACGACGACTGTTGAAGAGCCAATCGTTATCGTTCGATCAAGATCTTCTGTCATAGAGGGATCTCAATAAATTGTATCTTGGTATGAAGACTTCATTGCAGTTGGAGGACCTCGTGTCAGGTGAGAACCAACAATTGACTAGTCGGCCGACAAACAAGTTTGTATCAACGGCTTACAACCCTGTCCTTGGTACTAGTCCAATTTCCTGTCCCCAGTAATATGCTCTGTGCTCTGAGAGAGTATCGAAGTAAATATTTCCGGCAGTTCGGAAAACGAATAAGGTTTCGGATAAGTAGTCGCACTTATGCTGATCGAATCAGTCGTTATAGAGTATGTTTGCGCGATAATCGGGGGGACGAACTGATCGGCCTTGTAGATAATGAATTATGCCTAGAGTACAATATTTTGAATAGAAAGCGCATTGATCCTAATTCAAGTAGCAACTGGCAGCGCTTGATTTCGTCACTTCAGATGTCATTCCTCGACAGAGACTGGGAAATGGACCAAGTACCTGCAAATCGACTAAGGTGCCTCGCTGACAGCTATTACAAATACCACCCCTACCAGTTGCTTTCACAGTTCCTGTTGTCTTCTCAACTACAATGTCACACCATTATGCTTGCTGCAAAGCGCGATGTAACACGTACCAGGTTTTACTGTTTAACCATTACGGCCGATAAGATTGCTTTAGAGGCTCAAAAAGTCGATTAGGACACTACACCATAGAGCACCAAAGAAAATTATCTCGGTTATATCCTCTCTAGTAGTAAGGTTACTTGACGGCGGGAGGACACCTTAAGTCTTGAATAAAAGATCTAAATCCTCTAAGGGTCTTGTGGATCGCACCCGTCCCTTCCTCTTGGTATTAGTCACCCGGTCTATGCCACTTTCAAACCTTTTGGTTTCCTTGTTAAACCACGCTTTAATCTTCTCGTCCTCGATTCCGTCTAGAATATCCTCTGGTGCCATGGTTTGTGCCCATAGATACGGGATGGCCCAAACTTCTAGCATCGATACCCATAGGCCAAATTTATTCTCGGGAGTGCGGAGTCGAGCGCGAATAAGGCTTTCAAGCAGAACCGGAAGACGCGGATAATAGAGGAAGCCCTCGACGCATGTAAATCTAGGGTCGTCGTTTACACCTTTTTCGTGGGGTTGCTCTACATCTAGAGGATTCTTTGTGTTTTGTGGTGTTTTCGCATCATGTAGACCCTCTCCTGGTCGTAGGTTATCTGGCTCTAGACGTGATTCGGGCCTTGGAAGTGGCTTAGACTCTGTAGATAGTGTGGTTTCCTGAAGCGGCTCTTCTTCTCGTAGCAATGCTTCTTGTGGTATTTCGTTTTGCTGTTTTAGCTCTGCCTCTTGTTGTGTTCCTCCTTGGCTTAATTCTCTGTCTCCTAAAGGTGGCGGACCAAGCCCTGCAAAGGAAGGAAGGATAAGGGCAACAGGTTCGTTGCCAATGCGATTATAAATCGGCGGAAACGCGAAACGGATAGAATGTTTATCGATGTCTTCATATTGTGGGATGCAGTTCTCGTGCACACGCTTTGTTTCATCATCAAAGTTCTGTAGTTCGGTAGGGTTACAAGAACCCCATGACCAGCTTGCGCGGACGAATCCAGCGTTAAGCAGTTTTGCCTCAGCAACGTCGCGGTCGCATTCATTTACGATGAATATATAGCCCTATTGCTTCCGTATGAATATCTGAAATATAAGGTGTCTTGTCAAGCTGTAATAAAATCATAGCACTTACCCGGATAAACGCCTTTACCCCACAATGTTCTAGGGCAGGTCCGCCCCAGACCACCAGCGGAATGGGTTTTAAGACTTCAGCTAAAAGATCCATCGGGCTTGAGTGAGAGGGAGCAAGCTTTGAAAGTGATTGATATCTGCGTGATGTTTCCTTATGGCTGTATTTATCGTCTCATTTGGTCAGCAATGATCACATTTGTAGGCAGCGACGTCGTAACAGGATGCGTGAGGGGCGGGGTAATCGTAATCGTACTCTGTCAATGCTGCCGAAATTTATCCAGCGCTGGATTAGTAGTTGGGTCGATGACGACCAGCGAATCCCCGGTGTTGTATGTTTTTGGAATTTGACGTGCTAAAAATAGCATGAAGGTCGTAGCTCCGGCGCCAAAAATGGGGTCTCGCCCCATTTTCTCCGGCGGCTCACTGCAAATTCCGCGCGCCCGCTTGGGCCTCCGTCACTGACCCATGTCACAGAAATAAGCTCTGCAAATAGGTGGGTCGACTTGATCAATGGATTGCTCTGTTCTGCTGTGATTCTAACGTGTGCTCTTGCGGTACAATTAAGCGTGTATTCATCTGCCCCCATGGCCAGATTTATGGCTGTGAAATCTCTGCTAAGTATCTTTCGAGAGCTGAGTCAAGCCTGTCTCACAGCTGCCTGGTAGCCTGCCAGATGGTATCCTTCGACACCTTCCTTATTAACAACAAAACTATCCCGCCCGTAATTTAGCCATCGCATAGTCAGCGAAGCGTGCCTTACAGTCATAAGAACAAATGAACATGAACAACCCATAATGCTGTTTAGTTCCCAAAAACCGGGGGGCATGAAATTGCTGTTCTCAATTGGCTGGCCAAGTCCGGTCTTTTCGCCATCAAAACTCGTAAGGCTGCGATATGGCTTTTTGCAGATAAGACAAGGGCCTGCCGACTGACCATGCCCAGTAGGACTTCAATATCCAAGATATCAGTTCTCTCTTTCGCAGATCCTTGGCGCTCATACTGGGATAGTATTTTTTCTCGGAGAAGCCATATTGGGTGCATGACAGGAATATTGGCAACTCTCATTGATCTCGATGGATAGGGATTGCAGGAGTTATCACGCCATACTGTTCAACAGATCGGATACTCCCCGGATGTTGTTGGACTAGCCAGCTTGAGATAGTCTCGGCGTTGTAGCCTTTGGTTGGTGCAACAACAATATCGACATCCTTGGTACCGCGATATTCGGTTTTTTCAGCCACTCGAAGCAGTGAGCAAGCAGCTCCGCCAATAACTGCAAACTTAACTTTCCCGCCGAGGAACTTTAATAGTGTCTGACTAACTTCCACGAGCTCCTCGGGGGTTAATTCAACTGATTGAGGCATCTTGGGGTGGTAGGTACGGCAGCGAGAAGCAATTTATGAATAGTTGAAAAAGGGATAGAACAAAAAGGCTAGGTACAATGTTAAAGGTTGAATAGGCGTGAATGATTGATATTGAGGCATTTCGAAGTCCTTTGCCACGATATATATTTGATTTTTGATGCCAAAAGGCATCCCTAAGCGCTCAGCGTGACGACAACATGTCAGAATTCACACCATTATGGAGCTTGGGTCTACCATTGTTGGCCCTTTAAGCCAACAGACACCCAATAGCTATATAATCAATCGCGGGTCGCATTTTGCGCTATCATTGGGGCTAAGCGCGCGCGTAGAACTTGAAACCATTTATTGACCCCAATCTCTCCCCTTCGGCCCGACCCTGGCGACGGCCTGAAAATCATGACGTTGGTGTATAACGTAATGCCTCCTAGGCGATCATTGCTCTTACTGTTCACTCCGCGCGGAGCTGCTACCTATAATGGTATCATGGGGTTAAGCGCGCGCGAAAGTGGTGGGCCATTTTTGTCAACCCTAGCCTGGCGGCTGTCTGCCAAACTAGAACGTCAGCGCAGAGTACATTCTAGGCGGTCAAGTTGTCGTTCCTCTTTCTAGTCACTCCGTGCTCTATATATATACCTTCTTGTACAATATTATAAGTAATAATAGAGGTTAGGAGGGACTGGCTTTTGAGCGGGGGTACCGAGGCGGTGGCAACCGGTACTTAAATCTAGGTCGGGTCCAATAACAGTAGCCTATTTAAGTATATACATAGTGGTGTGTGACATTCAAAAACAGTGGCCATGCCGTCAATAGAACAATGGATCTCAGGGTATATATTCGCTGCCACATGATGTTAGCGGATCAACGGACTAGTCGTGATGCATTAATGATATTGACGGAGATGTGGGAGTAACGGCGACGATAAGGGAATCTGCGCCGTAAAGCTGTAAGAAGCACGTGATGGACGGACCATTGCCACAATAGATACACATATAGGTGTATATATCCAAGGGGAATGCAAAAATAGAAAAGGGTTAAAGTTTTAGACGGTATGAGGCACTGGATTTCTTCAGAGTTTAGGGGAAGTGCTGTTTTTAAAGTTACCGTTGGGAAAGAGTGCACCGGAAGAGTTTATCGCTTTCGTCATACATCTTTGCAAACGTTACGTAGATGCTGCACTACGAGAGCTGGAATCACGTATGACACAATGGTTCCAGCCTGCGCTTCTCAGTTTATCCAGGGCAGAGCGGACAGGATGCCGAGTTTTCGAAGAGCTAGCGTCCTGTGTGATAAAGAGTGCGACAAATTCAAACTGTATCTAAAGGCTCTTGGGTCTGCTCACAATGCTGTTAGCTAGAAGTATCTACAGAGAACCAAAATAGATCACAGAGCAAGCTAAGAATTAATACATATTTATAAGCCAGCCAGGGCGTTGTAATGAATCCGTAGACGTAGCGTACAGAGTCCCGAAAGAGAGCTAAGCCGAAATTCTTTTTTACCATACAAGATAAGCGATAACAGCTGTGATAATCCTATTCTTCCCTTTCTCTTTTTTCAAAATGGTACGAAACAGATGACACAAAATCAAATAGAAATTCGTGGATCCTCACATTTAAATTCGATGACAAAGTTCATTGTCTCTCAAACTTCTCCTGGAACCCGCATTCCACTGCTACGATTCTTGAACCATATTTGGAACAGTCTAGCAACTACAATCGACATTGGTGCTTTTCCAACTACTGGTAGTTCGTCGAGGCTCACTACTCTCGTTGAGTTTCATAAGAGAACTTGCTGTAACAGCCCTATTGTCGCCGCTCTAATGTGCCTGGTCTTTGCGTCCGGACTAGCTGAGAGTTTAAAACTCAAAACAAATAGGTGTATACAACTGAGTCCGGGGCAGTAGAAGAATCAGCTGAGATCCGAGCAGCCGAGCTATTTAACGTTAGAATCTTCGAGTGGGATAGAATTGGACTGATAAGTATGCCAGCTCAACACCAATGAGTACGTTTTGACTACTGCCTATGCGTTGAAGAAAGACAATTGGAGGTGCGTAGTAGGTCAATCATCTTTTAAAAGAAGAAAAAGTCCATTGATATCATCATTAAAAACCTAGGTCTCGTCGCCTTGATGTTTAGCACTCAGTAGTCTGCTCATGCCAATCAGCATGGGCATTCAACGACAGGATATGGTGAAATAGGAATATAGGTATCGCTTTATAGAATGAACCACATCAATATATCCCTATATTCCATAAATATTTCATGTCTGAGGCTTCCAAGTAATGGAACTCGTGCCATCTATTGTTTAAATAAGCTAATGATTAACTCTTACTTTGAGGTTCGGCTTTTATTATTACCCACGCTGTTACGTTGAAAGCGTAGTGGATTGGCACTGATGCTCCAATAATATTGTGTATAAGAAGTTATAAGAAGCTTGTACATTTTCATATGCATAAATCCTTCCCTTTAATGTATTCTGTTTCACAATATAGATAACATTCAACAGAACAGATACTGTTATCCGGCCCACCCAAGACGTCCGTAGCTAGGACAAGCTTTTCAGGAAATGAATTCGGTGCTAATTTGACAGTAAAGTTCGACTATATCGTCTTGTGAAGGCCGTGCAAGTCTGGTAATAGGTTGTGTAAAGCCATGAACTTGGAATCATCTCCGGGCATCTGTATGCGTTGCATTGCTCGCAAGACGATCGCTAGGTACCCATGGTGAGACAATGGACGAGTTGCGCAGACTGGTGACATCTTCCGTGATGGCTCCGACGAATTCGTAACCGTGGTAAGTGCTGACGGTGAAATTGGTCTCGAAGCCTGACTTTGCGGTTGAGCCTGCTAAAACAAATAATGGATGCTTACTATAGTTGTTTCCGACGTAAAAGTTCTAAGACTTTACTTCCGTGGCATAGTTCTAGCTCAGTAGAGTTTAGTAGTATTTTAAACGATCCTTTACCTTCCGAGAGCAAATGCATCCCATCCCCGTACTTTTCCAAGACTTGTGCTTCCATAGTCCGGTGACCAAGAGCAGGACTAAGCCCAAAAAATGCTCCTGTTTGATAGAATCACCATAATCACGTCAGTGATCAAACAATGACATTATCGTATTTGTCTGATTTTCCTGTCAGGTTCATAAGCCATGATTGCCATAAAATCCATTAAAATGGCCAGTTCGTCGAATACTCACAGTTACCCAGCGATCATGATGCGCACCCGATATAATGAGATCACAAGCTGTAACGTTAGAGTCAGGACCATCACTTAATGTCTAAATGATCCTAAAGTTGACCCCCAACACCTTGGACATAGCAATAGTGTGGCGATCAGAGACTAGATAGCCCACATTCGCATTTTCGGCCACACTGTTTATGTGGAGTAATCATGTATAGGCGCTTGGCCGTTCTCTATTTGAACGTGTCTGACTGCCCCGTAAGCCTTACATGATTTGAAGAGCGCTATTCAAAGAATTCAAGTCCACTCTGAATATCGATCTCAGAAAACTCACTTTTGTCGATTTCAGTCATACCTTCTAGTATTGACGCGCTGAGCCTTATTCTCTATCATATATGGAGGATTACAGCCCTTATATAACTAACAGCGGTTCGATACCGGATAAGCTCTGACACCACCACTCCACGAGTCAACCACACCGGTGACTCATACTGATGCTTTGGACTAACATCCTGACAAGTCATCTTGGCGACGTTAGGTCAGACTTGAAATTGCATGTGAATATCATCCTGGAGCCCCAGATCATGTTTTATGCATCTTAGGCTCCAAGGCGGGTACTGCCAAATGTATTTGTCTGCGTATAAGAGATGGGAAATGGGACTTTTGAAACGATATGTACCAACCTATAAGTAGTTATAGTTCGCATTTAACCGCATACATGATACAATGAATGTCGAGTATGCAATAAAGTGGATCTCTCCTCAACGAATTAGATCGGACTTTTCGGCAATTACATTCACCCCAATCTCCGTAAAACTCCTATGATAGGCAGAAGTGGTGCATACTACAGACTTCTGTAATTAATCTCCGGTCATGAACTAGAAACGAGGTGCCGAGTGTTACATCCTCAGCTCCGATTCAAGCAATCATCCAGAAAAGTTGGTGCACGCGGCAGGTTCAGTAACCTCCAGCGTCTTCTCACACAAGTTCTCTAGATTTCCACTTATATTTACCTGAATCAGAATTTTGTAATACACAGTGCCAAAAGACTATACGAATAAGGGGTAGCATCAATATCACGACAGATAACACCGTTGACTTATAGTTCAAAGACCGCCTCTTCGGATACAAACCAGTAGTCTAAATGAACGTACTAAAAGAATGACTCATGGTAAGATTATAAATGAAAGAATACATAGTTTTTCCCTTACTCGCAAGACCGATAGCCTCTTCCCATGGCAGTCATGCTTGACTCACCTCGCTATCTCTTGGGGCCACTGAGATATACTACAGCTTTGCAAGAGGGACCTAGACACCTTTTCGATGGCGTTTCTAGTTTATCTGCTGAAAGTTGCATCTATCTTCTTGGATCTAGGAGACCTTCAAAGGATTCGACTTCAAAAAATTCGACTTGTGGCACTATATCTGGTGGGTTTCGTGTGATATCACTCCAAGTCCTATTTCAAATTACGCCACACTCATTTTGAGAGATCTTGGATTTAGCTACGGTCTGGAATACCTATTGTATTCTGTCACATGTATTAAGCTGACATTTGGGACTAATAAATTTCCCGTTTATAACGAGCCTCCTTGTCATTTCGTCCGCTGTGCTGCATATCCTGACACTCCTTGGCCGAACCTGGCTCAGCGAACGCTTCAAAGAGCGCATGTTCTTCGATATGGCTCAAAATCTATGAATCCTACCTTGTGTCTTTGCTTTGAGGTTCTGACCAGAAACTATGCAAAATGCGCGGGGAAAGTTTACACTGTTTGCCATCCTCTTAAGCATTCCTTACTATCGCGTCACCATCGTGGTTGGATGTCGAAGAATTCCAACGAGTTAGAAACGAGCAGTATATCTGTTACAATCTATATTGCTAGGTCTAATATCAATAATCCTGCTTATGCGCATGACAATATTTTATACGCTTTCATTAATGGTACAAATTGGGGGAATCTATGGGAACAATATCTACGTGTAGTCTGCTAGTCCAATCTACCGTAGAAGTAATACTACTTTAGTTCTGATCAATTTCCCTATCTCGCTCTCTTTGTTGCACCTAAGATTTACTGTATCCTATGCAACCGACACCGTGATCAAGTTTAGGCAATCATGAGCCATGATGTAAGGCCACATTTGAATGCCACAGCCGTGCCTAAACTGGTATTTGGGACTGACAGGTTTATGAACGCCACGAGTATGTGTACTTCACAAAAGTGAGTGGCAATTAGTGCTTGGACTTTGGGTCTCCGTAATAGCTATCTAGTTTTAATGATATTGAGGAATGGTGGACGCCGAGCATAATTATGAAGGGAGAACTCAATGCCGAATATCTAGATGTAGTTTAATTTAAATTGATACCATGACTTATCGTAGCCCGAGTCGGACTATTTTTGTTACCATCTGTTATTGAGATGATTGTAGAATGGCTTTTCCATTCAATTCTTTCCGTACAGGGTGGTCGACAAATAGATCTATATTCAGCGCTCTCGTACGAAAGGAAGAAGGGATTCTTCCTATCGTACGCGGTCTACAGATAGGGGTTTGGCCTATACGGCTGCAAGCTGCCGACAGCCACGGTGTGACTGTGGTGACTTGCCGCCAGTACGCCGGTAACTAGCTAGACTATATGGTCGTACGAGACCGCGGATAACCATATGCCAACAATGATGTTATTATTCTCTCTTCTCCACAGCTGCCCGAAACTCGAGCTGAACTCAGTTGGGTTCCTCTTATCCACAACCTTCCCATTGTCCATGAAAACGACAGAGTGAAATCCCATGACCACTTCCAACCGATGGCTGATCATGAAAACAGTGTACGTTTCGAATTCTGTGTTGATAATATTTGCATCATTTGTTCTGTGTCCCGGTCGACACTCGTGTTGAACTGGTTCAGAAGCAGGATGCCGCCGTCGCCGGTTGCATCCTTTTCCCCGAAGGTGGCCCGTCTAGCCCGCGTCTTACTTCTTCGCCTGACGATTGCACTTGCAAGGCTGAAAAGTTGCTTCTGACCCTGGGAGAAGGCATGGCCCCCGCAAGGCCCCCAAAAGACCCCCGCGCTGACTCAATCACGGTACTTTTGCTGCAAAAAGGCTCTGAATCGAGGAGTCTAAGTAGGAGAAGCACGACAGAAGACTTCCCACGGTAAGAAGCACGAGTTAATAAATCGAGAATGTCGTATGAGAGAAAGTGGTGAAGAAGACTTAACGGACCTTCCTTTGCGACCGCGAATTGCAACCTTTTCACCGGAAGAAAGAGACAAACTTAGATCCTCCAAGGCGAGTCGCCGAGATGCCGGACCGGGAGTCGTACATCAGACAAGCCAGTGTTGAGATTGAAATAGCGCACGCCTACGTAGAAGGCGTTTGAGTGCTCTGGCGTAGTGGAACTGATTTATTCTGACCAGAATTTGAGCGAAATCGTGGTTAAATTGAAAAAAGAAGCCTCATCCTGCTCCAAAAACGATGAACACAATCAATAACCAACGATTCATGCGGGAGAAGTAATGACGGTGGACTGATATATCACCAGTCATTCTCTTTTTTCTCGTCACCAAGTTTCACTGGGAGTGATCCAGTCGCTTTGGGGGTAAGTCGTTTAGGAATGTAAGACGACTCTGAAGCTCCCTTGTCTTTTTCTAAATGAATGTCTTTATCTAGTTCAACTCGGAGGTTCGGCATGTACCCATCTTCAGACATCAACTCAGAAAAGTCTCCTGATCTTAAATGGTTCCGTCAGTTTGGAGTGCAATAATATGATCAGCTGCCCTCAATCGCTTGACAGCATGAGTACAGAGCAATACTGTGGCCATCCGGCGGCGAAGCAAGCCTTCAGAAGAAAGGAAAAAGCGCGGCGGATTACAAAATCGGCCGTGTCTGCATCTAGGCCACTCAGAATATCTTCAAATACCAAGAAATTTGAATTGAGATATAAGACTCTGGCTAGCGCGACTCATTACTTTTGACCGCCGCTTAGAGCGATTCATTACTGCTAATTTTGGTCTCATCGGCAAATGGTAAGGATGCTAGATCAGGTCCCAAAATTGTCGCATCAAGAACTTGGTCGTATCGATTCTGATCAAAACTTGAAAATTCCACTATATTTTCTCGTATTGTTGAGTTCCATAAGTATGAGGTCTGGTCAAAAAACCCAATTCGTTCACTGCTAGTGCTGATAAAAATCCACCCGGATAGCATAAGAGTTTCTCCAAGCAATGCTTTACATAGTGTCGATTGACCAGAAGCCACTGGCCCAATCACCACTGTGAGCTACGCCATAGGGATCTGAAGGTCGATGCGTGATAAGCTAGCCTTGCCAATCTCCCATCCGAACCCGCCATCGGAGATTGTCGTCGCTAGGCCAGTTGTATGTGCACTGTTGCTGTTGTCGGAGGGATTGTTCTCCGATACATCTCCAAAGGGATCCAACGACAAAACCCTGAAATCCACTCGCGACTCAGTATACAAAAAGTTCTGGATCCGTTCTAAGCACATGGATGAAGTGATGATTGCGAGCATCATCTGCAGCGGCATGCTCAAGGGTGCCTCCAGGAACAATATGCATGAAATGACAGTGAAAATTGCAGTAATATCCAGCCTACGAGACGCAAAGATGAACGTTACCATGGGTAAGATACACAGTAACAAATTTACGATAATGGCAGCAGATATGATGACGGACCGAGATTTAGAGGCGGTCTTGAGCTTGTTAACCCGCATACTTTAAAAAGATCTTCCACGGTCGTTGCGAGTCCTGAGATTTTCAGGTCCTTCGTTTGTCGGATGACGTTCGATGTTAAACCCACTCGAGCCTAAATCTTTTCCAGCCAAGCCTTCTATCGAGGTATGGTGAGTTTGAATAGAAAGCTGGACGAAATAACACTACATAATACAACCAGGGCGCAACGGCGGCTGGACCCAGCTCTCGGAAAAGGAGGCAGCAAACCAATCCCAATTGTACTATGTTGGCCCAGACTTCGTGCAGATTTATGTCTCCGAAAATGACGCGTTTGATGTCGGCACTCATCAAAGTTAGGGCACCCGAGTGAGTGGTAGCTGACAGCTTTTCCTCCACAGCCTTTCCTAAAACCGCCCCTGGCCAGCGCACCACAAATCATGTATACGTTCTTGTAAATACCAATAGAGCCCGCCAGAGAATGCTAAACCAACATATACTAGAATGGTTGCAGCGATGAGACCATACCCAATGTTTCTCGAAGAAACATCTTGGACATCTTGCAGGTAGTCTAGCAACAAGCTGACAAGGAACGGCTGACACAATTGAAATGCAGTCATACCTATCCGTGGACTAACTGGAAGCAGAAGCGGTATTGGCATAGACCTTCCAAGAGCTATCGCAAGCCCATATTTCTGTCTCAGCCTTGACATGTGTGTAGCGTGGCGCCATAAGCTTGCTTGCAGTGGCTCCGAAACCATTCGCAGGTCAAGCGGGTACAGGTTGTCCAATGTCAATGTCTTCCGATAGGCTGTAAGAAACAGTCGATTTAGCCACAGGACTGCACCAAGGTTAAACAAGCGGCGGGTCTCCTCGGGGCTGTGTTGCTTTACGTCCCAGCGAACCCATCTTGATTTCTTTTTGTGATTCGAGAAGTGTTGCGATGAGATTTACCGCTAATGCAGCGGTGAATGCTTCCGTTAATTCCCTTTCGATGCGCGTAGTAGATGCGAGCCATAATGTTCGTGTCTGGGCCGCACCCAGAAGGACGGAAATAGAAAGGTATGTGGTAAGCAAAATTGATGGTGTGGGTGACCGTGAATGCTCCAAATACGAGAGGGTAGCTGCACAAAGACAGACGCAACACAAGACAAGGCGGTAGAGGCCACAAAAAGGACTTAAATCTCCCGATTCCTATGCCCACAAGAGCAAGTAGAAATAATTGCAGCGCAAAATGCACGCCTATAACTACCTGAGGTGCCAGAATTAGCTATGATATTACTGGAGAAATAGTAGTGTGGATGACCTACAATTTTGAATCACCGTAAAAATTGGCCACGGACAACTTCCTGCCGGCGAATGGGATACGTGACGCGTAAGATGGAAACAGCGATGAAAATGGAGGCTGGAAGGATTGAAAAAACACCTGCTCAAATTTCATGGTGAGATCAAAATCTTGTCTACATCCACGGACCGCGGGACCAAAAGACTGATTGTTGACTCACTACAAGAAATCCATTTTGAAGCTGCCAAATTACTGGAAGGCTTTATGGTGTACAACATAAATGTTCTCACTAGTATGTGTTGAGCAGCCCATAATCAAGGCTGAAGACTATTTCGTACGGTATTCTGTAAGGGCCATTTTGGAATGCGGGTTAGGGGGCTTCTCCGGTACGTGCCGCAGATGAGTCAAAATGGGTCAGTCAAGGATGACCACGTATCCGCTAACTAAAAGCCCGCAAGCTGACGTCGTCATCATACCTAGACATGATGTCACAGGAAATTACAACCCTTCTGTTGTCTCAGGTTTTCAATCGTGCTGTACGGACCCGTAAGACGCCGTCTGCTCACTGATGCAAGAGTGTTGAAGATTATGGGGTTGCCAAACATACCCATGGCCGTGCATGACTGTGTAAATATCAACCTATTCGCATTGAACAGACATCAGATCATATCGACGTGCATCTCTTCAACCACAACCCCTTCTCATTACTATTTTTGCCACTAGCCCTACCCTCACATCTCAATTCAAGGCCAAAGTCCGCTAACCTAGGGTAGCATATACAAGTCTGTTCACTCCATATATTCATATTTGCGCGATCAATATCAATCATGAAAATATATGTTACGATGATAACTAAAAAAAGACTCAGAATTAATCAACCTCCTTCCCGACCCCTGGCACGAACTCCCTCAAACAATTTAGCTATCGTGAGCGCTTAGCACCCTTTGTGCTTACCAACATGTATCAGAACGACGGGACCAGCAGTGATCGACTGGCAGTGGAAACTGGTGTTCCCATGACGAATAAAAGAAAAACTTCCTGTCCCGGTGCAGCTTCTAATGAAATTGATTTTCGGGTTTGTCTCATGCGTGTGGAAATTTCGATCATGGAACTCACTAATTGAGCTAAGCAAATAGTATATTATCATTACGTTGAAATACGTTGCCCGTGATAAGGAAAAGTTGCCGCTGAACCAGCTTATCGATAAATTGTTGAAGGATTAGAGCGGTTGAAAGCTGTGTTAGATCTCATCTAACAGCCTGATATCTCTTTGGAGAAACACGGCAAACCATTTGATGACGTCAAAATTTTCACATATTCTACTCTTTTATTCATCTGATCATCTTTCAAACACTCCAGGCGCTGCAAGGGTTAACCAACAGATTACCCGCGTCTTCAACTGGAACAGACTTTCTTGTCACAATCCATCCAGGGCTTGCAGGTATCGATGATTTGAGTCTTCCAATCCACAAAAGTGTTTTCTTGTTTCATATCGCGAGTCGCAGGAATAGTAGGACTTGGAGAAACGCAGCTAGCATATCCCGTGTCACAGCCGGATGTGTATGTCATCAAACGGCGTTTATTTAAGCGACTGCTGGTTCGACGAGTATGATTTGTACAACGTTGACTACGTCGTGTGTAGATATATTTTTAACATTCGCATATTTAGGGAAACTCGGTTCCCGTAACCACATCATCGCAATTCATCGTTGCACTCTTCATAAACGTTTAATCCTAATTGCAACCAACGTGTTCTATCTAATTAACTTGTTCGAAAAGCTTTTGAAAATTCAATGATAATTCATATACGCTCTTTTGAACGTGTAAATTCGCGTTTGTTCAAGCGTGATAAATACCACAACACCCACCGATCTTTCTTATTAGAATTTCTTATTAGAAACGGCCCCCAGTTGTGGTAGGTCAAGATCATTTGCTCCTGTTTCATTTCATTGCATTGTATCCTCATATAAAATCTCATTGGGTTTGTGATTCATGGACGTTTCACAAATTCCAGATGTGGGTAACCTACTTGTTATAGTAAGGTTAGACAATCTAGAGCGCAGTGAGGCATTGGCGATGAACCACTGGCGGTGGGTTACGCACAATGTGCTGCTCATATAGCAACCTGCTACACTACGCGTGAACTAACGAAGAGCATCCGGCAGTCAGTCTGCATGACAGCAAGAACATACTTTTCGCCGCCCATGGTGCTGCAGCCAAGATTCTTCCTCCACGGCTAGACCCCTCACTGGTGGGCTTCCTTACGCCCGCAATATTTCCTGCTGCTTATGACCTCGATTACCATTTGGTAGCTTCTTTATTATTCTTACGAGCGGCCAACATAGCATGTATTTAACAAAACATGGCAGGGAGATTTGAATTACGTATATATGAACCAGAGTAGAACCTATGCAGAACGGCACGACGATCATCGGTATAAGACAATCGGTCTTTCTACTTAAACTTATTTTAACTTGTCAACCCACTCGTTCGTGGAAGACGTGCTCCACCCAATACATTCACGCTGATCTCGCGTTCCTCTAGACTAATATGTTTGCCCAGGACGCTATTTTAAGTCGGCTCATTCTTTAGTGGTTTACCTAACCTGTCTGGTCCCGTGGATGTCAACTGTTAAGGGGTTCTGTAGGATGCACGCCAAAGTCGTTATAGTGTTGTGCGATATAAATGGACGGAAGTCAGATATTAGGGTAAATTACTTGATTAACTCAGTACATGTGTCTCTAAGCTTTATATAAGGAGTGCAGATGAGCCAAGAATGTTCAAGGATGAAGCGATATCCCATACATCCCCTTCAATTGTGTCCCTGGAATTCCAAACCGCTTCCATGATACGTAGAGCGTTGAGGACCGTGCCAAATTCGCCCAACTCACCCATGTTTGCGACAATACGACGGAAGTGATGTTCTTGACTTGGTAATGCCAGACACCCTGCCACACAAGTTGGCCAAGAAAGACTCCGTAATTGTGCAGGAGAGTCGATGGTCTGCATTTGGCTCAGGACCTTGGCGACGTTGGCTTGGATATCAGTAGAATTATTTTGCCATCCCGAGAGGCTGACAGAGAGGTAAATCTTTGCTGCGTAAGCCCAAACGCGAGTGACGTTTGCGATAGAGGTGTGATCAATGGCCCTGTCATGCCGACTATAGTAGCCCTCCAGCCGGCTAGCGCCCGTCTTGTTTGCCTGGGAACGGGGTGGGCTAATATCCAATCTCATGAGGCCCTCCTCGAGAGCTTGCGAGATAGGTCCTGCGAGGTTAACAAGGTTGACAACCGAAAAGTTTCCGCTAATTTTGGCGTCACGCTTCCATGCAGAAAGAGCTGAAATGTTCCCAATGGCCACGAGTACCCAGTTTTGGCAACCTACGACAGCTTCCAACCGTATAGGGCATTTTCGTTCGCTAGAAACGGATAAAAGGCTATGGTGATAACCTTGCAAGGCAGGTGGGTTTCCAAGGGAAGTGCTTGCAACAACATCAACGAAAAGTAGGAGTGACACGAAAAACACCAAAGCCGATTGATCTGCCGTATATGGAAGCGGCTTCTGGTGTGGCGTTACCATCGGAAATGGCAAGGGTAATGCACTCAAAAGAACAGCAAGACTGGGCTCCATATGATCGATACCGTGGCTCTTGAATATTTCGTCAAAGAGGGCCAAGGCCGGAGTCAAATGGATTGTCCAGTCCACGTTCCTCCGGACAGTGACTTCCACGATAAGAAGTTGTGCGATTGCTTCCATAATGCGGGTTCTATCCAATAGTGGGCACTGTGGACCTTGACGGCTAATGATAGAAACATCATTCTGGATTGATGTAACGGCCATATCCATTTGTTCGACTAGCCGATCCCAAACCAAAGCCTTACAGTCATCGTGCGTCTCTTGCTCATCATTTTGGGGGACAAGTGAGAAGAAGTAGGCGCTAAGGCTGGCAGCTACGTGGAAAGAGACTTCGCTCTGACATAAAAGACCGAGTAACCACTGTCGGCCCGTCTCACTCAACGATGGTCGATAGAAGGGGAAAAGAAATGGGAAGACGTAATCCAGGTAGATCATAACGGATCCGAGTTGCACCTGGACGGGAATAGCCAACCCAGTTGACCAAGAGGAGCCTGGTGAGGTGCCGGTCGGCAGGGTGACCGGGCTGGATCTCAAAGAGGCGGTCGTAGATGGGGCTTGAGAGTCATCAGAGCGACCAGTAGATAACTGGAAATTTGTCCGTCCTACCGAGCTAGTCGAGAGAGTCAACGGGGTTGAATTTAGGGGTGGGACACATTCTAGGACCGGGGCGCTCGTGCTATCAGGAGCACGTAAATCCGAAGTGTGAGACACAAAGTCTCTTTCAGTGGCCATGACCATGCCTTGGTCCTCGTGGGTAAGGAGACGTCTCTCTCTCCGGAGAAAGGCGTTCTGCTTGATTCTCTCCTTGATCGTCTTGGACATGTGCGTTTGCCCGGCAGCTCCGTCCATCCAGGGAGGTTTCACCTCACCCGAATGGCAAGTGATCTCAAGATTCTGACAACTTCCACAAACGGGGCGAACTGAGTCACAGCGCTTGCGACGAAGACGGCACGTCCAACAGCCTCCACCCTGTTTCCTGCCAGGTCCCATATTGACGTCGCTCTAGCGCCTGGCATTGGTGTGCGCGCGCGGGAAATCGTGAAGAGTTTAGGTGGAAGCTGGAGTTAATATTGTCTATCACCGACGCCAGAAGTGGGGTTGAGCATGGTCTCGGTGGATTAATAATTCGGGCTTGGCAACGATGATCTGCAGCAGGGGTCTATTTCTGTACGACCGCACTCCCTTCATAAATACCGCGCGGCATCCCAATTCGGTAGTGGGCGCGGGAAATAGAAGACAACAATGTCCATGTAAATGTATTGCAACTGTCTCTCCATTGGTATAAAAATAAGGTAAACCTGCAACTCTTAGATCTCCAAGCATGAACAGAAAGCTCAACATTCATCATTCGAATTCCAGTCTCCTTTGTCTGGTCAAACACCACCAAAATCGCCAGCATGAAGAAAACCGTTCTCATCACTGGCTGCTCAGAGGGTGGCATGGGCGCCGCCCTCGCAGTGGCCTTTCAGGAAGCCGGCCTATACGTCTACGCCACAGCTAGAGATCCATCGAAGATGGCAAGCCTCGGACGTGCTGGTATCGAGACCTTCACACTAGATGTTCTGTCCGCCGAATCAATTGCCGCTTGCGTGACCAAGGTACCCAGTCTCGACATTCTGGTCAACAATGCTGGTGCTAGTTATAGCATGCCTGTTTCGGATCTCTCCATCAACCACGCCAAGAAGTTATTTGATATTAACGTGTGGGCCCACCTCGTTGTCACCCAGGCATTCCTCCCATTATTGCTCAAGTCCAAGGGCATGATCGTCAATCAGACCTCCGTTGTGGGAGCAGCCGCCATACCATTTCAGTCTGCCTATAATGCATCCAAAGCCGCTATGTCCATGTTTTCCGACTGTCAACGCCTGGAGCTCGAGCCTTTCGGTGTCAAAGTTATTGACCTCAAGACCGGAGCTGTGGCTTCCAACCTGATCAGGAACCAAAAGGCTCTGACTCCTCTGTCTCTACCAAAAGCCTCCATCTACCAGCCAGCAAGAGAGGCTGTGGAGTCCGCCATGCGCAATGACAAGATGGCCGATGTAGGCACACCGGCGAACCAATGGGCAAAGGAAGTCGTGGGAGATCTGTTGAAGAAGAGCCCCCCGCTCGTCATCTGGAGAGGGGCAAACGCGCGACTAGGACGGATTGGAACCATCATGCCTCATGGAATGATGGATTCAACGATAAAGAAGATGACTGGGCTTGATGTAGTTGAACAGAAGGTGCAAAATTAGTGCTCGCATTCCATACTAGAGAGCCCTAGCCTATATAGTAAATCGAGGTGGCATAGGAATCATTCGGTTTATCACAAAAGAAATTAACTTTGTACTTGAACATGCTCCCGTTATTTATTATCAGTCAAGAGTACGTTGTCCATAGCATCTTAAAGATATGAAAGAAGGGTCAATTCTTGCAAGACGACTCATTGGCGGCACGTGTTCCCAGGATACACGCGCTACTACAGACCACTAACTTTTATAGGACCTTGAAACTAATTATAAGGAATTAAAGTAACGAGTCAAGATCTTGCATAATAGAAGCATAAGTGGTAAAATCGACTACCGTGCACGACGGGAAGGCCGTCCAAGCATTGAAGATTTATGGATCTAAGTTGAAACTGTCCATTCTTTCAATAATATGGCAGGGCTGAAGGGCAAACCACGCGGAAAATCAATTGGTTGGTTGACACTACTCACGTCATATTCGCGACTGTTGATTGGCCGTTAGCTTAGACGCTGCGCAAAAAGTTGCCTTGGTTTCCCCCATCTTAACAATCACCTTGAAAGCTACGAAGAATACTCGGAGCTGATTGGCCAATTCGATCGCAGCCTACCAGTACGACCCTTTATGGATTTTTTTGCTGATAAATTGAGGTGTTGACTTGAAACATTATCTTTTCATCCAGTCGCTGCATAGGGGTCTACGAGAAAAACCTATAAGTATCACACGCCAAAACCGTTTTATTCTAGAGATACGCCCAACTCGTAACCACATTCGATACCACCCAACAATACGATCCAATACGATCCAACAATCCTCGATCAAAACCGAACCACGATCCTGCCGACACCAACACTTTATCAATTCGTTCTCACTCAGCGGAACTTTACAGCATTCATTGTGCATAGCGCGATGGAGATATCTAGTCCGACCCATCTTCCAAACCAACAATGTTCTGCTGAGCTGCCGACAGAGCCGATCGTCCAGCCCATGTCTCTTAGGGTGACTCCGGATTTGAAGGATGATGTGGTAGGGACGGATCCAAAGCCATCGTCGGGCCGAACCATCACTGGCCTCCCGTGGGTCCTTATATGCGTCTCGCTTTACATATCCATTTTCATCTACGGACTCGACACCTCTATCGCCGCTGACGTCCAGGGAGCCGTTGTCGAAGTCTTTGGTCACGTGGAACAACTGGCATGGATCGGGGCCGGTTTCCCCCTCGGATCCGTAGCCGTGGTACTTCTCAACGGCGTACTCTATACGAACTTTGACATGAAGTGGGTGTACATCGCTACTCTCGCTATATTCGAAGTCGGCTCGGCCCTGTGTGGTGCGGCACCCAACATGAGCGCGTTGATTGTCGGCCGTGCCATCGCCGGCGCTGGCGGCAATGGCGTCTTCCAGGGCAGCCTCAACATGTTTTCCAGTCTAACATCGCCAGAGGAGCGGGGTCTCTACATTACCGGGATTGGGTTCTGCTGGGGCATCGGTGCCGTACTGGGCCCCGTTGTCGGTGGTTCCTTCGTCGTCTCAAGCGCCACATGGCGATGGGCTTTCTACATCAACCTCATCATCGGAGCTGCGTTCGCTCCCATCTACGTGTTTTACTTGCCCTCCGTCCACCCAGTAACAGGGGTTTCCGTTGCTGACAGGATCAAGAAGATAGATTCTGTCGGCCTGCTTCTCGGTGCAGGTCTCTGGGTCTCGTTTACCGTGGCATTTACTCTGGCCGGTGGTCAGTGGCCGTGGCAGGATGGCCGCACAATCGCCACCATTGTAGCCTTAGTCCTCATCATGGTCCTTTATGCCGCCCAGCAGGTCTTTTGCGTCTTCACTACAGTGGAGTCGCGGTCCTTCCCGATCCACCTACTAAGATCAAAGTCACAGGTCCTCTTCTGCATTTCCACAGCAGCCAACATCACCTCCGTGTTCGTCGTGGTCTATTTTATACCAATATACTTCCAATTCGTGCACGGCGACACCGCTCTGCAGGCCGCTGTCCGATTACTTCCGTATGTAATTGTCACTGTCTGCTTCAACCTCGGCGCCGGCCACCTACTTTCCAAGGTCAAGTATTACATGCCCTTGTTCGTCATATCCGGTGTGTTCATAACGCTGGGTGCCTCCCTTCTTACGGCGTACCTCGAACCCGCAACTCCCCAGGGTTACATTTATGGCTTCACGATCATCACGGCCGTTGGGTCGGGTCTCTCCATGCAAATCGGCTACGCAGTGTCGACTTTGAAAGCTTCGGACCATATAGGCGATGCTCTGGCAGTCATGAACGTTGCTCAGATCGGAGGGAGCGTTATTGCGCTTGTCATTGCCGGCCAGGTCTTCCAGTCCACTGCTACTAACAACCTCTCAGTCGTTCTGGCCGAGACTGGCTATACACTAGCCGACATCCAGAGCATTGTTTCCGGGGCGCAAAGTCATCTTTTCGAGGAGCTGAGCGTGTCTCTAAGGAACGCAGCCATCATTGCTGTTACCCAGGCAATTCAAAGAGCATTCATCCTGGTTTGCGTCGGTGGCGGAGTTCTTACAATAGCCGGTCTTTTGATGAAGCGGGAAAAGCTGTTTGCTGAGATCGTTCGAATAGGCGTTTAAAGGAGTTGCCCAAGTGATCTGATCGAAGAGGTTTCCATTTGCTGGGTCTGCAGGTTAATAGGGTCATCAGGTTTCTAGATTGACGCCGTAAAGTTGTGATATTTGCTGGACTTAACGGTGTTCGTGTTCACACCAAAAACTTATTTTTCTCTCGTTTGTACAAATATTTGATCGACTAATTAGCAATTGTAAACAGATTCCATAGTTTAACACTAATCTAGGGAACTAGTGCACAAGATTTTAGCTTAGTGTTCATCTGCAAGGTTTTCTGAAAGATTTTTTTATTCAACGACTCATTAAAGCCATATCCATGAAACTCTACTATCCTCTCATGCAAAGCTGGGAGGAACTCGATTGCGGCTCACTACGAGATTGTATAAAATGAGTGGATCGATATCTCCGTCTCGTAAATCTTGCTGCACCCAGGCATCGCGTATCATCCTGCTCGTCAGATATACGCTGCCCAGCGGTCGTCTCCTCAGTGACTCTTCCAGGACTGTGAGCACTGTCTGGCGAGACTCCTCGGTGCGCGCCTCGAGAGCAATGACAAATAGGGGCCAAGGCCGCTCGCAGAATTTGATTCTATCAAGAAGAGTAAATGATTCCTTCACCAGCTCCTGGACGCCTTGTGAATCGTGAGGTGCGCCTCTACCAACACGACAGAGGTAAACGAGTGTAGCGAGGCGATATAGTTCCGCGATGTTGGCTGCGTAGCTAAGCTCGAGTAAAGCTGTTTCCGATACACTTGTGTGGCGCTGTTCTGCATTTCTTGTGCGGATCTCTAATGATCGAATTGTCTCGATGTGAGCCTTGGAAAGATGGCGAGGGTCATCACGATCGAACACGGCGTCGACGGCTTGACAGACAAGATCCAGCAGCTCGAGTGAACAGCCCAAGATTGGCACGACCTAGAGGTTTTGTTATTCATACGAGGGGAAGAGGACGAGGAGAGGAGAATCACTCACAGTTTGCCTCTCTGGTGCAAATATGGCCTTTGATATTACTTTCGTCAGCCCTGCTAGTTGGGTTTGGTCGTCGTCCTTTTTTATCCAGTGCCGTATGCTAAACTTGTACATGGCATCGTGGTAGAAGATCCAATCCAAGATCAAGGCCTCGTCCCCATAATGTGTACCGTGAAGTTGAGTAACCAGGCGGGCAATAGTTTTTGTGCCACAAAAGAAAATAGACCAGCCCAGGGAAGAGGAGTCAAAGTTTAGCGTCTGTCCGGTGTCAGTCAAGCTAGGCATTTCATCTTGTTTGGGCGGATAATGGGACCTCGAAGATACTTAGCAACATGCTCGCTGCCATAGTTTGGATTGCGCGGGAAGGAACAAGGGCTTCAATGGATGACTGCAGCGCACACACTGCGTTTGTCTGGTAAACGAGTGCTTTGTCCTTGTCTAGATGCTGATACGACAGCGCACTTATGGCATGGCGTGTTGCCAAGGTAGGCTTCTCGTCGTCATTTATCGACAGTCTAAGGAGAAGACCGTAGAGGTCGTCGGCATCGTAACTCGAAGAGATCAACCGAGCAACGGGCGTGACACCTGGTTTTGCAAAAACTAAGCCTCAAAATCAATGAACATGCGCTGAAGCGGATATAAAATACCATTTGGCGGAGTAAGGGTGCAGTCCGCTCTCCCCATCGTCATTCGTGGCAGCTGGGAGAGCCACATCATTTCGTACGACTTAGGAGAGTGGTGTAGCCGGCCTGAAGTTTTAGTTAGCGAGACAGAACACCGAGATAGCCATGAAGTAGAGAGACCTACTTAGTTGCTGTGATACCTCGATATCTTCCGACGAAGTGTTGACAAACTCCAAATCGCCTGACTGGACAGGAAATAGACAATGACCCTTTGCACGAGTAAAGCGACGCCTGTCGTTTTCACGGGGCCATGAGAGCTTGATTCCATATCCCAGGCAAGTCTCTTTTCTTTCTCTACACTTCCGACAAGTTGGTCGAGACCGGTCGCAGGCAGTTTTCCGATCTGTCCGGAAGACCGAGGTCAGCTGGTCGAAGTCTGGCACAAACACTATACGTCTTTTCTCACCTCGGCAGTTCCAACACCGTTTCTGAGTCTGCATTCTGCAAGCACGGCGCTTGCCGGGTTTTCCTGTCTACTGTTATCTGATAACTTCCTATGAGACAATCAAAATGCTAAATTACGACAACATATATTAGGTAACAAATAATAACGAGTCCCATTTATACATAGCAAGATTGATTCCCAAATCTCAATGATCAAGAAAAGCGGGGGAAGAAATGCTTACTAATAAGTTGCACTTTGCCGCTACCAAAACACCGCGCCACACCACCAGCCATAACATTATAACTACACTCTTACAACAGAAGGTTTGCTTTATACAAATGGATGATGTAAATGCTTTGGTTTGGACAGAAAGACATGGGGTAGTTGTTACAGGCTAAGACTAATTTGGCGCTCAATTTGGCACAAGGTCTGCCATTTTCTGATCCTAAACCTATAGTCTAGCATTGAACATCTTTATACCGAACCACCATCTGGATGCACTATATAGCGTTAGGGACGTCGCAACTATACTGCAATAAGACTTTTAGGTAGCCAGCAGGCTTACTTTCTTCATAAAATACGCGAGCGCGTCATTACGACGGTAGCAACTATTATAGTCCATATCAAAGATTTCTACCGCCTCTGAGTGCCACGAGTAGAGGTAGTGCCACGAGTAGAGGTAGCGACGGAAGTGCCATTTCATTCTTAAGCATAACAACAGGTAACTTCTTAAAATAGGAAAACCAGTGCTTATATGACTATGTGGCTTTTCTTCTGCTTCTCTTCTATTATCTTTCGAGCTGTGCAACTTGAATTTTACAGGACAACAGAAATGATTAGCCCAAGTATGGCTAAAATTGGCGCTCTAACAACAGGGCAGCTGTCAACGTATCGTTGGCCTCCACGCTTCCAGCCAAAGTCTCGTTTGCTTGGATGCAACTCAGCCTGGACATGTCTGTGACGATCTGCGTACCTTCCGTTGTGTTTTTGTATCCCCAGGTTAACATAATCGGATGTGTGCTTCACAGCCTCTACGTAATCTGTATTGTTGCCTTTCTGATGATAGCTGCCGCTAAAACGAGTGACTTGACTGTTCCTGGTGAGGTTTGCATTTAAAGGCACTTTTATACAAGAGTCAGCAGTGTTCTCATGTTCCGCAAACCAACTTCAAGATCATGAGTCACGTTACTTACCAATAGAAACAATTGAATTAGTACTTAGTTAGTCCTTACAGGCCTTTGGCACAGTAAACCCTGATCCACAGGTTGCGTCCGGGTCGTAATTGGTGGTGAAGGCTTGCTGTAACGCCATGGTGCAATCAGAACCGAACACATTAGAACAGGACCCATTATCATTGTCTCCCTTAGATACGATGTCGGAGGGTAGGTCGTGGAAGACACTCATACAGACTCGCCACGTCGAATTGTCTACTCGGATGCTAGAGCCGTTGTCCGCGCCTTGTGTGATAAGGGACGATGGAGGGTTCAGTCTAATGCTAGTACCGGTAAGGTACTCGTCTGAATCACTATCTGCATCCGTGAGAATATCGGCTGTAACGTTGATTTGAAGTGACCAGCCACTGATGTTTGCGGATGGCCATGACTCAGATATATCCTTCCCACTGATTTCAAAGTTGCCGGTAGCATTAGGTGAATTTAACGCCTGTATCCATTCAGAGCTTGTGATGGAGCCTGGGCCGTGAGTGTTGCCCACAGCGATGAATGCAGCGCTTGTGGTGGCTATAAGTAATAGCAAACTCCGGGAAATCATCTTGCGGTGTTCATGTAGAGCCTAAGTTGGTGGATACATAACCTCAATTGTTTTGAGGAAGTTTTCGACTGATACATTTATAAACATGGTCTTGAGTAAAAGATGCTTAGATTGCCTATCCGATTTTGTCACCGATCCTGTCAATGACATACGCCAAGCACGAATGATAGCTTTCTGCATGGACTATTAGCGATGCCGCCTAACTAGTAACACTCTAATCTACGGATTTGTGCTAGTAGTTTGTTGCAACACGATCTGTCACAGCCGTATTATCCGTGGCGCACTTCCTTCACAAGTCTATACATGTATGCAGATCGACCCCACAGCAGCGTCTAGGTTAGATCACTGCCTAAATGACTGAGATGGTGTAACGCTTCCATCGAGTAAAATTAAGCAGAAAAAACAACATTCGCCCTCTCCAGCCATGACCATTGTGATTGAGCGTTTTAAGAAAAAATTTACCATCTAGGGAAGCACGGATCGCCAAAGCTACCGCAATAGTGGGTATAAAGGGCCGCGTTGTTGCGGCTTCTTACAGCCGCAAAACGAGGCTAAATCGAAATACCCACCCGTAGGATCTCCTCTAGTGTTCAATGTGCCTATAACCCCCTAACCTAGCCTAGCCAGGTGGCTATTGTACTTTCATACCTTCACCCAGTCCTAATTTACTTTCAAGCCTACAGGTCGAATGATGTAGATATGTAGTAAAATAGAGTAGCGGTGGAAAGATATTAGACCTGGTCCGCCTGTGCGCCTCGAGTCGAGCCATTAGTCGTTATGTCCCAGTTAGTCTAGGCCAGACTATTTCGCAGCACATGGCGGATAGCGAAATAGGCGCTCAGCGGTTTTAGGTTCAGCCTTATGGCTCTTCAAGTGACTCGACTTCTTATGTGCTTACTTAGACTTAATGCTCTCGTTAGAATTTCAATTAGGCCTGATGACGACTGACTAAATATGACTGTCGTGCATTGCGAGTAAAATCACATTTTAAGCTGAAGGGTTATTGTAACATGGTCCTAGTTGTATTCATCACGGTTATTGACCCTACTGAGTCGTATTTTGTGTGGCATAGTTCGAGTTTCTGCGAAATTAAATTAGCTAGGTGTAGAGCTACCTGCAGTGTTTGGCACTTCGAGGACGCGAGAAAGTATCCACCAAAGTAGTATCTCCAAATAAATTCTGGACAACGGTTTTGTGTAGCAACACATTAGAGTTGGAATTGTTCCAACATGTGACTATTAGGCGAAAAGTTGAAGCTGTCATAGCATTACGCGATGGACCAGGTTCATATATGGACATACGACATCAATAAAAGCGTTGCGAACGGCTTCCTCCGTGGTCAATTAAGAAATCCTTAAATAAGCACCCCATCCGTCACACGAATGAGAAATCATGTTTCTGTATCCTATCCAGGTTCTGCAAATATGCCAAGCACTCATGGAAACCTTCAATACCTATGACTTCCACCGCAATATGGCGTCCTAGGAGCCTTTGATCGATACTAATATGTTTCCGAAACAAGTCATGTTCACGGCATGTGGTCGCACGATTGTAAATTGCCCTAAGTCAGGCGAGAGCATCCGATGTTGATGTTACACCATCAGCCTTTGAGGACAACCCGCACCAGTTGCAGGCTGTGACTCAGCCTGTCTTCGAAATTCCAACATGTGCCATTAAATTCTGAACAACCCAGGTCAGGATTATGCGATCAAGCATACCATCTTATTGCATCCAAGACTTGGCTGCGGTACCGGGAGTTTGAACTGCTCCTCAAAAACATTCGCGAGGCTTGGGTATGGATACTACTTCAGGGTTGTGCAGCTTCTCGGAGTGGCATCCAACAACCGTACATCAACCCACGCACAACCCTTCTCAGAATCATCAAAGGGCTACGAGCGAAAAAGCGACGCGGTTAGGCGACCACAATGACTGTAAATGTGTCTATAACTTTCGGATGATTTACCTAAGTTCTAGGAATGCCAACACATGATCCTTGTCGCCTATGATCTTGGGGGCCGCGTGGCATAAACTGCTGGCATCATTGTCCTTCAAAACCCTGAACCACACATCTCACCACTTGAAGTATGTACCAGGGCCGTTTGACTTCGGGGAACGTCTTAGCACCTTCCCTATAAGAAGGGGTTGTTTGCCATTCACTTGTGGAAACCGATTGTGATTGGCATGCCCAAACAAGATATCCGCGCGACTTGCTCTTTCACGAAAAAAAATTGAAAATGAAAAAAAAGGAACCAGTGGCGGGGAATGATGTTGGTCAGCCAGATATATATGTATCGGTAGTGGGGCCCACCGACTGATTTGCTTTTGTATCGGTTTCTGCGGGCGAGATTTGTGTCTCTTGATGGAAGCTATAGCCGCCGAAATCAGCAAACATCTAGAACGAAACCCAGGACAGGACTTGACACTTCTCGATCTCGAATGCATGCTGACCGAGATGGAAAGATGGTCCGCGCGAGGCAGGCCGCACAAGGCCATACTGCACCCAAAAGGAAAAAAAACCGAGTAGGCGGATGATGTAGTGGAGTTCGGAGAAGACAACGACGCAGGCATAATCTCACCTGGCGACTCGGATTACTTGTTAGCAATATTGCGAGAAGGTACGTAGACTATATTAAAGTTGTCCAACCGAGCGAGTGCCCCACGTCGAGTTTGGTGCCTATAAACATAAGTTCTTGGGAAAGTCGAGGTTCCACATCGCTCTTCTGGGCACTGTGAGTGCTCCCCTCGTGCAGACGAGGTTCTGTTTGTCCAATACAGGCCTTGGAGTATTAAGCTGACGCATGATTTCCGTCACGTCGAAAATGATCGATTGCGGAATGCCGAGCTCGTAGAGCCGTGTACGGAGATAGCTTGAATCGTAGGCAAGTTGCATAGTATACAAAGTGGTCAGGAACCGTCCTAACCACGCTAAGATTAGACGACTAACTTAGTGGTACTAGTATAGGCTCAATGGGATAGAAGCCGCGGCTACACGAAGACCCCGAACACACAGAGTGCGTAGACAGCCCGTCAGATTTTGTTTGCGCACTTGATAAGAACCCAAAACGTAGTGCGCATTAGATTCACGTTTATCATTTCAAGCAATTCTGCAAATTTCGGGTAGGTTTTGTGCCACCTTGAGCGACTCCTGAGTCCTGAGCAGTATAGAGGCTAGACTAGAGCCTGTACGTGATGACATCATTCGGGTAGCAAGCAAGGAAGTTGTTTAGCAACAAGGTTTAGAATCAAGCTCAGCCGACAGCTACGAAGTATCACGAGGAGCAACCTCTCGCATAAGTCAATGAAGAACTAGATGTGACAGATTGAAGGGCACTCTTTCCTTTATATGATTGTTCTAGACCTGGCGTTTCACTGCCAAAGTGTATCAGCGACGTTATAACGCCCCATCCACAGCGCTTGGCTAATATACCACTTCCCATTACAAAAAAAACCCCAAAAATATACCAAACCCCCTCCCTACACAACACAAGGTCCTATAAAGATGTTCAAACGCCTCGTCGTCCTAATCTTCAATGTCATCTTCCCACCAGCCGCGGTGTTCCTGTTAACGGGCTTCGGGGCCGACTTCGCCATGAACTGCTTCCTGTTCATCCTGGCTGTGATCCCGTCGCACATCCACGGCATGTACATCAGCTTCGTGTACTTCCGGCGCAAGAACAAGGTGCGGAAGGGGAGGTGGCCCGGCCGCCGGCGCGGGCTCATCTACAGCGACAAGGTGCAGAACGGCGGGGCGACGCGGGCGCAGCTCGAGGACATCCGGAGAAACGAAGAGGAGCGCGCGGCGGGGCGGAGGGACGGAAAGAAGGTCGCGAGGGAGTGGAAGAGGACGGCTTGAGATGCGCGTGTACGGCGGCCGGTGCGTGGTTTTGACGGGATGGTACCCACGGCATCTTATATGGCAGACGTGGTCGTACGAGTAGCAATTACACATCAATGGATTGAGTGATAGTCTTCAAAGTGTTATTCAAGAGAGTGCTTCTCTCGCGAAGTGCTCCATTTGCGCAACCAATGAACGGCCTCGGGGTTGTAATGCGAGGTCAAATGGAAAGGGCTCATCAGTAATTGATAAAAAGTGATATGTAGAGACATTATTCTGGAACTACAAGAAGTGAATAGTATATATACTTTATGCAATCCGGGGTCGGTGTCCGCCGAATATAACGAATGCTTAAAACCCGAGCAGTTGCCTGAACGCCGTGCCATTATTTAAATACAGCCATTTCCTAAAAATCGTGCTTCGTTATATCTACTTCCCGTTGCAATGTCGTTTGTATTATATTGACATCAAGTTATGGCACTCTTTGGGATCTGGTGATGTGGCTTGTCGATTATCCGATGGGAGATTCGTGTAGAAGTGCCAAAACCATCCACCCTTTTTCGCGACAAGAGCTGGATCACCTATCTTGGGATCGATCCCTCGGGTACGCACTTGAGGGCTCCACGACAATTTGGGGAATATCATCGAGACTTATGCTGGGCAGCCTGGGAAATGGTATTCTCGATGAGTTGGACGAATTTCGCGATAACCTGTTTGACGTGGATGACCGAGCCCCCAAGTCGCCTTCCGCTCCAATACTATCCACCATGTCGGCGACTTGAGCATTGAGGCTTTGGTCGCGTGCGTCTGATGGACCAGTGTATCCCGGTGGTGGCTCGTTGAAGCTCACAGGTGTCGTCGCCCCCGAGCGTGTATCGTCCAGGTCGACATCGTCATATCTCGGGGGGTCGTGTGTGGGAATTTCGAAGTCGCCCAAATCTGCCTCCCCAATTATCTCGGGGCTAGACCCAGCAGTGCCTCCACTGTGCTGAGTAGATAACCTTCTTGGTGTAGCTGCGGCAGATCTCGAGCCTGGTACCTCCAAGTCCTGTGCGCTGTCGAAACTTAACAATGAGCTGGCACTTCGTTCCCGTCGATGTGATATTGCGGAGGGTGACCTGGTAGATAACGAGATGCTAGCGGCGTCGGAGAGGAGTCCCACCCTCTCACTTTCCTGACTATTCGCTCGTAGTCTTGTTCCGTCATGTCTCGCCACGCCCAGTCCTTCATAGCTGACACTCGACACAGCTCGCTCACGTTGATTCCTGAGGCGCTGTTGCTCTTCGCGCAGGTCCGAGACTGTGTTGGACTGGCTTGCAACTCTTGCGCGCTCGTTCAGGTCTCTCAAAGCGACAGAATCGCCCCGCTGTCTGGCGTCTCGTCGCAACTGCCTGCGTTCCTCTCGATCGGCGATCTGGCTCCGCCTGGCGACGCGGATTTGATACATGGTCTCCATCTCATCCTCGCGCAGGGCTTCGTGTTCTTCGGCAGTCGGCATTTCCAGGACGACATCAACACCACCTCGCTCACCCTCCCGACCCAGGACTTGTTCATTGTCGTTTGGCTTGGTCCGGTAAACCGGCAGAGTCATGATGGAGCGCACCGAGGTGTTCCTGTCCACGGTGGTGGTCTCGTTGTTTCCATTCCTATTCGACTGCGCAGCGGCATTGCTGCCCGCCCGGGCGCTCCGGCTTGTGCCTGATGTAGAGTCGTCGTTTCCGCTTGTTTGCGAATATGCGTATCGTTTCGAAGGTCCCTTTCTCGACTTTTTATTCTTCCTGACTTTGATGTATGCGTATATCACTGCCATTACAAAAATGGCACCGGCGCAACATGAGACAATCTAGAGCGAGGAAGAGGCGATTAGTGGGGGAACTCGGCAGGTTTGACGGGAATAGTCTGCGGGGGACGTACAATTACGACTGTGCTGGGCTTGTTTGTGTTGTTTGTGTTATTACCCGACCCGAGAGCGCGCTTCTCGAACCCAATACCGCCCAACCGCGTCGGCATGCCTATCCTGTAGGGAATATGCATGGTGGTTGTATGACGTGCTGAATGAGCGACGATGATTGAGAGGGTATCCAGATGCCAAATGCTGGCCTAAGCGTCCGCCCGGAGAAAAGAAGAAAGAAAAACAAAAACGACGCGGGAAGAATGGAGGGGGCCGATTAACGTCAAAGGTGTCCGTACTCTGTGATGCGTGATCCGTATTCTGTGATCCGTCCTGCACCTCGACAGGTTACAGTGCCGGGTCTAAGCAAGTAGTCTCTCAGGGTATCCGCTGATGGCGTCACTGGGCGGGTCCGTCGCAATGAGCAAGCACAATATCAAGTCGCGATGTTTTCCAGGTCTGTCGCTCGCAGATAAGCATATGGCTGGACACAGACGACGAAGAAAGAGAAGGCAAGTTCAAGTGTAGAGGTTGCCTTGCAGGCGTGCGTCTGCCAGGCGGCGATCAGCCCGCGCCCAACTATTAACGTAACTAAATTGTAGTGGCTGCGGAGAGGCGGGATGCACAGCAACGGAATGGACGCATGTACCTTGGTCAATGGGGGATAGACATGGGCATGGCCAAGGGCATGGGATGCGCCGGGGGCCTCGTGTTGTAGCCTCTAGCCAAGCCGTACAGTATGTATGCAAGTATGTTCTCATATATATCCACTTGCGCTACAAGCAAGCCGCTCTTCCTGAACCCTGGATTTCAAGCTCAAGCGCCTTGGCAACCAGTAGGAACGAGACGCCCTGTGACAGCTGCAATCGACAATCGACAATAGCTTAGACACAGTAGAAGTATCGCAGCGTGCCGGAGATAAAGAGTGCAAAGATGCTGAGGGAGTCCCACTTTTTTCTGCTTCTTTTTTTCCTCCTCCTTTTTTCCCCTGTAGAGAGAGGAGGCTGGAGGCGTTGTTGTCGTTGTCAGACGAAACGCTATGTGGACAATGTCAGATTTTGGTTGTTCACCTAAACGACGATCTTGCCGAATGGCATTCCAGCATGGGAAAACCGGGGGACTCCAATATCCCTGTCGCCGTCTGGGAAGAAGCAGGCGAGGACAGGCGTGGGCAGGCCCTGCGGTGAGTTGGCAGCAAATACCACCATGTACCAGCCACTAAGTTAGCGTCGGAGGCGCACCATTCTGATGTCTGCCCTCCGTACGGATCCGTACACACACTTAAGTTACATGCTAGTCTAACAGAATACTTTTGTCGAGGCTCGGCTTCTTGGTGCCGCGTAATAATATCAAGCCATCTCCAGATTCTGCCATCTCGGCATCAAGCGACGATAGAGTCCACCAAGTTCATGGTTGGGTCGTTCAACCAACCAGGTTGAATGTACCGTTATCCTTCAACACATACGCTGTCGACCAATAATGTCATCATCTGCTTGTCTCAGTCTCATGTTGTGGCTGCATGTTTGCCGTCACACACACGGAGAGAACCCGAACCAAACCACTCGGATCGCGCCTTTGGTTTGTCCGTGTAAGAAAGTCGTCCTCCAGGATCTGCACATACCCTATCCCTTGGGAGTACATAACCAGTCTCAACTAAACCACTTGTACGTGCAAAGCCAGCAAGCTTCGTTCGCATCTGCCTTGCCTTGTTTCGAATCCTCTCTCCCCATCCGGACCGCAAAAGCTCCTATACAACGCGACGGCGGGTGCGCACAAACAGACACGGACACGGACAGAATTACACTACCAGAACATATATGGCGGGCGCCCATCGCATGGGGATGAGCCCGCTGCAGACTGCTATTTCTAGCACAGTTTCCCCGCCGCTAACGTTAGCTGACCCATTGCCACCAAAAGTCAAGCGCTTAAAAACATCATGATCTAGAAAGTATTTGAGTAATTAATGCACCCGCATTCGCGTTCGAAGGTACAGCGATGCATGCGTGACTCCGAGAGCAGACATGCACTGTAGCCTGCGGTAATGCACACGCCTGCCGTGGCGCCCCGTGAGGCAGTGAGAGGGCAAAGGACCCAGGCATCGCATGTGGTCGTGGCTGAACAAAATCTGATCAGCCAGCACCGCCTCGATCATATGCAGAACATCAAATCACCGTCGCACCCAAACAAAGTGCCCCCAAGGGTCTCGAGCCACGGCGTCACAATGGCGATGTCGAGAGCATCCGACCTGGATGCCCTTTATCAAACCCTGAAGGGCTCATTGCCCGTGGGGTCCGAAAAGCCGTCAATCAAGAAGCCTTCATTTCCTGGACCCCAAACTTGTTTGCTCTTGGTACTCGTACCTGCAGATCATCGCAACATTGCTGGTGGGTCCCCATCGTCAGGTCTCAGCTAACAGTGAGACACACACACACAGCAACAAAATGATGCCTGGGCCGCTTATAAGCTGACCATTTGATTAGCGCATTAAGATCTTGCCCATTCTGAGCCAATCAGGTTTGTTCTTTGGCGAATGTTCTTCTTTGCCTTGGCCATTGTCACGATGTATACCACCGACGACTTTGCAGCACGTTCACCCGTTCGGGGATCCGGGCTCATATCATCCTCCCGAGAAGAAACTACAAACAAATGCCGAGGTTGCCGGAAACGTAGTAACTTAGGGCTGAAGGAGCCTGGAGCATGATCCATAATCCGTATCCGAGCTCCACAGCCGTGATTAACAGCCTGATTGATGACCTCACCTCCAACAATCCTCCATTCAGCAGACTGTTTTCCAACTACTTTTACAGATAGAGAGGAAACTGAGGGCATTCGCAACATCTCTTTTTAGCTGCGTCTCATTGGAAAAGCTTCTCTTGTTTTGGTGTAGCGACAAGTTGCAGCCGCCCCCAGTCAATCAACGCGGCTAAGCCAGATTGTCCAATCAGTCAAAATATCCATCTTTCGGCGCTGCCTACTCAAATAAAACTAGGCAATGTTACCCTCAGCGTGCGGTGCGGGGGCGCTTCACTGCAATCTTTAAGCCCCACAAAGGAAACGGCGCGTTCCGATGTCTAACGGTAATATGTCAGACGGATTGATCCTCTCACGATTGACTCCTAGTATTCCACCAACTCAGCGCTCACGACATTGCAAAGCTGTGCGATCCGGTGACACCAACATGTTCTAGTTCTATCAGTAGGAATCATGCACGCAAAAATATCCGGGGCCCGGTAACCCTGTCTTTGCGCCTGATCACTGTGACATATCCAAAGGGTCGCCCACGGCTGTCAGAGCTCCGCACTGCAGCGATTTCATTTAAAGTTGGGATGTAGTAGCCGATCTAGCCACACGGCCAGCCAGACTCGAATTGCCTAACCTTAGATCGTGGGGGCGAGGCAACGTCGAAATCCTTTGGGCAGACAATCGGGTCACCGGCTCCGGATACGGTCTCACCTACGAGGCTTAGCCGAGTATGCCTGCTAGACCTTGTACCGTGAGAATTTGACTGCCACGACTCATTCTCCCCTTCGTTTTCTGACAGCACCACTACCCATCGAGTGCTCCAATATGCCCGGCCGGAACGGTATCACTAGCGGAGGTTTTGAGGCTGCCCTAAGTATACGGAGACATATGGGAAGCCCCGCGCTGGTCTATGTAACAAACCTGCATCTAACAATCTTGACAATCGCGATCCGAGTGTTGTTGTGAACGGCGACTTTGTTTTGATTGCCAGAGTTGCAAGCTCGACTGGTCGCGAAAAACATTGGCCATACTTGAAATCGGCGATCACCCAGAAAGTGATATGCCTGATTGCCACATCTATTTACCAAGGCTGCATGGCGATAGATTCGGTGATCATCTACAGAATTGCGATATCAGATTCCACTCAAACTGCCTTTGCAGGATCGCCTCGATCAAGAACATTCAAAGACCTACCTAACCAGTGTTTGAGCCTGTAGACCAGAGACTGTTTGTCTTTAACAACTACGTCTACTCTACCTACAAGCATCATCATCTCCCGTTGGTCGTACGAACATGGCCGCATTGCATTTCCATAATTGAACGACCATATCTCCAGCTTGAGCAGTCGACGCAACCATTCCGATCAGGCAGTCTGTGAAGAGGCAGAATCGGTGAGTCCCGACAAGGCAGTCCATATTGATCTCAAAACGTTAGGTCGGACTGCCGCGGCGGAATCAGCGGACCGCTGGGCGTTAAACCTGTAGTACCGACCACTGCATTTGACTTCCTCGATGACACAAATTGTAGCCCAATCATCGTCATTATATTCCGTAATAAGGGTCATGTACTGTTCGGTAAGCGCCCTGAAGCTCTGTAGCTGAGCTGCTCTGGAGTAATGCTTGCTCCAAGAGTGCCGCCACTCTTGGTCTGTCCGAAAGGACCTCGTGAGTGAGTTATAGTCTGTACCCACCTCGACAGCTATGCCTGTTATCAGCCCAAGTGCTGTAATAGTCGAGTTAATGACGGTGAGCTGAAAGTTGTTTCCGAATGCGTCGACCAGATGGGGCTAGTGAGAGATTACTTACATTCGGACTTTTCGGAAAAGCCTCTTTGTGGCTATCTGTCAAGGTCTGTTGTGCTGCACCAGCGAACCTGATTATCTCGGAATGTTTTTGCTTGATACCAGGCTCTAGTATACTAATGAAATCACTCGCAGCCTCTTCAGCGGGATCTGCAAAGGCCTTTCAACCAGACTCCTTGCGGACTTCATATCTGTTCGTCTCATACACATACTTGACCATATCAACCCAGAGTCGCCACTGGTAAGAACTCTCTGCGAACCACTCATCGAATTCCCTTTCAAACGGATCCAGGGGAATGCATATCGTCGAGGACTTCTCCGCCATCTCGGCGAGCAGTTGTGTCTGCCAGTTCATCCACCTATGGGCCATGTTTTGGAACAGTTCGTTACGTGCGGAAGGGAAATCTTCAACACCAAACCAGACAAGGACAATTGTTGCGGGTCTATATGTGAAAGTCATCAAGGCAACCTGTCTGTTACGTTCCGTATATCTTTTTGGTTGTTACATATCACATCGATCACACACAAAGCGACAACGACAGAGATCGCAGATGCCGCAGCGCGAGGCACAAGTTGCGGTGAACTGGGACGTTGAAACTGTTAATCGTCATGGCTGTCTTCGGATAATCTTGTCTAAGTTCCAGAGCGATGCCATCTCAGCCATAAAGCAACATGGGAAGAATCGTCGCGTTATCCTCGTAAGGAACGGCCACGTGTGGAATAGCGCGACATGTCTTGGTTTCGCCCTGAATGAAATTGGATCCAGAGTCGCGCGAAGCAGGTTGTATAAGTCGCTAGCCTTCAGGGTCAGGATGCGGATAGGATCATCACCGGCCGGAAGTGGCGTGTACTGAGATTCTAATTTCCCAACGACATCTCAGCTACAGGTTATCGGGCAATCAGGGAGGTTCTTTGAGCAAGAAGAATGGTATCCGCAAGGAGCCAACCCGAGAGATGCAGATCTTGGCTTTCGTCCCTACACATGGGCAACGAACAACTTATCCATACCGCAGGTCGAGCATCTTCTCGTTGGCTGTCCCTCCTCTACGTGCCTGAACAGGAAATCCATTCAGCTGATTCGTCAAACTTTGACTTCGAAGTTCATTATCATGCCAAGCCGATATCGCACCAAAGGATCACCTTGCGACAAGCCGATTGCCTCGGGCGTGTCTAGCCACACGCAGGTTCCGTACTACACCCTGTTGTTGGCGACGGTCTTGCTAATTACGTACAGGCGGCACGCTGCCTATAGCTCACTAACAGGTGTTGCCCCGTTTTACAGATGCGATCGTTCTATATCAAGTGGTTATTGATAGTTATACACGTATAGATCCATATAAACGAGTATCCCAGGATGCAATAACTTTGATGCAGGTATGTTGGGTCTAGCGAGGTTTAATCCGTATAGATGAGCGTCTTGCCATGTGGAGTTGACTTATGGAATTGCACTGTTCCTTCGTCGCCTGGGTATGATATCATTGCCCACTGACTCCAGTGCAAATTTAGGAATCGATATTCCACGGCTCAAGAGTTTTCCAGAAGAAGCTTTCCTCATAACGAATAGCGTTCGTGAGTCTTTTATCTCAGAATTCGGCGACAGTACTTTTTGCAATGTGAAAGTGTCGCCATTTGCGGGGTGAATAGCGGTGTATTGTACGAGTACTGGCGGAAACTGCGGAGGTCGAGATCCAAGAAGGGCCGTCAACCTGATTGGTTCGGAGTCGAAAGGCCACTGCAGTGGGTGACAATTTTTGATATCTCGCATGGGTATTGGACTGCACCTACAGTACCTTTTGTACCTTTAACACGATTGTAGTTAATGATCAATAGGCGCCAAAAAAACTATGTAACCGTAAGACGCGAACCATGAACTGCCCCTGGTTGATTCTGCGATCTAGTGAAATAACCTGGAGACAAGCCTCGCCGGCCGGCTATCGCCAACACATCCTGACATGCTGAGAACTGACTATCGTTTGTGTAAGCACCAGGTCACTCAGAAACCGTTCGACTGCCTGCGTCAAAAGCCCAAGTAAGCAATGCATTGCATGTTGATCGCCCAGCGCCAGAAATTTGCGATCCCGGCCACTCCGTTCTGTTTTTCTTTTTTCTTTTCTTTCCTCTCCTTTTCTTTCTTTTTCTTTCCCCACATCAATCGCTGAACCAATTAACTGGCACATGACCGCAATTATGCGGAAGTGGGCCATAGTATCAGAGTGGGAGGAGCACAAAGGGAGGATTACTGATCTGTACTGGCGCGATGATATGCCGTTGATAGAGGTTGCGAGTGTCATGGGCACAGAACACGGATTTCACGCTACGTACGCGTTCATCGTCACGCTTCTCGATCCCCGATGGGTCCATTCGGTGTCAAGAAAACTATCGAGCTGACTACTTTCGTAGGCCCAAAATGTACAAAGCAAGATTCAAGGTGCGTGCTACTACGACTTTCATCGTGCTGCACATCGGCTGAAGCCTGAATGCGTGAACAGATGTGGGGTTTGAGGAAGAATCTTAGCCAGAGAAAACGTAGCCGGGTTTTGAACGCAGCCTCGCAACCGGGATGCCCTGCCGCATCTCTTGCATTATGTCGCCGCGAGCTCGCTACGGCCAGGTTGGACCAGAAAGTGGAATGTTCGCGACGACAATTAATTCCAGGGCCGTCTTCACGGCCAAAGCCTGTAACGACATTACCAGGACTGTCAGTCTCTGTCCTGGAGGCACCGGATGAGCTAAGCGGTGCGGAAAAGTGCATCCGTTGCATTGTCGACTACACGCAAAACCGCCTCGAGACTGGGGCGTGGAAACCAAACAGATATAATATTTCCCAAGATACAGCTGCGCTGTGGTTCATGGAGACAAATCTAGTAATCAAGCTGTTGTTGCATGATCGCGCCTGGCCTCAAGCATTCGATTTACTAAGGATGTGTTTCTTGGAGTGCGAAGCAAGGCTTGATCGCCAAGAACCAGCTCTCATGCTTGCATTTTTGGTGAGCGCTCTCGGACTTCGAAGTGTCAGCCATGATCTATGTGCATCTTTACTAAGTCACGTTGCAAAAATGAGCTTTGTTAAACTAGGGCCCTCTCATCCCTTCAGCGTATTATTCTCTCAACTCATCAAATCACAATCGCACGGATCAAGTGATTGGTTGAGGGCAATGGCAGGCGCGCAACATGCTGCTATCCGGGAAAACACCAAGCCGTATGCTTACATCAGAAATATCTCCAACATCTCGACCATGCACAGCCTCAAAGCTTTGGTTAGCAGTGGCAAGCTGTCCTACACCGAAGCTGAAGTCCAATTTGCGGAAATGACGAGGGAAATGGTTTTTTTGGAAAACGCCGCGGACAACATCGCTTGGTTGTGCTGGGTTCGAATCAGTTGGGCAAGGATACGTTGTGAATTTGGCAAATATGACGAGGCGCAGGCACTGTTGGAGGGTCTCCCGGGCGAGCCTCTGAGCCAGGCCGTCTACCTAAGCAACGCCGTACCCGAAGATGTCCTAATGGCCCGGGGGAGAATTCTGCTAGGCCTGGGAAAAGATGAAGAATCAGCACAATCCTTCGAAAGAGCGCTTGCGGTCTGCGACGAGACTATGACATTTGAAAGCACCTGTGTTGCATGGGAACTATACACATATTATCTCACAAGAGGATCTACTAATAACGCACAGAATGCGAAGGCAGTCTTCCAGAAGTGTTTTCGGGGCGTTATTGGTGGATCGAAGAAACCTCGACTGCCTCCAGCTTCTAGCTTGGGGCAAATCTAGGTTAGGTATATCTACCCAATTACCAAAGGCCAACCAGTAGTCTAGTGTACCGGTTGTCTAGCGTATCAATGCGAATGCAAAGGTTATTGTCATCATCACCAGATGTAACATCGCCATAGTGAACAAGCAAGGTATAGGATGAGCCCGAAAACATATTTCACAGCGTGCGGACCATTTGATCCTGAGATGCTGCCGTGCCTGTGGCCAAGCAACTTGCGTTTTGTGATTTACACGATCAAACAAAGCAGGGGCACCACGAAGACTGTATAGGCTTACAGTTTATCCACAGACTTGAGCCGAGACGAAGTCACTCCCACCCCACATCGCAAACAGAGTCCCCGAATGATACCTGCAACCAATATGATATGGAAATCTGAGCTCTTTTTGGCTGATCACTGCAAACACGCTTTTAACCCAGTGCCCAAACTAGAAGCCTTGTCTCGCGACAAATACAGATCACATTTCGCTTTGCTGTTGAGCATATGATTGGTTGATTCACATGTTCATGGTGATGTGTCAGGAATGTGGATACTGCCGCAGTCACATTCCAGTGTTACCGCCGTTTGCGAGCAAGACAGCGACGGGTCAAGAACGTGATACCTGTGCTCAGGCAAAACATCAAACTGCAAGCAGTTCGAAAATTTCGTGTATACAAGGATTTTTTTCAGGTTAACTTGCTGCTTAGTACATCATTCAATGCTGCGTCTTCAATCTGTCATTTTCTAGTACTTTTGAGAACCTCTAATTATAGACACGGATAACGATCCCTGAAATATGCATCATGACCAGATTCGCGTTGGAACCTCTGCAAGATGAAGACTGGTCGAAATAGCTTTCCCTGCGCAACCGGCCGCGCTCAAAGCCTGGGCACCAATTTCATGATTACGTACAGACCGAGATAAAACGACTGAGACAGCTCAACCCGTGTCTAGAACTCACCAGAGCCCAGGGGATCAATTCAAAACGATATTACAACCCGGGCCCGGATCCAATAGTCCTAAGAGCACGTGTTAATGTCCGCGCAGAATGGAAAACGACAGGCATATGGAGGCCTCAGTTCGAATGCCTGATGAAGGGTGGTATCAGAGATGTAGGAAGCTGGGCGCACGAGGTCCAACAAGCATCGCCTGGCGACGCGCTTGAGGAAGGGGCCACACCACCACGTACGGACGCTCAGGTCACAAGATGGCGACGTAAAAAAATTGAGGGAATGAAGAATAGCAGCAGGAACAGCAGGCCGATCAACATGTTTCGCTGTCAGCTATCCAAAGCGCGAAAGGTTTTGGTGGATGGCTTGGATACGGAGTCGAGTGGGAGCAGTGCACAACGTTCTCTTAATGTCAGCTTGCAAGCTTATTGGCTTGCAAGAAACGACTGGGAGAGGAGGGGTATCTGGTTCGAGGCTTGGGGAGGGCTACCAGGCAATACATGGGCACATGAAATTCCAATTGAGGACTGGTATAAGGATAACGGCCATGTTGTCCAAACAGTTCCGAGAGTTCGACGGGCTAATCGGAGAAAAGTGGAGATTGGTGCAATGGGACGTTACCGCAGAAGGGCAAAGAAGTCCAGGTGTCGAGTGCAGTGGGCCGAGTACTTTGACGGCCTCAGCGTAGAAGTCTTGGGAAGGAAGACGACATTGGGACGAAACAATCGGCAGATCATCGTTCTAGATGGAAATTCCAAATATTAGAGGTACATCAGCAAGACAAGTCAACGTTCAAACCCGCCAGAGAAGGGAGGCTGCAGCATGAGTCGACAGCGCAAATATCAGAGCTCCTAGAGTCAGATTGCGCAGATGCAAATCAAACAGACAATCGTAGTCACTCAAACGTGAGGGAAGAAGAGAATTTATCCGTTGAGCAAAACGTCGCAGAGGCCGAGGTTTCTATGTGCCTAGGCCACAACTGTGCAGCCCATTCTGTTGTACCATGGGTCTGCGAACCGGGTGGAGCTTCTACGCACGAGCGATCTAATAATGAAATGCCAGGAACATTTCCGAGTGCTCTCTAGCTAAGCGATGAAATCTAAAAGTGGTAAATCGGATGCATAAGTTATTACTCTTATAAGTATAGTAAGGAATGTATCCAAGGTTACAAAACCCAGGCTAAGGTTTTCTTCGGTAATCATACATCGAATATATCAATCTCTATCTCTACCGGCCAATTGAAAATATGAAGAACGCAGGAACTCCGACCAAACAACGTCATCCAGAAGAAGCACCTAGTCTAGAGGTTTAACGCCAAGAGTGGATTGTAGATTCCTGTGGGCGAGAATGATGGTCATGTATCTCAACTCGCCTTTGCTATACCTAGGGGTATGAGCAAATACCATTACTCAATTAGACAGCCTAAGAGTACTAGAGGGAATTTATTAGCAGATACTCACTCATCTCAAAAGAGGCAGCAAATCTATGCACCGACTTGCAGGTGGCTCCTTCCTCTGGCTACTAAGTGGTCATTCCAGTTCACAGTCACTGCAAACGTTCGATTGTCGATCACATGCTTGGTTTGCCTAACGCACCATGTACCTAAATAAGAGGATAAGTATATATTACCTCTATTACATTTTGTTATCGCTTCTTATGAAAGCAAAGCGCTGGGGCTGATATCATTTACTAATTGCCTTCAATCAAAGAGATAAACCAGTCTCTCGCAGCATTTAGCCTAGTCTCGACATTATTCTCGAAAACGGCCAAATGAGAATGGAGACTTTGGACATTTCTTTGCATCTCCGTCGTAAGTTCCATACGTGACCACTATAAGATCAATAAGAACGATTTCTAACTAGATTCGCATAGTGCCTGACGTAGACTAGAAATTATACTATGTTCGTAATAAGAATCGATAGATTGAATTTAAAACAGTTTGAGACCATGCTTAGATTCCTGTCATAAACAGTTCTAAAGACTACATAGAGTGAAGTGATAATAAAAGTATTAAAGGTGATGTGTAAATGTAATAAAAGTGATGTATAAATGTAATAGAAGTGATGTAAAACATATGACAACCAATCTGAGACTGTTCTCAGACTGCTCTTATATATATTTCGAATAAATTACAAACGCGAAGTGATGTACGAATGTAGTAGAAGTAATGTGTAAATTTAATAGAATTGATTCATAAATGTCATAGAAGTGATCAAGAAATGTAAGGGGAGCGATGTGTAAATGTAATGGAAGTGATATAAAACATGACGTACTAGTCTGAGACCGTTTTTGAACTACTCTAATATATAATTTTAACAAATTGAGTAAAAGGAACCGATATATAAATATAATATAAGTAATGTTTAAATGTAAGGGAGGTGATGCAGAACACCTGACGCAATCAACACTTAGTGGGCTGCACCACGTAACCTTGAGTGTCTACACCGCAGAGTATTTAGACGTGCTGTGGGGCGTATTTTGCAATACCTCGAAACACTCGAAGCAATACTAGCTAGACAGCGTGCTCAGTGGCAATGAAATGCCAGCGGCGCGCAATAATAACGACGTTCTTTGCTCAAACAACTTTCTGACCGTAGCGAATATCGACCAAGCTTCTTATAACAAGGTTGGCCAAAACCCTTCGTACCATGCCGAGAGAATTTTCTAGATATCAAGAAACCTTTCGTCGACATGAAAATTCGAGCTCGCTAATAAATCACTGCCAAATGATTGTCCCTTTCTTCTTACCACAAACTGAATCTCTAGTCTTTAAAATCCCGAGTGCATATGGGAGTGTAACCGCTATTGACTAAGGTTCCGAACAAAACAAGAGTTGGATGATATTCCACCAGATCTAAAAACCTTTTCCATATGATGAAAGAAACATGGAACTTAGCCCGTTTACATTAAATACCATAGCCGACATTGAAAGTAGACACACTTGGTGATATGTATCGCTGCCTATGGGATGTAATAATGTAGGCAAAGCTGTGGTTTGGGCCAACGCGCACATGTGGTATAATTAGAGCACAGATAGCTATATCGAGAAGATGTAGGGATCAATCTCGGGGTTAATTCAAGCGCCAAGTCCGTAAAGAACCACTCTAGAGACGAATTATAACACGAGGGCTTCCCAGCTTACCTTGTCTGTGCCAGAGGCGGCAAGATTTGAACCACGGGGAAAACAGTTTAAGACAATTTCATTTCACCCCTATCTCATACTGGTGCTACGCGACAACGGCCTCCCGAGATCCGGTCTCGCGATCCAAATCAGAGTTCATTTAGTAATAGTGATTTATGTACAAGTGTGGTGGAAGGAGCGTAGCGATGTTCAGCACTAAACAGCAGTGCTTAGCACGTTCGCGTTAACCCGCGTGTCATGCCTTGCACTGCCATCAAAATCCATATTAAGTCCATCCCTCATACGCGGGCTATCATATACAATGTACAACTGTACAAATCTCGTCAGAAGTCTTGACCCTACTATAGCACTTTATATGCTATATGGACTTGAATAACTTACATTTGTTGTTCGTATAATACCATTGTACGTCATGATCTCTTCCTCACTGCCATCAGGAGAATATCCTCTGATCTGAGCGTGGGCCTGGTTGAGTTCCTTCAGAACAAAACCGCTACCTCCAGGGTTCTTGTGTCGATTTGTTCCTGCATTCCTTCCAAGTCGCTCTGATGCACCGCAAGAGGGTCCATCTTGTGTTGTTTTTCCTTTGAAGTACTGCGGTAGCCACTTTACAAGTAAAGGTCGCAGTGCTGGCACACATGCTGTCACAATAGCCAAGTTGGTCTCAATTCCGGCGCATGTTGGCCCCCATGAGTTGTTGAAATTAAACGCAGGATCCGTGAAGCTTTTCTGCATTATGGCAAGACGAATACAGCTGACTGTAGTGACACTGAAGATAGTTATTCGTAAACTAATCGTACATTCGCACAGCATGGAATTGACTTACACGCCACCTGCGAGGAATAAGACAATTAGGCCGATCTTCTGTGCAGTACGCATATTGAGTCCGATGAAGACACAGATTGGAATTGCCAATACCAGTACGTCGGTAGCAATTGTGATTGCACCTGATGCAACTGCAAACTGCACAAAATCTACAGAGTAGAGGGCTTCAACGTTTGGGTTCCATGCAGCTTCAATAGGAGATGTTTGGAAGATAACTACTATCACAAGAGCTACCATCTGTGCTAGGTTGACGAAGTTAACGACATAGATTGCCAGACGGATGTTCTTGTTATGACTGCTTATTCTTAGTAAGAAACCAAGGACAGATGTCTTCACCAGAGCCAGGATTGGGTTGTAAAAGATCTCCATTATGTATTCCCAAAGAAGAGCAGGGGCAGGATCGTGAGCTGGGACATCTGATGCAGGAAAGCCCACGTAGCCGTAACGAAAGTCTAGGAATTATCAGACAACTGTTCTGCTTGACCCCAACAAGAACACTCACACAAATACTCAGATACGATGTCTACAAGTTCAAAGATCTACGATCATCTTGCGTCAGAAATGTTTGATCGTGGTCATATTTAGCGGTGTTAACCAGTCGTACCATAGCTGCAGTCATCACCCAATCGTCTGTTCAAGAATTAGCGTTGGGAAAATGATTTAAGTCATCTTACATGCCTATGCCAATTTGTTTCGTACTTTGTCGACTGTACATCCGGAGGGAGTAGACCACAAAAGCAAAGACTACCCAAAAGATCGAGCACGCCAGCATCGACTGTTGTAGTGGCGTTGTCGGAATAGTAGATACATCTTGCCAGCGTGGGACAAGTGCCTGTGGAATGAGAGTCGGCGACATTGGAATATGGGTAACCGAGTCAAGGTAGAATGCTAGAAAAGAAAATACAAATCTCACTCTCAGTGCTACAACATATTTACTTACAAACAGGCAAAAATCATACAGTATCGTTGGACAACGTTGTCTACCGTTCGTGGCAATCTAGGCTTTTACATAGTGTCCTAAATTATTTGTCAGATTTCAGTCAAAGTGGTGAGTTAAGGCCAGCCAGGATGTGTGTTGGTTCCTGATTTACCGGTAGGTCCTTAATATGATGCAGGTTCCAGTAACCAGGCTGCTCTGTCTAGGATAATCTTCAATTAATTATCCACTACTGCACAGACTGGTACCATCCCACGGGAGCTTGGTGGTGAATATACATGTAGCGATACCATAACTACGGCTGAATAATAAATTGACAGACATTGGTTCTTGTCCTACTAGCGAGTGGCTACGACTTTCCAGAAGTTTGTTTCTCATGGTATAATCGAGACGATGTAATATACTTGGCAAATGAAATAAACATTCGTGATTGGATAGTGTGCCTAAGGGAGAGTCGTACAAGGGTCTAAAAGGTCGATGGGATCGGTTGGCCTCGCCTTGATGCAGCTTTGTTTGCTTACGTCTTAATCAATATCGACACGGCTATCCTAACACTGCCACTATTATATCCCAGTTTTTGATAGCGAGATAAACTCGCTTTTGATCATGGAGCTTATCATTGGTGAGTTCCGACCATGGTGCAGTTGGCACAAATTGTCCGAAGCATTAGCGTCAGAATGAAAAAGAAAATTAACAATCCAAATCTTCCAGCTCCGAGCTGTACGGTTCTGATATGTTCTTGTGCAATAAAAGAGTCGAGTACAAACAGTTGTCCGAATAAACGGTTAAGATGCCGAGGATTCTATGTAACTTGGCGGTCAGACTAAACCTAAGCCAGCCAGCTAATACCGTCACAAAACACGTTGGCTTCTAGCGGCTCTGAATTGAGAACAGCCAAACTACTCTGCTGGGCTGCTAGGAAAACGAATGCCCTTGCACGATACATTTCTTCAGGTCTTTTGAGCCTTGCTCGAAAGCTCATACAATCCGGACAACAAGTTGAGCAGGGCCGGCTTGTATGTCGCGTTCCGGGCGGGACTGATTCCTGATCAATATAGCGCCTGTTCTCAACCCTATCATTCCGACGAGAATTTTATATTGATCGGTCCTTTCTGTTGCACTGACACGCGTTGCAATGTTCATTGTCATTTCCGAATAGATTGGCAACGAGAACGACTGGCTAAGACTCGTCCCGACAGTTTGGAACCCGTTAGCTACTTGTGTCTTATTGGTGTGAAATAGTTCGACGATCCCATGCTTAATGTGCCATTCGGCTGGCCAATCTGCATTAGTCTCAATAAATGTCTCCGCCGAAGGCTCTTCGGTCAGGGATACCACAATTTGCAACAAGCGATTTATGTTCGCAGCATCAGATGCCAGACGCACCGCGCCCAGCAGAAACGATTTTGAGCCACAAACGTCCGTGGTGCCTTCGGAGAGCTATGTTACCAGTTGATACTAGACAAGTGTTGCAGTATTCTCAACACTGGATCAGACCAACGAATTCCTGCTTGGCACACAGTGTACTCGTACAGCCCACCATCTTTTTTCCCACGTTGTGTGGTTTGGTGGAGCTGCTTGATACTATAGTATCCACATGTCTTTTAATAGCGTACCGCTCCAGTTATGTATCCTGGGCCGCGGAACGGAGACATTATGATTCCCCGCTGGACTTTCAGGGCTCAACGCGATGCATATATTGCCCCCAGTACTCGAGTATCAGGCTTTATAAGATGACTTGGCTGCTTACCAGTAGCGAATTTCCCTCAGCGCTGTGCATACAGGAATCGGACTAAAAGTCGCGACACATTGCTCTTCCTATGATCAGGCTATCGCCAACGGTTTCGACAACATGGCACGCTTTTGTGGGGTACTGGCGTCCCTCGCGTCCCTCCAACAGTTTGTATCAGCTCAGACTATTGTTTCCAATGGAAGAATTCTCCGTATGTGGGCAGGACTGTATTCAATCTCATTTGTTTCTTGTCTTCTATTCTACATTTCATTATCACCCTACCGCTCTCAAAGCGAACTCCTTACTTCGGTGCTTACGGTAAAGCTTACAGATCTCAAATAGCTGCAAATACCTCAAATATTTCCCCTGCGGTTGAAGTCCTGCCACAAAGCAGCACATTTGCTGCCGAAACGGCCCAGCTGACAGATAACGTTTTGGCAAATTTGACTGCGTTGCAGCTATCCAACATCTCTCTCTTTGGCTTCTCCACAAATAACTCCAACCATAAGCGTTCATCGGGACCCGTTTGCAAGACATATCCAGGAGATTCTTTCTGGCCCATTAGTTTGATTTGGGACATCTTTGACCTTTTGCTTGGTGGTGCGCTCATCAAAGCCGTTCCGATCGCATCACCATGCTATAAGAACTTTGGCAATTATGATGCCGACAGATGCGCCTACGTGGGAGATCAATGGTCTGTCTCAAACCTTCAGTAAGTGCAACCGTGGTGTTACCTTCATGTACTACCACTAAAACTTACGCAGCGAGGAGGATCCGACATCTATCATGTCACCCTTGTACCAAGGGCTGACATGTCTGCCTGACGGCTGGGGACCGTATGGCAACTGTACCATGGGCGGTTACCCAAGCTATGTTGTCAATATTACCAGCGTAGCTCAAATCCAGCTAGCTGTGAACTTCGCTCGTAACCTCAATATCCGCCTAGTCGTGAAGAATACCGGGCATGACTTCAAAGGTCGTTCCGCAGGTGCTGGGGCGCTCTCAATCTGGACGCACTATCTCAAAGACCTTGAATTCATCGAGAGCTTTACCCTAGGTAGCTACTCCGGCCCAGTCATTAAGGCCGGGTCCGGTATTCAAGGAACGGAGCTGTATGAGTTTGCAGATGCCAATAACGTCACAGCTCTTGCAGGTGAAGGGAGAACCGTTGGTTGGGGCGGTGGCTATATCGCAGGAGGTGGGCATTCCCCGCTCTCCTCGAAATATGGGATGGCTGCCGACCAAATCGTAAGTATTGATCTCGTGACTCCGGACGGCCGGTTCATCGCTGCCAATGAGATCCAGAACAGCGACCTCTTCTGGGGCCTTTGTGGTGGAGGCGGCAGTACATTCGGAGTCGTGACGTCCTACACCATCAAGGTCCATCCGAGACTTGATCCGATAGTCATTTCGACTTTCTCGATATCCACCTCAGGAAATAATGTCACCACCGACGTCTTTTGGGGCGCCACAAAGACCTACTTTAGTATGATTCCAACTTTCGTTGATGCAGGAACCTACGCGTATTGGTACTTCTTCAACGCTAGCAACGTATTGTCCCTCACTGTGTTCGGATGGGTCGCACCCGGATACACAACAGAAAGCTTCAATAACCTCACTACGCCCCTATTCAATTCTTGGTCCGGTCTCGGGATCGACGTCGAGCCAGACACAACGCAGCACTCGAGCTTTCTGGACGCTTTCAACCAGGGGTTCCCACAGGAATCCGTGGGCACTAACGTCTCCCGTGCCGCCAGCCGCCTGGTATCTAGAGACAATCTTGTTGAGCCCGCCAAGCTCAATACCACGTTTGATGCCTTCAAGAGCATCGTCAAACGCGGAGGTGGCATGGTTGGTGTCGCCACGACGGGTGGTCCTGCCAATATGACCATCCCAGATAACGCTGTCAATGACGCTTGGCGCACTGCATCTGCACAGATCCTCTCCGTCGTGTTCTGGGATTCCGGTGCTACGCTCCAGGAGGCTGCCGAAGCCTTGATTGAGTTCAACACTACGTGGCTTGAACCTGTTCGCGCCGCTACGCCCGGTGGTGGTGCCTACAATAGCGAGGGCAATATCATTGAGCCTGATTGGCAAAACACATACTATGGTGCTGAGAAATATGCTAAGTTAAGCGATTTAAAGGAGAGATATGACCCGACTGGCCTCTTCTATACAATCCATGGAGTTGGTAGCGAAAACTGGTACATTACGGATCAATTGGTCGGACTTCCGACGCAGAATGGACGGTTATGTCGCGTTGCTCAGTAGTAGGATGAACCCAACCAACGGCCACCAAAAATTGATGGTTGATGAACATTTTCCCTTGTAACTGAGTCGATATCGACTGCCTATATGCCTGTCCGCTGTGACATGTTACACGATCTATCACATTCCAAGGATGTCAGCAGCGCGCCAAAACGATCGGCTTCCACCCGGCGCGCCACTATGTGCGAAAGCTATCCATCAATACGTGCAAGCTCATATGAGTGTGCCGATACTATCACCATAAAAGCTTATCCAGAAGCTACTAGGAACACTACTCTCCGCTCGGCGCCCGCAAAACAGCATCCAGGGGCTGCGGGATGCCGAGACTCGGATTGTTCCCCCTGTCAAAATTGACAATCTGCGCCATCGTATACCTATCTGTTCCACAGGAGCCTTTTGAGTTAGACGTCGCATGAAATGCGTTCTTTATTTGCCGAGCGTCAGTCAGAACGTATCAACAAACAGGGGAGTTCTACTAACCCATGTCTCTTTGCCATCTGGAGACCTGAAGAAGCAGTTGTGTCCTGTGCCGTAGTTGCCATTGGCTTGTGAGAACACAGGACCCTTCTTAGTCCAGGAAGAAGCCTGCAGCGGGTCTCCTCCAGCATAATGGAGCAGACCAAGAGCATAGTTTGGTGTCCCGCAGTCTTTGATCATACGTTAGTTATGGTGTAAACAGCCGATGAAGAACTAGAATATGGTCTTGAAAACTGACATGAAGCAGAATATGAGAGCCAAATCTCACCACCATGGTATAATGGCTGCAAACTCGGTTAGCTGGAGCACAATGACCGGTCAACTAAACTCACATGAGGCCCTTCATTCACAGCCACAATGCTACTTGGTGACGAGTTCGTCGTGTTCATCTCCCAAGCCTGGTCGGGCTCGGAAATGATGTTCCACCCCTTGACCGACCAAGTAGTGGTGTCGAGCTCGGTAATCTGGATCGTTTGGATCGCTGCCGTGGTGTTGGGCCCGATGGCGCTGAGGACATGGTACCGGCCCTTTCCTTCGATTTCGAGATATGTTCCATCAATGCCAAAGGAGAAGTTCTTCCCCGGTCCACCTTGAAACCCGACAGGCGGGACCAAGTCTGCCAGAAAACTATATTCGCAGTCATACGGGTTGGGTCCATCACATCCTCGCAGAACACGCGGCTGACAGCTGTCGCAACATGTCAGATCAGCGTCGCAGGAGGAGTAGAACATATGCCAGACGTTGTCGATGTGGTGGATTTCAGGGGCCCACATGTTGGCGCTGCGGGTTGTATTGGTATCGGTCCATATGGTCTTCGGCTCTCCAGTGAGAAGACCCGAGATCTTCTCGGCTCTGGTGATCTCGATGTGGTCGTAACTTGTGTAAGTTAGGTGGTAATAGCCATCCGCGTAGACCATGGATGGGTCCGGCCCAGGCCTGCGGATTGGGTTCTGGTATGTGCTCTGGTTGTTGTATGCATTGCCAGCTACGGACCCGCTTACATGCAGTAATACTGCTGCAAGACTACACAAAGTAGGCCCCCTCATTCCGGATATCATTACTATTTACTCAAAGATTTTCAGCACAATTCAACAGCATACGCTTGGGACAATCTTTGGTCTTTATACGCCATGGTCACGATGATCGTCACAGGGGACGATTATAGCGCATACTACGTGCCAAGAGACTAGCAGGTCACACATAGCCAGGAATTACCCCATCTCTCCACCAACCTCTCAGCGGGTGATATCCCCAGTCTAGGTTAGGGAATTGTTCTCCGCAAACCACCACGGCGATGATTATGGGCTTACGGTGTTTAGCGCACCAATCAGGAGGTTTCCGGCGGCACAAAGGACGGAATCGATGAAAGCACCAATAGGGCCAGTTGTTCACGTACGAGAAATTTTGATGATGCTGTGGACGAACATTTCCGCACTCTAATTATTTTCAATAACAAAACGCCAAACCTCAGACTTACTCCAGTGGTGTCAACCACCGCCATACTTCAAAGACGTGGGCGTCCGTCTTCGTCGTATAGCCCAATCCAGGAACTGTTCGCTCTTGGCAGTCCCAGAACCCGAGACTTCTCATGGCTCCTGATCAAACCGCGAAGTTTCGAGATCTGGAATATTGAGCACCAATCTTTTTGGCAGAGATTGGTGATACTGGATTGCCGTAGCTGGAGGGGACGCAAAGGCGCTAGATGGATGAGGATCCATCGTTGCGCTCAATTTCTGCTCCTGAGTATGCCCGGATGGCATTCTTAAGCCACTGATATCGCTTTTACCAGTCTCACCCGCTTCCGCGTTGGCGGCATCCATGAGCGCCTTATTTGCCCTTCCCACCATGCGCTGCTGCGATCTCATGGCGAGTCAATGATATGTGCTCTTTGGTATGCGGATGATGGCAAGGGGGGTCGTGATGAGATGACAAGTGAGTGCTCGGATCATAGCCCAGAGGTTGTTGCCTAAATCTCGCATGCTCTCATGGAACTCACCGGTATGGCATTTGCGGCCGATGTCCCAGAATATCAGCCCCAGAAAGATCAAAAGCATGAGGACGAGTATGATGAAGGCGATGTTAAAAGTGGCTGTGCCATAGTCAGGAAATTGACCCCTGGTTTGAATTCAGTCGTCGCGTCTCAAAAAACCGGTGGTCTCTCATAAGCTGACTGTATAATACCAGGGCCGACAGCTGATAGGTTGTCCATAGTCACTCAGAGTAGAAGGTAAGAGTAGAAAAGCTAGTCGGTTAAGCTACATTTTTGAGTATATCCAAAGGTGCTGACGAAAGTGTATGAGCCGCGAAACCCAGCAGGTCAAGCGAAGTGGAATAAAGCTCGAAGAAACCCGCAATCAGGCCATTGAGTCTACGTTGCGTCACAAAATCTGCTATTTCAAGCTTTTATCTTTGGTGTGAGGTGTCGGGCACCCATGCTACCGATATATACACGTATGAGTATATTGTTGGTATTGTTGGCACCAAATTGACTGAGTAAGAGCAACTTCACCTGACAAAATTGAAACATTGATAACAATATGGACGTATTGCTCAAACCCGTGATGGATTAGGCTCGGGTCATGTGCATGATGCCCCCTAAAGGTACAAATCCATCATCCGACAGTCCTTCTATCGTGCAACGTATTGTAGAGTTGGAATCGTGGCAATTAAATGGCCAGATGAATCTGCTCGTGACCGTGAAGCAAACAAGCTAATTATACAAAACGCGACGGGCATAGATCTGTGCAGGAAGTCTGTCGATAGTGCGGGAGGTCTGGGCCGCAATTAGTTGCTCCTAATAATCATAAGCGCGGAACTTTTTAGATCCGATCGCGGGTGATCCGCTCCCAGTCTCAGCCGCACCTTCGACTTCTGCCATGGAAGTTTCATGACGAATTGATCATCGATCACCATGAGGCCAATTTTGTCACAGCATTGATCTGACGCTTCTGGAGCCCTTGATAACTATATCAAGTCATCCATCATGGAGGTTATCGGGTGCATCTCTGCCTGTTTGCACCTCGCAGAAGGAATAGCCAAGCAGGTTGACAAGTTCGCGTCAGCACCAAAACATATCCGTCATATTTCTTCCGACGTTGCACTCGTGGGAAGAGTCCTGCAACAATTGCATAGGACCTTGGCTTCAATGCATCACAATGGAAGACAGGTAGATTTAAGCGCAGATGCTCGGAAGCTGACTTTGGAATGCACAGCGAGATGCGACTCGGTATTTCAGGATGTCAGAAGGATATTGACCACAATTGGCGGGAAAGCGTCGACCATAGATCCAAGCACGAAGCTCACATTCATACAAAAGGCAACGTACATGTTCTACGAAAAAGACTTGCGCGACTTGCGAGACGAGCTCAAAGGAGCCAAGCAGAACATCGTTCTCATCAACTCGGTGAACCAGATAGCTCTTTCAATGAACGATCCAGTGTATGTTGGAAGCTTCAAATCGTGTCATGTAGCTAATAGCAACAGTCGATACAACAACAATTGCGGAGCAATGGACGAGATGAGGGTCATGCTTCAACTCATCTATGACAACCAGCATCGTGGCGTGACAACGCTGCCATCACAGGAAACAACAGTACCACTGCTCCCGATAGATCCAGTTTATGGCCACGAAGAGCCTCCTTATTTCACTCCGAATCGTGGCTTTGGCGTTCAGTCTAATCAATCAAACCAACCCAATTCTGCTGAGCAGGCCCCAAGTCAGCCGAACTTCGCGCCGATGGAATGGCCAAATGCGATCATGCGAGTTCACCGGAATATGGTGTCTGTGGGCTGGTTGAAGAGAAATGAAATTCGCTGGGTGAATGACCCTGTAAGTACAATGGATTGACAGGAGTCTTCGCGGGGTTGGAAAAATCTGACACTTCTAGTACGAGAGTTCAATGATCGACATACACGACAAATTGTCGGCGACACAGTTTCAATACATTACCAATCGCGCCAAGTCTCACCCTGCTGTCTCTGCCGAGGGAACAGGAAATCATAATGTGGGCTTCCGTTTCTCAAAGGGGCAACGAAGAAATCATCGCACAATGTACGAAGAGCGCGATTCTTCTCCAAATCCATCGGACAGCTCACTGGACGCTAGTAACAAGCAACACTATGCGCGGCAGTCTGGCAATCCTACTGGTTCATCGCACTATTCTAGTCACGGAGGCAAGGGGGAAAAGGAGACGAAGTATCGAAACGAGGACATCGTGCAGCGTCATGGTGCAGTACCAGTGTCGCCTTCTCGGCTGAAGTATCGTCGCGGGTCTACAACTGTCCCCCAAGCAGATGCCATACTTTCTGATGCTATGCGAAACGCATGTGTTGATACTGGAAAGGAGCGTCGAAGGTGCGAAAAGCTGGCCAAAGAAGAGGGGGAAAGGCGGAAGCAAGAAGGCCACGGCGATGCCGAAAAAGAGCCTCGGATTCCCAAGTCCCCGTGTGAACCACCTGCGTACGATGCACATAGATTTCCAGGCGATAATTTCAGTGATTCCAGCACATTTTCGGCGCATGAAATTGACTCGTGTGGCGACTTGTCTGATTCCGATGAAGAGGAATATATCGACAGGCTAGCATCCGCCTGGGCCACCACAGTGGTCGAGCGGGGGTCTTCCTCTACAGCGGAGTGCAGTAACACTACCAAGTCATGTCAAGTCACATTTCTTAAAGGTCAAACAATTTGGCAATGCCATACTTGTGGTTCTGGCGACGACGTTGACTTTTGTGCCTCTTGTTTCAGAGCCACTGATCATGAAGGACATTCGATCTCAAAGAAAAAGTCTGACATGGATGGACGTTCATGCGATTGTGGTCGTCCAGAGCTGGTGCTTCGTGAGGTAAATTGCGCTATACATGGGATTGTGAGGCCGTTATCTCAGTGACACTAGCTCTTTCAGCTATGACTGTTGTACGCCCGTAAGGACTCGGCGACTTGTTACCGATACCGTTGATAAATAAACTAATGCCACAAACCTGCTCAGCAATGGTAGATGCTTCGGTTTCGATTCCAATGCTGAGTCGAATTCCTATTGAATGAGTTCCAAGCACTGATAGCAGTGGTCAAGGCATAAGCTTGAGACAGCTATAGTCTAAAAGAGAAGCATGTACTCATACCGGTCCCATCGTTATCGGTGTTTTTGTAGTTGGAGTAAGAGACCCGGCTCTCGCTCGATTATCGGTAATCCTCTCTCGGGCCATTATGATTTCGGATATGATTATCACACATGGTGGTCTGAAACGAACAATAAGAAAGGTGCACTCTAGAATGTACCTCGGATACATGCTTTCCACCCAGGCAGCCAGTTTCGACGAGGTACAGAAGCATGAGATAGGACTTTTGCAGATAGCACAACGGATAGCATTATTAATTATGCGGCAAGGATTGGTGCGTTCAGGGGACCAGAAGTTTCGCTGAGTGAGAAGAGGGGAAGTCAAAGTGCAAAAGCGAGTGTATGGCCTATAGATCCAGCCAAAATTAATGACTGAATGATTCGGAGGGGACCTTCGTAGCCACACAATACTCGAACCATAAACAACCGTTCCACTAGGCTTGCAATCCCAGTCCACGTCAAGGAGTCATAATGTCGTGGCAACAAGAGAGTTATTGATCAAATTTAACTACGCACATAAGTACCAAGGAAACTTGGTTCTAGGGTATGGTCTGTACGACAGAACTAGCAACAATCCCTGCAGTGATTCGTTCGTTTTTTTGCTTCTCGAGTGTAACAGACGAATCTCTTGGCATTAATTTCGCATAGGAAACAGGTGGGTACGCACGGTTCACTCTTTGCTCTGGTGTTGAAGTGATACATGTCAGCCAACCAAAACAAGCCAAGCCACATCCAGCCTCGTTGACAGCACACCCTCGCAGCGGCCCGAGTGCTTCATCTAAGCGCCGGGTGTTTATTGTACTGGTGAATAAGGATTGTAGGTAGCCGTTTCATGGAGGGATTGTGCAATGCCCGGGTTACCCTCCCGGCCTACCCTGGTCGAGGTTCTCGCTGACAACTTTTGCCTAGCTACTTCTTTTGGACATGCACTTCCATCAGACACAAAGTCTTCACTTCATGGGCAGGTACCGAGCGGGTTTGTACTCCTCATGTTCAAGCTCATGGTATCATTTCGCAAAAAAGAAATATGTCCATAGTACTTCACCCATTCACAACCACTGTCGCAGCCTGCAAAAATATCGAATCTTCTCGAATTATTATTGACACTTCCCGGACGGCTTTGAGCTTAGATAGACCATAAAGGAAACAAAGGCCTCGCCCCCTCCCATGATACTTGGTTCCCTGGCACGCCATAGTAACCATTCGTCCCAGAAATCATTTTTTTGATGGCGTTCCCAAACATGCAAGACCTCGAGTGGGAACTCCAGCAGTCCAGAATCCGCATTGCCAACGACTTTATCTCGAGGTCTGTACTTGAGTACACAATGCGCTTCAACGAATTAGACCACGACATTGAAACAAACGATCTTCCTCGACTTCGCGATGCAATCAAGCAGCTATGCCAGAAAGTTGGTTTACTTGTCAAGGAGAAAGCACTTACTTTTGAGGCATACCAGGCTTTGATTGAAAAGTGGTCATTGCGACCAGAAGACACCCAGAGCACCCTTGGCCAGCTGACTACCAGCGGGTCCAGGGTGCTTGGTGTCCACAACTCTATTTCGGATTTCGATGCACTACCTCCACTACAGCTCGTGCTATATGGACTTGGAGATGACGTTACTGAAGCTTCAGAAACAATACGCGCTGTATTGCAGTTGCCATCGGATTTCAACCAGACGACCACTGTAGAACCGCCACGGAATGAAACAACCGATTTTGAAGTCCAAGTCGGGTCGGCGCCTCCTCATTCACCATATCATGCAGAAGGTGTGGAGGATGTTCAATCCACTATTGATGTTCATGATGACACAAGACTGTCATCATATTCGCTCGTACTGGACGAGGCCCCGCTCCAAGAACTCGAGTCCTCATATTTTCACAGAGATAGGACACCAAGCGCAGACCGATTGCTCATTAATCGACAAGACGACAGCGTACGAACGATCCAAAGCTTCCAACTGTCAGCGGAGGAATTCCCAATCATCAACAAGGATTACCCGGATGACATATATATAATTCGATGTCCGGATCCTTACTGCGTAGGGTGGCAGTTCGAACATAATCCTTTCCTGCTTGGGCAAGCAATTAACCACTATCTAAGATACCATCCGGGGGTACTAAAGAACGGCTACATTACTAGGCAGATAATCTGGGAGGTTTCTGCAATCAAAGGTAAGCTCCAACGCCCGCTCCACAGACTGCCAGGGTAGAGCTTTGCTGATTATTGGCACTTCCAGTTGTTGGGATGGACCAATCCGAGGTCAGAAGGCGAGCCAGAGCGAAGCACCAAAGATGGACTTGCAACCCAAGTCAAGGCATGTTCAGGTAGTATGATAGAGATCATGCTGGTAGATATGCTAACTAGATGGACAGATTCATGGACAGAGAAGTTCTATCTCGAACCTTCGGATAGCTACAACAGCCAAAATCAACCAAAACAACCACGCCTCTCGTCTGATGTGTGCGTACCTGGGTCACCAATCCTTGGTAGCATTGACCACGAAAATAACGAAGTCAACGATCCTTGTGCTGGTAGAGCGGCTTCGAGCTCAGACAATAGTCGCCACCATACCCCCTTCGTGTGTAGTACACATGATTCAGAATATATTGACGATGTATTTGACGATGCGTACCTTGACAACCGCTCAAGGACCATGCCCAAACTCAACAAAAATCCTGTTCATGTGACCATAGAGTCAGCTGAGCATACAGCCGGCTGGCCAACTGAAGATGTTTCACTCGACATGGAAAGTGTATGGCCAAACTCTTCGAGCTCTCACTCGCCACACTTACATTCATCTAAACGTCGCAAGCTTGCATCGGATCAATCTAATCCCCCCGTCACCCTCAAACGCAAGGGGCTCAAGAAGCTTGGGGTAGAATCTACCTCTTCCACCGGTATCAATGAGACACGCCTTTCTAATCCCGCAGAGAGCAATATAGACCTCGCGGAACAAGCGGTGCATGCGTCACGCAACTACCAAGATGCAAGGTCCTCTTTGGACATGACAAGCACTGACAGGTACAGTCACTTAAGCACCATCAATGTTGTATACGCTCAAAGTTACTAGTAAACGCAAACAGGTTTGATCCGATTGCCCGATGGTTTGCACGGGAGCATTGACTTGAGTTTGAATGTTGTACATGGGGTCAATCGAGAAGAATTATTCATCGACAAGGATGCGTTATGGACTCTAAAATCTGTGTTAGGAGTTTAGCTCCCAAAACACAATGATGAAAATTGGAAAACAATGTGGTGTCTTGGCCTAGAGTGAGTAAATATGCCTTATCAACTTTAGTTAGTGTGTTTCGACTCTTTCAGTCGCGGTCTTCAGATTTATCAATATAGACCTTAATGGATGCCTCAGCTTCCACCTGAGGCAACCACTTTAGGGAGCCTTCGGGAGGACAGAGGATAGCATGTTCTTCACCGCAGCACCATACCCCTTCAATAGACCTACTATTGGCCGCCTTACATGTTATTCGTCCATCAGAGCTCACTGATGATTCAATCCGGGTGACACTTGCCGCTACAATTCGGCCTCTTGCGAATACGTATGAACGACACTAGTCTAGTCTTTTTACGGGTATGAAGCGGCGGAGCAGATCGTCTTCCGATTTGTATTCAAGGGTATCATTAAGATATGTGACACGACTGTTTAGTTCTCATGCGAAGGAAAACCTTGAGTTCTGGTGAGTTGTAGCAGGGGTGGGAATTGTGATCAATCATTATGCGTCCTGCAGCCGCAGGTGATAAATGTGTGGCTTGAATTAGTTGAGAAGGATCTTCAGCACTTTGGGATAATACCGAAATGATATACAACGGAGCCACCGGCTGCTATGTGTGCCGAGGGTGCATCCCGAGGTGGCATTGAGGGGGCCCCGCTAAAAATGAAATCATGTTGGCGTACAAATTGAGAGATGAAAAACCAACACAAGCAAGCGAATTTCAAAATACGAAATTCGATGAAACTCGTCCTGTCGTATGACGGAGTAACTCTGCTCAAGGCCTGTCAATTCGGGGTGTTCAATGCCACACTACACTCTTTTCCATGCTTGGTTTTTGGTCTGAGTAATTAAAGCTGACGTGCGGACCAATCGCACTGCAGGAAACATGCGGTTGGAAAGACAACCAGCAGGCCCCATGTGGCACCCTCATGCCCGGCCGGCTGTGGCAACAGAATAAGTACATATACTTAAACACTCGATATTGACAACTAAATGTATTTCTTCCCTGTAAAGAGTCATGGCCGGATCAGCCCCGCGGTTTAGCGCAGTGACGTGTCTTTTTGCTATGAACCAGCCCCTTCAGAAGGAGTGCAGCTGGACATGAATGGAAAGTCCTTTTTATGATTCCCTGTGAATGTTTCTCAGTGAGATAGAAGCACCAGTCCGTGCTTTGCTTTTTGTTTATGCACTGAGTCCAGTCGTATCACCGTGACAGAATTTGCGCATCTTGTATATTAGACTTCACAAGGCAATCAATGCTGAACCACATCTTGTTGGCTTGCATGTTATTGAAAGAGTTCATAAGCCTGTTTTCAACAGTGATATTGGTCAGCAAGTCTTCTCAAGGATTCTAAAATATTCATGTTGTAATACCCATTAACACTCAATTTCTAAGCACCCACTGACCATGGAAGACTTCTATTTTGATGAACCTGGTCGGTTGTGTTTGCTTGGCATTCTCCCCGGAGCCCTTTCCAAAACCAAGGCGAGGTTGGAGGCTCGGACAAATGAACTAAAATACACTTTAGAATCTACTGAGATTGCTCAGCTCCGTCAAATTCTTATGAATATCGACAACAAAATTGAGCTATCCAACGATGAAAATACCGCTGTTGTCGAGAAATTTCGGGAAAAAGCTCTATCCTGGCACTTGAAGCCTGAAGATCTTCAAGAAAGCTTGCAAGAACTCTCCACAATTCGATTGACCAGGCAAAGTGGTCTTCAACTGGGATCGAGCCTTGTAGTGCGCCCGAGAACCTATGCCGATGCAGAAACTCAGACAGACAGAAACATGTCTATTGGCTTCTTCAGTGCTGTCGAACTGCCCACAGAGATATTTCCAATGAACTTTGATGGCCTTGAGTATCCCAGAGTCAAGAGTTCGACGACTAAGATGTCTAAACCCCAAGAGGTTGACAATCGAACAGGGCAACAGCCTGAAACTGCATTGCTACAGAACCCCCCGGAAACTAATCATGGGGAAGTCATTCCTATGGATAGAACACCCAGCATGGACAGACCGCTCACCTTGCTCAGAAGAGTGAGCGGCGAGACCATAGATAACATCCACTTATCCGCCGAGGAGTTCGTCATCATTAACCTCGAATACCCGGAGGAACCATTTGTTTTGCGCTGTCCATGTCGTCGTCTCTGTTGGAAACAACACCCATTCGAACAGCACCGCGCCCTCCACCACTTTTGCGAGTTTCATCTCGAGGTTTTCGGGGACGAAATTCCTACCGAAAGATTCGTGTTCGAAAATTATTCACGGAAAGGTAAGCGATGACCACGAGAGACTCTTTTGGGGAGGTGTATTAATCATGAATCTCTCAAGTTATTGGAATGCCACCTTCGGCTTTCAGCGCACTGGCGATGGGAAACGAGCACAACTTGGATCTAACAAAAGGTATGTCCAAGTGTAATACTTAAACTCGAGTACAACCAAGACTGACTGTGCTTCCGGTGCACCAGAGTCGGAGACTCCTGGCAGCCTCGACGTGGAAGTCAATGGCTCTAACACCGCCTCCGATTCACGAGACAGGCCAATATTGCCGTCTGATATGGAAGCTCAACAGTCACCAGCGGTGTTATCCGAACTTGTTGGAGATGAAGACAAGGCCCTTGACAACATTGAAGTTTTCGACGGCGATTACTACGACGACTGCTCCGATGAAGAAGAAGACGATGAAATTGATTACCTGGATAGCGAATACGCACCAGACGAGCAATACCATATGGCCGACCCTATCGGGGGTAGAGGCGAAGGCCGAGTTTTCTCAGCTCCACCCCAGACAAGAGCATCGCGCGATTGCTGCAAAAAGACCTATGTATCGCCTGTGGAGTCACTCAAACGTAACAGGTCCACGTTCGAAGGCATTGAGACACCGAGATTCATTTATACATTCAAGACTTCAAGACTCCATGAGCTGAAGACCAACTTTTAGGATGTATCCGAACTCCGCGGGTAATCAATATCTCGAGAGGAATGAATGAGCGACAGGTAAGGTGGCCGGTACCTTCTTTGTGATATGACATACTTATGATATCATAGTCCAAAACAACAATATGATCTCGTTGCTCGAAGACTCATAAAAGAGTGATGATGATGTTTGGCATAGACGAAGCCCCGATTTAAGGCATCCAAGGATTCGCTCAAGCTGTTGTCATGATCTTTTTACATGGGTAACCCAATGGTCTTGGATTTCTTTTCTCATTCTAGTCTTGTTGATGGTTTTGACTGCAGTTGGATTAGAAGGTCTATTTCTTTGCTTTCAGTGGGGTTTCACGAGGCCTTCAGATTGATAAATGTATGCTGTCATGTGCTGGAAAAATATATTTGGCAATGCAGAACTCCTAAACACACCAAATGCAAGGTTATTGTCATCTGAGTCATACGCCCCTCCACCTCCCCCATTGAATATCCGCAGCGTACATGACGCTACACAGATATGCCTATCCTACAGATTCAAAGACATTTCTTTCTCCACATGAGATTTTAACCAAGATCATCCCGCGTCCTTAATCGCTGTCTGGCGATGTCAAGAATTCGAGAAACATCAAAGAGCATAATTCGGACCAAGCAAAATTATCAAAGAACATAACTAAGACACCAAATTATCGCAGAACGCAGCATGCATTTCGTGCCGTACGTACTACTTTCGCAGTTGCACAATTGCGCGTGAAAAATAAATCGCTACAATTCTTCAGCCGATCCATAACGATGCCGAGGGAGAATTATGATGTCTGAGAAGAACTAGCTTGCTCACATTGTCCAGGAAACTAACCCAGCTCATCACTACCACTGGTCGCTGCTGCCATATTCTGGTCTACAATTTGATCAGAACTTGAAGCCGCGAAAGTTTGAAATGCAACATGGGTTGTGTTGTGAGGACTACAACTTGTTCTGGAGAAGCTAATTTATACAATGTTCTTGACAGGATAAAGAAAGACGGGTTATTCAATTACTTGCACATACCTCATCGTCAGTCACCTTGTGTGGCGACTGGACGCTATGCGAGAGGAACGGTCTGTAATGATTGGAGTTGGACCCGAGGCCCAGGTAGACATCTTCTACACCTCCAGGGCCGCCGCTGGGACTTGCCGAGGTGTAGTCGAGATAGGTGCAATTGTAAACATACGGTATGCTACAGTCGGCATTGTCATATAGATAGATGATGTGACTCTGATCTGACTGCTCGACCACAACCTCGGCCAGCAGGGCATTGTTGAAAGAGTTGCATCCAGTCTCGCCGGAGCCTGTCACTATCCCAGAACTCACTGAAGACCCGACAGTATGCTGCGAGACAGTTATTTAGCCATGCCGCGAATGAGCTGAAGGGCGGTGACTAATTTATGATCAGGTGAGGAGTATTTGGCAACTCACCGCGGCTTCAAATGATACGGACCAACCCCAGGTCGTCGCAGGGGGCACAATATGGATCCGTGTCAACCAGCGCAATTCTTTGAAATATCTCACATCCCTTGATGGTGGGCGGGTCGTTCGCATCGCCGATAAACTGTGTATAATTGAGCTGGATCACTGGCGTACAGAGTTTGTAGGTGCCCGACTGGAAGTAGACGATGGCGCCCTGCGTGAACGTGTTACCGCATTCTTCGCCGCGGCGAGCGCTGTCACCACCCGTAGGCTCGGCATTCCAGCTACTAACTGCTGCATTGATTGCTTCTGAAGCGTCACTTTTGCCCGTGGAATCAGCCCCTAAATCAGCCCCTAAATCCGTTACGCTGCGGAAGAACTGGTAGCCTTCTCCGGCCATGGGTTGGTGACTTAAGATTAGTCGGGATCTTGTTGATCACGATCTCCGCCGTTGCCGTGTACGCCATCGACCTCATGGGGGGCAATGTTCCCTGGTGGTCAGGAGAACGCACTGACGTGAACGGATACTACTTCACCACTCCGGACAATGGCGGCAACACTACTACGCCGGAAAGAATTTCGACCTAATTTCGACCTAACTTCGACGCTAAGAGCCCTGCACCAGAACGATGGCGGTGCTCAGCCAGTAGAGAGCAAAACCGGCATTAACGTCATTCTCTGTCCCTACAGCTTCAACAACACCAACCGAAGAGCCAGTTACATGGACTGCGTAGCAGCGATCAGTAAGGGAACTTCGCTCGAGAACGTGATGCCGAACAGCGTTACTCTCCTTCATGAGGCGTTTCATGTCGTTCACGGTACCAATTTCCTCGGAATATCTGAGCAATGTAGGCCGCATCACGGTGCCACGTGCACATACTGTTAGGGTACCGCTGATTTCATATATATAGATGGACTGGCTAGATATGTGAAGGCTACGAGTGATAATGCTCCTGGAGTGGTATAAAAAAAAACCAGAGAACTACGTGTACTTTACCGCGGCCATGAACTACCTCTTTGGGAAAGCAGCGGACGGTATAGCCACCAACTGGGACTTTACCAGTGGGCCAGATAAAGCCAAGGCTGTTTCTTGAATTGAAAGGATGAAGTTGAGGATGCCAGATGTCAGCGTGCGCGGGTGGATTATACGCAAGAAAAGGGGGGTAGGGGTCTTTTCACTTGGGAATGTGTCGTTTTCAACAGCTAAGAACATCCGAGCCGGCCAATTATTCGTGTATAAACAAATGCTAGGATTCTAATGTCTTATCAAACTCTTTGTGTCTGTGAATCTCCAGTTTCTTTTCGCATCTGAGTCTGCCATATCGCCATTATCATCATCATCGGAATCAACATGGCACGGCGCAACCTCGATATTCCAACGCTCTTGCTCCTAGGCCTTAACTGGGGGCATCGCTTCTGTCACCGCCTTGGCTCACGACTCTTTCGCCTCCGGGTCTCTGGTTGAAGCTTCTGCCCGCTGTGGACTGGCGCCGTTGCCGTTCCAGCGAAAGAAAAGATAGCAAACGGACTCACCACTGATGTTCTCCACCGTCGCCGGCTGTTCCTGCTGAGCACTACCCACGTAGTTGAGCGCCTTCCATTGAGAGTTCAGGGACCGTGGAGAACCTCACAGCCCTTGGGTATGAATACGCCAAACGCATCGAACAGCACGCGGCGCCATACTTCACAGTCCTGGATACCAATATATGGTATAACAAGGGTTGTGAGCAATATACGGCCGCATAAATCATCACCCCGACGCATTTCTTCGCCCAGGCAAGAGCCGTTATCCCACTGCAGGCTCAGAAGCTGCAAAGGGGATTTACTCTCATAGCCCAGTCCCCGCAGAAGCTCGCGACAGGCGGAAGAGTGCTGGAATTTCTTCAAGGCATCCGCTGACTTCCAAACTAATTCGTTACGGGCTATCGAGAAATTCTAAGTCGAAGTGACTCGAGAAATACATACGGACAATAAAGGCAGCCTGCTCAGGATCCTCAACCTTCCTCCCCAGCCGGACCTTCTGGCAACCCTCCACTTCTGCAAGAGGGCCGAGGTATTCTCTATCACATATGGAGGATCCCAGCCCTTACATAACCCATTGCAATCCGATACCGGATAAACTCTGACAAATAGCCATTGTTAAGCAATACTAAAACTGTACCAGATCGAGGTTTTGGCTCACGTAAAACGAGTGCATATGTTAGGAGACAAGTGGTAAGCGAATGGCGAGGATTGTTGGCAATTTATAGGTCAGAATGTGGGGCGTCTTTGATCCGATACCCTGCATGCAATGCGTCAGCCTAGAAGCGGTACCTATTAATAGCTATATTCATATAGATGTTAAGCTATTAACTTGCCTATCCATTATTAGGAGCGGCATTGCAGTGCCTATTCATGTTTTTTAGAGTTAAATAGCTCATTGCGAGGAGTTGTTTTTATTCCTGGCAGGTGAGGCAAATAGGCAGAGGACCATGCCAAAAGCTACAATGCTCAGTCAGCACTGAAGTTAAAAGATGATCTTATTCTCAATGTTATCCCTGGGTTCGTTTGTACTAGATGCCGTATCTTCACTCTGGTAATTAATTTCCGGTACAGACCCGGGAAAATACCAGATCCAAGTCGAAGTTTCTACGGAATTTCGAAATTCTTGCCGTTTCGTTCAAGCAAAACTGTCAGAGCTTATCCGGTATCAGATTGCTATTGGGTATATAAGGGCTGTAATCCGGCATAAGTGATAGAGAGTAAGGGCACTCCCTTGCGACACTATCGTCTTACAAAAACAAACTATCAATTTCTGCATTTTAAAGCAGGTCCACGTCATGGTGATGTTTTGTTCTATGAGTGTTCTCATAAAGCTTTTACTGGAAACTTGCCATACGAGATCCTTCGCTGACATAGTTGCAGTTTGTACATGTCAAACTGCATTAGGAGTTTGTGCAATGTATAACTAATGACGGGGATTGGAACCTTCATTGGCGTTTCAGTACAATAGCAACTGAAATTTAGCATGTCATTGGTAGATATTTGATCTTGCCTGGTTGGGCGTGTCACCTTTATGTCTGGTCTTACTGCTTCAAGGCAGTACTCACAAAGTCGACCCGGGGAAAAGCGTATTCGATACATCTGTGCACTGATAATTCGCTCGGTGCTCCTGGCTGCGATCACACCTTTTGCTTTCATTAACTTGACAAGACACATTGTTTTCCGCCATGGGCAGGTGGTTCGAAAATCAACACTCGCCGTGTTCTTCTTTAGCTTCCATCGTTAGCGAAGATAGTGCAATCGTTTTCAAGGCTGTAAAAAGCCGTTACGGGACTTCGCTGAGGATCTGTCATGCTTTGGGACATAGACGTAGACTGCAAACCGTTGTATCTTCATCTGTGCTTCTGATCTCAAGCCTCGTATTCGTACGGTCAAGCTATTCATGTTTCTGGCTATCTGGGCTTGTACTCGTGCGAGAAAACCATCAGCGGAAAAAATCTGCATGGTGTTGGCGGGAGCGTCTTCGCTATATAGTATAGTTGCAACTACTTCTAGCAGAGACGTTTTTATGACTTTCTTTGATGCCTCCCACTTACGTCTAGATTTGTTCAACCCCATGGTTGCTGAAATAGGTGCACTCTCCAATGGTCCACAATTGCTCTTACATAGGAGTGGAGAAGGTAGCTAATCGAATAGGCGAATTTATCAATTATTCGTCTCATTCGTGTGGGGCCCAATCAGACACAAGCAATCCGATCATAGAACCTGTGGCAGTTTCAAGTACCAGAAGCCAATGGCCTTTCGGGCAAAAGTCACGATGTATCCTTGTGGTCACATCAGTGGTGATATCCCCGGAAGCTTTCATATAGAGACACAGGTCGGGGTTCTGACTGTTAACAATACCGGTAACCACTCATATCGGGGCCAGCGCCTTTGCTGCACAAGATCGCTAGCGGCGCGCCTAGATTGAGTAACCGGCAGCACATGCAGTTTGTGCATCAAATGTCAGCTCACGATTGACGCAGGTCATTACGAGACTGAGAAACAACTTTCAAAGTCTCAAATACCCATCGCACATATGCTTACTCACCAGTTAGGGGCAAGCAGGTGTAGTTCATGCTTGTTGGTACTCCACAAATACAGTATCCTTCAAGCCGGAGCCTCGGCCATGGCAATTGGGCGTTCAATCTGTTCCTGAGTGGCGCTGGCTAGAACCTGACTATAGTGCTGAAGGTGGAACCTTTGCTGGTTCGCCAGGCCGAATGCAGCACTAGAAGGGCTGGAGCTGCAAACCGAATCTCCACCTCAGCTGTCGTGAAAACAACACTATTGCTATGCTTAATCTCCGGCTTGGGGTTTCTCTTCAGAGATGCAAGGTTTCATCCAGCCGGTCGGAGTTCTCGATGGCCTTTGCTGAGATGTACGACCCGATCTGTTGACGGCTCAACGAGCAGATTGAACTGTTCTTTCCGCTAGGCGTTTGAGTTCCTATCTTTTAATCGCTGCATGCGGTTGATCACGCGTTCAAGAGACATCGGGTGAAGTCGACCTCATGGTTGTCTAAGCTTTGCGGTAGCAGCAGGTCCAGGCTGACAGGGCCAGTGCTTCGAAGATTGCAAAATCTCACGGTGGTCTTCTATTATAAGGCGCAGCCGCACCGCTGGGTGGGTCTTCTTTCAGCTGTGCCAGAGTAAAGGTTTTGACTCTTCGAACTAAGCAATATCGCCCTTGCACGATTTCTTCAGGTTTCGATGGTGGCTTGCTTTCCCCTGATGCTATAAGTATGGCGCCTGATGGCACTTCTTCCTTTTGCGCAGCATTTCGTCCTGCACTACGCGAACGCCTAGTCTGTGTAGATTCAAGATGCGGTCTCTCACCTTTCCGTTCCTCCTACTCGGCACGATCGGCTTGGCCAGTGCCGAGTCAGACATAGGGAAGAAGAAGTGTTCATCTGTCTATCCTTCTTCAAGCTCGGCAGATACCTCCGGATCTCTAAGTGTCTCCGTATATTCGCCTGCTCCTACGGAAACTTCTTCACGAAATTCGGACAGAGACAGTATCATTAGCTCGCTAAGCGGCAGCAGCGGCAGCGCCTCCTCCACGGAACCAAGTTTGACGCTCACAACTTCTGCCTCGGTCACCAGCTCTTCGGTTGCTGTGAAGACAGTAGTGAATGATGTTGGCAATGGCAACTTTGGTTCTTATGATGCGAACAGCCCGGGAGGTATTGCCAATTGGGATTCTCAAAACTGCGAACTTAATCTACAATATGGGTATCAAGGCGATGGCAGTGCAGATACTGGCTGTGTTCAGATGACCGCAGGGCCATCCGGGGGTCTGAGTAAGGCGAAGCGCACGGACTACACGGCCATGATCGAGCAGCAACTTGAAGAGGTTGATGCAACATCCCAATACACCATTCGATTCTATTATACTATTTTGTCCAACTCATTGACGAACACATGTAGAATGGAGGCATACTACGGAGAAGCGTTGCTCACTGTGTCTGACTATTTCGACGTTGTGACTAACGGAGTGGCTGGAAACACCCCATGGATTGAGCTCGTGGATGAGGTGGCACTATCATCATCGGATGGCTACATCAGGTTCCAGCTGAGCTGTACGGGCGATGGATTTGCTGTGGTCTTCATTGATGAGGTCTTCGTGTCCAATAAGGTGGATGCGAGCAGCAAGGACAATATCAGTTTGCTGTTCACCTCCACCGGCTCAGCGGCCAGCATGTCATCCACATCAACGTCAGAATCCACGATGACAACTGCGACTATCGACTCGACAAGTACTACCAACTCAGCAACGGAGTCTAGTAGTACTGCAAGCGTCACAGTTGCAAGTGAAACTAGCTCAATATCAAGTTCGAGTCTGATCGCTGCTTCAAGTACAACCTCTGAGTCCATATCAGCGTCTTCATCTTTGTCTTCATCCTCAACGCTATCCTCAACAACTTCTTCTTCGATGACCGGATCTTCCGCTACCACCCCGACAATGTGTGTCGCTTCGGCCTCAGCGACATCCGGCTTAACTTGTGGAAGTCTCATCTACACCAACAAAGGATACTATAAACAAGTGAGAGTGGCGGATGTTACCCGCGATCAGTGTGTTGCAGCTTGTCTGGCTGACTCCACATGTCAATCCATATCATATTATTCAACACAGACCTGCAGTGCCACGTGTTTTCTCCAGAGCTCAAGTGTTGCTGCCATGGGCTACACCTTCCAGCATGGGTTAGGGTTCCCTGCGGTATGGGACAGAGGCTGCTTCACCCAAACAGCATGTGCCGCCCCTTCTGAGGGCTCTGTTTGTATCGACAAGTGGGGAAGCGCACCCGCCTCGACATGCAAGGCTAGCTTTACGGGTAACGCAAAATCTTGTGCTCAACCTTTCAAGACTACGACCGTCAGCGGTTTATGTGGTTCAGGGGCTTGTGCCGCCATCTGCAAGCAGTATCCTTCTTGCAAGACCTACTCCGCTACATATGGCGGGAGTGTTACTTGCAACTTTTACTCCGAAGACATCAGTGACGTGGCAGATTCCGCATCCTCGGCAACGCTTTTTGCTGATATGTCTTGCTTGGAGTGCGGCGCAGGCTCGTCTGTGTTCAACTGGCTGAGTCCTCTTGCCGACCCCAGCTCTATGCCGGATATGAGCTCTTGCACATCCGGCAGCTCTTCGACCGCTTCGATAATCTCTTCTACTGCCTCTTCAACCACTAGCGTAACTACGGTAGAGAGCTCCACGATAACTTCCTTGATACCCACATCGTCATCGTCAACCACCACGACCACAACCACCGGCTCATCCACGACTTCATGTGTAACTTGTACTGCTGTACCTTCAGCTTCAGTTCCTTCCGGGTCGACGTGCGGTATCCAAGGCGATTATCTGTATCAAGATGCTTATGGAGTCTCTACTGGATCCCAGAACTCGATGATGGATTGCGCAGCCATTTGTAACCAAGACTCATCTTGCAAGGCGTATGGCTACCGTGCGAACAGCAATATTTACTATGGATGCGCGTTCATCCAATCGAGTCTTTCAGATGCTGGGTTCTTCACAACTACTTCAGGCAACTATTACTGGAGTGACGAGTCGTGCGCAAGCTGCGGTAACAGTTGCTCGTCCTCGTCGACTTTGGCGACTTCTTCTGTCTCTGTATCCGCTACCACATCTAGCTTTGAATCCACGACCACAGCAAGCATGAGCGTTACTACTACCTCATCATCTTCTTCCGCTACAACTTGCACGAGCTGCACTGCGGAGCCGTCTGCGTCCACCGTTTTTGGTGTATCTTGTGCCGAGAAAGGCACTGTTTCCAACTACACGCCCTACTCATTCACGACTGCTGAATATCCAGGACAAAACTCCCTGATGGAGTGTGCTGCTATTTGTGCCCAGGTGCCCGGCTGCAAATCTTACGGCCTAGACGTATACAATGTCGGCTGCAAGTTCCTCGACTACAGCCTGGCAGATGCCGGGCTGGTCTCCACTGGCGCCTCAAACATCTACTGGAGCGACAAGTGGTGTGCCACCTGCGGGCTATGCGCATCGTCGTCGTCATCCTTCGGCCCTCTGAGCACAACACTATCAACATCCACGCTGTCTGGAAGCTCCTCGCAGACCACCTCCACCTCCACTTCCGCGTCGGCTTCGGCTTCGGCCTCAAGCAGCTGCGCGGTGCCTAGCGCGAAGCTGGTCGCTGGTGTCACATGTGGTCTGCCCGGGTCCGACTCGTCGGCTAACACCATCGAGACTGTGACTACAGCCGGTAGTTTATCCGCCTGCGCTTCGCACTGTTTGCTCGCCACGGACTGCTTGAGCTTCCAATATTCGACACAGGATACCTCGTGCCATGTGTATTCTACCTCACTAGCTAATGACGGACTGGGTTTTAGTCTGAGCAGTACGAACTACTACTACGATAGAGAATGTTTCTACTGCTCATAATACTGAGAATTAGATGCGATATAGATATTTCAAGACCTAGTATAATGTTAATGATTAATCAGACCATTGGTTCCATTTCTCTTTCCCAATCGGGCTCCTAGATTCCAGCTCCCGTCGTAACACAGGACATCCGCCAGTCTAAGCGCCCCCTTTCTCGTGGTGCAGCTCATTGGCGTGTACCTGGACCTCGGTAACATACTTGTCAAATTTGCGGAGATTGACCTTCTTCTCGAATCTATTGCGTGTCAGATTGGTGCATGGTTATTTTATACTGCAGTGTATTTGGGGTGGTCAGAGAGTGATGACATACAGTTCGTCAATCTCAGCAGGTGTGCGGCGTGCGACTTCAGGAAGGATGAGCCACGCAACGATAACAGCGACGGTACCAGTGCCGGCGAAACTATGGGATAAAATGGGTTGTTAGCGATGATACTCTCATGAGTTTTCAAAGTCAAATGCTGGGTGGAAAACAGCTTACAAGAAGCCTGTCTTCGGGCCCCATTTCGTCGCGGTTCCGTTGATCATGAGGGGAGCACAGAAGCTGGACATGATAGAGATCATGTTCGACACAGCGAGGGACCATGCAGCCGTGCGTGCACGCAGTCGCTGCTGAGGTATCTCGGCCGCATAGGCGTAGCCGATAGCGGAGGCGCCTGTGGTCGAGAAGGTCGCCAGACATGCGAAGAATACCTGAAAAGGTGGTATTAACAAGTGTTTACTCAGTTAGAACCATTAGCTCTCTGGCTTACCAGAAGGGCGCTAGTCGCTGACTTGGTGTAGTCGAAGCAGCCAATGATTCCCAAGCACAGGACAGAGACCACCGTCACTGCATAAGGGTAGACGGTCAAGGGTCGGCGACCAAAGCGATCGGTCGTGGTGGCGGTGAGTAACATGGAGATCAGTTGTACGCATGACAGGATGACTGTAACGAGGAACGGGTTCTGGTTTCCAGCATATTGGACTTTGTACTGCTGATCAGCACTTCACTCTCAAAATTTGCATACGCAATATCACCCACAGAAGTAAGTTGCAAGGGTGTTGAACACGATCAGGCCAACCAGCTGCTGCGTGATCTTAGGCCAGCCGGCGATGATGAATCGCATGAAGTTGCGACCTTTTAAAACGGCAAACAGGCCAACCTCCTTGCTCAGCTCGGCATTTTGACGCTCAAGTGCTACGGTGGCGGTCATGACTTCCTACACTAACGTCAGAAATTTGCCCAGCTGAAGTTGCGAGTCTGAATAATACTGACAATCTGTTCCTCGATGTCGTAGTTCTCAACTTTTCCATGCAACATGCGCAGGACTTTGGCCGCCTTGTCTAGCTTGCCCTTACTGGCAAGCCACCATGGAGACTCAGGCAAGAGCGCAAAGATGATGGCAATGCCACCAATCATGGCCCACTGGATGTTTCGGTCAGTATAACCGAGCAGCTATAGTACTGCAACGCAACCTTACTTGGGTGTAAATAGGCACTTTGTAGTCATAAGGATCCACAGCAGCCAGCCTATTCAATGCGACAGAGGCGAAAAGCTGACCGATGACAAACCAGCTTTTGAGGTCAGCAATCGGTTTACCTATCAGTCGAGAGTTTCACTCACAAGCTGTATGCGTTGATGAAGAAACCCTTGAGCTGGGTTGGCGCAATTTCTGACAGATAGACAGGCATAGTCGACTGGAGCATACCGACACCCATTCCGGAAAGGAGCTTCGCTACCAGCCAATGATCCCAGTGGCTGGCAAACGACTCAGCCAAAATACTCTGGCCAGATGTTAGCCAGTGTAAGCTTCGATCGCGCTTGTTAAATAGTAAGTCAGTAGAGACATACCGCAACGAGGATTACCCAGATAATCCACAGTGCTGGTTTACGGCCGAGACTCTCCGTTGCGAATTGCAGAAGCTGTGGGCAGTATTGTTAGTAAAGATCTGGTTTAGTGACGAGCTTTTGGTTACGCATACAATTTGCCCAACAGTTTGACCCGTAGCCTGGATTCCAGTCCATGCTGAGATGTAGGTGCCAGCAATGACGGTAGTACCCGGGCTTGCCATCACTTGGATGAAGCCCTTGTTGGCCACAATACCACCGTTGAGGTTGATTTCTGTTGTCGTTAGATGTCAGTTTAATAAAAAGTGATTACGACAATTCGGGGCCGGAAGCCTCTTACGATATCCATCAAGTGATGCGCAGAACGCTGCCGCCATGGCTACGTATCCGACCTTTTTGAAACGACGAACACTCTGCCAGACCGACAAGTCGTCTGCTGCAGCTCGCAATACGGGCCCATCGTCTTTGGACACCGGGGCCTGTGTCTCCTGAGCAGTATTAATGTTAGTTGTCTCGTTCTGGTCGATTTGTGACTTCATCTTGGCCAGAGTTCTATTCAAAAGAATATGGCAATCAAAGCAGTTATCTAGTCCCTTGAACAAAAGCCAAGAATCAAGAGAAACAAACCACGCTTGCTAAACTCAGATTGTGGTGGGCTTAGCGAATGATTCATATGCAAACAGCAAAGACCGAGGGCAACAAGGTCTAAACCCGAACCACGCCGTGGCATAGATATCATGCCAAGAAGAGCAACGCGTACGGTGGAAGGATACACGAAGCCTGGGGTATGTCTGTGGTCCAACATGGTTCGATGCGGGGTCCCCAGGTTGATCACCGGTACTAATGGCCTTACTCGAACTAAGCTAACCTATAGGTAGTATAGGCAAAATGCCAAACCAAGGTATACAGCAGGGTGTGCATTACAGTGGGTCAAATGAAGCTTCAACCATCATCTAGTGGCTTACAATGCCTGATCTCGCTAAAAAGCTTAGGGGTGTTCCACGAATGAGACCGAGCCTCGGGGATGAAGAACCCGAAGAGCAGTTGTTGACCATTCACTTGAACTAGGTCAGCCAAGGGTTGAGGCCGCCGGGATTGATACATACATGGACAGAGCCTCTGCCCCCTGATTGCTCGGCTTGATTGCCTAGCTTTGAACCACAACTCCGGTAATCCAACACTAAACGTCTTGACGAAATGGTTTCGCCTGAGGAGCAAAGTGTACGCTTGTCCAGCTCCTATCTCAGACCACTCAGCCGGTATTGACAGCCGAGATAGACTATCAACGAGCTCAAGGCCAACTGGGTTTGGGTCCCCGATTGGGTCGACTCTTCCAAAGCCAATACAGCTGGCAGAATTGTGAAGTTCACTCGGACCATCAGCCTTACTTCCGTTCCGAACCGAGCTCTTCTTTCGTTCTCCGCAGACACGCGCTACAAGCTATACATCAATGGTGTTCGGGCCGCTGTTGGTCCGGCTCGCGGCCACACGACCATATGGTACTATGATACACTCGATGTTGCTTCTTACCTCAAACCCGGCGACAACGAGATTCAGTTTGTCGTCCTAAGGTATTTTGCGGCTTCAAGGGCAGCAATGCCTTTTGTGAGAACTTCGTTTCCGGGTTTGACCGTCATTGGCAATGTGGACGCTGGCGATGCCATCATAAACGTTAACACCCGTGAGGGATGGCATGCTGAGGTCGACGACAGTACATTATTCCCGACCGGCCTGATCGATGATGTCTTCCTCCACGTGAGCATGATTTCTCGTAAGACGACGTATTGCTTGTTGTAGCTAAGACTGTATTAGATCAACGAACGAACTACCCCGCACGGGTCCTGTCAAGTGATAACGCCAGTCCCGTACGGCTTCAAGACGCTAAACGGAGAACTCGCCCCATGGCGACTGCAATCTCGTGTCATTCCTATGCCCGAGGAGAGACCTGTTTCTGTCGTTACTATCCGGAGCTGCGATAGCGGCAACAGCATAGGGGACTGGAACGCATTACTCTGCAATAATGAGCCAATGTCACTTGTAAGTGGCTCGGTTCATACACTCGATCTGCAGGCAGATGTGCATTCAACGGCATTCATTGCATGGAACTTCCAAGCAGAAGAAAATTCCCAGGTCCAGCTCAAGGTCACTTACTCCGAAGGTTACGAACTAGAGCCACGATCTTACCCATTCTTCCGAAGCAAAGCCGATCGCCTCCAATCAGAGAACAGTCACCTGATTGGCCCTTTCGACGAGGTAACTTTGGATATTCCGGCTGGGGAAATTGTAAAATATGAACCCTTCTGGTTCCGGACGTTTAGGGTTATGCGTTTAGAAGTGACTGTTGGTGCTGCCCCAATTCAGTTGCTTTCATTTGAGGCGACCCAGACGAACTATCCGATCCAGCCGAAAGCGAGTTGGAAAGAACCTGGTGATGCACATAGCGAGCAGATTTGGGACGTGTCTATCAGAACGCTGCGCAACTGCATGTTCGACGGATATTCTGATTGTCCTTTCTACGAACAGCTTCAGTAAGTTGTATACTTGATCTTCGTGGGTATACTAACCATTTTCAAAGATACTCCGGAGATTCCAGATCCGTAGGATTGTTCCACTATCTCCTATCCGGTGATGACCGACTTATGAGGCAGGCTATTACCAACTTTGCGGCCTCGATCACACCGGAAGGACTCACACAGTCTCGATTCCCCTCCCATGTGCCTCAAATAATTGCTGGGTTTTCTCTATACTGGGTATTGCAGGTATGCGACCATCACCTCTTCTTCGGCGATACTGTGTACACTCGTTCATTCCTACCACGCATTGACGGCGTATTCGAATTTTTTGACTCCCACATTGATGAGTTGGGTCTTGTTAGTGGCATACCAGAGGATGTATGGCAGTATGTCGATTGGGTGACAACTTGGGGCGCGACAGACGACCATCCAGACAAGGGGGTTCCGACGTCTGGTCGAAAGTCAAACCGGCACACCTATTTTAGTATGCTCTACGCTTTTGTGTTGAAACAAGCTGCCAAGTTAGTGCGTGACGTCGGCAGACCAGGTTATGCAGATGAGTACGAGTCGCGTGCGGCCTCTATAGTCAAGGCTATTCAGAAGCATTGTTACGACGGGAAATTCTTCACTGACTCAACTGCCGACGTCGCGAATGAGCTTGCATACTCGCAACATTGCCAGGTCTTTGGCGTGCTTTCTGGCGCTACATCTGTTGAAGACGGCAGACGTATCTTGAAAGGGTCGTTTGCGGATACTCGCTTTTCTAAGTGTTCGTACGTGATGAAATTCTATGCTCTGCGAGCCTTCGCGCTCGCAGGAGATGACGTGTACGAGTCTTTCTGGGCTACAATTTGGGATCCATGGAGGAACATGTTAAAGAACAATCTGTCAACATGGGAAGAAGATGACGTGCGACAACGTTCCGACTGCCACGCATGGGGAAGCGTACCAATTTATGAGTACTGCACAGAGTTGGCGGGCGTGCAGCCCACCGCACCAGGATCATCCAAGATCCTCTTTAAGCCCCGTCTACATTTGAGCGAGGAAATTGAGGCGAAGGTGGCTCTTGGCAAAGACAACATTGCTAATATCAAATGGCATATCGGCTCCAATGGGAAGAAGCAAGTGGTTTTGCTTCTTGAAAAGGCTGTTGAGGTCACAAGCCAGCTACCAGGAGGGAAAGCGCAAAACCATGGCAGCGTCGACCACCTCGAGTTGGAGCTTTAGATGCCAACCAAACTTCGATTTTCAGATGCTGAGTATGAAGTCTGTCCCGCGCAAAAGGCCCACGCCGAGATCGAAAGGACACTCCACAGCCTCGAAGATTTTTGTGGAGTGCAAGGATCCAGAAGATCAACGATTCAGATTGAACATGAGAGTTTTGGGCGCACCAGCCGGGAGAAGACCCGCGTCCACTAGCAGAGTTATGGACACTGTACGGATCTGTAGTGGAATCGCAATCTCACTAGGTTAGAGTTAGACTCAGGCTCGGTGTCGCACTGTGCAGCATGACTTGACCATCGCGCAACGCGTAATCCGAAACGAACTTGATTTGAAGACAACCCAACACCTTATAATGTAATAATGTATTTACCGGTGGCCTGTGGGTACATTCAGTGAGAAGAACATTTGCATCATTTTGTGGCGTGGGGTGACGACGGCTTACCGTAGCGACATTCTTGTAATTGGCCTCAAGCTCCTCAAGTTGAATCGGTATAATTGCTGGTACAACGTTGCCCCTTCTGACAAACTCAAGAGCCTCCCTGGTATCGGTCCGGGTCCCCACCAATATTCCAAACAATGAAACGCCCGAGTCAATCAATTGTATGGGGTGGATGTTCATTGTCTGCGACGGCGGTGGGATGCCCACACAGACGATGCTGCCAAACGGGGCGACGTACTCCATTGCACTTTGGTAGGCTTTCCCAGACCCGGCAGTGACAATGACTGCTTTTGCTTTAGCACCTCGAGTGACTTGAGTGACTGCTGATGGCGTTGCTTCGCTGAGAGCGTCAAGGTAAGCTTCGGCACCCTGGCGAATACACGATTCTCTCCGCTCGTCGCCTAGGTCGATAGCTATTACTCGATATCCCATAGCCTTGCCATACTGCACTGCAAGCGCACCCACGCCACCTGCAGCACCCAAGACCACAATCCAGTCACCTGGAACAGCTCTGCAGCTCTTGATCGCTTTGTACGCCGTGACACCACCGCATAGAATTGGTGCAATCAGCTCGTCGCCCAGATCGAGTTCGTCGGGCAACCGGAGGACGTACCGAGCAGGCACTACGCAATACTGCGCGAACGTCCCATCGATCTTGCGTCCAGAATTGAGCTGTTCTGTGCACCTGGTCTCGCCACCCAGCTCGCAGCATGGCTGACATTTGCCGCAAGCGTCCCGTACCCAGGCCACACCGACACGCTCTCCTACGTGGATGATGGCTGGGTCGACGCCAGACCCAAGCCGAACTACCCGTCCCACGCCTTCATGGCCTACGATGTCGCATGCGGGCCCGAGGTGACCACTGGCAAGACCAAGGTCTGTCCCACATACGCCTGATACCGACAATCGGACTAGTACCTCCCATGCTTTAATCTCGGGGACAGGCACGGAACGGACCTCAAATCTGAACGGTTCTCCCGAGCCTCCTTCACGCTGAGTTCGTAGTCAGCATGCGAGCCTTGAGTTTGAAGCATGTGCATGGGGAAGCTTACGACAACGACGGCAACTTTCTGTGTCAATGGCAAATCACTCATTTTGGACGGAAGATCTCTCGTGATATGGTTGGAGTAAACATTCTGGAGCGTTGCACAGCTGGGCGCCTGTTTTCATAAGATTCAAAGCGATCTCATACTACCATCTACTATAAGAATGCCGACAAGAGCTACCGGCTCGATTCACAAATTGTGTACCGAACCATACCGAGCAATGGTGTTCTGCCCGGCAGTTACCCCACGAATGTGCCCAAGAACCCAGATTCCCCCGCACCAAGATGCTGGATGGAGTGGCGCAGAACTCGAAATCGACCCCACTGTGGGTTTTCAGCTCCGCGAAATGATCAGGGGGACCAGATACTCTGACCGTAGCTCTTGACTTGAGATCGTAGGTCCGATCCGAGGACAAAGGATCATTGGGAGACCAGTGATCCAACACTGATCCGGGAATGATTAGAAGGAAATGTCCTAGATAGGCAGCCATTGCATTATTAATCAACATAGGCGTCTGTCTTAATCACAGTACAGGTACACAACACAGACAATGTACAGACAGATTCACGCGACCTGGCAGCTGGGTAGTAGCGCATGCCTAATTGCTTTTTGATAGCTAACGCCAGCTGATGACAAAATCAGGATCAACGCAATCAACACGAAGAGCACGAGATTCATCATAATCACGGCAGATGAACGAGTAAAGCGCCTCCATAAGGATATCTATGTCTAAAGGAGAATTTGAACCACTAGGGGATCTTCGACACAGTCCTTCGACCTATGATGCGACCTCATAGACTACATATCTCGGCGCCGCCGTCAAAACAGCAAGAGGATTATCTTTGAGTGGGAACACGTATATGAAGACGGCAGCTCGAAGATGGCCAGCGAAATTTTCTTATTTTACACCTCGGCCCGAGGCTGGAGATCCCTTGCTTGCTGTATTATCTGAGAACGATCACCGTCTACCCAATAGGCCCACTGCTCGTACCTCGTCCACTTGACCATGTGACATTCCGCCGTATACTCTTTCCAGGGTTGGCTGGGCCCTGAAAAGTCAGGTCATACTTTTCAGTGACACCGATACTGTAGTTTGAAGCTCAAGGGGCTATTTGCTTCAACAAGCCGTACCCAAGAAATATTCTGCTGTTAAATTTCGTTCGACTCAATATTTGACTGCTGTGATCGGTTGTATGCTCCTTCAATGAGATCCAAAGCATCTTTTGAAGCCTAGGCGCCTACGGCTTGTGATGTCGCGTTCATATCATGAATCACTGAAGTGTTCAGAGCTTCTTTCATTGAAGGCGCTTTTACAGAAGGAATTTCATCTTCAAAGATGGTATGGACGCCGAGTTCTGTCCAGGTTTGTTGAAGCAGATAGGCCAGGTAGCGAACCCCCCATTCCTCACACGACTGATGCCCTACACAGACCACAGGCATGTTTAGATTCTTTGCTTCTCGCAGACCAAGCTCTCGCGGCTGGCCTGTCAAGTACAGCAGCCCTGACGCGTCCCCTTGCTGCAGAATCCCAGCCTCTCGTGCGGCTGAAACGGCCCGACCGACCTCGTCCGGTCCAAAGGCGTTCATGATCGCTATAGCCTGAACTATCTGACCAGAGCCACCAGCGGATTCGTGTGCATCAGCAGCGCCCACTTCGACTTGGATCGTGTTTTGTAGAGTGCTCAGTGTCTGGCTGTGTAGCAACGGAGCAACGATCCCGATACGACGATCCGGATCGCCCTTGTAACCTTGGATGCAACCCGCCCGGTCAACTGCCATGTCTAGCCGCACTGCAAGGGCTGTGTTATAGCCTGTGGTGAGCAGTTCATCGAACCTCTTGTGGTTTGCCAAGACTAGTGAGCCCCTGGGCAATGCCCTACGATCCATTCGGAATGGTCTATGCAAGAAACACACTGCCTTTTGGCATCCTCGCGCAAGCTGATTTAGCTTGTCGTACACGCCTGTGGTTGGCGTGATGCTGAGAACGACGTCGCGCACAGGGGATGTGTTGGGGTCGTAGCCTGCCCATCGCGGTGTGTGGTATTGCAATGGTACATCTTGTGAATGTGGTGGCAGGATAGTGCTAAAGAATTCAATTAGTTGGGCATGAGTTGGCAGCCTTTCGGGGATTCTGAACGAAGACATGGATGTGTGATTTGTATAGTTAGGACATGTTCTAGAGCATGTATTGTCCGTCAGAAAGACCTCGAGATTCAATTACGTCAACAAGCCGCAAAACACAGCTTGCCTAGCTTAGCTCCGAATCATTGTCATATCCAGTGGCCCACAACCTGTATACGATGGTAACGGGATCGCGTTCATAGGAATCGTTTCCCTGTCTTTCTGAACCGCACCCTTTCGGGGTGTAGTTGCCGCATGATTGGTCTCGATAAAGTCTCACTACATCTGCGATTTTATGGTCTTGGGCACTGGCATTTGGCCTGCTCAAAATTTGATTGTTATTATTTTTTTGGTGTTTCTCCCTTTCTTATTTTACCGCATCGCACTCTGAATTGCTCTGCATATACTGTGCTTTTCATCAAGGCAAAAGAGCTATGCTTGCAAGCTGCAAGACATGGGCTCGATTATCTGACCGACACAACAACATTGTGAACCCATGGTGAGATCGTTTACGCCTGTACTCCTGCCGCACTTCAATCATGCGCCTCCCTCTCGCTTGGCATACTCATCCTCAATTGCTTCGGCATATTTCTCTTCCGGCGATCGCGGGTCGTCCTTCAAGACGCCCTCCTTGATGAGCTCTTCGGGGGAGGGTCGGTGCGAGATTTTATCGTTTAGGGAATCTGCGCGCATGTGTTTCTCCAGCTGTTTTCGAAAGTCAATCTCAAAGGTCTTCAAACGATCCATGACTATCATCGGTCGCTAACCTCTCTCTGTTTCTCCTGCAGGCCAGGTGCGGCTGTCGAGTCTGGGAGGATGTTTTCTAGAATGACGTCATGTCAGTACGCATGGTCGGTTCGCCATTTTGAAAAGCGAAAGCATCTTCGGAACGGTTGTTGAACTTGAAGCTTGACATACTCTCCACCAGCTCAGAACGCTCTGGACGGTGCTGCAAGTGCTGCTCCAGAGAGTTCTTGCGTCCCGAAGCTCCAATGGGAGAAATGGGAGTGTCGTCGACATTCGCGGGGTTGCTGTTATCAGCCATGGTGTGATATATTGTAAGAAACCTCGGCGTGCAAGTGGACGATGATGAAGCTCAGTGCCGAATTATCTTTCAGAACGTATGTAGCAACAGATGAGGAATTGACGAACGAAGTCGACTCTACACAGGGACGAGATGCATGGTATTAATGCAGGAAGGCGGGGAAAGCTCCAGGCGCCCTTGTGTCTCGAAGCTCGACGCCGCCAAACACGCGCCAGCTTCTCCAATTGAGTGCCACTGGTCCGTACATACAAACAACATAGCTGAGACGTTGGCCCGTCAGCTGCGCCGCCTTGTTTTAGGCGCGCCCAAATTGAGGACCCGCATGCATCGTCAGTTCAACTGCCCATGTCGCAAAACAGGAATTCTATGAGACAAGATGCTTGCAACCGCCGACCATGTTGGCAACCATGTCTCAGTGATGCAATCACAGGGGTAAAGGCAGGTTCCGATCGGCACAAGATTGCTGGGGTTGCTACTGTATGTACATATTTAAGGTTGGGCAAGTGTGTATGTCCACAGGCACAAGGTCTAATTGTGGGATCGTGAGATCTCTGGGTTAGCCCCAGCTGCAGCACATATAGTACATACATGGCTTTGACGTACATGGCTCTCTCCTGGGGGGGTGGTCAGCATCGTGTTTACATAGCGTCCGTCATTATGCGCTGAACGTGAGATTTATCGCGTCTTGTTGCTTCTTTTGTCACGAAGAAGTATAATATTCTTCACGATGCCTGAACTCAGCACGGCGACCTGGCGCTATCTAGGATTGGGCGTGGCAGCATCCTACGCTGGCCTTGGGATTTTTCAAGCTGTACAGCCGGTACGGGCTGCGCTCGGATTCTACGACTCCCTAAGCATGCCATTAGCCCGCAAGTCGACGCCAGGCAGCAGGTCGGCTGGCTGATGAACCTCATCGCCGCTCGAGACCTTAGCATAGCCGCTATATTGTTCAGTTTCGCATATCGAGGAAAGACGCAAGAGTTGGGGACGGTTATTCTCGGAGGAATGATTATATGCGCCGCCGATACAATAGCCGTAGGGAAGAGGAAAGGCCCAGCTGCGTGAGTGAGCCACTGGAATGGGGGTGGATTACAGTACAGTGCACTGCTGCTAACATGTAGATTTGCATACTGTAGTACTGCTGGCCACTGGGGCTAGCATTTGGGGGTTGATCGGCTGGGGTTTGACGCTAAGCTGATATGAGGGAAGCCACTGATTGCCGTAAGGCTGCAAGAGTGGGATAGCAACCAATTTAGATCTTATGTTTACGTTACCCCTTCTAGAAACCTTCCATCGGAAAGATGGCATACAGATGTGCCGGTTACTATCACTTCTAGGTTACGGAGAAAAGATCTCTCGCACATAGAACCAATATGGACTCGGCAGTGCTCAGGTCTCATGAGTCAGCATCTCAAACAGCTTCAAGAACCGGGGGGGCCAAGCACAGCTCAAAGGATTGGGGGTATCGGGTTCAGTTTCTAGCCACGTGAATAACTTCGTTTGGGCTGCGATAATGACATTCGGGAAGAAGTGCGCCAATTAATTACACACTCGTTTTGATAACGTATGCAGCTCCCAAGAGGGCAAGCTTGGCGGCGGGTGCTTGTGGTCGTGGCAATGCTCAACATCTATCGGTCCTTATCGCATTAGATGCATTGCCCAGTCTCAACCAGTCTCAAGGTCCTGTCACCATTTTGTTGACCATATAGTCTTCGCCACCTACATACCACCCACACGGAACCATCGATGTCAGCCAAGTTTAGTGCCGAGCCTCTAAATATGGCAGTCCTTGGCTAGTGCTGCCGAATTGCCGCGTGCGCAATCCGTGACGAGCCGCAAATATGATCAGCTCCCTTCCGACGTCTACGCAACACCGAGTTGAGCCGGACAATTCTGGGTAGAGTGGAGGGATAGAATACATGAGGCATGAAGAATTGGACATGACAAAATGAATTGCATGATTGAAAACAGGAAGCGCTGACGTGCTTTCACAGCCTATGGTTAACTAACTCCCCGCGTTCGGTCTCTCCGCTATCAACCCCAGACTTGAGAAACCTTGACCTGATCGCTAACTTTATTTGCTAAAGCAGGCTTCCAGGCACAACCATATCTGCCCATGCTTTCCCAGCCTGATAGTGCATATGGTTATTCGCCCCAAAGGTTCCCAAGAATCCTGTGCTTGGCGATTCCGCCTAGCACGATATCGTCATCTTGGCTCTGGGTCGTACCAAGACCTCGCTGCACCAATATGTGTCGAAGGACTACATTGGTTTTCCAGAATTCCCCGCCTTTCTGAAGACTGCTATGACGAGCGCGCTGTTTATGGAGTATTGGCCAGACCCGTTGCCAAGAGATAAAACCATAGGCGCCATGTTTCTGACCACAATGCGAAGACCCGAGGACTCGGCGTCGTATACTTAAGGTCAAAGGTATCCCACCTTATCTCAATGTAGGTTTAGGTACTTCTCGTCATCAAATAATCTCGAGCTTTTTCGAGCAATACTCAGTAGCCGGACCTGAAGCCATCAATCAATGGAAGTAAGATGGGGAAGCCAAACCCCCTCGCAGACCATGTCTCCGGCCAGTCCAACAAGCCGATGTCTAGGCCGGCACACGGCCTCACATTCGAAGAGGTAATTCGCGAGCTTGGAGTCGACGGTGACGATGGGCTGTCAGAGAGCGCGGCTAAGGAGCGCCTGGAAGAGTTTGGAAACAACGAGCTCGACAATGGCCCTGGCATCAATCCCACCAAGATCCTTCTCAAGCAGATTGCCAACGCCATGATGCTAGTGCTGATCATGGCCATGGCAGTATCATTTGGCATTCAATCGTGGATCGAAGGTGGTGTTGTCGCTGCGATTATTATCCTAAATATTATCATTGGGTATGTATTTTTATTCCCGACTAATTGCATAATCTTTTCGCCGGAACAACCACCCAACTAATTCTGGTCTTGTGTTTTAGTTTTAAGCAAGAATATAGTGCCGAAAAGACCATGGACTCACTGCGATCGCTCTCTTCGCCGACATCACAAGTTGTTAGAGGCGGCCAAAACGTCACTGTGCCTACTATCCAGGTCGTTCCTGGCGATATGGTTGAGCTCAAGACCGGCGATACCATTCCGGCCGACATTCGACTGTTCGAAGTTATGAACTTTGAGACGGACGAGGCACTTCTGACTGGCGAGTCGCTTCCCGTGCAGAAAGTTGCAGACGAAACTTATGATTCGGAAATCGGCCCTGGTGATCGTCTGAACGTCGCGTTCTCTTCTAGCACCGTCACCAAGGGCAGGGCCAAAGGCATTGTGTTTGCGACCGGAATGTTCACTGAGATCGGCACCATTGCCGCAGCTCTGCGAGGACAAAACTCGCGTGTTCGCGAGCCCAAGAGAACGCCAGATGGCAAAGTCAAGCCTCATCGTCAAGCTCAGGCCTGGGTTCTAACGGGCAAAGATCTGCTGGGCAACTTCCTTGGTGTCAACGTCGGAACTCCGCTCCAGCGAATCTTGTCAAGACTTGCATGTGGTCTATTCGTTATAGCCGTTATCTTTGCAATCATCGTGCTAGCAGCCAATAGCTTTTCGAGCGAGCAAGAGGTCATCATTTATGCCGTCGCTACGGGTCTGTCCATGTTGCCGGCCTCTCTGATTGTTGTCTTGACGATCACCATGGCGGCGGGTACCAAGAGGATGGTCGAGCGACACGTCGTGGTCCGGAAGCTGAATGCTTTGGAGGCTCTCGGTGCTGTCACGGATATCTGTTCGGACAAAACGGGAACCCTCACGCAAGGTAAGATGGTGGCCAGGAAGGCTTGGATCCCATCCAAGGGCACGTACTCGGTTGGAGAGTCAAACGAGCCATTCAACCCAACCTCTGGCGCGCTGTATCATGCGTCCGGCGACCCGGACGAGGCAGACTCTTCCGACGACGATGTTCCACCCAACCAGGACGACCGAAAGTCTGGCGAACAACTATTAAAGGACAATGTTCCGCTTGAAGAATTTCTTAAGATCGCGTCTCTTGCCAACTTGGCCTCGGTATACAAGTCACATGAGGGCGAAGGTTGGACTGCACGTGGAGATCCGACCGAAATTGCCATTCAAGTGTTCGCCTGCCGCTTCGGGTGGAACCGCCGCGGCTTGACTGAGGGTGATGATCCTCAATGGAAGCTCGTCACCGAATATCCCTTCTCGAGCGACGTCAAGAAAATGTCGGTTATCTTCCAGCAAAAGGGCAGTGACGCTAAACATGCCTTCTCTAAAGGTGCTGTTGAGCGAGTCCTTGAAGCTTGCACCGACGTCGACATGGATGGCCAGGGCCATACTACCGAGCTGACTGAAGAGATCAAGCAAGATGTGCTCTCCAACATGGAATCGTTGGCATCCCTGGGCCTCCGTGTCCTCGCTCTTGCTTCAAAGATCTATGACGGTCCTACCGGTACTAGCGACGAAGACCGCGCACAAGTCGAGAGCGGTCTTACCTTGCGTGGACTGATCGGTCTTTTCGACCCACCGCGTCCGGAATCCAAAGGAGCCGTCAAGGCGTGCCACCAAGCCGGTATCAATGTACATATGCTTACCGGAGATCATCCTGGTACTGCGTTCGCCATTGCTAGGCAGATCGGGATCGTTCCTGATCGTCTCGATCAAGTCAGCAAAGAGACGGAAGAAGCCATGGTCACCACCGCATCCAAATTCGACAAGCTGTCCGATGCCCAGATCGATGCCCTGCCTGTGTTGCCTCTCGTCATTGCACGATGCGCGCCCCAAACCAAGGTCCGCATGATCCAAGCTCTACATCGTCGCAAGTGTTTCGCCGCCATGACCGGTGACGGCGTCAACGATTCCCCATCCCTGAAACATGCTGACGTGGGTATTGCCATGGGCCAAGCTGGATCGGACGTCGCCAAAGATGCTTCCGACATCATTCTGACGGACGACAACTTCGCTTCCATCCTCAATGCTGTCGAAGAAGGCCGCAGAATCTTTGACAACATCCAAAAATTCGTGCTGCATTTACTGAGTCAGAACATTGCGCAAGCTTGCACCCTGCTGATTGGTCTTGCATTCAAAGACAGCAATAATCTTTCCGTCTTTCCTCTTTCGCCTGTAAGTTGTTCTCATCGTTCTGGCTTGTCAGTGAGCAGATAGTTAACACAACTGAACAGGTTGAGATCATGTGGATCATCATGGTAACGTCGGGTTTCCCCGACATGGGACTCGGTCTCGAGGCCGCTGCGGCCGACATCCTCGAGCGGCCACCGCAGAACCTGAAGCGGGGCATCTTTACCAACGAGCTGCTCGTGGACATGGTGGCCTACGGGCTCTGGATGGCGGCGCTCTGCCTGTCGTCCTTCTCGCTGGTGACGTACCAGTGGGGCAACGGGATCGAGGGCACCAACTGCAACGACGCATACTCGGCCGAGTGCGACACGGTGTTCCGCGGCCGGGCAACCTGCTTCGTCTCCATGACCTGGTTCTCGTTGTTCCTGGCCTGGGAGCTCATCAACTTCCGCCGGTCCTTCTTCCGCATGCAGCCCAAGAGCACGCTCTACTTCACCCAGTGGATGCACGACGTCTGGCGCAACAAATTCCTCTTCTGGTCCGTCATGTTCGGCTTCGCCAGCATCTTCATCATCCTCTATGTCCCCGTCATCAACCACGACGTCTTCAAGCACACGGGCATCACCTGGGAGTGGGGCATCGTCATCGTGGAGGCCGTCCTGTTCTTTGGCGGCATCGAGACCTGGAAGTGGGGCAAGCGTGTCATGTACAGGCGGAAGGCAAAGAAGGAAGGCGGTGGCCAGAGGAGGAGGCTGAGCAGCGTAGTGTTTGACGATTATCTGACCAAAGCGAGCAGCGGCAGCTCAGATGCGGTAGCGTCCGCAGAGGAAGGCCAGGCCGTGGTGCCAAGTGCGAAGGTTTGATCTGGGGATTTAGGTCGGGATGGATGTGTATACCAGGAAATTATGGAACCAACAAAACAAATATACAGATAACTATTAGAGCTACTCCGACAAGAGTCGCATCGTCCAGTGATATATGGCTTGAACCTTCGTCCTGGTATGAATAGCGGGTGCTACTACCCAGTGTCGATAATATACCAGATATCAGGCAAGCGCATGCAGCGACCACTACACCACTACATGTTGGCGACGACTCCATAATGCATTGTTGTATATGTGGCTTTTCACAATTATCACGTCAAGCTGTTTTGTGACAATTACCGACTGTCATCTGATGAACTATTTTGTCTCCTCCCATTGTAGATTAACTATAATGCACTTTAGACAACTGAGATTAGTGGTGCAATAACACGCCCATGGGCTGGAATGGTGGCACTATGGAAATGTCGGTCTAGGTCACGCATCGTATAGGGCTAATTTGGGTTTTCTGTCTCGGTTTTGTTGTACTGCAATTCTTACCACTTGCATTTGCTTTTCAGAGTCAAGGGTGCATGGAATATCTGGACAATCCCAGATTCCAAGTCTGCACATGAATAATGGCGTTTTGCGTTCTACAAACCCATGGTCCTGGCGCTGCTGGCCTTGAATTTTCTTTTTCTTTTTGGGTACAGCGATACTGAGACGGCGGCGTGCTATGCGAGCTGGCCAGAGCTTGCCAGAGATAGAGAATCAATCGCTGCCAAAATGTTTCACGCCAGCATCCTGCCGAGGCCCCATTAAATTGTTTTCTGGAATGATTCCTTTCGAGGGGCGCGTTCGCACTGGAATGTTGCACAGAAAAACGGGAACTATTGACCCACATTTCGCTTCTCAGCCAGAAGCGGAAATGGATTATCCTGGGGGCAGTTCTGATTGGACACCGTCAGAGGGTCAGCTAGCAGGGTGAGACATGATCGACTATTGGCAATAACTGCACCGGGCAGTGTCGCACGGCCTATGTCCTCAGTGGTCAAATGTGGGAAACGGAAGTCGAGATTGATTTTGATGAATTATATGTGCTCCGACGACGCTGTGTTTGAATTTTCTGAGCGTGTAGGAAAGATTTGCGGCCATTCGGATACGGCGATGCAGGTAGCAGCGCTAGCTATGTAATAAGCAGGAAATTCATGCAGCGGCAAAGTTTCCGCCCTAGTCGGGTCATGATCATCGCGTGTCGATTTCCCAAGCGAACATGATTCGAGTTCGCGTCCATTATCTCTTGGTTGAGTGTTCGGAATGGCCCGGGGGCAAACGATTCGTCATAAAAAAGCCAGCGACCAAAGGAAAAGACGTCACAGCAAGAACTAATCTTTCATCACGGAAACAGCAAGACGCCAAGTGACCGCCGAAGTGCTAATGTGGCACGACCAAGGATCTTGCCATCTGACTGAGGCCACTTTCATCGGCTTGCCGCAACGGCAGCGAAACTCGGACATACGAGAAATATGAGTAAAGTGGTGAACTGAGGCACCAATAGCGGGAGAGTTGCGGGTTGATACATGATGTCTTTTTTTTTTCTTCCTCCGGCACGGCAGACCAGGCCGAGTCGTGCCGTACGATATACTTACAGGCCCCACAATAATGAAATCCTCACATTTCGATACTTGCACCGTCGAACCTACATGCTGGATGGCCTCATCCCATGTACGATACTCCGCGTCATTCCGCCCACAGCAAAAACGACCCCAGGCCCCCCGGGGAGATTTCTTTCAGTCATGCGACCCCAAGAAATCTCCTCACGATAATTGCGGATGGAGCGGCGGGTTTGTGGACATGAAAAATCCCATGGAGCCCCAGAGAACTCACGAAAGACACCGAGAGGTACTCCGAGCTGGTGAAGCCATACTGCACGAACACTGGGGATATCGCAAGACTATTACGGAGTAGTTCTCCACTTACTTTTCGGGGGGGTTTCGAGATCTCGTTGCGGGCTCGTGCTTTCGTGGCAAGGCGAAAAACCAAAGAATCTCCCGGACCCATTGTTTCCTGGTCGCGGCGCCACCGGCAGCTAACGCACCTTATCTTATCATCATTAAGGGTCCTCCCATGGCTTGTTCTTTGGCGTCCCAAGACTGCCGGCGCTGAATCGTCATCAGGAATTTAGTTGGCTTCCAAGAAGTCTCTTTCTGCGGCGCATCGACGCAAAACAAAAGCGATTCGCTTAAGCATGACGTCAAGCAGCATGAAAAATCTCAGGGAACTCGAAACACGGTGCAAAGGCTCGAGCTTATCTGATTAAGCAGCGCAGAGCCGCTTTTTCTGGTCACGGCCCATAACAGGACCGAATCTCGGTTCATTGCTCGGTCGACCTAATGAGCCCACCAAGCATTGGCTGTTTTGCTTGCAGAGAACGGCCGAGATTGCAACATTGGAAACTGGAGATGTTTGTTTTGTCATTTTCTCAATCGCGTGGTGCATTGCGGAGTGCTGGGGAAGCAGAGCTCGAGGGACCGTGGGCGCCTTCTCTATGATGTTGTTGATATTGGAGTATTGGAGAATATGGTTTTTGCAAGTGCCTGACCGCTCGTCCAATCAGGTGAGCACCAAGCTTCGGATGGACGTCACAGGCAGTCCCGATCGGGCAACTAACAGGGGTCATGGGGGCTGACTCGGTGAGTGTCGGTGAAGGCTCAAACGCTCCAATGCCACTGTGCAGTGCAGTGCAGCACGAATTTCGACAGCCTCAGGTGCGTGTGGTCGCGGTCGCGGTCGCGGTTGCAGCAGTGACCATGTGTGAATTCGTGCAACTCGTGCCACTGCGAGCCCACTGTGAGCTGGACTGGTCCGGACGCTGGCAGGCTGCGGCCGTTGGGCATGCCAACCTAGTGACGACACCGGCAGAACCCGGAGGCACCGAATCCCAAACCTCAAGCTCACGCGTTTACTGTACGGTACCAAGCAAGATGACAACCCACTTTCCATACAATTTCTTCTCCAGCGTCCCCATAGAATCATTTTCTGGAGCAGTCAGGAATACCCAGTGATTACCCATCGGTGCTCCAGTCCAATCGAACTCTACTCCTCCCTAACCCCCAAACCCGTTGGTGCTCTGGTAGTGTGACGTCTAGAAGATATCCACCGCTACCCACGTTATCCCCGACTGCCCACGACTCGCGGTTCGCTACTCACGATCTGGGCACGCGGAGCCCCAAGTAACATCTTCTTGTGGAACGCTAGAATCTTTTGGCTTTTCCATATATACCTCCTCTCTCTCCTCCTCTCCAATTTCCCCAATCTTTCACCCACAGCCTTTGTTGGTGCACTGTCTTCCCATACCCTCGAATAAGGCAGACAATCTACAATATGCCCTTCCTCAAACGTCAGGCCGACCAGGTCGAGTCATCCAACCAGGGTGTCAAGACCGAGGTCGACCACGATGCCGCTGCCAAGCAGCAGCGCGTCACCCTCAAGGCCATCATCCTCGGTGTCGTCGTCAGTATTGGTGGCTTCATGTTTGGTTATGTCTCGTAAGTTACACCTCTTAACAGCGTTGCTGTCCCCAGATCCTATCTGCTCTACCGGGGACTAACCCAGCTTTCAGCGGCCAAATCTCCGGCTTCTTCCTGATGAACGACTTTGCTGAGCGCTTCGGACAACGCAACGCCGATGGCACTTTGGAATTCAGTGCCACACGCCAAGGTACCATCACTGGTCTCCTCCCTGTTGGTTGCTTGTTCGGTGCTCTTCTTGCCGGTAACCTCGCCGATACTCTCGGTCGTCGTATGACTATTTGCGTCACTGCCCTCTGGGCCTGTGTTGGTATCGTCATCGAAGTTTCTTCAGACGTTGCTTGGTACCAATTCGCCATCGGTCGTCTCGTCACCGGTATCTCCATCGGGGCCCTCTCCGTCGTCGTCCCCATGTACCAGTCCGAGTCCGCCCCGGCCATCATCCGTGGTGTCCTCGTTTCGACCTACCAGCTTTTCATCACCCTGGGTATCTGGACTGCCAACATGGTGGACTGGGGTACAGCTGAGAGACCCGACAGCGGTTCATGGAGAATCCCCAACGCTCTCGGCTTCCTGTGGGCTCTCATTCTGGGTGTCGGTGTTCTCTTCCTTCCCGAGTCTCCCCGCTTCGCATTCATCAAGGGCAGAGAGGACGAGGCCCGCAACACCATCGCTGGCCTTGCTGGTGTCGACCCCAACCACCGATCTGTCAATGACCAGATTGTTCAGATTCGCGCCAAGCAGGAGGAGGAAGCTTCCCAGGGTAAAGCCAAGTTGATCGAGATCTTCACCGGTCCTCGTATGTTCTACCGTACAGTTCTGGGAATCATCCTCCAAATGGGCCAGCAGCTTACCGGTGCCAACTTCTTCTTCTACTACGGAACTACCGTCTTCGCCGCCACTGGTCTCTCCAACTCTTTCGTCACTCAAATCATTCTTGGCACTGTCAACGTCGTCTGCACCTTTGGTGGTCTCTACATTGTCCAAAAGGTCGGTCGCCGAAAGGCTCTGATTGCTGGTGCCGCATGGATGATGATGTGTTTCCTCATCTACGCCTTCGTTGGTCAGTTCAAGCTCGACCACGACGACCCCTCCGCCACCCCTACCGCCGGCTCAGTCCTCATTGTGTTCTCCTGCTTGGCTATCGCCGCCTTCGCCACTACCTGGGGTCCCATCGTGTGGGCTGCCGTCGCTGAGATGTACCCTGTTCGATACCGTGCCCCTTGTATGGCCCTGGCAACCGCTTCCAACTGGTTCTGGAATTTCATGATCTCTTTCTTGTAAGTTACGCGTCCACGGCCGAACTTTGTGAATTAATATACTAACCAAGCAATAGCACCCGTTTCATCACTGATGCCATTGACTATTGGTACGGTCTTGTCTTCGCCGGATGTTGTGGCGCTCTCGTCCTGATCGTCTTCTTCTTCATGATCGAGACCAAGGACCGCAGCTTGGAGGAGATTGATACCATGTACCAGCTCCACGTCAACCCTATTACCTCCGCCAAATGGGATGGTAGCCAGGTTCCTGAAGGCGTCAAGGGCGAGCACGGAGTTCGTGGCTCTTCCTCTGGTGGAGAGGCTGGTGTTGTAGAGACGGATTAGACGTCCACTTCTGGAATTCTGATTTGAAGTACAGATTGTACTCAAGTGGGAGGTTGTAGTAATATGGTGTAGAAACATACAGATACCCAAAAGTTAGCATCGGCGTTATACTTGCTTATTAGCTATCACTCAAGACAAATAATTTTGATAAATCAACACAAAGATCTATTTTTGCTTTGAAATCGTAGTACCGAGCCTTTTCCAAGCTAGGCAGTCTAATAATTATTCTCGCCTTACAGAGTATCACATCGCACTTGCAATCTAGAATGGTTTAACATCAAATGCGTGTTCATATCGAATTGCGATGGTATTTGTCAGAAACCCTCGTGGCGAAAAGTAGGATTAAACTATCTCCATAGTTATAACGTCTGTGATATAAGACAACGTTATATGATATGATTCTTGGGCGCCTATATTACAATCCGTATCCACCGAGCTCCTGCATGTCGTTTCCTAGCACGATACTTTCCATGGTGGCCTCATTTTAGGTCATGTTTCGTAAAGTTCCCGTCTGCTAAATTAGATACTATGTTGATAGTAGACTTATCCATCGCCTCCATGCCGAAGCCTTCTCGGTGGAACGGAGGAAATTCTTCAATCTAGTCTCGATCGTCATTCCTCCTTTCCAGATATAACTTTCTTGGATTCTATGACCAATCAGCTTCGTTTTATGGAGAATCTTTGAGGAACTGGATCCACGGAAGGGGGAGAGCATAGGACAGCGCTTACATGATGGAATAGCCGTGGACCTTTGAGCCTTTGGTTGTGCTGGGACTGAGCCTCTTGATTAGTCGTTGCGTTGTGATGGCGCTGGTGTGGGGCTTGAAAGATGCGGTAAGTGGGATATTCTGTCTCCAGGTTGATGAAGGGCTAGTTTCGACAGGCATCGTTGGTGGCTGGTTCAGCCTAGCATGATGAGAGTCGAGGACAGGTTCGATCATGCGTGCGCTGTTCGTAGCATGGGAACCACCAGTCACGGTGAAGTCTCGATGATTGAAGTCCCGCTGTCTGTTGGTGGTGGATGACGCGCTTGTGCTGACGACACTGCTTCTGTCCTCTCGCCGCTGGTTTGCCCTGTCTAGCTGTCGGGACGCAACAAAGATAAGCCTGGTAGATAGATGGTGAGCTTCAGACACGGTTCAAGGGATAGTATGTGCTCACGCGTTGAGAAGCCCTCCATCGACCCCAAAAACGGACGTTTCGACGATCTCATCCAAGACCCGGTCCTAGCGAATCTCGTCTGGATTTTCGTCTGGTCGCGTGGGCGCTTCTTTGTCCTTTGATGGACCGGCGTCACTTCGTAGGTCTAGCACCGCGTCAAGCACGTGCCAACTATCCATGATAGTAGGTGGTATGAAGAATTAATCACTTCAGGTTTGTGATGTTGTGTAGAGTGTGTGAAGCTTATGGGAGTTGTGGATGGTTCAGTGTGGTTGTGGTGGGAGGAAGGAGTTCTGGGATTGGCTGATATGGAAGTCAGTTTTGGTCAACCGTGATCTGTTTTCGTCTTGCTTTGTTACCGCGGTGGCTGTGTAGTTGCTGTGGAAATGGTTGGGATGGTGACTTAGATATTCAGGACCGAGTGGGGGAGCGATCGCGTCCCATCCTCAGCTAGCTCTATTGTAGAAGCTGCGGCATTGTTTGAAATCGAATTTTGCTTACCCGCTGCGTTCCACATGGATATTAACATGAATGTACAATTCTATCAGAATGTTGTCTGCAGTACGTTGGGCAAAAGTATCAATATCGGCAGCTGAGCTTCTAAGGTTATCTGAAAATTGGAGCGCGGATTTGTATGCTCCAGAATCTGCATTAGTATAGTAGATTCTGGGTTATACGTACACATGATAAATCTTGAAATCATATCCAATCATCTATTCGTTCATATTTAATATGTGCATATAGTGACCATAAGAAGTTTCGTCATGTGATGTACACGTCGAAGGAAACCTGAAGAAGACAGATCTTCACAAAGAACACAACTTAGTATAGGTACTCTTGTTGTTATGAATGTATATTAGACCATTATATTATGTTATATTAAACATGATCCGTAAGTTCTTCGGTGGCTTTGAAGAACTGGTAGTATTGTGATCGAAGTTTTTGAGTAGTGGCTAGGTGATGATGTTGCTGGTGTTCTGCTCAGAATTGGCTACCATAGTATTCTTTATTTCCAGACTGAGGAGTCGATAATGTTGTCCGACTTATTTCGACGTAGATCGCGTGTTGGGCAGATGATGTGTCTCATTGTAATGGTGACATGTTATTCTGGCGCCAAGTGAAGTATCATGCTCCAACGCGGGCAGGGCGAGCTCCAGTCTATGGCGATTGGCAGTAGGGACAGTTGACTGATTGCGGGTAATGGAAGCGTCCAAGAAACCCGTCGTGGTTTTCTCATCAATTAGTCGAGTGCACATGCGAGGAACAACCTGCTGAGTAGTAGCTGCAACGAGCTTCGAGGGCGAGGTAGCTAAGTGGACAAGGTCAAGGATTGGGCTTACTTAGCGATAAATATTCTATTCTTTGTCTTGCGTACTGATGATATAGTCCACGATTCAATCCAAGTGAATCTCGCGATTGACTGAAGGTTCTAGAAAGCTCGGAAGGCTACGAAGGTCGTAGGCCGTGTAGATTATCTCTTCACTGTGAATTGTGGTGATTTCTGCGGCGTCCGAGCTATAGATTTGACAATAGATTGAAACTTATGAAGAAGGCTCAATGACTTTGATGCTTCCCTTTCTTCCGGCAAGTGCCTGTGTTATGCGAGGTGATTAGATGTAGAGGCGAGCCATTATATTGCTGCTTGAAGCCCTGATGTCGATGAAGGTAGAGAAGTACATCTGAGTTTGTTCTCTACCAGTGATATCCAGTTTCTTACTTATAATAATATATCGGCATCGTTTTCATTTCAATATTGAAATCCAGCCTTCTGTGTAATAAGATGCACGTTGCTAAAATAAGTGCTCTCTTTTATATATTAGCAACGGGCATCTTGCGGGACTGGCCATTCGCATCAAGTAGCTCTTCGACGAGGTCGAAGATGACTTGCCGATCGACTCCGAACTCCCGGGCAGCGTAATCCACGACGGCATTCATCGATTGGAACATTCTGTGAGATTCCAAATTGCGTAAAACACTGATGAAGAGGCGGTGATATGTATAGCTGGCAAATTGGATAGCTAGAAACTTTGCTGCTAAACGCCAGCCTTTATAGATCCAAACTTGTATAATTTAATTGTAAGTACTCTGTCGTTGTTAGCAATTGAATATGTATCTGTGAAAAGAAATCCATGTCATGTTTATAAGAATCGAATGTGATGTTCAGTTAAGAGTCGTGGGTGGCGGAACTTATCGGGTTCGCTGTTGGATGCGATTGCTGCGTGGGGTGGGAATCGAGGATAGCCTTCTACATGCTAACGAGCAACATGATGTAGCAAACCTAGGAACCAGGCTCTTGATTGATACATCCCGGGGGCTTCTTAACTTGCTAGAAGCGTAATTTTGGATCTGTTGACAACTAAGAGGTTGTTATTCGAGTTATAGGTCGGGGTTACCCGGGCCTTGACGAGGAGAACAATGAAGTATGACAGAAGTTGTAAAATTGTCAAAACTAGATACAAAGGGCGGTAGAGGCTAAGCATCACAACTGGTTAAGATCCATTGCATGCTTTATATGACCTTTAAAAACACAATCTGGGGTTTCTCGAGAAACCAAAGGTGGATGGCTGTAGCTACAGGTCGTTTGTGCATGAGCCGTTACGAGCCGAGACAAAGGTTTAAGTGTGATATACGTCGTGAAGCTGTTAGGACAAGAGAACCAAGATGTTATCACAAAAGGAAAGAGAACCAATCTATTAATGATTAGGTCTTGTAGATTTGATTGATCTCTAAAAAAAATATTATTTCATAGTCATTAGTGAATAGTAGAAATCAGTGGGTTATAATAACACTATAGAGCCGATCATGTTCTAAAAGTTTTTAATCGATGTATTTGAAACGACCACTGGTCCACGTCATAAAATTAGCATAAATGATGTTCAAAATTGCTCTAAGTTCCCGTTCGTTCGGCTTAGGATATAGTAGACTCTTGCTCTTGGTCGATTGTGGGTTCACGTTTACCAGCAGCTTCACCGCCTCCCTTCACCTTGTCGTGCCACGATCAACTAACCAGCCCAAGGGCGATATTCTAGGCCACATGATCACCAGCAGTTAATAACTTCGCAGACTTCCTCTACGTAGGTCATATCCTTAGGCGTTATCTGTAAGTGTTCTGTAGCAGCTTAATAAGGCTAAACACCTCGTTGTAGCCACCGAGTGAGCTCATAACGCCACATTTGCCATGTGCGTGTAGTTAAGCTTGTCTCTTGGGAGGGTGAGTTTTAGCTTAAATAGACAGCATCAAAGCTAAGATCCTCTCGGCCTGTGACGTTTTGTTAGTTGTATCCCTGATGATGAAGCTGCATTGCTGAACTTGGGACTTGCTTGCAGGTTCGTACTTTTGAGACGGTTGAACCGTGGTGGAAACAACAACTTTGTACTTGCAGCTGAAATCCTCCTCGTGACTGCAGTTGTAAGGGCAGTTACAAGCCGAGACGGGATCTGTAGCCATCGTGGCGACTCTGGGGGAGACGCCTTGGCCTACGGGCATCGCAGCGCCGATGGCTTTGCTAGCAAATACAAGAGCCATAGAGGAAGGGATAGTGGATCTGATAAGCATCTTGAAGAAGTGATGGAGATAAAATAGGTAGTTTTGGGTTTGGGAGTTTAGTTAGTGTTGTGATCATTGTGATGATGTGAATGACGATTAAAATAAACCTAGGTGATGAGGTTACTTCTCATTCTACTTTTACTTCTCTTGATCTTGAGCTGAGTTGGACTGTTCTGGCTATTCTGGGTGCAGGTGAGCTGAGCTTCACTGGGCAACTGCGTACCCGGATACGTCTAAAGGGGTAGATATTTACTTTTGGTCATGCTCCCCTCCTCTGTGGTGGGTCGTTCCCTCCGCCAGTATTCAGTTCCTCGTACTCAGCATTTTGATGGCTAAGATCATTGCGTTAAACTGTCCATATTTATTCATGAGGACAAAGAGTGTATTTCTAACGTCCCGAGCCTAAGGTAATGTCAAACTTGCCACTGGTGGCGCCGCATTAAGCCTCTTCTTGCTCCACAACGTCCCGCTCATGGCCTTTTGTCGTTTCATTGTTGTCGTTTTCGTTGTTGTTGTCGTCGTTGCCATCATCATTAAGTTCAGCTCGGGAGGGAAGATTGGGCTGAACAGCGATCTCAGAGTTTGATGGTGTTAGCGAGATTATTGATAAATTGTACGGACTAAGGGTCGAGAAAGAGTACCTGGAAACGAATAGCTGGCATGATTCACGATTCTCGTTTGCAACAGCAAACATTTCTCTTGTGTGGCTGAATCTAAAATTAAAAATTAAAAAAGGCTAGAATGAATGGTTGAGTTGGAGACTAGGGATGCTGACATGGGCCAAAAGGTGATAAAGATGGTGATATTGAAAGTATCGACCAAAACTTACTGAGGAAGGAATAAATGATAAATACACATCTACAAACTGATGTCATCACAAGGCACTCAACTCTTCTTCATCAAAAAGAAGAAACGTTTACTAGCATGTCTCAATAAACAAAAGTGTACACAAACTCTGTGCAAGAAAGCATTGGCAGGATTGGGATTGAGTTATGGAAGCAAACCACCACACCTGTGTTTAAGTATCAACAATTTACAGAATATGCTCAAATCATTTCTAGGATATACTTGGCTGGTTCGCATTAACTATGAAGGTTGTAGAACAACGTAATTGAAGTGATGTAATCCGTAGAGGGAGCAGTGACCTGCAGAGCTAACTGCTACGTGACAAGCGTTTGAGCGGCCCGGACGAGACCATTCATACGTGACTACCCCTTGAGTTTTGTACCAAGCATTACCGGAACGGGAACTTAGAATACGTGCTATGTACCCCGGTTCATCTTCACGTGAATGCGATCCATGTGCTGATGACCCATGAATCAGCGACAGCTATAACCGGCCGCGAAACATCTCATATGACCTCAGTCCGCTTGTACTTCTTCGGGATCTCGAAGGTCTTCCAGGATCGTTCCTTTGGTTCGGCGTTTCTTTTTTTTCTTCTTTTTCTTCTTTTTTTTCTTCTTTTTCTTCTTTTTTTTCTTCTTTTTCTTCTTTTTTTTCTTCTTTTTCTTCTTTTTTTTCTTCTTTTTCTTCTTTTTTTTCTTCTTTTTCTTCTTTTTTTTCTTCTTTTTCTTCTTCTTTTTCTTCTTCTTTTTCTTCTTCTTTTTCTTCTTCTTTTTCTTCTTCTTTTTCTTCTTCTTTTTCTTCTTCTTTTTCTTCTTCTTTTTTTTCTTCGGAGACTAGGATTGCCAGCTGAGTATACATTTCTCAGATTCTGATCGAGCTTACAAGGTGAAGCTGCTTGCTATAATATCTGAATACTCCTGTGAGGTTGATTCGTTGGTCTCCTGCTCTTGGCCCCGAACCGAGCGATTGGGAGTCGTGGGGATCGCTTCGGCCACGGGCAAGCCAGGAGAACCAGGCCCAGCGCGAGTGGTAGGGGTGGTTGACGACGGGCACTGGGCTGAACGCGGACACTAGATACTGTTCGTATACCTGCCTGCTTGAATAGTCGAGAAAGCTATTTTTCGCTGCAGCCGTTGCGAGGGGACCAGAATGCAATGACACTTGTACTATGATTTATGGTCATGGTCTTGGTGATGAAGCCAACTATCTTCCCGGTGTGGTTCATAGTCAACGCGATGCTGTGGAAGTTAGCTACTAGACTAGAACTATCGGACTTAGGACAGTAAGAAATACCTAGCAATATCGCAAAACGTTTGAACTGAGACCGTGATCCTCTACTAGATTAGACAGGACACGGTCCTAGCGAATTTCCTTGTCTATCTCGCGGGACTTGTTTAAGGGGGGAAGCTCGTGAGATAGTTCTTGCTGGACTAACCCGCCAACAACATCGTTTTCATCGTTTTCATTGCTTTCAGGGAAGAAGTAGGGAGTTTAAAAGTCGACCATATTCGAAACAAGACGCGGATGATGCGGTTGGGTGGGTGAAGCGATGGTGACGATATTGTATTGTGTGGTTATAATGGTCGCGATGCTCACAAAATGGTTTTTGGTAGTTGTAGAGATGGTTGAAATGAATTCCACAGAGCGAAGGAAGATTTTGATAAGAGAAAGATAACCTTAGTAAGGTGGTGGGATTCTCCGTGGAAAGTTGAAACGGGGGAGGGGGGCTAGGTAGATATTGTGTAGGCTGGCCAACGTCGATAGGAACTCGGTGGGGGACATTACGATTAGATTCAGAATCTCATCACCGAGTACGCCTCTACTTCCTTGAAGCTTTCGATGATGAGAGGGTGTATTAATATTACGTTCCATAGAGAACAGTATAAATCGTACTGTCTACATGATAATAAGGTTGCACCAAAGTTTACAGATATTACTGAATGTAGAGAACTTTCTCGGTCTCAGTACTGGCATTGAAAACCGGTCGAGAAGCGATGATACTCGACGGGCGTGCTTCAGTCAGTCATGGAACCCTTGATCCGATTGCGTAGGGTTTGACTTCACAGGCCATCGATGTGATACTGGGTAGGATTAGCCGTGGGAATTGCTGATTCAATCGCCAACAGGAACGTTGAGACCAATTTACTATCTTTACAGAAGCTGGAGGGATTCGAGTAAGGTTGTCAAGGCCTGATTAGCTGAAGAGCTCACATCACGGAATACCAGTTGCGTGCTGGCACATTAGCTATTCCGTGCTGCGACTATCTCCACTGTTCATCACCGACTTTGATGTCTCTTCTACGTTGCTTGAAGGGCGCCATCATGGCTTGGCCTGACAGAATCGACGGGGCAGTGAAGAACGAGGTGCCTTTAGAGTTCAACATCTCCACATACATTTGTCTTCATTGCTGCTTTGAATCCGAACATATTCTAATGACTACAGTGGCCGTTTTATATTCGGACTGGGCTGACTTGCGAGGATGTCTTCAGTCTCTGGACTCCCTCACAAGGTCACGGGATACGTCGTACTCATAGACATGTATGCTCAATGTTTGAAATATGGTTGGCGATTGTCGGCCGACTGTGATGTTTTGGTGTACTCGTAGACCGCCAAACAAGATTGCAACAAGAGATTGAGGATGGCAAACCGAGCGCCTGAGAAGGCCAGCGTGCCATCAAACGAGTGCTAGATGCACCGCGAGCAGGGTTTGAACAAAGAAAAGCAATTGATGCTCTTCAAAACTTGCTTCTCAGTGCTCACAATCCATTGGGTGGATGGCTATGTCCAGTGCTCTTCAGACGCTTGTGCTCCACTACCCCCACGAAAACCATCCCGGGAATTATGTACATACGTACTGTAGTGTGTAACTTGCATCCATAGCGCTGTGTACAGTACACAGCACGTTAATGTAAGTTAGTTGCTGAGGTTAGTCTACAATGGGTTAATTTTTTGGGCTTTGGTGGAATCAATGCCACTTAGCGTGACTGCTTCCCTGTCAATTACAAGGGGACGCGACTTCCCTTTGCTGGGCACGAACGCGAGTCGCGGTTTTGCATACAAAGTCTCAAAGTGTCTCTCAAGGTCGCGTTGCACTTTAAGTTGATGAAGTAGATGCGATGACTTGATTTACCCATTTGCCCTTCTCCTCTTATACAATCTGTTGCATTGCTGGCCGTCTGATTTTACTCAACCCCCCTATGATAGTAGACCTGTTGTTTCTCTTGTTCTCAGTAACCTAGGAGCTGTTGCAGCTGGGGATTCGTCAAGATGGCCGACAAGTCGAACCCCAAGACGCCGTCCCTGATCAAGAGGTCGAGCTCTTCCATGTCCGCCTCGGGGAAACAGTCGAGCATTCTGGGCTTCTTTAGCAAAGCATCTCAGAATGGAACACCCACGGCGTCCGCCAGACAAAAGTCCACACCCAAAACTGCCCCGGCCAAGTCGGCGCCGCCTGCCCTCAAAGAGAACACCAACCCCAACTCCCTCCAGCTCAACAGGAAGACCAAGCCCGCCAACGTGACCCCCGTCCCTAGTAGCGACGCCATTGAACCATCGAGCTCCCAGGAGAACCACTCTGAAGACCCCACACCAAAGGTATTCAACCGCTCGCTTCCCTCGCCTCCCTCCGCCACCACGCCTGCTGAACCCCCAACCAAGCAGGCCGCACCAGCCAAGATGGCTCTCGCAAGCAGTCCATCTCGCAAGGTAACTCGCCTCTCCTGCCCCCAGAACCCTTTCAACGCCAGCAGTTGCTAAAAGAAAGGTTTACTTCTCGCTGCAGGTCAAGAAGACGGTTAGTTACGCCGAATCTTCCGACGACGACGACGACGAGCAAGTGGTCGTGTCTAGAAAGCCAACACGTCGCTCGAGAACCGTAGTCGACGACGACGAGGACGATTACGAGGAGGACGCCATAGAGGCAGTGGTCGAAGATGACGACGGTATGCCTCCAATCATCACAGCACCGTGACCTCAGACTGACAAGAACAAAGCGGGCATGGACGATTTTCTCGTTTCCGACGACTCGGATGCACCCTCCAAGAAGCGGAAGCGGCCAGCTCCCAAAGCTCAGACTGCTCGAAAGCGATCACAAGCTTCTCCGCCCTCGGCGTCTGAAGACTTCGACGAAGAAGGCATCGATGAGATCATGGACGGGCTGCCCGCCGCATCTACGGCACAACAATGGAAGTACGATCCCGACAGTGTCAACCCCGTCAAGATACGGACACCTCCGCCGGATGCGAAAAGAACTGGAAAGGTCAAGGCCCATACGAGGGAGCCCGAGGATCGATACCCCTGGCTTGCCAAGGTCTCCGACCTCAATCGTAATCCTCCAGGCCATCCCGACTTTGATCCCTCGACCGTCTACGTCCCTCCCATGGCCTGGAGCAAGTTCTCCGCCTTCGAGAAGCAATACTGGGAGATCAAGCACAAGCTGTGGGACACCGTCGTCTTCTTCAAGAAGGGAAAGTTCTACGAGCTCTACGAAAACGACGCCACCATCGGTCACCAGCTGTTCGATCTCAAGCTCACCGATCGCGTCAACATGCGCATGGTGGGAGTTCCCGAGAGCTCATTGGATATCTGGGTCAACCAGTTCATCGCAAAAGGTTACAAGGTAGCCAGAGTCGATCAGATGGAAAATGCTCTAGGCAAGGAAATGCGCGAGCGCGAAGACAAGGCCAAGAAGCAAGACAAAATCATCCGCCGCGAGCTTGCCTGCATCTTGACTGCTGGAACCCTCGTCGATGGTGCTATGCTGCAGGACGACAATGCGACATATTGTGTGGCCATCAAGGAATCCACGGTTGATGACCACCCGGCCTTCGGTATTGCCTTTGTGGATGCCGCGACTGGCCAATTCTTTGTCTCCGAGTTCGAGGACGATGTTGATTTGACCAAGTTCGAGACTTTTGTAGCGCAGACAAACCCCCGTGAGCTACTTCTGGAGAAGTCGCACATTTCCACCAAGGCTCTTCGCATACTCAAGAACAGCACTGCCCCCACGACTATTTGGAACTATTTCAAGTCTGGCACCGAGTTCTGGGACGCCGACCTCACACGTCGTGAACTCGGCTGCAATGACTATTTCAAGGCTGATGAAGACTCCGAAGAGGCATGGCCAAAGGTGCTAGCAGAGTCCAAGGGCAAAGACCTCTTGATGTCGGCCATGGGAGCGCTTGTCCAGTATCTTCGTGTGCTAAAGATCGAACGCGCCCTGCTTTCTCAAGGCAACTTTACCTGGTACACTCCTATCCACAAGAACGGCACCCTCATCTTGGACGGCCAGACGCTGATTAACCTGGAAATTTTCGCCAATACTGCTAACGGTGGCACAGAGGGCACGCTCTTCAGCCTGCTCAACCGTTGTGTCACTCCTTTCGGAAAGAGGATGTTCCGCCAATGGGTTTCTCATCCTCTGTGCAACACGCAAAAGATCAACGAGAGGCTGGACGCAGTCGATCTACTAAATAACAATGTGGAGGCGCGAGAACAATTTTCGTCCAACATGACTAGAATGCCGGATCTGGAACGTCTCATCTCGAGGGTTCACGCCGGCGCATGTAGGCCTGAAGACTTCGTCAAGGTTCTTGAAGGCTTCGAACAGATCGAGTACACCATGACTCTGTTGGGCACATTTGGCGGTGGCAATGGGCTCGTTGACCGCCTCATCTCGTCCATGCCTGATCTCAACGAGCCCTTGTCGTACTGGAAGACGGCATTCGATCGTAAGAAGGCTCGTGAGGAGAAAATCCTGATTCCTACGAGGGGCATCGAAGAGGATTTCGATGACAGCTACGACACAATCAAAGACATCAAGGTCAAGCTCGATCGTCTTCTCGTTAAGAAGAAGACTGAGCTTGGGGCCAAGAATGCCAAGTTCACCGACAACGGCAAGGAGATCTACCAACTCGAGGTACCAAAAGCCACAAAGGTACCCAAGGACTGGCGCCAGATGTCCGCGACAGCAAGCGTCAAGCGGTATTACTTTAAAGAACTCACAGATCTTGTGCGACAGCTGCAAGAGGCGGAGGAAATCCATTCTCAACTCGTCAAGGACGTTGCACTACGTCTCTTCAAGCGCTTTGACGTGGACTATTCTACGTGGCTTGCAGCTATCCGCATTATCTCCCAACTGGACTGCCTCATCAGCCTGGCCAAGTCATCTGCCGCTCTCGGTGAGCCGAGCTGTCGTCCGGTCTTCGTCGACGAAGAGCGTACAGTGGTGGAGTTCGAAGAGCTCCGTCATCCTTGCATGATCAACAACGTGGATGACTTTATCCCGAACGATATTGTGCTTGGTGGCGATGCAGCCAAAATCAGTTTGCTTACGGGTGCCAATGCAGCCGGAAAGTCGACTGTCCTCCGCATGGCTTGCATTGCTGTCATCATGGCGCAGATCGGGCACTACATTCCGGCCATCAGTGCTCGCTTGTCGCCTGTTGACCGCATCATGAGTCGATTAGGCGCCAACGACAACATCTTCGCCGCCCAGTCAACTTTCTTTGTGGAGTTGTCCGAGACCAAGAAGATTCTGTCCGAGGCCACACCGAGGTCACTGGTCATTCTGGACGAGTTGGGCCGTGGCACCTCCTCATACGATGGAGTTGCGGTGGCCCAGGCCGTCCTGCATCATGTGGCCAGCCACATTGGCTGTATCGGCTTCTTCGCTACGCATTACCACTCCTTGGCCACCGAGTTTGAGTCTCATCCCGAGATCCAACCAAAGCGGATGAAGATTGATGTAGATGATGCTAACCGCAGAGTCACCTTCCTTTACAAGCTGGAAGAGGGTGTAGCCGAGGGCAGTTTTGGCATGCACTGTGCTGCCATGTGTGGTATCAAAGACAGTGTGATTGAGAGAGCAGAGGAAGCGGCCAAGGAATGGGAGCATACGTCGAGGCTGAAAGAAAGCCTGGAGAAGGCGCAGGAAGGCTGTTGGATCCCGCTTGGTGTTCTGAGTGATGTTGCTGCCGTGCTTGACCCTGCAAAGGGTGAGGACGTCAGCATGAGGAGCATGGATGTTTTGCTCAAAGCAATTGAGGCTCTGTAAGGCCACCGCATCATGCGGATGTCCACATAAGGCGGTGTAAGATGTCGATAATTTTCTGATTGCTTGTGAGCGACTGCTGCGCGGAGTATGCGGAGTTACTTGCTCCAGAATCGTACATGCAGGAAAGCGATCTGCTATTCCAATCTTAAGGCGTAAGAGGGGTCTGGCCGGCGGCGTTCCGGCTGTGTGTTTGATAGGTTGTGCGGTACTTGGTAAATAAGATTGCTACGTATATGTCTGAAACGGACCTTGCTCCCCTGTATTTTGTACAGCAGCTTGCCTAGAAGTGAAGAAGCAAGCCCGCTCCGTTTGCCGAGTTGCCTTCAAACGAATGGTGAATGCGTTTGAAACTTTGTATGCACTAATGCCGCGCGGCATTCCGTAAGTGGCCGTCCTCCGGAATGGAAATCGGTGGAAAGTTGTAAATTGGTTTCAGCTAGTAGAATGATGTTATCATAACTGGCAAATTCCAAAAACTCTCAGTAAACAACGAGACCCTACTTTTCGCCAAGATCTCCCGAGTCATACTCATAAACTAATGGACCGGCAGGTGCTCGGTTGATCTGGCAAGCTTGTTTCCTCTCACCACTTTCTTCTTTCAAAGTCCTACCCCATCCTCAAAGGCACTCCGTGGAAGAGAGCAGACCTACCGCTTTAGGGGCATGAAGCACCACGGCTCGGTCATGACTATGGCAAAATTAAGGGTCACGTCTTGAAACAGATACCAGCAGTGTCTTCTTTCAGTGGAGCGCTGTAAAGGTCCTGCTATCCTGTCATTCGTTGCTGGACGTATGTCGGTGAAAATGACACCAATGGGCTCACACACCAGGGGCGAGATGCTTGCTTAGTTCTTTTATGTCGTCTGTTGTTGATCTCACGCTTCTATATGAGCGGCATCGTAGGATCGCGTTGTGTCCATATCGTGGACCCGACCTTCGACTACCCTCTTGAGACTTTGTGGAGGCGAGTACTGGTGGTCTCATCTGAACAAATTGGTAGGCTGTACAGCGGGGTGCCAAGTAACATACTCTATGTAGTGGGTACATGTCTGGGCCACGTCTAGGAGAGAGTCGTTCTCTCCTCCCAAAGACGCAAAATACTTCAAATTGGGATAAGGGCAAGACACAGCAGCATGTGTGTTCTGTTAGTTTCTGCTCAGCATATATTGGAGGAAAATAATTTCTCAGTGGAACTATGAACAATCGCACGATGAGCTCAGAATCCATCGGTGAGTGTTCATCATCTGTACTTTGTGGCTCTACTTCACAGACTTCAGAATGTACTGATAACTTGGATAGCTACTCATCTATATATGTCGAGCCTAGAGAAACACCAAACGAAACTCAAGCAGAACCAGCAGTCAACGCTTGAAATACATGTTTATTTGCATGCGGACTACTGTGTGACAACTCAGTGGAAGTGAATAGCCTCTTGGACCCGTCGCCAATGCCCCGCATATCACGAGCACTGAGATCACCATCCTTGGTGCATGGTGACCGCTGGACCGATGTCTTCCGACCCAAAATCTCCTATGCCATCATCAGCGGACTGGGTAATCATTCTCACTGACCGTGAGTTCATCTGGTATGTTGTCCTGCTCAGTTAGCCCAAAATAAAGGGTGTTCTTACGATGGTCTTGTAAGTTAAGACAATATTTATTCACGTTCACGAATTACGGGAGAGCTTGTGTCCTTTAGTCCAGGAACATTCCGTGAAGTGGAGTTGGAATCGACAACACCCTGAGCCTCCCCTCCCTGCGAGAAAGGCTGCTCGTCTCAAGGCTCAAATCAATGCGCTTTTCAATCGTGCCGTGGCTACGAACCTTGAATTATCCCTCAAACCGCTAGCATTTCAAGGGGGCTGTGATCAGCATTTGTCAGTGGAACCGACGATATTGAGGTCGAAATGGTGACGGAATGGAGGTCATGCCCATATCAAGGTCGCTACTAAACGATTTTTGCAGTGTGGACAATGAGTACAAGCAACCACTGTGCTGGCGAGTCTCCCGCAAGACTAATGGACCTGCAGTCGAAGTTTGCTCTGCTCACCGTGGTGAGAGCCATAGCCAATATCGACACGACTTTCTGTGAGCACCTTCAATTCTGCACTTGAATCCAAGTTGAAGCCAATGTACGGCCTCCTTGGAGACTTGGGTATCATGATTGCAGTCGACTATGACCATGGTCATGAGTTCGAGCGCTTACACGGCTTCTTTTTCATCTTCATCTCTTCTACAGTCATCTCATGGTTGACAGTAGCAGTTCAGCTCTGTCGTCTCTGCAAAGCTGCAGCAAAGGGCAACGACTAAATGTGAGGCATCCTTGCTGTGACCGATCGGGCTTTCAGGGGATTCGGGGGAGAATGCCTCGCTGGTCATATCGCCGAGTGTCACGCCGCGAATGAAAGGGATGCGGATGTCGATATGTAAAAGACTCGTCGGTTAAACCCCGAGTTTGATGAACTCTGTTCCGGGGATCGGGCAACGATGATTGAGGCATTTGGGACCCTATTAAAGCTGAACTCCATGGGTTTGGAGCCTACGACAAGCATAAATATCTGCTTTTTCATGGGTGGTGAGCTATCTGCAGCAGCTCACGAAGTCAGACAAATGCGTTGGGAACCGAGGCCTTGAAGACGCTACAGCCACGACATCTCTCTGCCTAGGGCACAGAAGATGCATGGTTCTGAGACTTTTCTACACTCAGAAGCAAATGGCCTACAGAAAGCTGCTGAAGACAGCTGGCGATGAGGTGTACATTGATTATATTAATTCTGTTAATGTTGTTGATGCTGTTGACACTGTCGATGCTGACGATGGAGAGGATGATATGTGCTGCCCCTGACTCGGATGGCACGGGAATAGGACGACCGAGAGAAGAATTCCACCAGACGAGAGGTCAAAACACCACGCCTAAGCAACATATTGCTTGAAGACGTAAAAGAGGTAGTCGAACAGTTGGGTGAGAGCGATGGCGTACAAAACGACCATACATATCTTCACAGTTATGTGGCCGCCACGACAAGTCCTAACTTAGGACTAACTAAAATTTACAGCGATGATGAGCAACTCTTACACCTTTTTCAGAGGATAATGTTCCGCCACATTCAGTGCCGACTACTGTGTGACAAACAAAGGCCAAATATGCATGAAATAATTGTTCGAGCCAATCAGAAGATTTAATATATGCATGAAAAATTGGGAAACAGCTTATCACGTGAAACCCTTCTCACGTATATCACGCCCCTGATGTCTCTTGCACCGGACCACGTTGCTTTGACGCAAGATTCGGATCTGCAAATAAAGCAGCGAGAATACAACCACTTTGCAATAACGCCTAAATCATGGAACGCAGTTGCCGAGCTGCCTATTCCAGAACATAATCTCAAGACCAAACGACATATTCCAGCGATTCGACGCATCGAGATTGGTATTTCAGATGCGATGCCGATGGCCACACGAACGCAGATATTCTGAAAGGGAAAAGGGTCCCACGTAGCGTACGGCGGCATGCTAGCGTATACCGCGGTGGAGCGGCCCGCTGGCGTGGGCAGGCTCTGCCGGAGGATTGGCAACAGCTCGGCACTCGCGGACCGCTCGAACAGTCATCAGTTACTCGACGTTTCTGCATCAAGTATTACTACTCGTCGTCGGTTTCTTCATCCCCAGCGAGGGCACGTCTCGGAATAGTAGTTCATCCATCTCGAGAAATTTGTTCTAGCAAGCAGCGAGCAGCTGCGTGCGCGGACTTCAAAGCAGCCGCCCTGTATTTGCGCTGGTGCTACTCAGATGCGCCGAAGGTCGCTAGCATGGATCAATTGCCTCAAGAATTGATTGAATTGATCGTCGAGTTCTTGTCCCCTGACGCTAGCTTGCCTGACGAGGACGAGGACGGTTGGAGTCCTTACAGCGATTCCAGGAAGCCGGAGAGCTCGCTATTGCCATACGCAACCATCTCGAGAGCCTGGCAAGCCGCAATTGAGCGTCAGACATTTCGTAGTCTCAAACTCAACAGCGATGAGTATCCTATGCTCAAAAATACGCTCGGGCCTCATCGATACAGATGTCTTCAGAGGCTTGTGCTTACCATCATCTTGCCGTCATATGATTCCGTCAGCGCAACCAAGGTTGAGACACAGCAAGACAAAGATGCCAATGACCATGCCTACAGCCGAGCGGTACACGACATATTTGATATTCTGCGGTCTTTAGAAGTAGTTGACGGCAAAAGTCGCAGCCTTGAATTCTACATCAACCACCCGGTATCACGTAGCGATGTTCAGTACTTTATGGGCAGAGGAACGAAAGGCTCCGACGGCCAGATCTATGAAGGCCGATATTTTCACTCGTACATCGACCTTTATAACATACACAGACTGCCAAAGCTACGGGATGTCACCAAGTTTGTCATGAAAATGCCCAAAACCCAGCTTGGGCATCGAATGTTGTATCCTAGAGTGCCATTTCAGATCGCGTCAAAAATGCCAAACCTCGAGGCACTAAGCGTCGATGCCAACGACAACGAGAGGCTCTACGTTGATCGTCGTCTCAAGTATCGCCAAGATCTGGCCGAACACCTGCAGAAGCTGTCGTTGCCAAAACTGAGGAAGGCAGATTTGCATTTTCTGTACACCTCGCCACAAGATCACTACTATATGCCACCGATGATCAACCCTACTGCCGACTTTGACTTGTTGAGCTCTGTTTGCCAGTCGTTTTCTCAGGGCCTTGAGGAGCTTGACCTGAACGGCGTGCTAGATGTTACTCTGCTGCGGCCATTGGAAGGGTTCAAGACCGCCTTGTGGCCAAGATTGGAGCAGTTGGATATCCATTTCCACCAAGTCCGTCCAGCTGGGGGGTGGTACTTCACCGGAGACCCGCCATCCTGGATGCCCGGTCCAACGCCAGCAACTGAGGCTATTGTCGATAACCCGAACGAGGAATTCGACTTCGGCCAAGAAATGGGTCTAATTGGTATGCAGCAGACACGCTATTTTCGTACTACACCAGACAACGATGCCATCACACCTCTGGTCGAGGCTTTCGCAGATGCTGTGGCGGTGATGCCCAAGATACGGAATGCCATGCTACATAGTACCCTCGGAGAAGGCAACGTGACTCCAGAATGGTTCGTCATTGCGTACGTGGCACCTTGTCGCAAACCTGCCGCGTGCCAAGGAGCGTGCTACCGATTACCAGAAAGAATGTTGGTGACAGATCTTCAAGGTTGGGTCCCGGCGGATCGAGTAACGAATAAGCTGCGTAATATGGGAAGCAAGTATTATGATGTTGATATCACGGAAGAAAGTATGGACAAGTTTCTATCCAGAAATGGTCGAACTTGACCTGAACGGGTCATTGCTCAAACTTGCTAACAGAGATCCCTCGAAAAACTCGCGATCTACTCAGAAGAGATGCTTCAAGCCCTCTATTGTTCCACGAAAACCAACGACCTCATCACGGGCGATCCCTAGATCTTCCGGACTAATGTGCTCGTCGGTTTCGACCCAAGGATCGCATCGCTCCCCGAACTTGAACTGCAGAGCAAGCTCATTACCCGCAGGGCCCCAAATCTTGGTCCAATCCTCGAGAGTACACTCAATGTAGCGTGCCGGCTTGCCAGTGATTTCAGACCACACTTCAACCATGTTTTGGAAAGTCCACTTCTCCAAGGCCACGTTGGCGTACTTCTCAAAAGACTTGGGAGCCGTCGCTAGTACCTGACGGACCCAAATGCCAGGGTTGACTGTCATGTCTCCAGACAACAGGATTTTGGAATCAGGCTTGGCCGGCACAATCTGGATGTATTGGCCCGTTCCTGGCTAAAATCGTGTTAGAGATATGATGTCTCGCGACGGTGAAACATACCTTACATATTCAAATGGTTTTAGGAGCGGGAAAAAAGCGAAGTTCTGCGGATAATACCCAAAGTAGAGATATGTGGTCTTTTTTGCCAACTCAGGCAGCTCAGCCTTTATGCGGGCGTCGACGTTGGCCTTGTAGTCCATCTACCCGACCGCAAGTCAGCGATTTAATTATCGACTGCGAGTCGTGTTGCAGCGCAATGGCTTACATGAGGTGTGAGCAGCTCGCCATTGAACATTCTCTTGGCGCTGGGACACGTCGACCAGATGTAATGCTCCAATGTGGGGACTTGCGCTGCTGCGCGAGCAATCCTCATGCCTTGCTCTTCTTCAATCTCGCCAGACTCATCCTGCGACTTTCCTCGGAAGAGGTGTTCCCACCAGTTGGTAACTGCAAAGATGGCGCTTACACCCTGCTCATCGTCAGTGTGAGATGGTCTGCGAATCAAGCCGAAAGGGGCTCTAGTTCTATTATACCTCAAAAGCTTTCCTAAGAGAGTCTTCATCGTCGAAGCTAGCAGATACTACTCCAACTCCCTGATCGGTGAGCTGTTGCGCTGCTTCACTTTTCGGGTTTCTGGTGATGGCTCGAACCTGCCATCCCGGCGTCTTCCTCATAACATTGACCACACCACCGCCTTGTGAACCAGTGGCTCCAGTAACCGCAATGATCTTTGTCATTGTCAAGTGCTGCTACTCATGACTATTGTTGGGTTGGCCGAAATGACGAGGGAGAACCTGAGAAGCATCAATGTTGTTCCCTGATAAATCAGCAGCGTCAAGGAGCCCCCTGCAGCCGGCTATGTCAGAACAGGTTCGGGGCAAACATATGAAGGTCAACACAGTGCTACTGATTCATTAGTTCAAGAGGCGGGATTCGCACCGTTACGCCTGCATGTGTGGATCGGTGGAGTGAGTGAGGAGTGGGTCTGCAATACGTAATCGCTGAGTATGTAGGTTGGAGATATTGGACCCCTGTAATGCATGCGACACGGTCACATCCCTAGAACATGGCGCGATACACGATGAGAGCCTCGGACGACATCGCATGTCACTTTCTTTGATGGAATAATCTACAGTGCGTCTTCCGGTGTGCGGTGTCCAGCGCAATGTCAGAGGAGGCCCAAAGCGCGCGATGAAGAACCAGAGAGAACCTTGGACAAAACAATTACGCTTTTCAAGAGCATGAGAGAACGAGCTAGCTTCATGGAGTCGATTCCTCAATCTGTACACCCCTATCATCATACAGTCTCATAACTGAAGTATTCTTGGTAACCTTCATGCTATATCATCCACGTATTTCAAATATTCCGCATCAGCTCTGTTTCCGCACAGGGGGCTCAGTGAGAGCATTTTCCAATTCGCTTGCTTCTCCATGTATCCTGGAGAACCAAGGGTCGTAGACCCGTCTATTTCTATCAGATACCTCGCCACCTTTGAATTCCGGAATTTCATAGAAGAAAAGCTTGTCATGGGCAGTTTCTACCGCTTGACCCGTCTTCTGATTTGTTCCGTCGTTCAAAAACTCGTCGTATGCTGAGAGAAGGCATGATTTTACGGTGAGACTATGCGTCATTAATTTTGTCTGTGTGACTTGTGGTGGAAACAGCTTACTGTTCTGGTAGGAACGCGACGGGGAGATCAGGCATAACCGGCGTGTCTACAGCACCCGGAAGTACTATGTTAATGGTAATTTTCTCTTTCTTGAGAAGTAACGGAGCCATTACTCTCGTCCATTGGAGAGCAGCTGCTTTGACAGAACAGTATTCCGGGAACGTGGGGCAAGGGTGGACACCGATCATGCTCCCGGTGACGATTATCTTCCCCCCAGGCGTCTTGTTATGACGCATGAAATGTGTAGCAAGGACCGTTCCATATACGACTCCCTTCCAGTCAACATCAGTACAGGTTAGATCAGGTTCATCCGGGATATCCTCAACTGCAGCCGAACGGCGCCCAAAGTTGTAAACGCTGCCTCTGTCTACAATGCCGGCATTAGCTATGATCACATCCAAGCGACCCCATTTCTCCCAGACAACCCTGAAGAGGTTTGCTTGTGAACTGTAGGACTCGATATTGCACTGGACAAATAGGGCGGTGTCTCCGCTCGAATCAACAACTGAAGCAATCTTCTGGCCGACATCTACCCTTCGACCAGTAATGGCGACTTTATAGCCGCGGCGGTGTAGATGTTTGGCCAGATCAAGACCAATGCCACTCTATGACATTGTTAGATGTTGTCAAATAGGAGCAACCGACAGATCTCACATACCGTAGACCCTGTGATGATGGCAACCTTCTCGTGTTTGACTTCTGAGGAACTCATTCTGCTCGCTTTATCCTGTATCATCTCGTCCCGTGCCAGAGTATTGACGAGACTTGGTATCATACAATTCACCTTTCCGTCGGGTTGGTACATCTTTATGGAGACGACGATACACCGCGAATATTGCATGACCCACAAACCTGCAGACTGTTTGCCATCACCACTCCGCCTAGGCCTATGCAGGACAGGGATGCAGCCCACGATGGAGATGTTACAATGCACAATTCCTTAATGGAGGCAAGACTAATGGAGTAATTATCCCCGCCATTCGATCGTTTGGATACCTTGGCCGGCTCACACATCGCAGTTGGCCAGCACATCTTCGCAGTTCGCGTGCTTTTAAACAGTGCGGATTGCCTCCCATAGTTTTTGACATGCACAGTCATCGTACAGTCATCACTTGCTTTCTCGAAGTTGCAGGGTGCCAACATATTGCCCTGTCTTCGCCAGGGATGGGTTGCATACGATCCAATCACTATTGCTACCGCCTGGGCTTCCCCACTGCCCGGGACGAGATCAATAGACCAGGAGATATCAGGCAGGAAGTCTGTTTGAGCAAAAGAAAACCGGCACGAAGGAAGCCAAGATCACGGTGATACTGGTCGAGAAAGCATAGTAACGTCCAAATCGGACTTCGCGCTGCCCTCTGGCCTGCTCATCCCCATTCCGTCAGTACAACCCAGCCGTGTTGTCTGTAATAAAGCGGAGATTGTTGGAGCACAAGGTCGGATTGTTTCGCACCGGAGCTCTCTGGATTGGAGTCCTCGGCTACCGTCGAGCTGCTAGGAATTGCCGGACAGCCTACATTATCCAATCAAAATTAACATGTCAACCCGATACCCATGCAATGCATTGGAAAAAGCAAATCATCTACACACGTCAAAAATCCGTCTTACACCCGAAATTAGGTAAGTTTGGAATTCAATGAATTCGGTAGCACCGGCGATGGTGTGATGTTTTGCTTCGATGATTTGAAACTCTCAAAAGGCCTGTCAGGCTACAGTCGAACATTCGCATCCTCAGGAGCAGTAGTGGCTTCTTCTGAACTGACTCACGGTAATTCATGGTGCGAAGTTTGCTCCAATTCAAATATGGCTAGCATGGTCGGGTATTTTTGACAGGCCTCAACCGCATCCCTTGCCCATCCCTTGCAGTGCGCCACTCCCAGGTGCCTGGCACAGCGTTGTTTGTCTTTCGTTATTGACCGCATGCCGGCAGTTACAAGAACAAATGAATCAGCTACACTCAACGTGAATCTAGACGTAGGCGTGAAATCCAGAATACCGTAAACATGCAGAGCGTTGCAGAAGTTGAGCATAAACAAAGCAATGGAACACAAATAACGTGCACAATATTGGGAATCACCAAGACGAACAAAAGACATTCTGACCCAGAAGAGACGTCAAGCTGTGACTTGTGGTCAGAGCAGTAATTATATATCCTAGTCCTTTTAGGGCTACTTCGACCATCGCGACACAAATATTTGACTTCTTCGTTGCTGAGCTTCGCAGATAAGCCCTTGCGTTGTAGCAAACAAATGGGTATTACCAGAACTCGACCAGCAGTCAAGGTAGAGATCCAACCCTGGTTACAAATACAAGATTATATCAGATCGCTGAGCCAGGTTCCATTGAGTCTGAACCAATAGTTCAGCACTATAAATGAGATTTGAACAGCTTTTGTCACATCAAAAGTATGTTCGACTTCGATAGATGGCAAGTTTCTTTTATGCTGTCTACAGAGGACGTTTCGAAACCCACACTAAACAGTCCACGGGCGTAAGTCCTGGTTTCGAAGACGATCGAGACGTTCTAATATACCACGGATCATGTCATCTTCGAGTGTCGAGTACTCCGTCCCAATTGAGAATGCTGGGCAAGTAGGCGTGTTGGTATCGTCTGCACTCTCGATTCTCATCCCGACCCTACTTGTTACTCTGCGCTTCATCGCCAAGCGATCTGTAGCAAGATCACTCGACGCCAGCGATTACTGCATTGTTGTAGCTCTCGTCCGTCGAACCTGTCCAACTCAACATGTTATAGGCTTAATTTCGATTTGCTAACTGGTGCTCAGATATTCAACATCGGGCTTCATATAGACTGCTGGCCAATGGTGTATCGTGGTGCTTTCGGCTTTCACGTTGCTGACATCATGGTCAGGTTTGGTCTCGAGACTCTTACGTTCTTCTTCAAGGTACCCGCCATCTTGACATTGGCAATAATCCGTGCTGACTGGCAGTTATCTTTCTAATAGGGAATCATGTGCTTTGCTCTGATTTGGAACGGGACAATCTGTTTCAGCAAGCTGTCGGTCCTCCTGATGTACTCGGCGCTTATCCCTATCCGACATCTCATCATACCAGCTCGAGTATTAGGCACGCTGATCGTTCTTTGGAACTTTAGTAGCTTTGTCGCCGGTCTAGCCATGTGTCAACCCATCGCTCGAAATTGGGACCAGAGCATCAGGGGGGGATTCTGCGGCGACAAAGTGAAGTACTACATGTGGCTCGGTATCATTAACGTGGTAACCGATGTCTTGATTCTTGCACTTCCTATCCCCTTCGTGTATGGCCTTAACATGAAGCTACGAAAGAGGCTCGTGTTGATTGCGATGTTCAGCATCGGGTTTTTGTATGTCGTCCAGGTTCCACCTCTCATTTTCTCTCCGACCGTGGCATCTGACATATTCTGCCGTAGTACATGTGCCATCACAATTTATCGGCAGACAATGTTAACCTATCTGGACTTTACCGACATGCCCTTTTCAGGATTGCTGGCGACGATCTTCTCCTGACTGGAACCCGCTGTCGCTATATCCCTAGCTTGTGTTCCTTTCCTGCGTCCGCTGTTTGGAAAAAAGAAGGATAGCCAAGCCGACCCGCGCTACAACGCCGGAAGTGGGAGTGGTTCTTTGTCGAGGAACAACAGAAGTGGTAGTAATCGGCCATTTCAGGAGCTCGATAATGCTTCCGACATCCAGTTACAGCCCTTCAGAGCGGAAAGCGATTTTAGGGTATTGGGACCTGATGTTGAGAAGCACGAACAAGATCAGACAACTCGGGCGAGAGGAATCATAGTACAAACTCAATGGGAGGTCAAGTCGGACGGAGAGATTTGACGCGACGCCGCCATCTCAGCATTCGACAGTGAATGTTCCCGCGGACATGGCATGAGAAAGCGTCATCAAAGAGCATTGTTCTGTCCAAGCTCCGACTCTCAATGACACTGCATTGGACTACAATGGCAAAGACCCCCCCAGAGGCTCGGATTCGATTGGGAGAAGTTAGCATGTATCTAACACTGACGACAGCACCATCCGACTTTAATGATTTACCTTCGTCCGACCCATGGGATTGTATCTTTGCACAGTTGTCTGAACTGTTTCTTCTTGACTGTTCTGCCCCGCCTTTATGCCACAGGGCTGAGTTGGGTGGGGCCCAACATGGGAATTTAGGCAAACTACAAATAGCCCCGGTGCATCTTTGCATTTGCTTAAGAAGCGCCTATAGGTGTGAGGAAACATTGTTGATTTCGACGCGTCGCGTGTGAGATTTGTGCATATGTGGCATGAACAGGAATTATTATTTGCAGACCAAACTCAAAGTTCCGATGTAATGCGTCGCGTTGCAAGTCTTACAGAGAGTGATCTCCGAAACTATTGAAAGAGATAAGGCAGAGTGGGACGCAGCAACAGGGATTCTCGGAAATGGGCCTAGAACGCAAAAAATTCTCGTGCAACGCGATGCAGCTACCCTAACCTTGGAAGATTTAGGAATAGGTACCATGTGGCAGAGCTCTGCTGCCCAGGACGCAGTATTGAATGAGCCATATATTTATATGTATATATATATATATATATCTATGCGTGTCTCAATAGTTTTGTGTCACTACGCATCATGTTGCCTTCTTGTGGAAAGTCGTAGTAGTTGATCTCGATATTTATTCCTTCCGCCTGATCCGAGAACTTTCTGGGTTGGCGCGTCTGCTCGTCTAAAGTTAGTCGAATTTAGCGAACTCTCAACGGTCGGTAGTTGGCGCATCGAAACGAATTGCTCGTGGGCCCCGTAACGAGGCTCTGAAGCGAGATGAAGTCTTTCAAGATAAGTTGCGAGAGCCTATTTAGCGTTTCCGATGGGGGTATATTAGACCACACGCGGGTTTGCCGTGGTAGGTAAGGCCCAACGGAGCTCTCACCTCATAGCTACAACCCCATGTTGCCTTCATCTATTGGTTATCGTTGTCATAGAACCACAACGATATCACCGGAGGGCCTTGGAAACCAATGGTTGTTGCCGAAACAAAGCATTAATCTTATGCAGGGAGAAGTCGCTAGGTTGCAAGATATTAAAACACTGAAAGATGAAACAGAGCACCACCAACAGGAATACCTAGGTGACAGTAGACGTGTTCGGTCGAATCCTGCCGAGCTGAGGTGGTGCGCCCGTCGAAGTAAGGGTCCAAGGATAGATAGAAGAGCAGAAACCCCACTCGGAGTCTAGAAGGATGCCCCCAGGTTTCCGACCTTGTTTCCGCGTGCGCTACTGTATGGAAGCCATGAGCCGGGTGTGAACCGACAGAGTGGTAAGAGATGCGTGGCACACCTGAAGCACAGGAATCCACATGACTGCTGCTCTAAATGGCGATAATGTGATCCTGTTACTATGTATGAGGTTCGTCTGTAAAATGAACGCCCGACTCTTGCTCAAAACTGGCCAAACTGATGCGCTCAATATTTTATTATTTTTGTTTTCTTTTATAGCGTCTTACTTCGGGGCTATCTCAGCCCCTCCGTTGATGGCACAAGGTTCTGCGCACCGTTGGCACATCGCGGGAGAGGCGCTGCTCTGTATTCACGCCTCAGAGGTTGGGGCAGCACGCTATACCGTGCAGTTATTAGTGATTTCGCTCCGCAAGCACCATCAAATTGGGTGATTTTCCGGCTCAACATAGAAGTTACCATGTATGCAACCTTGCAGCATAACAACCACGGCCCTGTCAGCCCCTTGATCGATTCCATCTGACTCGCATTAACTGTGGCACTGGCCAAGAACTCACCCTGGACAATATATTCAGGCATGTACCGCGAACCGTGACACTAGACGACCTGCGATGGTATGTGTGTTGGGGTATTAATCGAAGCAGGCAGGTGTCGGAAGCATCCCTGAACCTCGACTGTTGAAGCTTGCAAGGGTCTTCGCAGATGCCATCGCAATCCGGCTAAGACAAGCCTGACAAGCTAACGTTAATGATCGCAATTGGGCACATCGGACTTTCCCAGCGAAACACCTCGCCCTGAGGATACACAATCTGAAGAACATTTCCAGGGCTAGATGTCTTCCAGTCTTTCAATTGCATTGACTCACCACACTCACAGCCGTGCTGGAGATTCGGCAACGCGGACGGCCGCATGCTTGCTTACGATGTCCCCCCAGCACACAATTGAAAGATGCAGGCCGGACAAGAGCGTGATAGGCTTCGGTCCAGTCCTCGGCTACAAGGGTAGTGGAACAGGGGTAGAGGCCTTATCTTGCCGGCTTGTATGGAGTCCCAAGTATGCATTGCATTTACGATTGTTAATTGTCGTCGGTCAGGAACAGCTCACTTGTCCCACCGGTGCCAGAGATCGTAACGCGACATGCATGCTATGTATGTACCTTGGCGAGAATTGGACTGGTCTTGCCTCCTAGCTAAGCCCTGTGCTCCATAAACGTTGATTGTTTTTGCAGTGGCTCGCTCATTGGCAGCCGGAGCCCGTCAAGGTATCCGTCGGGTCTCACAGACAGGTTGGGTTGATGTTCTGGCCCCCATCTCACTCAATCAACCACTTGCCATGGGCATTGATCGTGTCGTCCCGACTTTTAGCTCCCTGTAATTGAAGCAGAAACTTATCTGGCCTTGGGACTGCCTCTTGTGTAAGCAGTAGTAGAAGCGGCCGGGTACACGGTTTTATTCGAGCTGCATGCATCGGAAACGCTCACACGCCTCCCAATACTAACTACCTAACCTTGCCCAAAGTCGGCCGCAATGCAGGCACAACTGCAGCGTATACAAGCTGTTTCTGAGCGTCGCTTGCAGAGTCCAAACACTTGACAGGGTCACATCGGAAGTCTGGAAGTCTGAAAGTCTGCTCAAAGCAATGGACACCTGAGAGCAGTCATTTAAACTCTATCATGCCCCGATTGGCTGATGCTGGTCGACGCGATAAACCCAGACCCTGGTTGTTCCCTATCTTACTTCTCCTGTCACTTTGTATCCTTGCCTTATTAGGCTGTCGTACCTGACAAACTTCTTAGCAGCTTTTGGCCAAGCTTGGTACATATCCCATTTTCCGCTCCATTGGTAACTGTTGAAGCGATGGAGCTATGCGTGCTTTGATTCACTCATAAGTGGGCATTCAGGTCTTGTAGCGCTTATGGTCCAGAATTGCTTCTTGCCCAAGGACGATTCTTTTTACATCCATCATTAAGTCAGTCATCGTAGTGTACCGATCACCAAAAGCAATACTGCTCAAAAGTACGGCAAACACCGAAAAAGCAAGACGTCGATCACAACCCTTGTCAGATCCTGATCATAGATGATACATCGCAACCCGCCATCAACAAGATCCCGTTGTATCGGTTCAATTGGAAATATTTCTTGAAACTTTGGGGAATCATTTGCAGTGTCATCACTGTTGGTCGCAAGCTGTGCCGCATAACCCTCCGGATCTGCCATCAAAGCTATTTGTAGAGCAAAGTTGGCGTTGAGTCCGTTCACTGCTGCTTCAGCTGCCAGTAGCTGTAGATCGAGTCCACCCTGACATGCACACATCGACTTCCGATTCTCAGCAAGTCCGACCTTGATCACCGCATGCGACTAAATCATATCAAATCGGCCATTCTTTGATCAAATCGCCATCGTCAAGACATACCTGTACCTCCGCGGGATAATGACTAATGGTTATGTCCTTCAACTACCTGGTATTGTTGTTTCGTAAGACTTGATATTCTCATGAAACATCGCTCATTTGGGTGCGATCTACTGGCTCTGTTACAACAAGTGACACGACTCTGAAGGGTGCGGAAAGGTTAATGAGAGTCAGCCTCGAGAGTTCGAAAGCGTGTTGCATAATTGTAAGGTATAATAAGGGTAGCCTGACCAAGGTGTCGTCATGTCGGGACGAAGCGCATATGTGCGCAAGAAGATTACAGAGACCAAGGTAGACGAGAAGAAACCTGTGTTTGCTGGAAGGGGAGGGCTAAGGTCACCTGATTTGCCCGGAGGAAGAGGATTAGATTACGACGATGGGACCTTTGTGGATTACTCGCCCGCATCAGGTACTGGCTACGGCACAACAAATGGGCGATTTCTCAAGTTCTCAGATACGCTTCAGTCGGACTTCAGCCCCCTTGGACCATCCACCACTATCAGCACTTACAGTGGCGGCAGTCAGAGCGGCGGCAGCGACGCCGGAAGGCGAGATGGCACGGGGCTGAAACAGGGTCCCATGGACAGTTTCGCTTACGCGCGTGTTAGAAGGCCTACTATCAAGACCGAGGACGTCTCTGGTATAGAACGTTCTGGCTTTCGCAGTAATATTGACAAGAAAAGTGATGATATCAGGAAAGGCCTCAGTAAGGCCTTCGGCTTTGGCAAGAAGTCTAAAAAGGCTACAGACGATGGTCCACGTACTCAATCGGCCGCTGGGATATCAGGCTCAGGTGGCTTTGGCGGTTATGAGGCTGAGGAAATACCTCCCATACCGACCTTGCATTCGTCGCAGCTTCCAGGGTGGGGTGCTAACAACGACCTGCCACCGCCGCCCACGAGCAAATTGCCTGCTATACCAATATCGGCCAGCTCGCCTACGATTAAGCGATGGGTAGGAGCTGGACGGCCTGTCCAAAGATGGAACAAGCTGAGAAAAGACCCAGAGTTGTGGGATCCTAACGGCGATGTTTTGGTATACCTGGCTCGCCGTGGACAGTCTCCCCGACCGAATGCTTCATTCCGCTTGTCGTCACACATTATCGAAGCGACTGAGAGCAGGTTTCTTACTCAGCTTATGCGAGAAGGCTCAACAGAAGAAGACTTCAACGTGCCACCTTCACCCGCAGGTGCGTTCTCGCGCCATGGCCTAGGACCACACCAAGGGTATTCACACCATGGCCGCGGACACCCGACACCCCCTGTTTCTGATGATGCCAGCAACGCCGACATCGATGGGCAAATTTCTTACGAGATGTACTTTCCTACGCCACCTGAGTTCACCCGATCAGAAGCACATCGCTACGTTATCACCACTCGAAATGTATTTGCTCTCCTGTACCATACCTCGCTCGTTGGACTCTCACTGCACCAGGCGCTTACAGACTTGTACGTACGGCTAGAATCGTACATGCCTTCAGAGGCGGACAATGTTGGAACGATCTTGAACTATCTCTCAGTCCGCGCACTTGACGACTGTCGCAACGACCCCGAGACTGCAGTCTCACTTCTGAGCTGGTCTGAGTCACAAACCATACGTTGGGAGGAAGGGTGGCGCGAGGCATTCTTGCACTCGGCAGGCATGTATGCAAGGTTGGAAACTTGCGCCGACTGGAAGCAAGTCACACCGATTACCCGAGCACTACTGGAGCGTGCATGCCTCGAAACCCAACTTCGGGTACAAGCAGCTGAGGAGCGACTCACTGAGTTCTCTTATGCTGATATGTGGCCGCCCAGTGGCCCAATCGCCAACAGTTCCTCGAAATCGGCAGCGGATCGGTTGCAAAAGTTTCTCATTTCTTACTTCACTACAACCTTTGGTGAATGGCCACCGCCGCCATCTGATGAGCGGTCGCCAGATGGGGAAGAAACTTGGCTTACGAGAGGTGTCGCGCAGAAGCTTCAGAAAGACTTTGGTGCGTTGTACGATTACCTGGTAAATCGTGATATTTCGTGGGATGAGTCGGAAACTCGAAGTAGCAGGAAATGGATGATGGTGTCTGAAAGCGGCAACAAGGCATTCGACGCCGACACCATGGATCTTCCCATGACAGACCTGTTGATCGAATGGGACATCCGCTCTCGCTTTCCTCACATCCCATATCCTTACCCATTGGTACCCGAGTCGATTCCTCTTGCCAACCCAACCACACGCGACAAACCCAAGAAATCCGACAAGGACAAGAACAGGGGTGCTGAAGACCGTGTGCTCGAGCGCCGAGTCCAGTTGGCCTACACGGAAGCGACGAACATTTATATCCTTGGCTCTGATTTTGTCCAATCTGAGTTGATTGACAACTTCGTCAGGTTCGAGAAGTCCGACCAGGTTGGTGGGGTTGACCCATTGGCTGCCCGTCGTGGCCGTTGGGTCCTCATTTACGGTATTCTCCAGACACTGGCGACCGTCTCCGTCGATGCGCCCAATGTCCGCTACAAGAACGAGGTGGACTATCACTTGTCACCACGACTCAAGGGCACCAGAGTGCCGCCATGGAAAGGTGTGTCGAACTCAAGTACCGAGGCGTGTCACGAACTGTCCCATTGCTGGGTCGTGCCGCGCACCTGGAATGCAGCGCAGGACTCGGAGGCCTCTGATGAGCTTAGCCCCATAACAAGGATGATGCGAGCCCACGGCCACAATTTCCCACACCCTCCACCGACGGTGACAACGGCACGATCGACCACTTCGGGCTGGCAGACTCCAGCTCGAAGCGTCCGATCAAGCGCCTGGGGCGGCTCGTCGGCCATGAGCACAGTCTCGGATGACGCACGTAGTGTCCGGACCGCAGCCACATCGCTACATCGTGTGCGAAGTAAAGATGGACTCAAGGGCTTGAAGGCTTTCGGTGCAGGCCGTAGCAGTGAAACGGCAGCTGGTGTTAGTGACTGGCCGGTACAATCGCAGAGTGTCAAACACACGCGAAATTCCGACGCGGCATCTACATCGTCGAGGCCGCTGCCGCCGTTGACGATCAACCCCAGTGTGACGGGCGGCGGAGGATTCCTTGACCTGGATGAGAGCCCGCCTCAGGCGTCACGGAAGAGAAGCACAAACCGTATGAAAGCACCTAGAAACGGTGATGATATGCTGGATATGATTATCAAGGATTTTGACGAGCTGGAGGCTATTAGTGATCACGACCCATGATAGATGGTGTAAGGAGGCGATAGAAAAAGGTGTTAGGTTGTGGCTTGGATTGGGACTATGTGCAGTACGTGTTTGTAGGTGAACAATAGGTAATTCGATACTGGCTTCTTCTTCCGAAACCTTCGATATCATTGCAATCTCCCATGCACTGCTTGCTTTCATATTAGCCATTGAACGTAGGCATTACCCACGTGCTGGCTAAGATTACCTCCACAGCGAGCACGAGGTGCTTCCAGGCTCAGCATTCCTGCTCCAACGCCTGACCAGTCGCACAGTTTTCGCGTGTAAGGGTTATATATCCTAATTAGAACAAGCACGACCTCGCAAACCTCGGCGTAGGAGCAATTCCTAGTCAAAGCTGTTATCTCGGCTCCGAGTGGAGAAACTAGGCCAACGGTATAGAATTGGACCATTTCAGATGGGTCCCAGTTAGAAGGCATTGGCGGGCAAGTTTGGCTCCAGTGGGGTATACTGCCCCGTCCTCATCATCGGCTGCCACGAGGAGTCTAGTTGTCGGCTAGATGTCATGATAGTACGGATTATGGCGTATGTAATAATATTTCCGTTATCATCTTGCGACCGTGCAGTCTTACTCCACGATCCCCGCAGGCGCCTTTCGTGACGAATGGGAAGGCGTGGGGATAGCGGTTGAGGGTTGAGGGACCTTGACCGTGTAGCGCAAATTACTGCTCTTCCCAACCTCTCCTCACCGATAACGCAGGTACTTGGCCATAACTTTAGCCACAATCATTGGCCGGAATCTTTCAGCAGGGTCGTAAGCTGGAAGTCTGACAGGGGGACATTTCTTACTCAGATCACTAAGTTACATGTGTTTGCAACTTGTAAGCCCATTCCGCTCGAGGTTTTTGAAATTGATGTCATCGGGTCAGCTTGTGGCGCCCATACGGTAACAGTACATCTGTAGTACTATTTGGCAACATACCGGTACTCAAACCTTCGCAGTCCGACTGTTCCACTTTGTGATCGGTACTCGCTCGGAATATGAATAAATCCACACAGTCGGTTTTTCATAGTAATAAAATCGTACGCAAAGCAAAACCACCCAAGACATTCTACAATGATCAGGTATGACTGAAGCTGTTGTGTAACTGTAGCGGGTAAAGGACCACCAACAGCGATAAGCCCCGCAACAATCCCTTGCACCCTTGCTAGTCACGCGGTATATGCACGCCGGACAGGGCCATAATCATGAACGAGTACTGAATAGGGAAAGAATCCTTATTGAAGTTCACTGCCGATCGTCATCATCGCTCTGTACTTACGTACCTCTGGGAAGCTTGTTTGCTCCGGATAAGGAACGACTCACCAACGCCGAACTGGCTGCTGCACCGTATTAAATAGAGGCTGGTCGGCCTGTCTGGCTTGCCGCACTTCACCTTTTACCTTTCACCTTTCACGGATTACCTCGCTTCGCTCTCAGCGAGTTGTTTCCGGTGGTCGTCTAGCTGGTCAATCTTCACGATGCATGCTTCACGTCGAGCTGCAGTCGCGGCTGCATGGTGTCTGCAGTTCCTCCGAGTCACAGCAAATCCAATTTCGACTTGCGAGCCGAAACTAGGAGCAGTGGCGTCCGAGAATGCTGTCTGCAGTCAAATCGGCATTCAGCTGCTCAAAGATGGAGGCAATGCCGCAGATGCATTGGTTGGCACCGTCTTCTGCGTTGGTGTAATTGGTATGCAGCATAGCGGTATCGGTGGCGGCGGCTTCCTGCTCGTTCGAAGCAGCAACGGCAGTTATGAGTTCATCGACTTCAGAGAGACTGCTCCTGCTGCGGCTTTCCAGGACATGTACGTCAACAACACGGATGCCAGCCTGTACGGAGGTCTTGCAAGCGGTGTGCCTGGAGAGCTGAGAGGTCTCGAACACCTGCATAAGAATTATGGCAAGCTGCCCTGGGAATATGTCATGAAGCCTGCAATCAAGGTCGCTCGTTACGGGTTCAGAGTGAACGAAGACCAAGTCCGCTATATGAACTCAGTAACACATAACAGCAATTTCTTCACCGATGATCCGTCATGGGCCATTGACTTTGCGCCTCACGGCAGACGCGTACAGCTTAATGATACCATGACACGCAAGCGATATGCCGATACTCTAGAGGTCATCTCCAAGGAGGGTGCCGACGCATTTTATTCTGGAGCTATCGCGAATGCGACAGTATCAGCATTGCGCAAGTCCAACGGAACCATGACTCTCGAGGACTTGGCGAATTACACGGTTGCTTTGAGGAAACCATCCGCCCTCGACTATCGTGGCTACAAGCTGACGAGCTGTGGTGCTCCTGCCGGTGGCTCCGTAGCACTCAGCACCTTGAATATTGTGAGCGGTTATTCTGGCTTCGGCGACCCGGCACAAATCAACATTACCACTCATCGACTCGACGAGGCTATGCGGTTCGCCTATGGCCAGCGGACACTTCTGGGTGATCCGTCATTCGATGACGGTGTTCTAGAATACCAGGAATCCATGCTCTCGGGGGCGACAGGCGCAGAAGTACGCTCCAAGCTCCTAGATTTCACCACCCAAAACGTATCCGTGTATGATCCCTCTGGCTTCGAAAGTCTAGAGACACCCGGCACTAGCTATATTGGCACTGCCGATGCTAGCGGGCTCGCTATCAGCCTGACAACCACTATCAACACCTTATTTGGCTCGCAGGTGATGATTCCCGAGACAGGTGTCATCATGAACAATGAGATGAACGACTTTTCGATACCCAATACCACCAATGCTTTTGGTTATATTGCTAGTCCCGCGAACTATATCAGCCCTGGCAAGCGGCCTCTCTCATCCATCTCGCCCACCATTGTGGAAACGTCTGACGGCAAGTTGTACCTGGTGGTAGGATCGGCTGGTGGTAGTCGCATTATCACAGCTACCATCCAGAACATCCACCATGTCCTAGACCAGAATATGACCACGCCGCAGGCGCTAGCTCAACCAAGGCTGCACGACCAACTGATTCCAAATCTGGTTTCTTTTGAATATGCGTACGACAACAGCACGGTCGCTTACATGAAGAGTCTTGGTCACAATGTAACCTGGGTGGCACCTGGTTCGAGCACAGCCCAGGCGTTGAGACTTCTGCCGAACGGAACTTTCGAAGCCGCTGGAGAGCCACGACAGCTTAACTCTGGTGGATTTGCCGTATGATATGAAATCAAAATCATGACCACATAACCCTCATTACGGCGAAGAACAAAATAGATAAAATACGATTTGACACAAGACTGGAGTCTTGCTTTACTGTTCTTGGCCATTCTCTCCTGGTTGTCGTGATATTCTAGAGCCCTCACCATTGACAGGGCCAAAGCTAATGCCCAACGGCTCCGAATCAGGACATCAAATGATTGTAGGCTAGGAAACTAACATGATAAGCACCACGAAAGCCTTCTTATACGAGGTCTCGGTTAGCAGTCGCACGAAGCAAATTCTTGATGTACTCGTGAGTCGTCGGAAGTACATATTTCGAAGTTGACTTCGAAGGTTCACATGCGCCAGAAAAGCGGCAGACGGGTAGCCCCACCGATCCGCGAATTGTGCAGTGCTCAAGAACATACTATTTGCTTCTGGCACAGTATTCATCACGCTGAAGGCAATCGTTTGGTTGAAACTCAAAATCATCCTTGCGAACCTGGCAACGAGACCGCGACGAACAGAATCATTGAAGAAGTTGTGAAGTAGTCAACACATCACATCACCATGGCGAATCGTATGAACCCTGGGAGTGCCTTACACCGGATGCAATGAGCCCGGATGCATTTCATTCAAAGATCGATTCAAGTGTAGCGCTATACGTAGTTTTCGGCACATAAGACGTTCTGCAATATAATTCAAGATAGCGAACTAATCCACAGTTGATCGAGCAGATGCCAAATTGCGAGCACGACCTGGCGATGTGCTCATGCGAGCTGATCCTTTCGAGAATGCGGTCGGCACTTTTTGGGAGCCGGAAGCCGACACAGCCATTATGACTTCGCGGTATAATCTCACGTTAGCGCGGTTGCCTGTCTGACCATGCTGCGCCTCTGTCGCGGAGATAATTTTGGCGTTTGGAGCAACGGTACCAACATTGTACTTTTGTCTAGGAAGAGATCAAGAAGCATCTGGTTTCATGGAGTAGTCAGCTACAATAGGGAGCTTTCCCATTTAAGAGACGGGGTAACTGAGTGAGTCGTTCCTTGATCTTCAAGGCCAGGATTCTTGCGAGCACTCCGAGGAATGGATGGCGACGCTCTCGAGCTTCACCATAACTCTTGTCAAGTCGAGAAGATGTATGGATCTACGAGAGAGGAAAACACCCATTACTGGCCAATACTACAGCGCCTAGGGCAGTATCCGCATGCTCAGACGACAATGTACGCTCCTGGCTCACGGAGGTAGGGAGCTATACCGTGCTTTCTTTTAGGCTTACGTGGTAGGTAGAATGTAAATCTGCAATCAAGCACGCGCAGAACGAGGCCCGCGATGATGAGTAGAGCACGAGTATGAAATCCATGCCGTTGATACTTACTAATACCAAAGAATTGATGTGATCGCATCTGTAATGCCTTCCGTACAGAGGGGGGATATCTCCAACTACCTGAAACCGGTTCAATCTCAATCGCCGCCCGCGGGCTCCTTAGAAAATCCCGACCGCGTCAAAGCCTGAAAACTTGCCAGGCACGGAGAGTTTCATCCTAGTTTAGTGTCCGGGGCGCAGGCGGATGCGAAATCCGAGGCCACGTGACCTGCGAACTTCCCGAGCCCGACAAATTGCTTCGGAACTCAAACAGCAACAACTGTGACTGTCCACTGTGCGTGCAGAAAGGTGAAACGATTTAGGCATGGGGGATCACGAGAAAGACCTGTCTCCGAGACAGTCAAGAACTTGCAATCACTGCAAAGCCCGAAAAGTTCGTTGTATACGTGCGTTTAGACCCAACAACACTGATGAGCCAAGTCTGATCTGATCCACTTACTTCCTTGAACGTATAGTCCAGCCCGGCGCTTCAGCATGTGGGAGTTGTATAGTAGGAAGCAATGAGGTTTCTCTATAGCCGCGAAAAACTTACACGACTTTTAGAAGCGAAAAATCCCTTGCCAATTCAGCAATACCAAACGGTTGCTGAGACGATCCACTCCTGCCCCAACACAAACAGGTCTCGCGCCGAAATCCTATTGCTATCAATTGCTTTTATACTAATTGTCTTGCAGATGGTTCCACTGCTGCCCCAGCGGCTGTTGCCGGCAATGACTTATACATTGACCGTATCTTGGAACATCCGGGCTTGACTGGTATTGGTATGAATGACGAATGCATCTTCAAGGTAGGTTGGACATGTCTCGATCGTAATCAGAAAGGCTAATAAACCAAAAAGTCACATGATCGCCACGGTAAATAAATTGCTTTCTTTTGCATGGGAGAATCGCTCATGTAGTCTTCAGTCACAAGCTCCAGTCTCGCAGTCTTCTCCGAGAGCAGACTTCGTCTGATATCTCAACGTCTCGGGCATAATCAAGTTCGAGACTTGGTTGAACAGATCTGGAAGACACTCGAAGTGAGATTTCATATATGCAAACCCAGAGCGACACCGACAGCCATACTCCATCAAGGGTCTGCTACGCCAAGTATCGTCCCGTCAAATGAAGCAGCTGCCTACATAACGGCCTACTTCGATTTTGTTCATCCATTGTACCCATTTCTCAACCAAAAAGTTTTCGAATCAAAAGCATTGGCTCCCGAAGTGAGCTCTATCCTGGCCGAGCAACCAGCGTTCTCGGCCCTGTACCATGCAGTGCTCGCCTTGGGCTGCCAGCACGTTGGGGATGGCTCATTTGATCCAGAAAAGGGAAGAGCACGGCAGATTTTTCAGGTATCTCTAGCAATCATGCCTTATCTCTTACTGCCCCCAGATACAGAAGGTACTCTCCAGGTATGTTTGTACTTCGCTTCCATGTACAACATTTGAAAACTGACCCACGACAGGCCGTTACCGCCATGGTAAGTGTTCCCACTCGATATCATACTCTGTGCTCAACCAGTCGTCATAGGCATTATTCGGAATAAACATCCCTGGCATGCAAGTAGATGAGTTAATCATCGAGGCCGCCAGAATATCCATGCGAATGGGATGTCACCGTGTCATCAAGAAGCGAGACACAGATCCAGTCTCATGCTACAAAACCTTCTGGGTAATCTACGCATTAGAGCGCATGCTCTGCTTTTTCTACGGGAGGAGTCCGGTATGTTGACTGGACAAAATGTTGAGGTCAATGCTAAGCGTTTCAGATCATCCCGGATTATGACATAGGATGCCCGATACCTGAGACGCCTGAGTCGAATGTGGAGGGCTTCAACTTCTTCGTGACTGCTTTACGAGGTAGCAGGATACTTTCCAAGGCGTATCAGATGCTGTTCTCCGTGAGCGCCACCATGAAGTCCACAGAACAGTACTATGCTTCAATCGATGAGATCAAGAGCGACCTGAATCGATGGACTGGTTCCATACCTCCAAAATTCCGGCCTGGCATGCCTTTCCACTCCGGAACCAGTTGGATGACCTTCATGTCCCTTAGATTACACTACATGTACCATGCTCTTGTAATGTCGTTGTGTCGACTGGAGCTACACATCGGCGCGGATGCAGATGTTTTGCGAATCAACGATACAAGAAAACTTCTCATGGACACCGCCAGGACCATCATCAACCTGACTACCTTTATCGAACTGAAGCCGTACACGCCATTATGGTGAGCAGAACGCGCTCTTTGACGGTGCATACGTATGCTAACCATCCAGGGTGCTTGGCACGATTCCCGCGTCGGCAATGTTCATTCTCTTTGACTTCGTCGTCCACAACCCTTCGCATGCCGAGACAGACACGAATCTCCGATTGCTAGACACGGCCGCAGGTTACTACGGGAGGTTGCAGTACGCGACCGGAGGCACATTTCCCTCGATGGTCATGTCTGGGTTCGCGCATATTGCAGCAGACTTTGTGCGCAGAATCCGAACCGAACACGACGTGCCTATGTCCAGACCAGGCGGGCGGCAGTTTCAAGACATGGCAAACATCGCATTGCCGGTACCAACTCCTTACGATGCACCAGCTCCGGATGTTTCCAATTCAACAAACATGGTTACTGGCACCGTTTGTACTTCAGGGCCAATATTTACAGTGCACTCTGACATTACGCCTGAGCCGCTTTTCTATCCAGTGGCTGAGGGCGACCTGTTCATGAACGATGATTTGCTCGCAGGTTTCAACTTCACCAACTTCTTTGATACCACGCTTCCTGGTTTTGACGCAGGATAACAACGTATAGATGCAATGATTGTCGGGTTCAATAGAAGCACATGCATTCCGGCATTTCCCTCGACGCCCTATAATACGTCCGTCCATGATCCTACGTGCGGCGGAGACGCACACAGCTCTCAAAATAGCATGTAGCAATGAGATTATGGCAAATTCTACAGCCATAAGTCAGGCGTGGTGACATGTTTGTTTACGTAGGTACAACTCAGCAGAACACACTATAGCTGGCAGTGGCTCTATTGCAGGGTAGACAAGGTGCAGCGTCAAAAATCAACGGGTTTTCGGCAGTGATACTTATTGTAATTGGTGTCGGCCTGCTCATGGACATTGTTGTGATTGATTGCGCAACTGGCCATATGATCTAGGACTCTGAATACCTTCCCATGGTCTGATGCGATTTTATCATTGCCATTGGGACAAATACGGCAAGGTTGGTAGCGGCATTGTGAAGACCTAGTGGACGCCAGACATTATGACGCGTGTTGGAGCTTATCATAGTATTGCTCCAGAGTCCGAGCAAACTAAGATCTGACATGCTTACAGCACATACAGGCAAACATTGAAAGCGGCCTTTCCGTACGCCCCAATTTCGCCGTGGCGCAGGATTCTCTGCCCCGTAATCAACTATAGCTCCTTGCCATGGCGCTGAATCGACTTCCGAGGCCCACTATTGAAACCCGAAGTCATCGAGCCGCACAATTGATATAAGCAGCAGTAACCACCATTATATCTACAGTTACCTTTCACCGCATGCACTCTCGGTCCAAACAACACATTCGGACATACATATTCAGAGGCTGCCATATGTCTTCTTCAAATGCGGCGCAGTACGCGGCATCTGTCGTGAGCCTAGAGCAGTTAAGGCCGTACGGCTTCTTTCTCGCTACTCTACTTCTCTGCTCGTACCTGTTGTATCAGTGGGCCTTGCCGAAGCCAATACCAGGGATACCATATAATGTCGATTCATCGCGGAAGATTCTGGGCGACATCCCCGCCCTGCTCGGCGAGATTAGCGGCACGGACAAGACATTTATGAATTATGTCCGCAAGCAGGTTGATCAGCACAACTCGCCCATCATCCAGCTCTTCTTACGCCCGTTCGGGAAACCGATGGTGATCTTGAGCGACTTCCGGGAGTCACAGGACATCCTGATGCGCCGCAAGGAATTTGATCGCTCAAATTTCATGGAAGAGCTCTTCCAGGGCGTTGCGCCCGAGCACCACATCATGATGCCGACCAACGACGTCTGGAAGGCGCACCGCAGGCTGTTACAAGATCTCATGTCGCCACCTTTCCTGAACCACGTCGCAGGACCTGTCCTCCACGCGAACGTGCTCGAGTTGATCAAGCTGTGGCGCATGAAGGCCGACATTGCGGGCAACAGGCCGTTTTCTGCCACGGACGACATCTACGATGCTGCCCTCGACGGTGTCTTCGGCTTTGCCTTCGGCGAGGACTTCGAATACAGCGCCACGAGCCCCAACGTGAAACTGCTCGAAGGACTGTCTCCGAAAGATATCGCACGTCTCAGGCAGAGCGGCGGCGGCGGCGACGATGAACCCCTTGAATTTATGACCGCGCCCAGGGACGATGCCGTATCGTCGACATTTGACCTGGCCCACGCGTTGGAGGAGATCAACGGGAAACCACTGGGGAAACTCCGTTGGAACTGGATTGTCGGGAGAAAACCTCGGACCAAGCGTGCCTTGAAGCGGCGAGACGACTACATCTACGGCGAGCTGAAAAAGGCAGTGCAGCGGATGGAGGACCGGGACACGTCTGTTCGATCGGCCGTCGACCACATGATGCAAAGAGAAACGAAGCTGGCGGAAAAGGACGGGCGGGCGCCTGAATACCTTTCGCCAGCCATGGCTGACGAGGTAAGCATATATATATACACCATTTCCAGGAAAGAACATGAAACACAGGAACATGAATAATGAGCTGACTTGTCCCTTCAAGACATTTGGCTTCGTCATCGCGGGACACGAGACCACCAGCACGACAGTCCTCTGGGCACTCAAGATCCTGGCCGACAACCCGCAACCCCAGACAAAACTGCGCCGACTGCTGCAGGCTGCCCACTCGGGCGCGTGGAACGAGGAGCGCAACCCGACGATCGACGAGATTACGGGTGCCGGCATCCCATATCTGGACGCGGTCATGGAGGAGATCCTCCGCTGCGGCGGCACGGTTCCAGCCGTCGACCGGGAGGCGCTGTGCGATACCGAGGTCCTGGGCTACCATATCCCCAAGGGCACGCAGGTCATCATGTCGGGCATGGGTCCCAGCATGTTGGCACCCGGCTTCGACGTCGAGGAGGGCAAGCGCAGCGAGACCTGCCAGACGGCCAAAGCTGACGGGCGTTTCAAGGCTTGGCGTGCGGAGGACATTGGGAAGTTCAACCCGGAGCGATGGCTTGTGCCGCTTTCTGGTGTCGAGGAGGAGGAGCAGCAGTTCAACTCGGAAGCCGGCCCGCAGTTGGCTTTTGGGCTGGGGACGAGGGGCTGTTATGGCAAGAAGCTTGCGTATCTGGAGCTGCGGATCCTCGTGACCATGATCGTGTGGAACTTCGAGTTGCTGCGGTGTCCTGAAGACCTTTCCAGCTATGCTGCAATTGCAGGCATCACCAGCAAGCCTCGGAAGTGTTTTGTTAGGCTTCGTAAGGTTCTGTAGAGGACCTGTGTATCGGTTGAAGACATACCTCCTCTCGATGGCATTCACATTTCAAAGTGGCGATAGGATTCTTTTACATCTTGATTACAAACTCCAATTGTTGGCTCATATAACGATAATAAATACACTCAACTTTTCGCTAACAAGTATTTTGAGAAACGAGCCTTGGGGTATACGAATCTCCTTTCTCCGCAAATGCATAAAAGCTAATCATACATATCATGACTCGTGAAATCCTTAGTGAGGTTTCTTTGCTGCCCAGTCGAGGTCTGTATTTATGGGACAGTTTCGGCACTGACACTGGCGAGCGTTGGGACGATTGTGTTCATCAAACCAGTGTCTGCATTGAAGGTGACACGATCAATGGTGACCTCACGGTCCGTGCCGTTTCCATTGGGGATCGCGAAGCGGTGGTAAGCCATATACCAGTCGTCGGTTCCCAGGATACCAATGATGGAGTTGTGGCCAGTTCCAAGGATGCCTTGCGACTCATCCTTCTGCAGGACGACACCCTGGTACGTGTAGGGACCGGTGGGACTAGTGGCAGTGGCATAGCCAACACGGTAGTCAGGCGACCGCGTGTCGGCAATGGAATAGGTGAGATGATAAAGGCCATTGCGGTAGTTTACAAAGGTCCCTTCGTTGTAGTCCGTCAGGCCGGTGATCTCAGTGATAGTATCTTGTTTGATTGAGAGCATGTCATCGTTGAGCTCAGCAACCAAGCATTTGCCGTTGCCCCAGAAAAAGTAATACTTCCCCGATACGGGGTCGGCGAAGACATCGGGATCAATGGCTTGGCTTGTGGTGATGGACTCGGTATTGGTAATCATAGGGCCCTCCTGAGCAGTGAAAGGTCCTTCGGGCGAATCTCCAACAGCAACACCAATGTTCTTTGCGTTATAGATAGGGTTGTGCCCGCAGAAGTAAAAGTAGTATTTGCCATTCTTTGAGGCAATGGTTGGCGCCCAGGCGTTGCCGGTAGACCACGGGACGTTACCATCCGCACCATTCAGTGTCAGGATGGGATTGTCATTTCGAGTCCAGGTGACAAGATCAGATGAGCTCCAGACATAGAAGTCTTTAGCGCCCCAGTCAGCGTAGCCGTCAGTGGTTGGGTACATGTAATAAGTGCCGCCAAAAACAGCGATGTTGGGATCGGCGTTATAGCCAGGCAGCACCGGGCTATCTCGCTTCTGCAGTGACGAGCGCTTCTTCGTCACAGTGCCTGCTGTGACAGTATTCCATTCGGTTGCAGTCACAGGGAGAACAGTACCGTGACGTGGGCTTGCGGGCAGGCTATATGAGCTAGACAATTGCCAATCTGGGTTGGCAATGTCTTCAGTCTCGAGTGGCAGGTAGTGGCGGCCAGAGTACTCATCGACGAACAAGTAAAACTTCTCTCCATTCACATCGTCCGGGTTGGACTTGAATATCGTAGGGCCTTCAACTGCTTGCGTACCGGCATTCTCACCAATGCAAGCGGTGATGCTTGTCCAGTTTGTCGCAAGCAGATTTGTCGAGCTTTCTTGGATGATGTCAACACAACCGGTGGCACTTCCGCCTTCGTCCTTGGTGAAGCGGTAGTAGACACCGTCGACATCAATTACAGTCGAGTCGATTCTTGATACACCTGTGTCTTCCCAGATGACAGGGTCGCCGAAGGTGACAAAGTCCGTTGTGGTAGCGTATAGAACGCGGTGATACGAAGTGCCAGTGTGTTCCGTGTCAGACTCCTCATATAGTTCAGAAGCCCAAAAAACAATATAAGCACCGAGGTCTGAGTCATAATAGGCTTCAGGTGCCCACGTGTTACCGGCTGTCTCAGGCGAGACAAGGACATGGCGCTGTTCTGACCAAGTCTCGAGGTCGCTCGACTCCCAGACCTCCAGATAGCGACTGCCATGACGGACAGAGTCACCCCAAGAAGTACCCGACCCAATCGACAGATCGGTAGCTATCAGATAGAAGGTACTTCCATCTTCAGATCGAATGATGAATGGATCTCTGACACCACCCGTACCCTCTGTAGAGGTAAGTACAGGCTGGCCGTTGTTTAGCTCGGTCCAGTCAAGGGCATCATTGCCGTTGCTTGCGGCGAAATAGATCTTCTCGCCGGCAATGGTATCATTTGTGAAATAGGCAAAAACATAGCCCTCCAGAGCATCGGTTTGCCTGGCTTGTTGGCGATAATAGGATGGATCGCGGATAGCAGCGCCACTGACAACCGCCGATAGACCTGCTATGGCAGGCAGAGTTGACAGAGTAAAATGCATATTGAAAAAGTGTGGATCGCCATATGCCGTAGGCCTGGATCTCTGGGTTCCAGCATCGTGGCTGATTTGCGCAAGGAACGCTGCATTATATATCCCGGATTGCACATGATCGTCACAAGCAAATGACGAGAGGCCATGCTGCTGGTGACCTCTCCTGCAGCAGCAACAAACAGATGCGATCATCGTTTCGATCTGATGGCCCGAGGGAAGTGGGTCCCAGCTCGAGCTGGCCGCTCACCGTAGCCCACTGTTGTCATCGTGCTCTGCCTTGTTCGTGAAGGCTTATACGATAGTATCCACATGCCCGGTTTCCACCAATCCAGGCGAGACGTAGCTCAAAAGCGGGCTGGCGGGATGTCAAAGTTGAATGGTCCTTCGTCGAGAATAACGATCTTCTAGTCTTGTGACAGTTGAACTGTCCTTACAAGTTTCCGCTTGCGGAATAGCCTCGCTCATGAGAGGTTCGTCTGTGAGTATGACATGGCACAGACTATGAGTAATCCAATAAGATACGGATTGTAGATGCCTCTCCCACTAGCGAGTGAAGATCAGTCGGCTGCGATCGGCCGCCACATCTCGTTACTCCACGTTTCTCCTCTCTACCCCAGAGATCCCCCGCATTGCAAGACTTCTTCGGCCTTCCAATAGGTAGATCTCCAACGCGCTGCGGAGTCGAGCATATGACCCCTCATGGTGAACACGTAAGTTTCGCGTCGGGGGAACAAGGCCGGGCTGTCAAAGCGAAGGATTTGTTGGTCAACCGGGTGACCATGGGCGCCTTCTAAGACGGCAAAGTGCGCGTGGTCACTGCAGTGCTACCGCCTGTCATGTTTAACGTTAAAACGGCGCGGGGAATTCGGAGCCGTCGATGTGCGGACGCAGTGGTGATTGGGCTCGCTCGAGACCCCAGCCGTCGGTAGTTGGCGACTAGTGTATTCGGGGTAAAGATAGGCACAGCTCGACGTCACTCTTGTATGCTCAGGGCTGAACCGCATTCACGCGGTCTCATCGCGACTCACGCTACCCGGGAATATTCATTGCAGACTGCCATTTGGAAAGTGACTGTGTCTCAGCGATATAGTACCTTTGCTCCTCGAATGGCCTTGTCTAACTTGGTGGATATGTTATTCCTGCGGCATTTCCCGTCCTGGGTCCAATGAGAATGCACCTCCGCCTTCCGAGGTTCCCTGAGGTTACACTCATTATGGTGCCTCGGACTTGAGGAAGCCCAACAACGAGAAATTCTTGGTTTACTCGTATAGTTATAAGCGCTCTACCCTCATTCGTGGAATTCGTTGCGTCTTCATCACGCGCCTCTCGAATCTCAGCTCAGTCGATAATTCAAGTTGTTTGCCAAGTATGAGACGTATGCTCTCCCGCCTTCAAATCTCCTCATGAACTCTGTTTTGGGAGCTCCGCGCAACTCGAGGCTTGAGTCGTGGTCGTACCTGGAAGCTCACAGCCAAGCCTGCATACTGAGAATGGATATCGGGGACAAACCTTTTAACAATCACCTGCATCCGTTTATGCTTTCGCGATGCTCATTAGCAGTTGTCCTTGACTCGTTCGGTAATCAAGAACTACGATTTGTTTTGCATCGTCGACCTCATCACAACATTCTCTGTAACTGCTTCCCGAAGCCGCCGAAATCCGACATGACGATCTCGCAAAGGCCTTGGCAGCGTTCTCCAAAAACGACGGCACTGAGCACCTCACTGTTGTGCCACTTATTATGCAACATGACCGTGATGGTAATGAAACTTGTTGCTAATATGTAGACAGTTTTAATGCATAAATCGAAGGCAACGGGGGGCCCTTCGCTCTGAAATTATGGTAATTCATTTGTTAGGTGGCTACAGGTACGCCAGCGAGATGTGTACAGCGAGATGATTGCTATGAGATGGAACCAGATCATCTTCGAGGCAACGGATAAGCTTTCAGTCGACCTTGGTGACAGTGAAAACTCTAAAAGTGCCCATGATCTAGTCTGAGATAACAGACACTGGCAAGTAGAAACTTTGAATATCAATTTAACTGCAGGCGGTTCGAAGCCATCATCCCAAATCACATGAAAACAATTTCTCGGAACACCGATTAGACGTACACATATAGAACTGGCTAAGTGACGGGTCTCCAAGACCCCGAATCTTAAGTGTGCATATACCAAGTTAGAGTTGGTATTCGAAGAGGTTATACAATACAGCGAGGGCTATGGTGGGGGTCCTCAAACTTTTCCGCATGATTAGAATAGTGTCAAATCGCGGAGGACTTCTCCACTACAAAGGCAGGCCGGACAGATCGAAACCTACGTTCTAGTGGCACCATCTCTGATGGCGGGACAGTATCCTATAATGATACTGGGCTCAATCTGATTGAGCAAATCAAGTATTGCGGTCTGCAGATGAGTGTAGAGTATGTCACTACCTTGAAGACAAAGGTTGGCATAAAAGGATGCCAGCGATTCCAATAACAAAGAATGTCCTCCGGTAACAAGGGTGCTGCCTGCGGCGAACCACTCGACGTAGGTTGGGGCCGCTTTGTTGGGATCTTGATTGAGATGGCATTGGACAAAGGCAGGCAAATCGTGACACTTTCAAATGCCACAGGGAGTGCCCGAAAGAGGAGGCATCTATAGGGATAGGGCTTCAGTATCGTTTCAATAATAATTCATACGAGTGCTTGAGTAGCGATGTTAGCAGCACACCTACTTCCATTGACAACGTTTCTGCTATGCATTCTGAGAGCAGTACCGCAACGTTACGATGGGCAGTTCTGGCCGTGTAACCCAATGCAGAATGCCTCGTGTCCTCCAAACCCAGGTCTAAATCAGTATGACTATTTCATAGACTTCACCAACCCTCCGCCGGACTTGGCGGAGGACTGGAGCACTTCCAACTACGCCACCATCACGTACAACACCAGAGCCAAGAACGGTGCCGAGTTCACCTTCGCAAAGCGAATGGATGCGCCGCAGCTTTTCACGAACTTTTACATCTTCTTCGGGCGGGTTGACGTCGTCATGCAAGTGGCGCCAGGCACCGCCATGATCTCGTCAGCCGTGCTGATGTCCGACGACTTCGATGAGATCGACTGGGAAATGTCGGGCAACGACTTCAACCTAGCAAGGCAGTACCCGAACGGAGTTGTCCAGAACAACTACTTCTCGAAGGGAATCACCGGCTGGTACGACCGGGGCCAGTGGCAAGTGTGCACTCGCCCTCAGACGCAATTTCACACATACTCATTCGATTGGACCCCGACGAAGCTCGACTGGCTGATTGATGGTCAGGTGGTTCGGACTTTTCTGGCCTCTCAAGCCGATAACAATGATCATCAATATCCTCAGACCCCATCAAAGTTCCAGCTTGGAATCTGGAGTGGCGGCGACCCAGATCAGAACTCAGGAACGAGGGACTGGGCGGGAGGCATAACCAACATGTGAGTGGTGCGCCTCGAAGCGAAGCGCTACCGTGATGCTAACTTTTTCTTTTTCCTTCACAGAACCGCGGGCCCGTACACGATGTTCGTGAAGAGTGTTAAAATCCAGAACTATAACCCGGCGCAGCACTACAAGTGGACGGACCAGAGCGGCAGCTGGAAAAGCATTAAGCTGATCAATGACACGGCTATTAGGTCCTCTAGTACCTCTTCTTCTCAGAAATCAACTTCATCTTCTAATCTCAGCTCTCGCCCTGCGTCTTCCTTGCCCATCACGAGCAGTAGCCTGTCAAGTACGATATCTTCAATCACTTTTGCTAGCCCAACAGTGGCGAAGACTACAAGCACTCCTGCAATCTCCAAGACTTCGGGTGGCACGCGCTCAAACAGTGTAGCAAGCGTGCCGACCACTTCTAGCACTTCAGCCTCTTCATCTGATAAGGGTGCCAGCCCCGTAGTCCTGAACCCTGCAGTTCCTGCGGCCAGAACCTCCACATCGCTCGGCTCTGCAAGCAACCCGAACCCAATTCAACTCACCCCTGGCCCTTCTTCTGGCACAGGGCCGCCGTCGTCATCGAGCAGCAGTTCTGACCTCGGCGGCACCTCGAGCGGCTCGACCAGCGTCACAACTAGATCTGATCCTGCCGCAGGAGGGCCACATACGCGCAGTTCCGTGTGCCAGGGGCAGGTCTGCGTGACCCTTTCGCCCTCCACGGCAGCCAAGCCCACCATGCCGCCACCGGCCTCGGAAACAAACAGGAGCCCGTCAGCCGCCACGGCCACAACCCCTGGCGTGACCGGCCATTACTGTATCGTAGGAGTGGACGACGTCGCAACCTGCAGTATCCTCCGCCTGGCGAGCCCGACGACCAAACCCGCCGGCCCTTCCACTTCCACTTCCGTGACCCCCAAAGCCACAGGCCCCGACATGGCCCCGTCTGCCGGCACGAGCAATCTCCAGACCTCCTGGCTCTGGCCCTTCTCCAAGTCGCAGAACGGCCTATGCGCATACCGGGGGTTCGCCGTGTGCGCTGGCAGCGGGTTCGGAGACTGCTGCTCGCGGTGGGGGTACTGCGGCAAGACGGAGGCGTACTGCGGTGCGAACTGTCTAGGGCACTGGGGCTCCTGCTTGGCAGGAGGGGACGGGGAGGAGGAGAACAGGGGGGGTAGACGGCAAGAGCAGGGCGAGCAACATCAGTGGGAGAGGCGGGCGAGGGCGTACCCGCCTGGAAGACGGCCGCAGGCGACAGAGATCGTATGAGGAGGGATCGATGGGTTCTGATTGGTGAACAGTCTTCTTGTGGTGTTTTTTTTTCCCCTTCTTTTTTTGTATGATTGTGTGCATTACCCCTTGGCTGTTCAAGTCGCCATTCTCAGGCCGTCTATTTTATTTATGTATCATTAATGCACCATTTCTTTCATGTTATTGAAATCTTGGTCGGACGTGCACGAATAGGTTGCCAATTCTTCTTACCTGCTTATATAGACTGTTTGGCCATGCAGACGAAGAGGTTACTTCGCGATTCGTGTTCCTCTACTGCTCGTCGTGTCAAGAAAACGTGACACATACCTCGACCTTATCTCAATGTCTCCAAGGACGACTGCTCGTGGGTTTGGTACCTCCTTCCGGTCGAAGACTCAAGATAGACAGATCACGTACAAAGAGGAGAGGATGTCGAGAGATGTTCATGACTGCTGATGTATTTATCAATCTACCGTGTTTCGCCATGTACGAAACGAACCAAAACCATGCCATTATTTTACTGTCGTATCAATATCGTGATCTATGCTTTGCATTGCCGCTTTCCATGAACTCCTGAGACCATTCATTAACCCCACATCTATTCCAATTGACCAATTCCAAGGTTCTCGGGCTCGGCCTTGACTATCCGCAGGGTGTTGGTGTTACCCATACCACCCTTCCAGCCCTGGACGACGACGACGGTGTCTCCCGCGTTCAGAACCTTGAGGTTCAAGGCGTTCTTGACGGCCCACTTGATACGTCGGTCAACATCCTCTTGCCAGTTCACCTTGGTGAAGTCGGGCTTCTCCTCGGGGAAGTAGAAGGGGTAGACGCCACGGTACAAGTGAGCGAATCGGGAAGCGCTGGCATTTCTAGTGACCATGAAGATGGGGCAGACAGGTCGGTACTTGGAGAGAAGACGAGCTGATTCACCAGATGTGGAGAGGACAATGATGCCACCGGCGTTGAGCTTGAGGGATGAGTTGACGGCATCCATGGCGCAAGCCTCGACGACGGTCACCGGGGGCTTGACGTTCTTGGTCAACTCGTAGTAGTGGGAGACATAGGGAATGGTGTTCTCGGCCATGAGACAGGTCTTGGACATCTCGGTGACGGCGGCCTCGGGGTAGTCGCCCTTGGCGGTCTCGCCGGACAACATGACACAGTCAGCACCATCGGTGACGGCGTTGCCAACGTCCGAGATCTCGGCACGAGTGGGACGAGGGTTCTTGATCATGGACTCAAGCATCTGAGTGGCGCAGATGACGGGCTTGCCGGCCAAGTTGCACATGGCGATCATCTTCTTCTGGGCGGCGAAGACCTCGGCGGCGGGGATCTCGATACCCAAGTCACCACGGGCAACCATGACACCGTCGGTCTCCTTGAGGATCTCGGGGAAGTTGTTGAGACCTTGTCGGTTCTCGATCTTGGCGATGATCTGGATGTGCTTGCCCTGCTCGCCCAAGACGGCGCGGATGTCCTTGATGTCCTTGCCGGAACGGATAAACGAGGCGAAGACCATGTCGACGTTGTTCTTGACACCGAACTCGAGATCCTTCTTGTCCTTCTCGGAAAGAGCGGGCAGATCGACATCGGTGTTGGGCAAGTTGACACCCTTTCGGGAGCTGATGTAGCCGTTGTTCAGGGCCTTGACCTTGAGGGTCTTGTCGTCGACAATCTCCTCGACCTGGAAGGCGAGGATACCGTCGTCGACGTAGATGATGCGGCCCTTCTCGATGACCTTTGTGATGTTCTTGTAGTCGACGAACCTGGACAAGTTGAGAAGGGACAGGGTTAGTCATCTGGCGATTTGTGTCTGTTGGGCATGAGGAGCGAGGGGGAGGGGGAAATGCCGGCTTACATGTTCTCGGTATCGCAAGCAGCGGCGTACTGGTCGTCTGTGGTGATGTTCAAGATGGTGCCGGCGGTCAGAGGCAGGTCGGCGTCGCCCTTGGTCTGACCGGTTCTGATCTCGGGGCCCTTGGTGTCGAGGGCGATGGCGACCTGACGGCCAGGCTGGGACTTCTCGGCCTCGCGGGCATGGTCAATGACGGACTGGTGGTACTCGTAGGAGCCATGGGAGAAGTTCATGCGGACAACGTTAAGGCCTGCGGTTCTCAGCTTGTTGATGGCTTCTACCGAGTTTGTCTTGGGACCAATGGTGCAGATGATGGAGGTTCTTCGGAGGTTTCTCTCGGGGGTGTACTCTGTGTTGAGGTTGGCCAACCACTCGATGCGGCCATCGGTGGCCATGTGGTCGACGGCGGTAGCTGCGTAGGACATGGCGCGATTGCGAGGCATTCTAGGATTGCTGGGTGTCGTGTTTTATAAGTAAGCTACCGGAGATAAAAAGGTTAGCGGGTTAATTTGGTCGAGGCCCGTCCCGTGGCTGTGCGAAATGATATTCCTAAGAAAAACAGGGATATTGGAGAAACAAGACGCGGTAGAGTGAACCTTGAGCCGGCTTCTGAAGATCTGTCCAGTTCAAGTGTCTGGCATCTGAGATCTAAAGTCATCAGGTAAGAAAAGGGCTCAGCCCAGCTCACTCGTCGTACCCCCCCGATAGTGCTGGCTAGGAATTACACCATGATGACCGCATTATCCATGGGGCAGTAGCCAAGAAGAGGGAAAACACAGAAGCCATGGTCCATGTCCTCTGGATTCCTAAGAGCACCCACCATCTCCCGTCTGGAAGGAACTAAGACGGAAAGAAAGAATGAACGAAAGCAAGGAAGAAGGAAAGCAGGACAGAAACATGGGTGGTATAAAGGCAAACCCGTTGGGAACAACCAGGTCAACTTGGGAGGGAAGGTGAAGTGAGACTGAGACTTGAGACTGAGACTGAAGACTGAAGACTGAAGACTGAGACTTGAGACTGAGGACTGAAGACTGAAGACTGAGGACTGAGGACTGAGGACTGAGGACTGAGGACTGAGGACTGAGGACTGAGGACTGAGACGGAGGCTGCGGGGTGATTGCGAATGATGAGTGTGTATGCATGTATATGTGCTTACCTTGTCGAGACAGTCCTTTCACCGGATTGTCTGTTTCTCAAATCTTCTTTTGGTCGAGAAAGATGCAACTGTAGAGAAGGAGAATTGCGCGAATTGTAGGATGACAATTGCGGCGATGGGTGGCTTTTTGTTTTTTTTTTCCTCTCTCCTCTTCTCCTGGCTGTCTGCTCTTGGGGAAGCTCCGACGTAATGAAAAGTGCCTCACCAACTAAAAATGTATGGGTATGTAATGGCCTTTGCGGGATGAGGGGTCCCTGCTCTCTCTTTTTTTGCATGCTGCCCCTCCTCTAGTGCTGGACCCAATTCCATGCCCCATGCAACCATGCAATCATGCTTCTTAGCCCGTGTCCTTTTTCTGCGCTGCAGACTATTGCATAGTTCGGGATCCGTATCCTACATACATAGGAGAGAGAGACATTGCGAGCAAAAGGCCGTGTGGCCCCGCCAAGACATTTCTGGTGTCTGGCCCAGCATCTCCCAAGCGTTTGCTCAAGCGTCTCAACGTTTTCCGTGTTTCAATTCGCTGGCCTGTGTGAGAGAGCTTTGCCTCCAGTCGTTCCTCCCACGGGTCCCACACGAGTGCCTACTGTACACACAGCCTACAGCACACCATGCATGTATAGGTTAGAACCAAAAGGTACAGTGCAGTACCTTTTCATGAGCTCCAATCTTCCAAACCACTAGGACAACATAGACCACGATTGACTGATTGATGGATTGATCGGTCGACTGAGCGACCCGCCATGCTGAAAGTCGTTACATATATCTGATACGATACAACACGATACGACACAGTGCGATGCAATGGCGGCTGCGACGGCGACGGCAGCGGCAACGGCCACGACCGCCTACTTGGCTGGCCAGCGCCGAACCACAAACTGCAGAGGAGGACTTCTTGTCGGCCCTTTAATCGGATATGGTCTGTGCTGATCGACGCCAGGGCGATAAGATAAGAGCCGTAGTGGGGTTCTGAGGTGGGGTGTCGAGGTGTGTGTTGGTGGGGGGCCCCAAGGGACCAGGGGCGCCTGGGGCTTCCCAAAACTGAAGCCAGAATTCTGAGGCAGGAATTTTAGCCTGCGGCTCGAAGGGTCTTGGGGGGGGTCTCTTATTGTTTCTTGGCGCCTCACCCCCAGCCCCCCAGCCCCCCAGCTGCACTTGTAGTTTTTGCCAACTTTGCAGGTGCCCGGCTGCCCAGAGCCCATGGCTCCACTTTCAGGTAGGCACGGGCTGAGCCGGAGCCCGGTTGTTGCACATGTCCACCGCCCCTGCAACCCTCGCCCAAAAGGTGGTTGATTGACTGCTTCAGTTGCCAAAGTAACCTGTCGCATGACATTCTATTCTGTTTGAAGACGGAAAGCTGTTCAGGCCACTTTGCAAACGAATACCATCATCCCAACGACGCCCAGCGATCGCCACTCTGCCGAGCCTTGTTTCGCAAAGTTCCAGGCCATCCGCTGAAACCCCGACAGTTCCCACAGCTCTTGGGCAGACGCAGACTGTCTGTCAGCATCGCCGCCAACATGGTTGTGAGTCGACACGCCCAGCCCGACCCGCAGAAGACATGGAATCAATTTCTGAACATTGTCTCTCTCTCTCAGTTCATGAACTTACTGACATTTGGCCTCTGGGGAAAGCTTGGTCGATTAACCCACTATGCTGTTGATGCAGTCCTCAGTAGGATCCTCTCCTCTTCTCTTCTCTTCGCCGACCACTCGACCACTCTCATGTCCGACTAACACGCGCTCCCTAGTTTCCACCATCCTGGCCGGAATGAGACGCTCAACCGGTTTGACGTGAGTGCCACAACGTTCCAGTGCATGTCGTGGGACATGACCGGGAACAAAAGTGCGAAGATCTTGGGGCCAGGACTGACTGGATTACGCAGTTTCCAAACCAAGAAGATCGGAGGCGACAACGAAGATACCAACAAGTGGATCGAGAAGTACCTTGGCGTTGGCGAATGGGTCATGGATCAGTCCGTTGCCATCGCCGGCTCAAGTCCTTGGTTCCATCGAACTCGATAAGATTTAGGTAGGCCGCATAGCCGGGGAAGCCAGATGGACATGTCGCACTCGTTGTGTTGAAGAAGAATCTGGCTTTGAGACGACAGCTCATCGGCCAGGAGTTCAGACGGCTCCCATCCCCTCCCCTTCATAAGCCAGGGAAGCCCTCCGCTGGGCGGATAGCATCGGGGCAAGCGGATAAACGGAGGAGGGTTGGCAAGCTACCTTGGCATTATCGCGTGTTCCGGATGGCGTTGGGTTGGTTTAGGGTTATATCATTGATCGCAACACGGCATTTCGTTTTGCAGTAGGTGTGCCTCGGCCAAGGCAGGAAGGAGAGTCACCCTTCTCTTTGTATTTTGGCACTTTTTGCAAATTTTATTTTTTTTGGCAATTTTGCATAGAGAAAACTGAAATGGCAAGGCCCAACACTGCGGAAATGAAATGCCTAAAGTGCGCTATGTATTCGTCCTTCCACTTACAAGTAACAGGAAAACCCCCCCATTTGCCCGGGCAAAGTCGGGTTAGCCGAGACATTGCCGACCATGCAGTCTCTTTGAGGCGGGTACTGTAGTTCTCGTTCTACGCGGTCCAAGTACCTATGTAATGTAGTGCAATGCAATATAAATGCAATGTATTGCCATGGCCCCAAGACTTGTCGGTCTAGCTCATTGCGAGAGGGGGGCGGAAGCAAAGCATGTGACTATTTCAGCAGTGAAGGCTACTGCTAGTCTACCACTCTATCACACACGGCAAGTAAGCAACAGCATACTGCCATCTAGACTACGCCGAAATCACAAACATGTATAACTATCTTACTCTGGTCCCAAACGTTGTTTTACGTACCTGGCATTCGAGGCACTCAGTCGAGGCAGTCTTCTTTGTTGGACCGCATGAGCTTGAGCTTGAGCTTGGCCCTCGGGTGAAATGTGCGAACTTTAAATCTTGAACCTCGAGGGTCTTTCTTGTCCGCCAAATAAACTGCAGCATCATCATGCATGCATGCAAGGAGTTGGGAAGGAAAGAAGGAAAGAAGGAAAGAAAGAAGAAAGAAAAAACGTCTAGTCATTCGTTTCCTCGCCTCCACCCCCATCTTCTACTAATTGTACCATGCCTGCGCCGTATGACCATTCAGCAGGGAAGCACTTACTTACACCTGAGGAAAGGCTGCATGCATGTCTCAAAATCTACAGCACATGCCAGCAGCTCGTGAGCTCCTTTATCGATAGCCTATTTGAAGTCGGAAGGTTGTTTGGCAGTCAGTTGGCAGGTAAGCAGGCATGTCGCCAAGTCAGTTAAGCTTAGCGTGTCCATATTGTTACCTGTGATATCATTTCCAATCCGCCCTCCTAGAGACATCTGCCCACACGACAGCTCAGGTTAGCCGCAAGAGCTCATATCCATTTTCTCCTTTTCTTTTTGCTTTGCCTTTCCCAGAGTTGTCCGAACATCTTCGCCTCGTAGTGACTGTGACAGACGAGCTCATGGCCTGCTCTGGATTGTAATATGAACAAGCAGCAAGCAGCGCTGTCGCTCGCTCGCAACGAGACTGGCTCTTGAATTCCCAGGGACTTGCCACAGACATGCCACTTTGACCCAACCAGGAATAAACGCAGCTCATCGCCATGACTTCGCGGTCTTCCTTTCTTCCGCGGCTGTCGCTAGGCGGCAAGGGCAGTCCTATACTGCCGACTCATCACCAGCGAACCAGATCAGACGACCACGACTACGACTACGACCTCTCCGAGCTGTCTCCACGCCCGTCCTCCCCCCTGCTATCACCAGATCACGTACGCGACTTTGGTTTCCATGACTCCGCCGCATACCACGACAACAGTAAGGACAAGGGCAATGGCAAAGGCAAGGCCAAGGCAGCTGCTTACGCCGAGCCAGGAGAGCAGTTCCCTCCCATAAGTGTTGTGGATCGCATGCGAACACACCGCCAAGACCAAGCAGCATCACGAGAAAGAGAACGTCGGGTCAGAGAGGACGAGAGGGAACGGAACGGCCCAAGATGGATCCCGCCAGCTTCCACAGATTACCGCGACCATGACGCCAGAACACAGGGCTACCCTGCGAACACCAGGTCGACACAGAACCAAGGTAGAAACCTGGGTACAAGTTTCATGGGCTTCCTGAGTTCCGCCCCTTCCAGTACAGAGCAGGGCCCGACCAACGAGGTCGACAATACCTTCCGAACCATACAACGGCGCGAGCGGCAGATCCAGAAAGAGCTACAGAAATTACTAGATGCGCAGGCACGTGCTCTCGATCAGGGAGCGGCCTCGGACGGCACGAGTCAGGCTGGAAGCGATACACCACGGCATACATCGCGCGCCTCTTCATCTCCCTATCGCTCGCGAAGCGTAAGCTCCCACGGCGACCCCGTGGCCCCGGCTGTCGTGCCCGTTCGCCAACCCAAGCCACGACCTTTGACAATCCGACAAGTTCGTACCTCCATCGCCCGCTCCATGGCCATGCTATCTGATCTGAAAGAGGAGGAAGACGCCTGTATCGTTTCTGCCATTTCAGCTCGGACGACGGCCCTTGCAAAGGCAAACAAGCTGTCTCGCCAGCACAAGGCGATCGCCGCCGACCTACGTACACTCGAGATGGACGATCCTTTGCGGAAAGAACTCGAGGGCATGAATGGCGAGTACGGCAAGGTCTGTGCCGACATTGACGAGTTCGAGGGCAAGCTAAGACAGATGAAGCACCGCAAACGTGTACTGGAAGCACGTATGGAGGAGGTCAAGAGCGAGCGCGAGAGCGGGCTCAGCGGCTACAAGGGTGCTCTTCGAGAAACCGAAAGAGACATTGGCGAGATGATGAGGATACCAGGCGTGAAAGTGCTTTCGATTGAAGATACCGCCAAGGGCCCACAACCGGAAGTCCAGGAGGACAACGCCGACGACAAAGTGATAGACCGCGCTCTCAGCGGCCACGAATTCATGCGCATGCGACCGGAACGACGCACTCTAGCCATGGCCAAGGAGTGGTGGGAAGGCGAAATGGCCCTTCTTTCACGCCGCAAGGACGATGTGGATAAAGAGCGGGACGCGCTGTCTGAAGGATCTGAGGTTTGGGCCCAGACAGTGCAGCTCATCAATGATTATGAAAGAAGGCTCGGCGCCGCGCTGAGTAACTCTATGCAAGCACCACCAAAGGAGCGCCAAAAGTCCGAAGCAGACCTCTTCCAAGCACAATACCGAGATCTGCAGCAGACAATCAAGGAGATAGAGAAGAATCTGCACCATGTCGAGGAGAAGGGCTGGAATCTGTTGGTGGCTGCTATCGGTGCCGAGCTGGAAGGATTCATGGAGGGCGAGAACATATTAGCTGACCTGATGAGATCTAAGGGTTACGAGGTCCTGGCCGATAGCGGGCTTCTGGGGCTCGATGACGAACAAAGTGTCAACAACAGAGACGAGATTGACACCAAGAACGATGCTATGTACGGAGAGGCAGGTCGCAATAACGCCGTTGATGATCATGATGAGCTGACCGGTAGTGTTGTTCGGCGCTGGGGAGGTCACTCCGAGCTGAGGACTCCACCGGTATCTCAAGAGGAGCATCGCGAGGAAGCAGATACTTCCAGAATAAACGAGCCTCCTTCAGATCTCCTGCAGAACCACGGCGATCATAGAGACGAGAGTGACAACGAAGTACCCGCCGATCTGCTCGTCAGTCAGGTGCATAGGGAAGAGAGCGAGGACGAGCATGCTAATGAAGTGCCGGCCGAATTCTTGTCCACACACGACGGGCTTCCAGAAGTGAAGGCAAAGCAGCATGGCATAGAAGAGGAGGAGGAGGATAACGAAATCCCGAGAGATTTGCTTGGCCGAGTAGAGGTCGGGACCAGGGACGATGGCGTTGAGTAGGGACATGCAGGACTTCCGAGCTTTGAGTACGGTGAATATGAATCAGGTGCATCATTGTGTTTCCTTTGAAATGAGCGATACTACCCGCTTCGATTATGAGAACAAACACAAGGGGTTCTGGTCTGAATAGTGATACCAATTTTTACAATGCAAATCGAACATGGCCTAAAGAGCACTAGTCCGTATTCTGTGCTGTTATGCTAGTCTCGTCAGTCTATACGTCTGGCCTCTCCGGGATGGTAAAGCATATATCGCGCCGAGAAACATGATGACCCAGAGCAAGACACCCATGCCCGTAAGCAAAATGACTCAGTTATCTTCAAGCATATTGGGACCTGGATTTGTGCAACGTAGTGTCTCCTGGCTTGGGTGGCATGCCTTTTGGCTCGGGATAAAACAACTTATCATGGTGGCCTTGTTAAATACTCAAGCATTTACGGCTTCGTGAGGTTTCATATCCATGGCTTACTGTACTCCAGTCAAAGGTGCAATGTGTAATAAGATGGGCCATTCAAGCTTAGGACGGAACATATTAAATTTATGCGTTCTCGTGAGTTTTTGGGGTTATAGCTAAACCAGCCAGCCTAAATATTGTATTTCTCATTGCGGCCTTTGCGCAGGCTCTGTCGAACATGAAGAGTATCCGCTGCCAGCCTCTTATCTGCCTCGTGGTTCGAACGTCGTCTCTCTTGGTCAACTTTCTCACGACATCTCGAGGGTCACACCCGTCCACGCCCCTGGCCTTGACATCCGCGCCATGCTCCAGCAACGTCTTGATGGCACCCTCTCGCCACTCCGAGGGTCTGTCTTGGCAGAGATAGTGCAGGGGTGTCCTGCCGTCCCGGTCGCCCTGGCTGATGTTTACACCACTACTGGCCAGCAAGCCGGTACAGTCCTCCACCTCGACGAAGTATTCAAGCTGGCACAGAACGTGGAGCGGCGTCTCGCCGTCGAGGTCTTGAATGCCGAGGTCCACGCCATGCTTGAGGAATATTTCGATGCCCTGCTTCAGAGCCAGCGAGTTAAACCGAAAGAATACATGTATTGGCGTCACGCCTGTGGCGTCAAAGACACGCCAGTCTGCACCATGAGACAGCAGCGTCTCCATGTGTATACCCCCACGAAATTGCCAGCAGGCGAGGTGTAGTGGTGTAGTGGTGTTTGCCCAAAGCTGCTGCAGGCGTTGACCGAGGCCCCGCGCTCCAGTAACTCTTCTATAATCTTCTTGGCCTTACCAGTATATCTATAGTGTAACTTACATAGCTTGTGTAGTGGGGTTAGAGAATTGCAACCGAGTGCGTTGACATCAGCGCCGTGGGCCAGAAGTAGTCCAACCGCCGCACGCTGATACAGCATGCAATCGCCACCGCCGCAAATGGCGTGCAGGGGCCGGTCACCCGCCGAGACAGCAGAGGCATCTTGATCTTGTCCTCCTTGGCTGCTCGGAAACCGCCGGCTTTGAGCAGGGTTTCAATATTATTATTCGATGCTCCCAGTGCTGGGTGGCTGGGCTACCAACGTTTTCGTCTTGGTTCTTGTAGTTATCTTGAACTGCCCAGTTGATCGGGTACCAGCACTGCATATGCGTAAGCTGGTCGACATCCACAGACATATTGTCAGGCTTGTTGACATCAGCGCCCTGTGCAACCAGAAATATCACGGCATCGGAGCTGATGTGGCTGACAGCAATTGAGACCGGTGTCATGTTCTTTCCTGCGACGGTTCTTGCCGCGCCCAGTACATGGTCACGTTCGAAATGGCGGTCCGCGGGTCCTCCGTGTTGCAATGCAGATCTGAGCACCTCCACTCGGTCGAAGAAGCAGCCCCACGATATAGCATGGCAGTCACCATCCTTGATGTCGTTTTCGTAGAGCAGCGGGATGAGGACGTTTCAGAATCCCTTGCACGTTGTCGCCAGACGCTTCAATTCGTGACGCTCGAGGTACGAAGCTGTCATGAGAACCAGCTCGTTCGGTAGTAGTGTGAGACGGCCCATAGCTTCGTTGTCCATGTTGCGTGGGTGTAGTTTGATATTAGCCATGTGTGTTTAAATAGCGAGCGGGTGTAGTGGTGAGTCATGATCTAGATGTGAAAGTGAAACACCAGAATGAAGGAAGCAAAAAGATTCAGGGAAACCAGATTAGTTGTGAAACGTGATGATATAGCAAGCGATTTTATCGCAATTAACGTAATAATCCTAAGTTGAGAATGAATAAATAGGCTCGAATTTCGCCTTATTATTCTTATTCTTCTTTTCTTCGCTGCTGCTCGACCAAATCCATGGCCAACCCGGTGGTTAACATTGATTTATGAGTATCATCAACTTCTGGTACCACGAAACTTTTACATTGTGCCCATCAAACTTGGCTTGTTAAGCACACGGCAATTTTTCCAACTTTGATGGCATGTCGAACACGTGCACTTTGTTGAAACATGCCTAGATATTTCTATTAGCAGACTGATGGTCTAGATATTTATTAATGTCCCAGCTTGCTAACCATACTCCAGTATTCACAGACTTGTATTCAATACTGAAGATAAACTCTTTGTTCACGCAGGTGATGAGTAACATCGCGAGTACTGTATAACTCAACGAAAGACTATCCATGTATACAGACCGTGGTATCTTACGAAGTCACACCCTAGGGCACCGTGAAATAAACTGCGTCCGAGAGCTGATTGTGCCGTAAACCAAGCCCAGCGTCATGTCAATTTGCCTTCTTAGTCTCTGGAGGCCGTTGTTCTAAGGCACCTTTGCATCTGCTTCGTAACCTCTCACATACTCTTTGGCATACTATACCCATCTTCTTATCCAGATCTGTGCTCCTTGATGCAACATATTGAGAGTTCCCGATCATCGTCTACTTCTGTTGAGTTGGCTCCAGCGTCTACCAGCATCCTCAGAACATCAGACTTGTTTCGATTGTGGCATATACTCTCTTCGAGAAGAACAAGCAGTGGGTTTTGACATATTCCACTCATTGCGTTGACATGTTTGCCGTGTTCAAGAAGATCCTTGGTGATATTCTTACCACCTTTGCTTCCGACCCAGTAGGAGCGGTAAGGACCAGTTACAATACGTTGCAGCCGGGGACAACTTGTTTATGGTGCTCAATAAGATAAGTCTTGTGTGTAACCCGAGCTTTACATCTCACGGGGGATATTTATTTATCGAGGAATAGTTTGTTATCTAGAAAGAGCAATCCTTTAGAGAATAACAAACCCCTTGGGCAGACTTGGTCTTTTCCTTTTAGATTCAAAGATAGTTGATAATAATTGGGCCATGGTAAGGATGACATAGTATGCAATGCTATTGTTCGTGTAAAAAAAAATGAAAAAAGAACAACCCGGAAAATCAAGATGTCGCATTGTTTTGAGGGGGCCATTGTCCTGTTTATTCGATCGGATTTGAGGCTTGTGCGATTGATTATTCTACGCCGCCAAACCTGGACAAACTACCCCCACAAGCATATTTCCATTCCTTCTCTTTTTCTCTTCTCACACACTCGGGTTTCTTCAAACTGCCCCACCACCATTGGTACACGGATTCCTTGCAGACTGAACATTGTACATCTATCTCTCTTCCATGTGACCCAGCCGCCACCGCCTCGATCAAAGCTGCAAACCCTTTCCTCGTTCTCTCGCCACTTTCAGCGCCTTTGCGGTCATTGATTGGTGTCTTGTCATCAAAATATCCCATCACAACTGTCTTTCGACTTGTCGCCATGTTGTCCGCCGGCAGTGCCAGCCCCCAGCGCCTGCGAACGATGTCTCACGCAGAAGGGCCTTCGTTGACCGACTTACCAGCCGAGTTGCTCTATGAGGTCAGTGAGCACTTGTCTATCATGGCCCATGCCTACTTGGCTGCAACCTGTCGTATACTCCAGGCTGCTCTCGTTCCAGAGCTCTACAAACGTGACCGCAAGACTGGAACATACAGAACACTGTCGTGGGCTGCCTGTACTCGAAAATCCCAGGCCGTGGCAACCATCGAGCGCGCCAGGTCATACTGGCCTCCCGGCAACCACCATTTGCAGGTTTACTTCAGAACAAGCAAGGCTCACCATGGCAAGAGCTTGAGGTATCTCACTCCTCTCATGGCAGCTATCCAGGCTGGCAACCACCTTGTAGTCTGCTACTTACTTGACAACGGTGTCAACATCCACCAGTGTGAGCAGAGCCCTGCACATCGGGACACTCTTTGGTACCCCATCCATCATGCAGTCATGATGGATCATTTCACCCGACCCGCCAACCATTATCCTACAAAACATAAGCTGGACGTCATTCACCTTCTCATCAGCAATGGTGCCAACCCCAACCAGCTGTCGTCGCCAAATCCTGGCCGCAAATCGAGCCCCAACAGCCGCGGCAGAGTCACTCCGATGCACCTGGCTATCAAGAATGGGGCAGACAACCATGTCATCGACATGTTGATCGACTCAGGCGCAGCAGCCACTCGAGTTCCATACTGCGGAGTCCCAGACCAACACTTTTCCAACATCACGCCCATCAGCCACTTGCTCAATGCCTACGACGAACCCACTGAAGGTCACTGCCTTGCCGTCCAGAACATCGCCGCCAATGGCGGCGGTGCAGGAAGCGAAGCCCAGATGTACACCGTGTCTGGACATCCTTTGCTCATCGACTTCCTATCAAAGCCTCGCGCATCGCCCTTCACAGCCAAGATGGTCAAAGAAATACTCGAGGGCGCTTGGGTCAGGTTTGAAGACACTACCCAGGATGGCGACGGCGCTATCCTCCACCTTCTCAAGAGTCACATGAATTGGAAGCCTCCCAAGCCCTACGACAAAAGACTGATTCTGCATCATGAGGAGCAGAACGACATGATCAGAATTGCAACTACCACTTGCGACACCATCGACGTGCTCCTGCAACACCATGCAGATATCGAAGAACGAGACGCGTCTGGCAGGACTCCCATACACGTCGCTGCAGGCCTTCACAGGCACTACTCAGGTATCCTCGACCATCTCGTCACATGCGGAGCGAATGTCAGAGCCAGGTCGTCTGATGGCTGCACAGCCCTCCATGCACTTGTGATGGGCGACCCAGGCGCTGATCATACCCTCATCACGCATCTCATCAAACACCACAAGATTGACCGCTTTGCTCGGGACGAGAACGGCAATACATTTTTGCACAAGCTGGTCACTTGCCATGTCACTCCCTACCACAAGTGGATCTTTGAAGCCAGCAAGCACTATAGCAGGCAGCACTGGAGCAAGTATCGCAACAATGCCGGGGAGAGTCCAATGGATGTCGTGAGGAAATCCGCTTTGCCCAGAGAGGAGTGGGATGCCGGGCAAGTAGTGAGGAGTGCTAGGGAGGCTTGGATTGACGAGGCATACAAAGACAAGAGGGAATACAAAGATAAGAAGACATGCGGGGGACACTCTAGTTAGTGCACTTCCTAAAGTCATAGCACTTTCCCTACGTACTACCATGATACGGAACATGAGCAACAAGCTGCTAGAATCCAGTGGCTTATGTTGATTTATCGAAGGGGAAATTGCTGGTAGCAGATAGGATAAATCATGTAGACTCAAAGTTTCTGTCAGAAACAGTCCATGGACACGAATTCTGCGGCGACCTAGCAAATCGCTTACACTTTGTTACAACTACAGTAATCCACCATCGGTTTATGTTAAAGTGAAGCTTCGTTTTATTGACATGTCTGTGAGGCACAATATAAGTTCAAGTATGCAGTGTTGTTCAAACAACCCCCCATCACTCGTATTCGTCTACGTGCCCAAGGCAGTAAGCCTCCTGCATGTCGTACTTGTCACCTGTCATCTCTTGCTTTGTGTCCGCAGCTCCGGAGCATCAACTCGCTGGTCAACACAGAACACCAAGACGTCGTCACGGTGGCTTCATACCGCTACTTTGGTGACGCCGTTGTAGAGCACAAGTGATTTGTCTGCCAACAAGTGAGGAGGCGAGATCCGGGGAAATACCCAGTCCCCTTCCAATTCTGTACCTGTTCTCGACCCTGAGCGGGCGATATTGTGCGACAGAGTGCGACCAGCAGCTGAACCTTCATTGCGCGTACAGCAAACATTTCCAATGTGATAGTCGATATAAAGAGGTCGACCGACCTTTTCCAATCCCCTCCAAGGCCCACCGTCTCAAAGGTAAATTCATGATGCCTTTGCCGACTCTTACTACTATTCCTCTTAGAAATGCGGCCCTGCTCGCTTGCGCCCTCGTGCCCATCGGCTATGCGGCGCCCGCTTACATCGGTCCGACCCTCCGCCTGTCGGCCGGTCGTGAAACTGTTGTAATTGACAGCCACGGAGAAGTAAACATTGCGTATTGCGGGAACGGCGATAGTGCACCGATCCATACAAGTAAGCCCTGTCAACTGTCATTCTGGTGGCTCTGGCTGACAGCGTATCAGCCGGTGATCCAGAAGTCGGCCCGGGTTTCTGGATCACCAACAACGACGGTATACGGGGCGATTACTTCCTCTACGAAAACAGCCGTGATGAGCGTCCCTGGAAGTACATCACCGTATGCTTTTTTCTTTTTCTTTTTGGCCCGTGTTCCCTTCTCAGATTTCAAGAGTTTCGAGAGCTAAAAGAAACGGCACCAGATCGACGACGGTGCCCGCCGCTTCGTCCAGGTATGTGCCACGTGGGAGGGTCACATCGTCCGCGGAACGGCAGCAGTCAACCTCGATGGCAAGGTACACAATCTAGGTACTTGGGCTGTGAGCAGTGTCGACCCGAAAGGAGTCATATGGGGCGGGCTCTCCTTCTTGCAGGGCAGTGATGGTGGCGGTGCCGTCAGGTCGACAGACGGTTCTGGACAGCAACGAGGCTGCACCGTCGACGTCTTGTCGGGCGCCCCGGACTCGGCGCTGGCGACCAAGGGCTCCGGTGCCAAGGTTCTCGACAAAGTCGTCGGAGAGGGCGCGAGCGTGACGGCCGAGATCTGGATGGTCGAAAAGTGCAATATGGACGATGTGTATATGCAGGAGAGGGGCCCGAACCCGGTCATCAAGTCGGATAATGGTCGGTTCGAGTGGGTGTTCTCCCAAGGGAGGTTCTAGTACTGGTGTACTAGAGGAGATCAAGTTGCCATTGTTGTACAAGTCATGGCGCGTTTGTCTTTATCGCCTCACAAAAACAAGCAGTATCCCGTTGTAATAGTGAGGTTTTCCCATGACCATTCCTAATGCTCAGAATGACCAGCCTCACCATGGGAGGTTTGCGAAACGGCTTGTTCTTCAATTCTCCATGATTTTCTAGATCGGTGTCTTCGAGAAGTTCAATGTGGTCTATTTCAATATCCAGGACCGTGCTAAGAGTGCAAGAGTGTCGCTAATTTGTTGCTTCCTATCTTCATCATGCCATCCTGCAATCTCGAAAGTTCTGAAGGCTTGGCTCTTCCATTCATCCAAAAGTTGGCAACAGACATAACTAACCATACATCAGCAGGCCAAAAGACAGAGACACTCGATCAAGTCAACATGCAGTCAATTCAAGGAGGACTATCCACCAAGCATTCTGCATCGTGCCTCCCTGTATATTTCTAGAGTCCTTTTTCGTAAGTTGTGGTTTTCTTCCAGCACTCTGGCAGAGTGATTATTTTCATCGTCGTATATACTTGAACAAACATGTCCTCGAATGCAGACTCCTCGTGGGAGGTTTCCGTCTCTCATGTCAGGTATCAAACAAGAGGTAAGCAAAAAGAGAAAGAGAAAAAGAAAAATGTTTATGTATGTAGATATATGTCGTCCAACATATCATGGTAACATCTGGGCCAACAGTGGTCATGTACTGAAAGCTGTAAGCGATGAGCTTTGAGGGCATCATCGCTATCGCCGCAGGGCAGCACGGTTGCAGGAGCATGCAGCGCTCCTGGGCCGCTTACAGGGTATACATACAGTAGGTATGTCATCCCACTCCGCAACAGACACACCTTCAGACCATCTTCTCAATAGCGACATTCCTTCTAGATCTCCGCTTCCTGTTTGTGTCTTCTATCAGATAACAACGATTCCTCGTACTTGCTCATTCTGCTCACAACCCGTACTCTGACACGACCCAAGGTTACTTTGCTTAGTGTATAAGCCCTCACGCTATTGAAAGAAATTCCACTAAAACCAGGCACCGGCGGTCGCCTGAAAAGCCTTGGCGTAGAGATCAACCCCCCTATTGCAATAGCGGCCTCTTCATAAAAGATGGCTTTTGCTTTTGAACCGCGAACTTCGATCGTACCCAAGACGTCACATCGTCAACTATGGCGCTGTCACTTGCTGGATTGCCACGGGAGTTACTCCTGCACATCTACTCCTTTCTCACGCCGCACGACCTCGCGCACATAGCCTCCGCCTCCAAGAGCCTGGGCACACTAGCTGAGATTCTGATATGGGACGACATTGAGCTCCATGCGCCTGGCTACCATGAGTCGTCGTGCGAGCTCAAAGACCCACCTCCCGTGGTACCTCCAGAGGCCCGTCGCTACCACTCGAACCCAGGCACATGGGCATACGGTGGTGTCCTGGAGAGGAAAGCAGCCTCTCTCTTCTGGATGCTCGACCTGGCTGCACGGAGCGATCTGCCGCGGGTGAAGCTGCTCCTCTCGAGAGTCAGGAGCCTATGCACCGTGCTGGACTGGATGAATTGTCCTGACTGGGTGCCGCAACCTCCCAAAGTACCAGAGCATCCCAAGCTGGAGTTTACCTGGAGTATCTTCCCGCTGTTTTCCAATCTGGAGAGACTCGAGCTTCATGGGTCGTGGGAGGCCTATTGGGACGGGCACGGGAGAGCTTTTGACAGCTCCGCTCCTCCGCTGGCGGCATTGCGGTCCGTCAAGCTCTTTGGGTATCTGCCTGGCAACGTCGTCCGATACATACTCCGGAGCGCCCCGACGATAGAAAACCTCCAACTCGGTGTGCTGGATGCTCCAGTAGGGTGCAATCTGGCTCCGAGCGGCAGGAGGCAGAACCCGCCTCCACGTCGAAAGGGGCAATTAGAGAGCGATGAGGACGGTGACGATGAGACGACGGATGATGACAGCTTGGACGGGGATGAAGTCGCACCACGGCCGTTGCCTCTATTCCACCATGGCGAGATGCCTGCCTTTCCCCGCCTCAAGCTTCTTCATCTGTGTAAGCCATCGCAGTGCGATCCTGCACACTATGGCAATTTGATGTTGGGCGATGTAACATACTCGCAACGTTCCGAAGAAGCAAGCTTGTCTGACTGGAGCGGGTTACTACGAGCAGCTCAGGGGACTCTCGAGACGCTTGTTCTCGAGCACCGCGTTGTCGCAGAATACATCGAAGGGGACGGGATGAGCATGCGCGAGTTCATCGAAGCATGTTCTTGTGGCCCGGCTGAAGATCACTTCATGGACCGTATCGTGCCTGTTTTCAAGGAGAAAGCGTTCGCCAACTTGCGGAGTGTGCACATGCATGGGATCCTCGTTAGTGCCAAGTCTACTCAACGACGGAAATGGTTTAGGAAGTTCTGGGAAGATTATGGCGTGGAGTGCAGCTTCTCGTATGGTCAATGGTGCTACTTTGATTCTTCTCCCGGCACGACGTATTGGGCTTCATACGAGGGACACAGTGACGACGAGGACGAGGATGAAGATGAGGGCCAACCAGACGGCCCTGAAGACTAATACTCACGTGTTAGACCTGTCGTGAGACTCTATACAAGGCATTGGTCTGTTTATGCTCCGACATTCCCTCACTACGTTTTCCATAAAATTCAACCTGCCTGTTCTAGATCAAAGAATTAAGATGCAAGATACAAAATAAAGGGGGGGTTTTTTTTTTCTTCAAATATCCGTTAGGGCAACGTCGTCCGTGTCTATAGAACTACCGGAGGACTCGTAACAAATCGCCTCAACGTCATGAACCCCCACAAGCTTCGGGTCGTTTGTACTCTACATGCTAGAGGTATCGATGTCATACCCCTGGATCAGATCATCCACTACCCGGCGTAGTTCAGTTGATCCTTTCCATAGTCCATTCGTCCGGGTATAGCATAAAATTGAGGGGCTGAAACAGCTGGCCGCCAAAGAGACATCTGCTGAGGCCCCAAATGGTGCCATGCCAGTTTCATGGCATGCATAAGGCGGCACCTCGATCCTTTGCGTCATTGCAGATCTGCCGCGCAGCCACTACGTTTCAAGGCACCTGGTAAGGCTCATCCCTCGAGTCAGTCGCCTGGTTACAGCAAAGATGGCCGACTCATGCTCTGGCTCTTGGATCGTGGCTGCCACCAGCTCGCTCATCGCGCAGCGGGTTGGGATTGACGGCAAAGAAAATGCAACATGAATTCACCAAAAAGAAAAAATAAAGGATTGATAATAAATGTACACAATATTGATAGCATTTACATAAAATAGCTATATGAGCAAAATAAGAAGGCACTTCCCTTGGCCACTAGTCTAATATTCCCTTCGTAATTCCAACTTGGTATCTTGATACAAATCTCAATCGCCCTCTCATTCGTCTTCTCCCAACACTTTGGACACCTGCTCGTGTGGTTGTCAAAGCCGAACAAGTACCTTAGTCCGTGCGACGAGCGAATCTCAGGCTGCGCTTCCTGTTGTTCTCGCCCGCAGCATTGGCGTTTGCCTTTGCGTTGGCATTTGCGTTGGCATTTGCGTTGGCGTTGTTTCCGTTGGCGTTGGCGTTGGCGTTGCCTCGGCCGTTACCATTTCCCTTGTTCTTCTTTCCGGTTGCGGAAGTAGCAGCAGCCGCTGCAGAGGAGGCTGTAGTGGTGGCTCCTGTTACTGCAGCAGTGCCGGTTGCAGTGGCGACTGCGTTGTTCTCAGCAGTAGGCTATACAGTTTCTGTCAGTCACCGGGTCTTCCTATCTGCGGTTTTCTTTTCGGGGAACTCACAGTCAAGGTAGGGAAGCTACCCGAAGCAACGCTGATGCCGAGCAGTGAGCTGACGGCTTTGGCGTTGGCGAGAGCCTCATCGGTACCAGCGTCTTGGTTTGCTTTGATGCCAACAGCGAGGTCCTTTTGGTCCTGGGCAACTTGAGCCGCAACCTTGTCAAGCGACAACGAAGTCTGGATGTTGGCAGGAGTGTTGACGCTGGCCTCGGTATCGGTCTGCTGGACAGGGAAGCAGCCGCCAAAGGGGCCGGCCTGAGCATTGTTGCGGCAGCGAACGGTGCAGACGTTGCCGAGAGAAGCTGATATCGGTGTTAGTCTTGATGATCCCATAGATGTACAAGTCAGGACACATACAGCCAGTGCAGCTGGGGAAGCTGTCAGGCATGATGACAGTCATGTTGAAGTCCTGGGCCTTGGCCTGAGAGAAACCGTTGGCACCGGGTACGTTGTTCTCGATGGATAGATTGGCAGTGATGACACCGTTGTTGCCGGCTGAGACAAGATCGCACACAAAAGGCCCGGCGCCATCGGCGTTGACTTGGTGGATGGTGACAGTCATGCGGGTTCCGGCCTTGACCTGTGTAACGGCACCTGCGGCAATGGCGTTCTCCGTGTTCTCTCCGATGTCGATGTTTCCTGCCAGCTCTGTTCGTCCGCATTCATTGACGATATTGGCGCTGATCTCGGCATCACGAATGATGGTGGCATCTTGTTGACAAGGGCTGATGGTTGTGCAATTTCTGGCCAAAGCGTCATCGACTTGCATCACCGTTAGCAGCGCGAACATGCTTTCATGGCGGCAGTGACCCTCTTACCCTGAAAGCCCACGCTAGTGGGTGACCCAGTCTCACCGATGGCGGCCAGAATCTGTGCGTGTCCGTGTACCAAGGCCAAGAGGCTGGCGAAGGACAGTAGGCAAGAGTAAGAATACATGATGTCGAAGTAAAAAAGAAGGATCAGCACCAGGCTAGGATAGAAGAGAAAGACTAGTAGTTAAGAAACAGTACTTTCGAGAAGAGAAGCAAAGATCCCCGGGATCACAGTGAAAGAAGCGAACTGAAAAGAAAGAGACCGGCCTGATGATGGAAATTTTAAGCCATTATGCCTAGAGGTGGCCGTCACTATCTATATACAATACAAACATGGCGGCTGCTACGAACAAGGGACGATGGACCACTTTGCACGTCCGAGAAGGGAATGAGCGCGAAGAAAGGACGAAAATGACTTACCGTCGCAACGAAGTCATCTCCAACAGTTCTCGTCGCAAACAGGTGGACACAGTGGAGTAAACATACGTCCAAACCAAGCATAAAACCTTCCTATCGAATCAGAAGCCAGGGACAAAAGCTTCGAGTGTTGGTAGAACTCCACTTGCGAGTAGTCTCCACTGAGAGCCTCCCAGGGATACTGTATGTGGGAGCCGGGGGGGATACCTTGCAACCTTGGTTGCTAGGACAGATGGGGGAGGGTTGCCTTTGCTTGTGCGAAATGTTATCATAGGTCGGAAATAGCAGGACATACTTCACACTCTTCGGAGATGCGACTGCAATGGACCCCGGGTCGAATTCTGAAGCAAGTGCCAAGGGACGTCAGGTGGGATTTTGGCTCGGAATGTCCGCGCGCTTGGGCTGGCGAATCGGCAGAATATGCCACAATGGAAAGCGGACAGGGAAAGGCGGGACGAGAATGTTTCGAATGCCCGTGGAAGGCGACTGTGTAGATGTTCGTTGTTTGAGTGCGTGCGATGTGCTATACATAGCATTGTCATCTGATTGACGAGAGAGCAAATATTACAGCGGACGAATTTCATAAACGGCCAATTGAGCGGCCAAACGGCATGCGAGAGGCCAGATGAGATTAGTCTTACGTAGGTTAGTGGGCTTCAAGCACTATGCCGTCTTGTCCGATCAGATCAGGTATGAATATTTGGGTTGGGACGGCACTCGGTCGCCCTGCGATCTGTATTAATGACTGACTGGCCTCATTGACTGGCCTATTGTCGACGAATACGGAGCACAGATCTCGACTCTACTGTAGTTGTACACCAAAAACAAAAGTATGTGGCTTCACCCCTTCGCAGATCTCGTTGGTTATCCCGTCGACTCTTTTCCTCCGTAAGGCGCAAACGCAAACGAGGGTGCGCGATTCGACGTGCACTGATCTCCCTGCCAGCCTGCTGATTGATTTGCAATGTCCGCCATGATGTGCCGGCTAGGGGCGATCCACCAGCAATCCACCCAGGATTGCCAAGACGTTTCTTAAAATGTGGGAACCGTAAGATTCGACAGATTCGACCTGGACCGAAGCTTTGTCGCTCCACTCACCAGTATCAAATGCGAACCCCTTCAAACGTTTGAGCCCATCTGAAAACATCTTCATGGTGCCATCATTCCATGTCTCGAAGCAACGGACACGCCAGTCGTCTGACCTATTACCATCGGATGAAACCCTGTCGACAGTGTAATGAGACTCCAGTCTAATTCTCTGTCTTTTGCTCGTTCTTCCCATTGAGCGCATTGGCATACGAGGGAACTTGTGCTTTTTTGAGCATTTCCCCTGTGAGAATTCCCTGTGCCCTATCAACCATACCGTGATGCCGCTGCTCGCATTGAATCAACGATATGACATTCAAGTTGCGTACAACCCGTCGCCATTCTGTCAAGTGCAAGCGTTTTAGTCTTTGTCGTCGTCAAGCAAAGGTGAAAATCCTGTCAGTTCAAGCTTCATGCCGCATTTTCGGGTTTCTGCCCGCTCCAGAAGTGCATGAGGCCGTAAGCGTGCACACTGTCATCCCTCATGGCATTTCTGCACTGCGCGAAGAAAACTTCAATTTCGGGCTTGGGGGGGTTTATGGTCAGCCATGTTGAGGCAATATGTAACCCGTGGCTAGATGGTTTGCTTACCTTGGACCAGCCAAGCAGAGGCATCTGTATGGCGCCCATGGCTGGGAAGAACTCTTCGGCCGCGAGGCGGTAGTAGTGGCCGACTAATCGCATAGTCCTGCCAAGGATAAGTTAATGAAATCCTCCCGCAACAGGTAATCGCCGCAGCATCTTTACTAATGGCAGCAGAGGAGACGGTCGGAGAAGATAACAGAGGAGGGGGGCACAAACTTGTCTTTCGGCCATGTTCCATATGGCAGCTTTGCTGTATGGTGCATGATGTTCACAAAACCTGCTTGTTCTAGGTATTCCCTACCCAACATGGCGGCGTGCGATGTTGTTCCAAGCTTGGCAAATGCCTCTACCATCAGGTTGCAGAAGACCGAGATGGGCCAATCATCCGGTATGCTTTGATCATCGCAGTGTACCGCACCGTCGACGTCCTGAAGCTCGACCCAGCCACCAGGCTTCAGGTTGCTAGAGAGAAGCAAAACGTTAGGAGCCGGAACATGGCAACCAATAAAGCAAAACACATGACAACCTACTTACTTGTAGACGTCTCTGAGTAGCTTTGTTGGCGACTTCAAAATCGGTATCATGTTCCGTAGATGCACGAAGTCGTGGTTGTCCCCCTCACACCATTCATCCTCGACATCATCCACGACGAATTTGACGTTGGGTGGCACCCATATCGGCTGAATGGGACTCAAATCAAGACCTGTAACTTGGGCGCTGGGGAACATGTCGCCAACTACGTAAATGGACAAAGCACGTCAGTGGGCGAGGCTTGACCACGCGATGAAAATCATGATGACACAAGTAAATATTGAGGTTTGACGCAAGGGGTATGCATATATGTGCCCGGTGGGGAGGACTGCAGCGCAGCGAACACCAAAAGACCACATGCATGGGGTTGCACACATACCTTCCATGGCCCAGATTCCCGTGCCTGTGCCCAAGTCTAGGATCTTCTGTGGGTACTCACTTACGGGCGCATAGAACAACTTGCCATCGGTGACCTCCATCATCATGGCATGCAGCATGTCTTCGCGGTTTTGCTCTATCTCGTCGTTTGGTATGGGATAGCGGCCATGCCGATACTAGCCCAGCAGACAGGTCAGCTCAACGGTTCCGCGTCATGGTCCAAATGCGCCATGTCTTATCTAGCTCGTGAACTAAACTAAATCGAAAGACTGGTAAACATGCCTTGTGGTATCGGCGTCCATTGTGAAAGCTGTGGGAGTATATGCTCGAGCCAATCGAGGTCGAATCGGCCATAGAGGCTTCGTCGTAGTCGCTGGGCTGAAACTCGTCTTCCTCAAAGTCGCTAGGCGATGCAGCCTCGATAAGGGGCCCCAGATCTGAACCGGGCTGCGCATCCGTATCAGTGGCTACTAAGGCGGGCGTGGCAGTCTGGTTATCGGGGCTCCGGGTGCGCTTGCGCTCGAGATCTACATGGCAGAGACAACGGTTAACTGTGTACGTCACCACCATCGTGAGGAGTTTCCACAGTTGATGGGTGCCCGTTGATTGGATTGGCTCATGTCAGAAGGAGGGGGTGGGCGCCGGGTGGGCGGTGCGGCGCAATAGCGCTCGCGGATGTTGGCGGTGGCTTTTTGCCATGGTGGAGTGGAAGCCATCTTCGCAACTTCTTCACTCATCGCTTCTTCTTTTCTTCCCAGAGAGCTTGGGTCGGGCCAACATTCAACATACCTCTGCAGTTTCCCATGGTAAAGAAGGTTGCGGGAGCCAAGCGCATGTGGTCGAAAATGGCCACCGTAGCCGTAGCCGTGATTGTTGCGGTTGCGGGATCAGAAGCAGAAGGAGTGGCAATAGCAGTAACGGCAGCAGGCTTGGATACAGCTTCGAACCGCTCGAGCTTGTGGTTTGTGCGACAATCTGCTGCTCTGCCTGCGGGAACTGCAAACGCGGGGCTAGCCATTGCTAATATGCCATCTGAGCCGGACATGGCTGATCTTAAACGAGTCATCGGCAGCTGAGCATCCAGCCCGTTCTTCGAGCAGCCGTTGAGCAAGTCAAAGCTGGGGGGGGGTCTGGCTCGTCTCGCTGGAGCTGATAGAGTGCGTGATGTGGGCGTGGGTTTGCGCCGATCAAGCCTAATACCGCCAAATGGCCCTGGAAAGAAACCAGACGAAAACGAAACAAAAAGATGGCAGGTCTATGCCGATGGGCCTATGTGCAAATGCAAACGCAAATGCAAACGCAAATGCAAAAAGAAAAAAGCAATCGAAGAACCAATTAGGGAGCCGATTGCTTGAAACCAAAACCTCACAAGGTTTACATTTACATGGAGTCTGAGGTCGTCAATGAAAACTGTATTGGGTGGACTGGTGCAGTAGCCTCTGAAAGTTATAGAAGGCAATATAAGAAAGTAGCGCCTTCTTATTGGTTTTCTTTTTTCTTTCTTGGTGGGAGGGGGCACTACAAGATACCTCTGCATACATAAAGAGAGCAGAAAGAGAGAAAAAAAACACATCCATCTGCAGCGGATGCGGCAAGACAGCGACCCAAGCTCGGTGTAAGCCCCGATGCACACGCAAATTGGAACCTCCCATTCAAACCGGCCGCAACGGCCAGTTTGGCCTCGAAAAGCATCTGCAGCAGTACGCAAACAATTCCAGGTGTAAGGAGCTAGGCGTCGAGGCAGCTGGCCGATGACATTCGACCCAGTACAGCATCAGCATCAGGACCTGACTCAAATGTAACCCGCCGGTCCGCGAACAGTACGGCCTCCTCGAACGGCTTGCTGCAGTTTGCTTCTCAGTCACAACCGAGGGTGCCACCTTCACATTGGCTGGAACCCTCTCGTCGGAAGGTATCTCACTGTGTACAAAATATCGCGACTGCCGAAATCAGTATCATGAAAACACTTCCTGGTCGACGGAGAAAACTGCAGGCGGCGCTACCCGCGCTCGGCCGGTGGAGGTTTGCTGCACTCTCTGCATACCGTAAACAACACAACCAACTCCTGTCGTCGACTCTCTTGATGAAAGCACCCCATACTACATGTGTAGTCCCAGAAACCCTTTTCGCTTGTTCAATCAATCAACAGACAGGCAAATTTCTTGCTATGCCTGCACGCTAGCGTTCATGCAGAGACCAATTCGTCACTGTCAATTGAGACTTTTTGGGTGGCATGCCGAGTTACACGGCATTTCATTCAAATCATGTAGGCAGCCACGCCATAATTTGAAGTAGCCCGCTCATTGATGCATCCTGGACCCATCCCCGGTTCTGTCAAGAATGATCATATGCACAATAATCAATTGCTGCTGGTTGTTCGTGCCCAACCTTTCCGAGGCCGTCAACTATGGCTTCCCCGTGCTGTAGCTGGGATTGCGGACGTTTCTGCTACTTGCAATCACAACGTCTTCCGTATTCCACCCGGGTAAAGTGTGTCCTCGGGGCAAGGCTAAGGGGTGCATTGGTCGAAGGACACGTAGAGACATCGCTGTTGAGTCTGTACGGCACCTTTACCCGGCTCGCTGGGTTGCCTTTGTGTGCAATGTGCTCTGTAGTACTTCGTGGGTCATACCAAGCTGGCCCGCATGCAACCAAAGACGTGGGAACGTTTGGTGTCAAAATTCCCAGTTCCAGCCTGGTGGGATTGACCCTGACAGCGAGCGGCCGGGAGCATCACTGTTAGGCATTGTATTGTGACTGCTTACATTGTCGCAATACATATCCCGTCCTTCTCACATTGCGTGCCAAGACTAGAGATTTTGCCGAGAAGTCGCAAAGGTTTCGTTGGATAACCCCCAAGACCGCAGCACACAATGTAGTAGCGTCAGTCCAACGAACTCTATTTCTCCAACGGCGATGCTCAGTATCCAATCTATGGCCCGTCCAATTTGATGCGAGCAATCCTGGGGTTTCTTTAGTCGCCGTTTGCGTGGGCAGTCCCAAATTCCGCATATGCAAAATGGATTGCACTGTCAGCTTTTCAATAGCTGCAAGCCCCTCCAGTTCTCATGGCATTGTCCCATGCGGCACCACACCCCCTCCGATATCATATCATATCATCAGATTAAAGAGCCTACCAATAGTGAATATCCGCCATTGCTGCATCAAGATATCAACTTTTGTGGAAGTGCCGTGACGGGGCCCAGATTTACCATTGGCCTCTGCTACTGAACTGTGTTTGCTTGAACCGCGCTGTGTCTGGTTTTTTGAGGACAGCGGGGAGATGAGAGAGACCTGCTGCTCTCAACGATGGTGCTGTTCCAATGATACCCATTCTAAGCGCTTCATCGTGTGTACAAGTTGTTATGCGTCATTGATTGACCTGGCTAGCTTCGTGACGACATATTTCCTCGGTGCCTCCCTTTCCATCAGGGTGCCTCAGGTGCCCATCTGCCAGAGGGAATTGACGGTCCCTCGTCCTCGTACGGCACAATTGCGTGCAGGGCCAATGAAGGATGAGCCATCCATCGCTTCGAGGTCAGGGACTTTACGGGCTCCACCAGATTATTGAATTCCACATTTTCCTGTTGTCTGTCCATTTTCGCATATGCACAAGATTGAGCCGAGCACCCCCAGTCGTTCCCAAAGAAGAAAAAGAGGCATTTGCCTTTTGAACTGCATTGCAAACGCTGGAGCCCAAGCCGAACAGATCAAAAGAGCTCCGACGCACAGGCCGTGTGATTGGACTGCCCACTTTCCCTCATCCTCGGGGCCGGCCAACAGATCGCGCGGCGTCGTGCTGTGCTGCTGCTGCTTTAAATTATCATTATTATTTTCCTTGTTACATACCTTCCTTAACGACGAGCGTTTCAAACCAGAAATTGCTTCCTTCTCATGATCCGACCTTGAGCGATGTCTGTTTCAGTTGGCATGCCCGCAATCGTGCAGTATCGTTTTCTGGTTCGTTACCAAATCCTCGGGTACGTCGTACCGCCATCTCGGTAAACTCAGAACAACAGCACCTTTTTTTTGGGGGGGGAGCTTGCCAGCGCAGCACCAATACCGGTAGCAAAAGTTAGGTTAGCTAATTAGGAGCTGTTATATTACCCCCAGGCGCTCTGGCGCTTTCCCTCATCATGGGCATAGTGGGCAGTCTCGCCGCTGCTGTCCAAGATGCGGCGCCCCGAACACTTCTCCTGCCCTGCATTGCGGTCGCTCTCATTACTCTGGGTGCTTTTCAGATCCGATCATGGTATAGGCTGCGCCATATTCCGGGCCCGTTACTTGCTTCCGTTTCTGGCGCGTGGATGGTGAAGAAGGCCCTTAGTGGTCGGTTCCACGAACACCTCCGAAACGTATCAGACAAATATGGTAGTTCGCCAATTTTCTATTCACACCAGGGTTTTTTTTGGAGGTCGCATAACTATAGACTGACATATGCAACAGGACCCCTTGTGCGTATCGGGCCTAATGAGGTCCTCTCGACAGATCCTGAGGTCTTACGAATGATGAGTGCCGCCCGTTCACCATACACAAAAGGCGTATTCTATGAAACCGGTCGCATCATTCCGGGAGAAGAAACCGTTGTCTCTCTAAGAGATGAGAATGCACACAGGACGTTGAGAGCAAAAATGGGTACGGCGGTAAGTCATTGTTCCCCCTTGCATTGTATCTCTGTTTCCAAATAACCATGCCACTGGCTGGAAACGTGCTAAAGCCTTCACTAATCATTTCATTAGTTTGGCGGCAAGGAGAATGAGGGCTTTGGGTTTGGAGCCGGCATTGATCGTCAACTCATGTCATTTATTCATCTCATCGATACCAAGTACATATCTACCGCAACGGAATATCGACCAGTGCAGTTTTTCCGTAAAGCCTCGTTCTTCACTCTCGATGTCATCGGCGAGGTCTCATTCGGCGATGCATTCGGGTTCCTAAACCAGGATCAGGACTTGTACCGCTACCATGAGATTCACGACGAATCGTTGCCCATCATGAACATTATGGGCACGATGCCTTGGCTCGCTAGAGTGCTTTATCGATGGCCTTTCAGGCTCTTGCTTCCCAAAGAGGAGGACCAAGTAGGTTTCGGCAGATTAATGAAGTAAGTTTCGCCATCTTCTACCATGTTTAATAATAAAGCCTAATTTAGCTTCAGGTTTGCAAAGGCATTGATCGACAAGAGATTGTGTCCCGGCGCAATGCCTCAGAGAGATATGATGCAAGCATTCATTAACAACGGCATGTCCCGCTCCGAGCTTATTCAGCAAGTTTTCGTACAAATGTGAGTTACTCTGTTTATACATCCACTCCAGCAATGGGTAATTACGTTCAAGACGCAAGCTGATATGTTCAAGCCTTGCGGGCTCTGTCTCGTCAGCGACAGCCATGTGCATGACCTTGCTTTGCCTTATTACAACTCCAACATCTTACTCCAACTTGCGGAAGGAGATCGACGAAGCTATCCACAGCGACAAGCTCAGCTCTCCTGTTGCAGAGTTCGAGGCCAAGAAACTCCCATATCTTCAGGCCGTCATTAGAGAGGGACTTCGCATGTACCCACCCGTCACCGGACTAGGGTCCAAGGAGGTTCCCAAGGGTGGCGACTTCATTAATCATCAATACGTGCCCGAAGGAACACAAGTTGGCACGAATTACTTTGGTCTCATGCATTCCAAGGGTATATGGGGCAACGATGCTGACGTCTTCCGACCCGAGAGATGGCTAGAAGCAAAGGAGGACCAGCTAAAAATCATGAACGGTGTTGTGGATCTGGCTTTCGGATATGGGAAGTACTCATGTCTTGGAAAGCCTATCGCTATGATGGAACTCAACAAGATTTTTGTCGAGGTAAGTTAATCCAGTAAAGCCATCGCCACCATTGACGGCCGGTGTTATTAATGCATCTCAACAGTTATTACGGAGATATGACTTCACGATTGTAAACCCCCAATCTCCGATCAAGGCGTGGAGCGCCATCTTCTGGGTTGCGAATGACTTCTGGCTACGCATTACCCGGCGGGAATAAAGCGATCTGTTTATTTCGTTGTTAGCGTAAACTTGATACCCTTCTTCGCCCAGGGCATGGAATTTATTCGAGCCGTGTACTTGACCGGAAATGTCCCAGACATTCACATCTTGAGCATCACGATTGTATTGTCGTCTGAGAACATAATACTTTACACCATTGAACAAGCAGTTCGAGAAAGCGCGAGATCGAATTGTCTATGTTTCGTGTTCGGGCAAACCGCTGCTAGTGCTTTCCGAAGTCCTGCTTAACAGTTTGCCCGCAATGTACGGTCCGATTACAAAAATAGGAATCAGGATAATGCAAATCGTTGTCTTGGAGTCCGTGTTGACCGATTTCCTGTTCTATGTGTGACAATGAGCTTTTTGCAGTTTAAAAACATTTGGCAAGTCAGAAGCAGTATATAGTCATTCGGGTACGTGTGATCACGTTCATCTTGTGCATATATACTCGAAACCCCACGAAAACGAGCTTTTTTCCCTTTTCATTTCAATTCTCGTCACACTGCCGATTCACCAAATGTGCAAGCGTGTGGTAGGACTTCTTCGTCGCAGTATCAGAGTGCGTTTAATAACCTAGAATCACTAAGGAGCCTTATCATACCTCTGCATGTCAAAGTGATGAACGGAGCCAATGATGTGGCCCATTGCCTTACATGCAATGCACCGGCACCTAGAACTGCAGCAAAATTGCAAGCTTATTGCTAGACTACCGGATGAAGCTTTTCATGGCACCTTCCGATCGGTTATCCGATCATGTGTTTATTCACTAGTCCGAATCGCCCAATGGCGTCCACTTGCCAGCTTCCACGTCTTGTCGAATCCTCTCTCGTACCTCGGGGTCCATGCTGAAGATTTCTGCTGTGTCCAGCCAGTCCGCTTCGTCTGGAGTGTTCACCCGCCCGAAGGCGCCATTCTGCCAGGGATACCTCCCGTACAAGTCGAGTGGTGGTTTATGTACATCCAGGAGACACGATATCCAGAAGGCCCCTGGCACAACACCACACGGACTCTTAGGCCCACCCTCTTTCAGCATGTTCGGGAACCCATGGAGGTGCCATCTCTTGTCCGGCTGGTCACGGTATGGATCCCGAGTGTTGGTCGCGCGCTCGACAAGCTGACGGGTCTCGTCGGTGAAGGAAACGCCCTGAGTTGCCATCTTCTCATGGTGCCAGAGAGGTGCATTGAACCAGAGGCGCACGAACACAAAGAATTCAAGAGACACCGAATCTTTCCACCGGTTCCAGCCCGCCGGGTGCAGCTGCGATGGGAGTGTCTGCAACTGCTGGAGGAACTTGATGGAGATTTCACCAAAGTAAGCATACGTCCAGCGAACATCCACACCCTTCAGCAATGTTCGGGGGGCTTGGTCGAATACCAACAGCAGTCCTAGAGCTTGCGTTGGAAAGTCCGGATCCTCGGGCGGAGGAAGAAAAGCGAACAGGTCAGGGACATGGTCGAGTCCAAGCAAACTCAGTGCCTTGAGAGCTGGCCATGTTTTCTGTTTGATAGTTGCAGTATCCGCGCGGCGCCTAAAGAGACTGGCTGCAATAGCTTCGGCAAACTCGATAGGGTCCGTCCTTGAAAATGGAATCCACTCGTCGACCAAGAATCTGAAGAGCTCCGGCGTGAGCAAAGTCCTAAGATCTGCGGTCATCTTGTGACGCTTGGGATTGTATACCAAATACAGGACAGTTGGTTCCAAGTATGATATCGCTAAATCCTGTTGTGAAACCGATTGCTTCTGCCATGGAGCATGCTACGGGGTACATGAGTCACCGGCTCGATAAGCAATGGTTTATTCCGATCGGACATGAATGTGGGTACAGTTCCGGTGACCTGATTAGGCAGGTATACCGTACTGCTTGGGACGCGGCCAGAAAAGGCCAGAGTATTCAAAGCGAACGCCTTTTTCGCAGTTTTCGCTCAATACTGTTTTATTTCAGTTTCCATTATCGATACCAGATGACTTTTCTCCTTTGATATGCTCTCAAAATAATTTGTTTCTCACCCAGTCGCTCAGGAACTCTGAATAGTCCAACAAATTGTCTCACATGTAACATGATCCAGGATTGCGTTAACGCACGAGCTTGTTGCTGTTGCTAAGCTATCGAAGGAAGCTTTTCAAGATAGATCACCGTCGATTATTTGGTCACTATAATCATTCGCTAAGGCCCATTCCACCCAATGGCGTCCATTTAACTTGCATCGTCGCTCTATTCTGAATGCCTTCTGCCAACACCAACAAGGGGCATGTAATCAACTGACATTCCGGTGCTAGCCATGCCTTTGCTTCACCTCAGTTGCCTCCGTCTTCTTGGACGTGATCATGAGCCGCCAAAGGCTGCGGACAAGTGACCTTCCCTTATTTCCGAGTCAACCGAATCCAACATTACACAATGCATGCGTCTAATACTCTTGATCGAGACCTCCTGACAAACCCGATATACCGTATACATCGTCTTTTCCTGGGAACCCCATCCAGGGGTTAAGTTCGGCTCCATTGTCGTCAAAGCCCTCAAGACCATGTGGTGTCGTAGTCTCTTCAGTAACGCCATCAAGCGACATACGATCGTCAAGCGCAGGAACATCTCCAGTGGGGTCTGCCAATATACCCTGAGCTCTATGACCTGATTCTTCTCGCTGTGAACTGCTGAATGTTGGAGTCGGGACGGGCACGGCAATCTGGTCGCTGTCGTCTACGAAATCAGACTGCAGGAGGAGGCTTTGTACGGATAGCCTTTGTCGCGAAGTGGCATATTGTGACAGTCTTGCTGGTGGGCGCATCTCCGGGGGGTCAGGTTCCCTAAAAGTCGCCTTGTGCTGCAAAGCCAGACGATCCGTGTATCCACCGATGATTCTCTCCAACTTGTTCCGCTCGTAAGAGTTAGCTTTTGCCCAGACCACGGAGAGGGATTGACACCTACCAAAGCCTTCGTAGCAGCGGAATGATTGAAGAAGTGTGTAACGAAATCAAGACACAGCCGTGCCTTTCTGATTGCAGTGTCCATCAGTGGCCGATTGGACGACACGCTCGCAAGGAACAGAACTATACGAGCAGCCTCGAAAGCACAAACGGCGATGTCACGTTCCAAAATTGAAGAGCGACCGCAGTTATTCCAGAAATCCGTCACAATCTGAATGTTGTTCTCTGCGTGCTCAAGGCAGCGCTGCTGCATCATTTGTCTGTTCGCAAGGGGAACACCAGCGAGCACAGGCGACGGAGCGGCTTCGCTATAGCCACTGAGGAACTGCCTATACATATCACAAAAGCACTGGTTCCACGACAGGTGCAGCATCATGAATTGCGCTTGCAGCTTGCAGTGGACCAGATTGAAAACAGAGTATTGCTCTGGCTGGCTAAGTCCTGCGTGCAAGCATTTCAGTTGTTGCTCGAAACGTTGAATAGATGCACCTATCGAGGCGGGCTGTAGTTCTTGTAGGCCTACCTGGCGAATGAATCTAGACATGATCAATACTCGGCTTCAAAGTCGGGTTTTCAAGAGCCATACCGCATGACCTCTCTCCTTAACGATACGAGTCGCAAGAAGATCCCACGCAAACCGATAGTCGCTGGGACTTCCAGAGGATCTTGTCTTAGTGTGCCGGTTCGGCACTGCTGTCCCGCTTCGAACAGTTCCTCACTGCATGGGAGCTGAAGATGTATCGTTTCCTGTGGACACAGCTCAAACTCCCGGAGGCCGACGCAGAAGAAGTCGTCGAGGAGGAAGAGTGACCAGAATAGACGTCGGCGGGCTTCTTGGGCCAGTGGAGGCAGCTCCGACCTCTCAAAGTTCAAGCGTAGACCAAGAGCTGATCTGGCTGCCAGTGCAGCAAGCATAAAGGACGTAGGAAAATCGCCACTCTCTATTCGATACCTTACTATGAGCAACAGAGCTTGCAGTCGGAATATTGACGGTTGTCCGATATGCTGAAGTATAGATTGCTCGGCCTGTTGGATCCAGATGTCATGACATAAGTTGGTGCGCCGCAGGAGTAATGATGTGATGGCACAAATGGAAAGCTTCAGGGGAGTATCGATGGTTCTATCCTGACACCGCTGCACGACGGTTGCCTTGTGCAAGAAGGCATACGATGGCAGAGGAGACAGGTGCCGGAAATAATCCTCGACGAGCTCAGTCAAGGTTTCGTCGTCGAGGGCAGCCTCCCCGGTTGAGCCAGTGACTTCCAAGTCGGACTGGCCCTCCTGATCTGTGGACAGCGTGGTGTAACTGTCGCCGCCATGATTTGACCCGGCGGTTGGGACTTTCCTCCTGGGCTCCGGGTACGTACACGCGAGACCCTTTTTGAGGCAGTTTGAACACTCAGGCAGCTCTCCTAAACATCTGATCTTTTTGCCACGACAACTCAGACAGGCCTGCATTCGGCGGCGGCGTTCTGGAAGCTTTGCGGCATACTGTGCCGAGGGCTGCCCGGGGGATTGCTGGAAAGAGCACTCAAACTCGAGCCGCTCGCAGTTCTGACAGACCTGCTGGCGGCCGTCACACTTGACCTTCCTTACACGACACTGCAGACATGTTTGTTTCTTGGAGACATCTGACGTGTTAGTAGATGAGGGAGTTGTGGATGGTGTTGAGGCTGTCGTGTTGGTGGTGACAGCTTCAATGCGTTGATGTAGACTCTGAACTCTGTTGGTATCCTCCACTGGACGGAGTGGCCTTAAGATGTTGTCCATTGCACAAAACGCGACATGGACATTTCTTAATCTCTCGGAGGGCTCTGTTTAACCAGGCTCAGTTGTCCATAAAGTCCAATCATGATCATTTAAGACCGGCAGCCGACTTGTCCGAGTGACTTGACGCCATTTGACGACATCCCAGCCACGCTAATGAGCGAGCGCAGATCGCTGAAATCCTTAACAAGCGGGGCTTGGGGGGCTCTGGTGTGGATGGATGGATGGAAGCGATGTTGTGGCAGGTCTGGAATCAAATCATTGTATGTAACGGCCTTCTGTCATGGCAGCTGTGGCATCCAAATGTCGGGCATAGGCACGGGCTTGTTTCTTCTGTCTCAGCGAACAGGTCATGCTAGGTTAAAAAGTAAAGAAACCACGTGCACTTTCCTTCGATACAGAAAGGGCATCATCGCTGTTGAGCAACTCTTCGGTCGACCCGCTGTAACTTACTGGGATCCAGGTTTGCGCCATCACTAGAGCGAATTGCACAATCACACAATTTCAATCGCGTATTGCATGCTCAGAGCTGCGGGAACAGCTTGCCGTCTGGGGAAGGGGGAGACGAAGGGGGAGACGAAGGGGGAGACACGGTCAGGACGTCTATCTGGGTTGTAGATTGTAGATTGTAGATTGTGGAATGTAGACCGACCACCGACTACCGAGCTGTGGGCCATTGTCAGCCAAGTGGGCACATACATGCTCCAAAGGTTCACCAAGGGTACCACATACTGTATGTAATTGATTGATTCCTAACCTAGTCGAGTTGTCCTTCGCCAAATCACTATTAGATAAGCCCGGAATTATTAAACTCGTTGAATGGTCCAAATAGAATGCTAGCGGTACCATATGTGATGGAATGGAATGGTTGATCGCTACTAACCTAGACTATGGACGTTATGTAGTAACCTAACCTAAAGAAAGCTCGTATACACTGGCTATCAGATTGATATGCGGTGGCTTCCCAATGGGCGCCGAGCCCGCCTACAGCACATAGTCCGCTAAGTGGCATAGGCCTGGAAATACTAGTAGGACAGCAGGGGGGGCGGCCCCTAACGTTAGTTGCTCCAATCTCATTCGCCTGCCGACTTGCTGGGTTCCTCTCCAACTGCGTCGTCGCCCTGGTTCGATTATGACCGACCATCCTTCAGGGTAACCCTGTTGTGTAGCATCACTGATATAAAATGACCTGAACTGTGAACTGGCTATTCTGCTGTTTCGGAAACCCCTTTGAAGACCTTTTCTCTCAGACCCAGGCTCTCCATTTGTGCCATTGCGGTTGCTTCTAGGCATTTCCGCACAACGGCCATAGCACCTTTGAAGTCTCTCCTGCCGTACTGTTGGCGTCCATTTCCACGCAGCACTCCGTTCACCATGGGGAAGGCTCTAGGCAATTTCAGGGCCATCTATCTGGTAGCCCTGTGCTGCACTGGCTCATTCCTCTTCGCCTACGACACTGGCGTCATCGGTGGTGTTCTAAGTTTTGCATCCTTTCAAAAAGATTTCCAATATACTACAGCCCAGAAAACATCAGTGGCGTCCAATGCGACGAGTCTGTTACAAGCAGGAGGTACGTATATTTGCACAAAGACCGTTGTTCAGGTGCCTGACAAGAGTAGCCTTTTTCTCGTGCTTCTTCATTTGGCCCTTCACTGCACGCTTTGGTCGGCGCTGGTCTCTCGTGCTCGCCTCGGTCATCTTCAACATTGGCGGTATCATTCAGGTTATCAATACTCACTCTCTGGGTGCCTTTTATGCTGCGCGAGTGATCAGTGGCATCGGAGTGGGGATGGCGACCGTCATCGTCCCTATGTACAGCGCAGAAATGGCACCCAAAAACATTCGCGGGTCACTCGGCTCCATGTTCCAATTCTTCTTCACGCTGGGAGTCATGACCTCATATTGGATTGATTACGTGAGTATTCCAGTAGAGTTTCTGCTCATTTTGCGCGTGGTGTTGAGGGTGGCAGCCAAAGTCGACTCCCCTCTTGCTAAAACCGCAACTAATGTGGAGTTTGCAGGGTGTATCGATACATATGGGAACTACGACATCCCAATGGCAGATCCCAATAGGGCTTCAGTTACTTCCTGGCGGGATCCTTGGGCTCGGCATGTTGCTCACCAAGGAGAGCACTCGTTGGTTAGCGAAGAAGGGGAGAACCGATGAGGCTCTGAAGTCTTTGATCTGGGTGCGCGGTGGCGAAAACAGTGTCGAGGTTCAAGAAGAGTATGGTTACTGGTCTCTCCGCTGCCGCCGAAACGTGCTGACCACTGCAGATTCGCGGAAATCATGGCTGGCATACACGAAGAGGAAAGAGTCACGGAAGGGTTCACCTGGAAAGAGGCTCTCCTGCCGGCAAACCGTTATCGCTTCATAATTGTGGTTACACTACAAATTGGTACGTGTTGCTCTGGACCCTCCTATTTGTTCCATACGTCATTGACCAGATTTCAGGTGTACAACTTACCGGGAATACGTCGTTAGCTTATTGTAAGGCCTCCTGCTCAGCTTGAGAGAATAGTACTCACAAAGCCGACAGACGCTCCACAAATCTTCACTGCTATTGGTGCAGGAAGCCAAAGCCTCTTCATTAGCGGCTTCTTTGGTGTTGTCAAGGTTGTTTCCTGTCTTTTCTTCCTGCTCTTTCTTGTGGAGCGCATTGGCCGCCGCGGCTCTCTGTTTGGCGGTGCTTTTCTCATGGGAGTATATATGCTTATCATCGCGTTGTTAACGGCCACGCACCCTCCAGTGGCTGGTCAGGGGTTTACCAGTACTGGAGCCGCCGCTGTTACTATGGTCTATCTTGAAGCAAGTAAGTGTAGTCCCTACCGGCTGACTGCCCAGAAATTGTGCTAAGCCTTGCTCAGTGACCTATAACATATCGTGGGGGCCTGTCTCGTGGCTTTACATGGGCGAGATCTTCCCAACACGGCTACGTGAGGCTGGCATAGCAGTGGGTACTGCAACGCAGTGGCTTTTCAATTTTGTCTTTTCCCAAGTTACTCCATATGCGATCAATAACATAGGATGGCGAACATTCCTCATGTTCTGCATCTTCAACTGGGCGTTAGCGGTATATGCTTGGTTCTTTATCAAGGAGGTATGTTCACTTGGCCCATATATAAAATACGATACTCATAATAGCTGCAGACCAAGGGCAGATCCCTTGAGGAGATGGAAGAGTGTAAGTTCTGGACCCATCTGATCAAATCTTATATCTGACAAATTTGCGAAGTATTCGGATCGAGTCAGACGGCTATTGATGTTGAGGCGGTTCACCGCAAAGCCCGTGAACAAGCGGAAATAGAACAATCTGTGGGCGAAAAATGATGCCAACTTGCTAAGCCCTCGGCAAATATTAATTGAAATAGCAGCCGGAGTCTTCATCCGTCGTCGGTGGCATGTCATATGCCGCTTGCATGAACGCCAGGTTAGATGTATATACTTCCGTTCACTTACCTCAAAAGGTTTGGCTCTTCTTTCTCCGTATATATATTACAAAAGATCAGCCATAAGACGGGGTTAGGCTGCTGCCGCCCTTTGGCAAGTTTGATCCCCCTCCAACCGGCGCATATAAAGTTGTTGCTACACATGCAAGTAAGCGGGATATGTTCCATCAAACCCGTAAAGGGGCTTTATTTATGCTACATAGTTTTATTCTTGGAACATTTGTTCCAGCTCTGCTGTCATCTCGACCAAACTAACCCGTCGAGGCTTGTTTCTCGTCCGATTCTTTCAATGCCGTACTACTCCAGTCCTGCCGGCTTACCATTGAGATAAATCATTTCTTGTCGCCCAGCGGCTGATGAGGCATAATACAGATCCTGTGAACAATTAAGAACTTGTTCCTAGCACGGATTCATCTCGGCAGTTAGATGGTCTTGATTTTGAGGCTGTGGCTGTAAGATTATCAACGCTACTGATGCGCGAGCCTCAGTTTCATCGCTTGTCCACATAGAGCTCAATTGTCAAGGCGATAGGTTCGGAACATCGGAGTACCAGATCTTGTGCCGTATCAACGAAACAAATTGCAAGCGACGAAAGCGGTCGCTTGACTCTTTGAGAAAGGGTCCCTGTGATTGAAGGGTTAATGTGTGATTTCTTTGTGCTCTTTGTTATCCCGCCTCGGCCCGGACGTCACTATCAACGTACAAGTATGGTGATGGTTCCGAGTTTACGAATTAGCAAATTGTACCTTTAAACATCCCGGGCCTGATACAAGCTTATCGAGCACCTCATATCTACAAACGATCCGGTACTGCCTTCATACCATAAACACTGCCTGCAGGGGCTTCGAGACACGAGCAGCCAATCCGCACCCATGGGTTACTCAATTCTCATGCATACCCTATTACGCAGAGACGACAGCCAGCAAACAGGGCCATCAGCAGCTGTTTGGGTACCCATAGTGCTTGTCATTGTGTGCCTCGTGGCGTTCTCTGTTTGGAGATGCCGACAGAGAGACAGAAAGGCACTCCGTAATGAGGCACAGTCGGGCATTTAGTCAAATAATGTGATGGATATAACACCAGTCATCGGCCTGGGAGCTGAGGACACACCCGTGGTCATCAACAGGCGGGACATGGCGCCTTGAACGTCCAATTAAAACGGGATTTTTAAATAGAATAGTAGCGTTCGCCCAATCCATAACGGCTAAATGACATTTGTGTCTGTCTGGTCTCCATGGGATCTCAAGCTACTTTGACAAAGACACAATGCTACTGATCTTCATGACCAAAACTCTACTTTTACATTACCAAGGTCAGGCATGCAAGCCATGATTATGTAGAAGAGATCGGCTTGCCTTGCATCGTCTGCGTGAAGACCTGAAGAGCTAATTCCGGCTCTGAATGCTAGTTAGTCGCGACCAGTATCAAAACTATGTCAGCACTTACGGTAGAATGGGACTTCATGACCAGCTTCGTAGACCTTGAGAAAGCTGAGGTTATCCACAGTCTTGAATTGCCCCAGTTCGGTCCCGTTTACAGTGTATGGAAGCAAGTCTTGAGCTGCGAACTGTTCCCGGCCAGAATAGTCCACAGCATTCGCCACCCCAAAGTTTCCAACCCAGTTGCAGATATAATCTGCATCGCCGGCCCAGGTAAGGACCCTAACACCGCTCTGTACGACTTCTGAAAGCCTTTCGAGGAACGAGCGCGCATCTGCCGTCGGGTCAGTCCCTGTGCCCAAGATATCCAGGCTTCAACTCTACATACCATCCCCTGTCAGCGAGAAACCCACACCCGGCTTCGCAGGACACTCTTTAAATGTTGTCGCAGCACCAATGGCTTTCCTGACATCTGCGCGCGCAAGGTAGGAGGCATAGGTCTCGGGTGGGTTAGGGTCACGGGAGCCCGACCGAATATCATAAGGATCGAAATCAGCGCTGTTGTAAATCACGTTATCAATGCGGCTTGCGCAGGCTGTGTCCGCGGCGACGCAGGCGGCGTTCGTGCCAGTAGCCGAACATTTTTGTATTGCAGGTAAGCAAGTCACGTTATACGTGCTGTAGAGCTTCTCGGCGGTGGCCTCGTCGATGAGCGAGCGATAGGAGTTGTTCGCGGCGAAGTCGATCGCGGCCTTCTCCTGGATTGTCAGATTGTACCAGCCGTTGTTGATCCCCAGAGCAACAAGATTGATCTTGTCTCCCTCGACCGTGCCGTTTTCGATGCCGCTGTTCTGCTGCTCAATATAGTGTGAGAATTCTGGTCCGTAATGCCCCCCATATGATTCGGTGAAAATGCCAAAGTCACGATTCTCATATTGCGGGAACTGTACTAAGAACACCTGGATCAGGTTCCATACGAACGGGGCAGCAGTCTCAGTCGATACGACGGTGTCGTTTCCGTAAGAGAAGCCAACGCCGATCGGTTGATCGACATAGAGCATGTTAGCGTACTCGTTGAAGCTGTATGGGTTTATGGAAGGCTCTGTCTCGTTGTCGACAAAGCGGCACGGACCGTTCTCCTGGAACAGTCCGATCATGGAGCTGCATCCAGGACCGCCATTGAACCAGGTGGCAAGAGGAGCTGTACTCGGGCTATTGCGAGCTTCGAAGAACCTATGCAAATCAGACCAGTTCTGCATGTATATTAGAAGAGATGTACCAAAACCACATATTCATGTCTTCTCCGACTGTCAGATACCCCGAGTATTGATTGACTTCTGGGGTTGTCTCGCAGATTCCGGAATTATTGACATACGACAACTTCATGCCGGTCGCAGCATGCTCGAGGACATTATATGCGACTTCGTTGCGAACCTCAACGTATCGCTTGTCCACCTGGGGGCTGGCTGAAGCCGCTATAGAGATTCGGGAGAAAAGTATAACTGCCGAGCCAGCTATGCTCTTGAGCGAAGGCATCGTCGCAACGACACAGTGACGCGAGGTAAGATTTCTGCGATGTTGGAGAATGGCGCAATGGCTGACCCATGGTCAGTCAGTCAGGGCGCCAAGAAACGCGCTATAGTGTGCTTTATATACCTGTTCTAGAGGGGGAACTCAAGTCCAGGCGCGGAATCGCCTGCAGGGGACGCAGGGGTGCAAATCAGTCTATAAATGTACTCACATTAACATTCCGAGTTCTCCAATAGGGCCCCCGACATTCCCTTCTCGTCGCGTTTTGTGGTCACCTTAAAATAAGAAGGCAACATTGTTACATGTGAACAGAGAGTATTGGATTGCCGCATTTGCGGTTTAGGCTGGTTGTATCAGGCACGTCGACTATTGCACACCCGCCCGTACCATTGCATCGCTTATCCGTATGACTCCCTGATGTGGTTGCCACTTCCGTCTCGGTGGCCTGCCGGCAATACCATGCTCAATCTGCAGCTCGGCAAAGCTTGTTTTACAGTTACACATCGCGCCGGAAACAAGGCATATTGTGAGTGAATGCAGCCAAGACGATCGTGTACAGGTGCTCAAAGCATGCGGCAATAGAGATGACTGGGTATGTTTCCGGACATGGCAGGCAGGGATGTATTATATTAGATTGTGGACAGCGTATGTTGCCTAAATACAATATCAACACGCCAAGATGGCGTGCTCTGTGCGCTGTATTACTGCAGTCTCGAGTGCCTCGCTCAGCTCTACTTTTAACTTCGGACAGCACCGTTTTCCACTCCCGACAAACCTTTCCACTCAGGTAAAAGGGGGAGCGAGGCACGCTCGCCATCCGGGCGACCACAGTAGGCCATGAATCTGCGCCCCCGCCTCCCGTAACAGGATCGTACACCATGATTTACAATTCCCTGTCGGCAGCTTTGAATGAACAAAAGTATTGCTCAAGTGTCATTGACATTCAAACTTGTGATCTATAATCGCATAGAACTCCTGCCCAATGCAGTACAAACATATTCGTCTCGTCTTAACACCATTTCACTCCATGCTGATGCACCAAACCCAGTCCCGTGCCTATGTTACACTTGAAAAGCATAATTCCTAACACCATTTAATCCACCGCCCCTCTTTCCGACCGCCTATGTGAAAAGCCGACTGATATTTAGGACTGGCCAGGCCAAGACGATATGATTGGGAGAGATTCCAGAGAAGCCTGATCCTCAGTTAGGTGTAGAGGCCACCGCCCGATGCTAAGAACTCCCTTCAGTGACTACAGGCTGAGGTATTATCAAACACACTCCCGGTTCTGCAGTCTCAACGGACTGGTCCTCGGCAGCCTCCCCCGTCACACTGTTCACATCAACATCGGAAGTGTGAGGATCGCTAGTTTCCAGTTCGTTTAGCTCGCTAGTCTGGACAGGAGAGGTGTTCGAGGCGTCTTCCGCTACTCCAGAACGATACATGTCCACATTGGTGTCCACTCTTTGGTTGTGTTGTGTAGCCGAGGGAGTTATGAAAGCTCGAGTGACCGGCTGGCGCAGAGTCGTGGTATCGGTTGAAGGGGGAGATTTGGAGAAGCTGAACGCATTGGGTGCGTTTGATGAGACTAGATACGGGACGGACAGTGGGCCGGTTTTCATATGGTCGTTCGGGGGCCACTTGATTTTCATTTTCGGCTTCGCGCGTGATCTCATTGACACTATCTCGAGGCGTTCTTCTTCGTCAGTCTCGTCATCCGTCACCTCCAAAGCGGCGTAAGAGTGCCTCCGATGCGCCGGTGCCGGGTGCAGGTTACTACCGCTGGACCGTCTGTGTCGACGCTTCATCTTTTCCTTGGACGTCATCAAACTCGCTACTGGCGAATCCATGGCGTCCAGAGGCTGATGACTACCTCCAACAGGTTTAATAGCAGTGCCGGTAACCATGCGTCTCAGATCGGCTTGACTCTTACTAAACACCACATGTGCCTTCAGCGCATGGACGGCTCGGTCGAGGGCGAGCTCGATAGCACATCGGTCTCGTACTCTTGAAAGCTTAGGCCATGTAGCTCGCTCACCCGATAGACATGAACGGTGCATGAAGTCGGTGGTTGGATTGCTCAGGATTTTGGGAAGGTCGAGGATGCCCATAGCCGGCAGAATGTTGATATCGCCCGAGTATTTTTGATTGAGAACCGAACGCAGCTTGGTTACGAGATTTGGGAATATGCCAAAATCAGCCATAACCTGCATTCTATGCAATGCCTCATCCTTTGCCAGCTGTGCTAGCATGTAAATCCAGCCAGACTCGCCCCTAGACGTCTGGCTTTGTGCTGCTGGAGTTGCAAATGGGGCATCATCTTTGGCTAGGAATGGAACCACATGAGGATTCACCTGGGATACGATGAAGTGGTTGACGTTGAACATTTCTGCGAGCCTCGTCATGGGGAGATCATTGTCGACGGAGCCATCTATCCACATCTGGGGAGTTGGATTCCAAGGGCTATGCTCTCCGGTGACGGGGTCTTTGACCAGCAGAGGCGCGGCGCTAAAGACTAGAGGCACCGAACATGAGGCAGCTACGGCGGACCAAATCATGACATTCGGCGAGGTGACGTAGTTGAGCAGTCTTGGGAGTTCGTAGATGGAAGCAGAGGAGACGCAAATATTGCAGATCCTCCGGGTACGATTGTAGGCTTCCTGAAACGTGATGTCGCCAAGAAGATTGCGCATGACCCTGGTCAGATGCTTAATGTCGGACCAGTTTCCCTCGGTGAAAAGCCTGCGCAAATGGTCCATGAGCCCGTCTTCATTCCCCTGTTCCTCAAAGACTGCCAAGTCTCCATACGGAAACTCTTCCAAGTGCTGAGGAATCTCGTCATCCGTCCTGGAGCAGACAACGGAGCAGACGATAGAACCGGCAGAAGCGCCTGAGATGATGCGCGGGAGAAGATTGACCTCAAAGAGGGCCTTGAGCACGCCGATGTGGGTCATGCCGAAGGTGCCGCCGCCGCTTAGAAGGAGTGCACTCCGGCCGAAACTCTGGCGAGCATAAAGCATGCCATCCAACAGATCCTTGGGCTCCAGGCCTTGGGGAAGGGGCTGGGAGCTCTGCTCGACGAGAGCGTTGATGGTCTGAAGGGCCGAGTCGACATAGCGCTCAATGAGCTTCTTGGTTCCACAATGCGAATGGCGGTATAAGTCAATGTTGCCCATACCACCCAGGTCCCTGGCCAGAGCAGTGCGCACGAGGTGCATCATGGTCTTTGTATCGCAGTTTATGCGTGCTTGGTCGAGGGCTTTCAGACGATCTTCGATGAGGGCGGGACTGTAGTCGCCTGCTGAACTGTCCTTCTTCCATTCCTCGTTGCCCTCTAGCACATCTAGTTCATGAGCAGCCTTGTCCCATTGTCGCCAGGTCTCGGCATGCTGCAGCCTAGCCAGCAGCACCTGCCTTCGCTCGTCCAAGAGAGCTGCTGCATTCTTGTCCGACTGCGATAGCCCACCTTTCAGCGAGCGGACCGACGTCTTGGCGCTCTTCAAAGCTTGGGATAAGGCCTCGACTGTGGTACTGTCATGCTGCTTGGATTTTCTGGCTGGCAGGGTTTTTGAGGCGGCATCATTGGTAAGCGGTGGGCTCAGCCGCACAGCGGGTATGATGAGTTGCGCCATGGCAGCTGTCGAAGGTATACTGGCGTGTATTGGGAGGCAAGAGTGGCATTCTGATTATAGGCTATTGGGTAGGTGCGGGTTCGACGGCTGCAAGTGAATGTCTGCGTAGGAAATGGAGGGGCCCACGAAAGCAACGACGACGTGACCAGGGTAGCGAGGACACGGGAGGGAGGGCTTGGTATGAAATAAACGTTTTCACGATAGCAAGCACGCAGCGCTGGCCGGTTCCGCTTGTGTAGGTAGTAGGTATGTAAGGACTGTGAACGGTCCCTTGCTAAACAAACTCCGAGTAGCAAAACACTGCACAGAAAGAGCGCTGCAGAGTCAAAAGGCAAGGGCGGCGATATCCATGACCTTTGAAGCTCAAGATTGCGACATGAAGGGTGAACCCCCTCGACAGAGAAGTTGCAATGGCAGACGGATTTGAAGAGACGTCAGAGCGGTCACGTCCCCAACTATTGACATGAGGTCAGAAGCAGCTACTGTAAGCAATAATAAGGGACCTCGGGAACATGTAAGTAATTCATCAAACATGCAGGCAGAAACAGGGCTTGGGCCACTTAAAAACAATCAAAACCCCAACCACACCCCACGTGCCAGTGATCAGCCCCCGGCATCTGACCCCCCCAAGCGTTCTCAGCTAGCCCCAGCAGCTGCCCGGCAGCCCAGATGCAGGGGACCCTCAGGCTCTCAGCTACTTTTTAGTCAAATTTGGCCGTCTCAAGCGGGTTGAACACCGCCCAATCAAAGTCCAGGTGATAGCACCCATTACGCTTCACCATGACATGAAGTGAACTTGCAACGCACAAATAAGTAATCCGTACTCGTGATAGTCTTGTGTCTTCTAAATAAGCCGACCAGCCACCTACTGGCTCTATTTGGCATTTGTTTATCTATTTACTTGGCTTATCATGTCATGTTATGTTATGTACTCGCCAACAGCCCCGACTACGGCAGCACGCCACTAAAGTCAGTAATGGGGGCAGGGATTTGGTGCAGCGAACAGCACAGCCCCGAGGTCACCTGGCAGACCTGCAGAACCTGGTATCGTGGGGTGCATATTAGTTCGCTAACCTAGTGTACTTTTGCATGGGTGGAAAGCCCTCACGCAGCAAGCATGTGAACGTTGGACCCAGCTAACCTGGCACTTTATAGATGTATTCAGTCAGATCTATGTGCGTTATGAAGTTACGACTACATGGCCCTGTCTGTCTGTCTGTTTGTTTGTCTATCTTGGTCACCTTGGTTGTGTTTTTGCCCCCAACCCCTCTTTGCAATTAGTATTCAAAGTCTTATTCCACAACATGCCCCATGATATCGTACCAAATTAGAAAGTCTATGGTTTTCTAGCCATCCTATAGCTTCTGATCTGCACATGGATGTGAGAGCTCTCATATACATTAGGTTTACTTGTAGCTTCCACGTAAGCTTGATTCGTTCTCGTGAGCCATCAAACCAGGACGACAAGCCCCCAAGTCCGGCCTCACTTAATCGTCGGGCCACTCGAACGACTGAGCTGTAGACCCAAGCAGCTCGGATCCATAGCCACTGACTGCAGCTCGGAGCCGGGAAACAACCCCTTCTTCTGCCCAGAAATGGCCGGCTCCAGCTACCTCGATATCATGAAAGAGGGATCCATCCTGTGCCTTGAGCCTAGTCGTCCATTCCCGAAGCTTACGAGGCATCAGAAACCCGTCCTGGTCGCCATATATGGCCAGCGTCGGATTATGCACAAGCTTGAGGTCGTGGGGTTCGACCCTGGTATCAGCAGCCCCGTCTTGGGGGGGACTCGATGCGCCATGTCCGCTCCTTCCGCCCTTCTTGTGCCAACTGGCGAATGGACTCGGAAAGGACATGGTGGCCAAGTTGGTCAGATAGCCGATCGGCGGAGAGACCAGCAAGTAGGCACTACGGTAGGGCTCCAGGTCGTCGACCCGGACCATGCATTCCTCTTGGTGTATGTGCTCCTCGGCCTGCTCGTCATGTTTGTGCCCATGCTTCCGCTGTACCCGCTTGGTCCTCGCCAGTAGATCCTTGACCCCCCTGCGTATCTTGTCTTCGTGGTCCGGGGAATGTGTTCTTGTGAAATCATGGCTCCTGCGCGAGACATCCTCGTCTCCGCCGACTCGCAGTCCCATGGATCTTCGTGGGGATGCAGGGCCAGTGGCCAGTCTGGTCTGCTGCTCGGCAAGATGCTGTGCTCGTAGTCGAATATCAGCGGCAGCTGAGTGCAGCGGTGGGCTCTCGAACGGTGCCATGATGTCGTTCAAGGGAGGTAGCTTCGTGGTAACCATTGCGCCGTACGAGTAACCGGCCTGCAATAATATGGGCACGGTCGTCTGGCCCGGGTCGGTTCGTTTAGGAAATTCGATATAATGTGCATAGTAGGCTAGGAAACCAACCACAGACATGTAATCGGCTTGCTCCGGTTTCGAGGTCCATGACGTGCGAGCTCCTGCTGAGGATACACCCCTTCGATTATATCGTCAGCACATCGTATCTGCACGCATGCGCCAGGCTAAGACATATATGTAGAGAGAGAGATATATATAAAGATAGATAGATAGACATATAGATCTATAGATCTATACTTATAGATATGCGGCTAATGCATGGAAAAACAATTACCTGAAGTTGAATGTGGCGACCAGGAATCCCGACCGCAGCAGTATTCCCGCCACCATGTTTACGATGGGATCATCGTAACATCCTCCCAACGGCGCATACGGATGCGCGACAATTGCGATATGCCGACCCCATGGCGGGGCAGCTTGGGACAGGCCGCTGGCGCCGACATGGAAGCTGAGGCTTAAGGGATGGAATACTCGGCAGTCGAGCTTGGTATTGTCATGTATACTTGGTATAGTGAAGCACAGTGAAGGCTTCGGCAGCATTGTGTGGATGCGGCGACATGGTTCGATTGTTGAAGAGGGAAGAAGCGCATTGCTCTGGCGGTGCTGCGCTGAACCTTAGATAAGCTCAAGCCCGTTGCGGCGTGGGTATTGCCAGCGGACTACATACTCCGTATGTACAAAGGCTGTGCTGGGTACTTGACGTCAATGACCCTGGGTTACGTCCATGGTTGCAAAAGCTGCAAGGACACCTAAAGGTTTCCTTGTGCCGAGCAAAGGACGTAGGCAAAATCATACAAACATAGATAGATAGAATGTTTATTACTCGGATTGAGCGTCTTCTAAGCGCTGGTTAACCGAGTTACTCTCTCTCTCTCTCTCTCTCTTTTTATTGCCAACCAAGGTCAACAGATGTAGAGATATATATATGTACTAAATAAAGTACGAGTTCTTACTCGGGGAAGGAAATAAGTGCATCCTTGGTGTCAGTGTCCAAAGCTACCCAAGTCTACCTCAAAAACTTACACGTAAATAAACCCAACCATCTTTGACACGAGCTTTCATCTAAGGTCAAAACAAAGTCTCCATCCAGGCTTTTCATTTTTAGGGTGGGGGATGATTGTGACAGCACCCAAAAATTCCATTCACCACAAAACAATTGCCCGCTGGCGGAATTGAACCGCCGACTTTCGCATGACGCACGTACATTAATGTTACGAGTGCGACGCAATACCACTATGCCAAGCGGGCAGTGGATATCAGCTGTGAAGACCTGATTTGTTGATGAGGCAGAGGTTATTACAACTTAGAATGATAGTATCATGCGAGCTTTTTATTGTCTAAATCACCACTCCTACTTCTCGATATATTTGAGATACAGTATTTTAAAACTAAAACTTAAACAATCCAATTTAATTAGTTATATATTTACCATTTATTTATATTATAGATAAGTCACTTTTAGTAGTGAAGGCTTTCAAAAGGCTTTGTTACTCTGATCACAGAATATTATCCTTTGTTATATAAGTTATCTTGCTTATGTTATAGGAGTGCAAATCAGGAATGTAATAAGAACATTCCATTTACCTTTCATCCTCTAGAGAAACAGAATACTAACAGAGCCCAAGAGAATCTTACCACAGCACTGATCCTATCGGCCGTCATGTCGGACCATGACCCAGATGTTGACAATACTTCAACTCTCAAAAATGAGCCAGACCACAGCAAGATTGTCCGGTGTCCGGAATGTGGGTGTTGGCATTTCCAGAACGGTGATCACAAGTGCGAGCCAGATGATCCGGATAAGAGACACTACGCATAGGGATCAGGGCCATGAACACCATAGGAGGAAAGGACCCTCCCTCATAATCGCACGGTCTTGTTTGTCTTAAGGTGCGTGCATGCCTGTCGACCTTTCATGACAGTATACTCATCATCAAAAGTCCCGACATGGGCGCCGTGCCTGCCTACAAGTGATATTCCAGCGGGTGCTGTTAAGATCGTCTTCTGCAAGCGCGCGCGGCTAGCTATGTACAATTGCAGACCAGACATCAATGCGAATTGCGTTGTTAGCCGAGCTGAGCCATGATCAGCTCATCCTTCCCAGTTGTGTGGAACCCCGTCGACAGTGAAAATGTTGAGGCAGCTGCACTTGTTCAAAGGCAGCAGGGCTAATGGGCGTAGGTTTTACGGAGGTGCTCCGCTGTGGTAATAATAACTTAGCTAACCTAGAGCATGTACGGAATATGCATATTGGTAAGGCTACATTGGCTATGTGCCGGCATCCGCGCAGGTGCGCATCAATGATGGAATAAACGTGTCTTGGCATACGTTGGCGAGATTTGAAGGTTTGTTATTTAGGGTCGCCCCGCTGTAACACCAGCGATCGTCTCCAATGGGTGCTTGTGGCCGGCGTCCAGACTCTTGGCTTTCGAAAGGGGCCCGCAATCACACCTGTCAGGGAGCAGAAACCTGGATATCTTGGCAGGGACATTTGGGCGTGACCCGGTCTAATAAAATGCAATGCTCCCCTGTGCACGCGACCTTTCGTGCCGTTCATCGGGGTCGTGAAAGAGTGCTCGGGATTGAATCATGTCGTTCGTTAACATGGAGAAGACTCCAAAAACATGGGGCTCGCGGCTTTCGTTTCTCCGGACTAAGCGGGCAATAGCTGGCCTCTCTCTTCTTGTTACTGTCGCTATAATACTCATCGGTAAGCCTGGCCAAGACACACATTGCAAGAAGCGACGAGGACTAACTCGAAAGGCACAGCCCTCGGCGCCACCCATAATCTGGGAAATAATTCTTCCTCGGAATCCAAACAATCACAGTCCAACAGCGTCGGCACTAGCTCCAGCACAGCAACAGCAACAGGTCAAGGTGCGTCACAGCTGGTGGCTTCGGCTTCAGCTTCAGCAACTGTCTCGCCCACACAAACTTCAAGCACTTCAACTGGTACCATAATCAGGTTTTTATGTTTAGGACGTATTCATTGGGTTTCGCGCTGACCGGTCGGTTCTAGGCACATCAATACCGACGTCAACCTCTACGAGCCAATATGCTGGTAGCATCGCGGATGGCACTGCTCTCAGGGTCATGTGCCTTGGCGCATCTATAGTAAAGGGTGAAACTTCCCCTGGCACAGTCGGCTTCAGAAAGGTGCTTCGGGACGATCTCGTTGGGTTTGGAGTCGATGTGAACATGGTAGGCTCTGTCCAGTTGGGAAACATGACCGACAACGACCTAGAAGCCTACGGCGGTAACCGAATCACTCAAATCCATGACCACGCCAAGGCCATTGTCCCAAAGACCCTACCGAATGTGTTCGTGATCCAAGTCGGGACGAATAACATCCTCCAGAACTTGGACATCGACAAAGCCGGTGAACAAATGAAGGATTTCATAGACTACCTGGTGGAGACAGCGCCGCGGTCATTTGTCATCTTAAGCACGATTCTTACCAATACTGTTGGCGGGGGTAGTCTGGAGCCTTCTGTGTTGGACATCAATCAACAATACCGAGATCTAATGCCGACTTTCGAGGCAGAGGGCACGCCAGTGGTTCTTGCGGAGCTACACCCAAGCAACGGTGGCGATGATGTCCCGCAAGTCGCAGATATTGGGCCAGACGGCTCGCATCCGCTGGTCAGTGGATACGAGAAGATGGGCCATATTCTTGCTCAAGCCGTCAAGGATGCGGATGCGAAAGACTATATTCAAGTCGCGACCGACAATGGAATACCTGACGACGGAGATGCCGAGAAAGCCGGATCATCACGGAAGCGGAGGCATTGGCATTGAGGGTGCGCGGCATACCATATGGAGAATCGGATATAAACACTCATTCGAATTCGATCACAAACACATATTAATCTAGAATAATACGCAATGAATAAATAATGGAACAGCTACCACTTCATATGTAGTAGTAGTCTTGGTCGTTGTTGTGGAACATGCCGACTTTTTGCGTCCCCTTGGAGAACTTCCCGAAACGGCAGCTGGTGTGTTAGTATATTATGACGTCACACTGTTTCGGCTGATTCGCAATGGGACGCACGAAGTGTTCGTCTATGTACCTGCCAGCGGCTGTCTCCCTTCCTATTTAGCCACAGCTTCAACATCCAAAACAACACTTCACGTCTTAAACTTCAGTTCTTACCAACACAAGCGTTGTTTTTTTTTTCAACATGAGCGAAAATAACCAGCGCGATGTCGCTACCGAATCTAGCAAGGTATCCACAAAGACCCAGACAGATCAAGTCCAAGACAATCAATCGAACGAAGCAACTACGAATCCTGGTCCCGAGCCTGCAGAAGACAGCTCTGCTGGACGCAAGCCGGTACAACTGAAGTCACATTTCAAAGGAATGCCCAAGGACTGGCCCATCAACCGCAGTGGGTAAATGCCCGATGTTTGTTGCTACCACAGCTGCTAACTTCGACGAAGACAAGAGCCAGAATGACAATTAAGTTAGCAAGATTTATCCACGAAAGCATTCAATGGTAGATTCACTTGTGGTTCACAAGTCCGTGGGGGGTGAAACACGTGAGGTGCCACTCCGTCAAACTTTGCACGAGTGGAGGGGAAAATCTAAAAGCCCACGGAGGTCTTTTGTAAATAAAATAAAAGGATGATGGCGTTACTCAGTCGACACGCTAGGAGTTATCTGCTAGCATGGGATCAAACGAGTGTCGTTGAATAAGCAATTCGATTGAATAAAAAGCTAGCACCGAGTATCGTAGAATATATCGAACAACAGACAAGGTGACCGTTCTTTCCCCCTGTGGAATTTGGCGGCGACCGACTTAATATACCTCTTTCAATTTACTGGGCGGGGAGCAACAAAATATATGATGGCGGCTGAGCTGTGCATACTAAGCAACGTGGACATTCAGACATGAACATAAATACCCTATGCACGAGCGGATCAACCATTTGTTTTCGGAGCATGGTATCACGCATTGTAGCTAAGATGAGCAGATTTCAGCCCTCGTACCGTGGTCAAAAGTGTGTGGAAGTCGACTAAAATATCCCAGCTCAAAGCAGCGTTGAAGACTACGTGTTGGCTATCTCTTGTAGCAACCCGTGCTAGTTGTTCTTATCCCTCTCTCAACAGTTTCCTTTCGACACCACTCTTCGTTTTACACGTTCTTATTTGTGCAACTTGCAATACCATATCTCAGCTCTTCACATACCCGACCCAATTTCATCAAATGCAGGAATATCCATCGTCATGCCGGCAGTTATGGTAGACAAGTAGACAGCAGTTTTGGTCGCCATCTGCGCATCATCCTTTATTGTCCCTGCAGCTTGCATCCGCCACTCTTTCGAAGAGTATTGCGGAAATCATAATGACTGCGTCTCTGTTCTCTCCTCTTCAAAGCTCTATTCCCAGGCAGATTTATAGTAAACCAACTACACAATCTGTTTAAAAGCAACCAGAATGGTCTCGGTGCCGGTACTCTGGGTATTGCACTATAGACGGTCTACCAGCTACAAGACGGCCGGAGGTTCTCTAGTATTTTGGGCAGGTCTCCTCCTTGGTTTCTGGTTTTCCAAATGATAGAAAGCATCGAATAGATCTCGCAAGCAGCACTTGATACGCATTAGTGACCAAACAGGGTTGTTCCAGATACACGGTTTGTGTACCGTGCATGAACGTCACATTGGAATATCCCGACAAGGGAGTGTTGGGCCTAAGGTCGGGTTGCTTTCGTAGATGGTGTCACACTGCGGGATACGCCTCACATTGTTGATGACTGGCTTTTATAGACATACGGATCAAGTGTACTTCCAGTTTAATATACCATGCCATCCACAACAATTGCACCGCCGATACTCCAGCTCAAAGAAAGTGGCCTTAGTTCCAAGGAAGCGTGCAACGTTTATTGACCGTACTTTCTTGCCGTGGGACGGCTCTTGTAGTGGCGGTGACATCGGCGTATGCGAAGAGACCAATGTCCCAAAAAGATCAGCAGTAAGTCAAGACGGTCCATGCCTTCAGCCAGTCTTGGGAGCCAACATTACTCCTTCCTTATCAGCACAGTTGGGCCAAAGTCTTGACGGCATCTTAAGTCATGGTTCAACCCATAACGCTTTTGGGAAGTCTCTTCCTCGGTGGCAAAGCGGTATTTCCGAGCCTCACAGGTCCAGAAGTGGTGGCCATTCACATTAACAAGGTACGAGAGGAAGATCGAGTGCGTGATAACCCAAATCCTGCGGTGTCGCAGACATAACTTCTTGATCCTGCTCCGCACTCTCTCAGCTCTAGCCACAGCCCGTTGATGCGTCTCTTTGGCATAGTCCCACTCCTCGTGACACTCGGAGAAGTCGTACATGGGAAACTTCTCCCTCAGTACTGCTGCCGATTGGCCTAGGCTGCTGATGGTATTGTTGGACTCACGTAGATCAGGCCAGATCTGAACCTCTGGTGGGCCCATGAGACTGGTAGTACTTCCGAAGACAATCTGGGCAGTTTGCAATGCCCTCGTCAACGGAGAAATAAGGATCAGATCGGGAAAGTCTGGGGAGCTCGGGGTCAACACAGCCTGCTGGGCGTCGACCAATCCATCTGGTGCTAAGCGAGGATCTCGGTGCGGATAGTGATTGTGTCCATTATGCTCGGCGGTAGCGTGCCTCATCAGAAAGATGTTGCCGCCAGTCTCTTGGCTATTGCTGGGCCCTGCAGAGCAATGCTCCGCTGGATTCAGCCGAGATGCCATTCCTGCCATTCTCTCAGACCTATGGCAGCACTAGCAGTGGCGGATTATTGCGTCTTGTCGTGTGAGTCCCTGGAATAGGTGAGTATGCCACAATTCCGGAACGAAGGCATAGTGTTTATTGAACTAGCAAGCGGAGCCAGGGAAGCAAGCATAGCAATCGTCTGCAAACGCGATTTCCGCTTTCATTGATGCTAGTCGCGCTAGTTGTTTATGGGGAAATGTTGAGATTATGTCGGACTGTCAGGTATTGGAGCGTCGATGTGTCATGTGATCATATTTGACACGTGCATAGTTGCTTTTGCCACGTGAGCGGCTTGAAACTCCTGACCGTTACGCATTTTTGGCACGACGGGACAAGAAAGCGACAAACTACAGACCTCCGTGATGTTGGTCTTAAAATCTTTCGATATGCAACATCCAAACAATTGAGAAACAGTAATCAAGGATCGTGACCCCTCAACGGCTAAGGCCACTGATGTCGACAGAGCTGAAGGAAGCAGCGCCTATTTCTCAATTTTCTCAATCCAATCCAAAAAAAAAAAAAAACCCCCCGGCAAGGAATGATTTGGGTCCTCGCATTGCCAGATTGATTGTGGCATGGATCGAAACCGTCGGAATGACAACCCATACATGTCTCACCTCATATTTAATAAAGCCAAGATATAGCCGTTGAGATTCCTGACACTTCGATCTGCATAATTTGAAGGCGCACACTGCAGTACAGTAGTGTGCCTCTCTGGATAGACCAGAATACCGTTTTAGGAAGTGTGTACTCGGTATAGGGTTAGTCGCGGGACACAGTTGCAACCACGGCGGTTTCACTTCGGACTAATTGGGTCGCGTCGATGTGCTAAGTTAGCTGGTGGGGACTAATATCAGCGTAGGGCTAGGTGCCTCCATGTAGAAGCATACCATATTGTCTCCGCAGGAGGTTATTACTGTTGAAAAACTCAGGCTTTGGACGTGCACAAGCTTGAGTTTATCACTTGCCTGTCGAGATACCTGTACCCATGTTCAACGACAATGCCGTGAGCGGTACCAAGAGGCGACTAATAGGCCTAGAGTCCAGATTCGATGGCAGCAACAGGTCGGTATGTACAGGTGGAGTCGTCGACGTTCTCACCCCGCTTCACAGGCTACCCAATGGAGCCTGAAGGCTGGCACTGAGGATCAAGTTCGACTGGGGGAAGCCGGGGAAGTTGAAACGGGACCAGGGCATAGGGTAACCCGTTTCAACTCGCTCCCTGTCTCTTTGGCAAGATCTACAGTACGGGTTGCTGACTCATGGCAAATGGTAAATGCGGAACGCTCACTGGGTCACTGGGTCAGAAACCTCGGGTTGTCCCATTTCCAGGGCGATACCCGATGCCTCCCCCGTTGAGAATTGCGAGATGTTGCAGTAGTGCAGTCCTAGATGCTGGAAAGTCCTGGAAACAAGCTCTCATCTTCGTAAAACCATCGGGACTGCAAGCGTAGATGTCCAACGCTTTACAGGCACTATGGTAGTGTTTCGTGTCGGCGAAAGGGGCGAAAGGGGTTTGCAAGGCTACCAGCGTGGACCCATTCACGCCAAGGTTCTACTTGTATGCACTTGGTATACCTTCGTTCGTTGGCACTCTCCTCAGCCCAGCGATGCTACATTATTGCGGAGGGGGCGTTCTCCAAATCTCCAAGCCCCCACCATTTTGCATGATCTAGTCGCCGTCTACAATCGGCAAATGAGTAGATCGACGACTTGCAAAGACACATGCAGGTTAGCCTGCTTCGCTATCGGGTGCGTGGCACAAGAATTGGCGCAGCGGCCACTATAGCTCACTTAACAGTGCGTCAATACTTGTGTCGACCACCTCGCTGTTCATTGCCTTCTAGCAGCTAGTTAGATCTATTTATATGTAGTGCAACAGAGGGGCTCCACACGAGTCGCGCAGTATGCTTATGAAGTTAGTATGAAGGGCTGAAGCAGCCTCGAGTATATAGATGCGGGGTGCGCTCTTTCTTCTCTGGTCAATTTTCGCCTTGCACTTGTCTCTAATTGTTTAAGAGTTAAGTTCTGATAACCGGTTCAATATGGGGTTATACACAAAGCTGGCGGAAGATATACAGGAAGTGGATGTAATCATCGCCGGAGGTAGGTACAAAGACTCGTCGGATATGCGTGGTGAATGATAACTTACTGAACATTGATATACAGGAGGGACTGCGGCCTGTGTTGTCGCCGCCAGACTCGCAGAAGCTGATCCTAAACTGGTCATTTTAGTGATCGAGGGTGGCCCAAACAATCACAACGAAGCCAGCGTCGTCAACCCAGCTTTCTTTTTGCAGCATCTGCTACCCACGAGCAAGACTGTCATATTTTATAAGGGAAACAAGTCCGAAAAACTCGCGGGCCGAGAGCCTATTGTTCCTTCCGGCGGAATGCTAGGCGGCGGTTCATCCATTAACTTCATGATGTACACAAGGGCTCAGCGTCCAGACTTTGACTCCTGGGAAACACCTGGTTGGACAGCTGACGATTTGTGGCCTTTTCTCAACAAGGTCGGTGGCACATGATCGTACCTTTAGACTACGAATATTGATTCTTCTTTAGCTTGAAACTTACCATGGCCCTGGCGCCAAGGAACATCACGGCCACGATGGCCCAATTCATGTATCAAACAGTACTTTCCGGGGCGAAAGATCCGAGAACGACTTTCTTGAAGCTGCAAAGCAAGTTGGCTGGCCAGAGATCAAAGACCTCCAAAACCTGGATGCCAACAACGGATTTCAGCGCTGGCTCAAATACGTTTCTCCCGACGGCAAACGCCAAGATACCGCGCACGCGTATTTGCATCCAAAGATACAGGACGATGATTATCCGAATCTCCATGTTATTGTGGAGTCCCAGGTCCATCGTGTGATATTCGAAGAGAAAAGAGCCGTCGGGGTCGAATATCGCCCGAACCCCAACTTCCAGGTCTCCATCGGTTTGACGCAGACACCACTGCGCACTGTCAGGGCAAGAAAGATGGTGATCCTCTCGTGTGGTGCCTGTGGCACACCGCCAGTATTGGAGAGATCTGGTATTGGCAGTTCAAAGATCCTTGAGCGAGCCGGTGTTCCAGTGGTTGAACATCTTCCCGGCGTTGGGCACGATTACCAAGACCACCACTTGGTCCTCCACCCTTACAAAACCAGTCTCGACCCTCATGAGACCATTGACGGTATACTTAGCGGTAGAGCTGACGTGGGTTCCATGGTTGAGAATAATGATCCTATTCTCGGCTGGAATGCCATTGACATTGCGGCGAAATTACGCCCTACGGACAGTGATGTGGCCGCTTTGGGGCCAGAATTCCAAAGTGCATGGGACAAAGACTTCAAAAACTCACCGGTCCGTCCTTTGATATTGATGGGCATCGTATCATGGTCAGTATAGTACCACCGTGCATTCACCTTTTAGTACTAAAGATCTTCAGCTTCCTGGGCGATCCCGCCTCCGTCCCAGTTGGCCAATACATCACGGCCGGAAACTATACCGCATACCCTTATTCTCGAGGACATATGCATATCACTGGTCCCGGACTAGACGACCCTCTGGACTTCGAGACGGGCTTTTTCAGTGACGAGCATGATATCGACCTTAAGAAGCAGATATGGGCCTATAAGAAATCTCGTGAGATTCTGCGACGTATGAAGACCTTCCGAGGCGAGCTCGCAATAGGCCATCCTCGCTTCCCGCAAGGATCGAAGGCTGCATGTGTTGAGACAGATGCACCACTTGAGAATGTCGAAAATGTGGACTACACTCCGGAAGATGACGCGGCTATTGAGCAGTGGTTGCGAGAGAACGTCAACACTACATGGCACTCGCTGGGAACATGCAAGATGGCACCTCGCGAGAAACTAGGCGTGGTAGATGCCAATTTGAGCGTTTATGGGGTCGAAGGTCTGAAGATTGCTGATATGAGCATCCCACCCAAGAACGTGGGCGCTAACACAAACAACACTGCATTAGTCATCGGTGAACGAGCTGCCGACATCTTCATTCGGGACTTGGGCTTGAGAGCATGATTCTATTTATGATCCCACGAGACACCTTGAACTGTTGAAGACTAGGCTATCTTGCGTAGGTCATGTACTTATCGAGTCCCCAACGCTATCCTTTTCAAGTAGCATGCAAATATATTGAATAATTTGACGGTTCGGAATGAATTCCTCCAGCGTCCGACGTCCTTACACGTTCGCTGTCGAGCCGCCATAATAATGAATCTAAAGATGATCAGTACCTCAGCAACCGATGGTGACACTCGCACATACCGTCTCATCCGCACAGCCGTCCGGTGTCTGGTAAGCATAGGCCCCGGTATTGATAAACAGCTGCCCCTCATCTCCACAAACCAGCCAAGCAGCCGTGTTGGGCCTGCTGATGTCATCTACGGTCCATGTGAGTGTGTCGCCCTGGAATGCGAATGTACCATAATCATTCTCTGTGGTTTTGAACCAGGTCTCCAAAGCCCGCTGTGACTTGTTGGTGGGGTTTTCGACACCCATGTACATAAGTTCACCGCCAGTGTAATAAACGAGCTGTCCGTCAATTACATTAAACTGGCCCGCTGCATCTTCGGATCGCAGGTATGCATCGCCGGGTCCAGGCGATGGTGTCGTTGTTGGAGCTGCTTGCAGATATGAGTGAAAGTTCGGAGACTCAACCGCTCTCACCCAATAGTAACCCGAGACCAGTGTCTTTGGAGCAGCTGTAGTTGTCGAGGCCGGTTGACTAGAGTCAGATGTAGTCGTCGTAGCCTTTGTGGTCGTTACGCTTCCACCGGTCGTAGTCACGGCAGTAGTCTGCTGAGTCGTACTTGTCGCCGTGGAAGTAGCAGCACCCGGCACGCACTGGTAGTAATACGGACTGGCATGTCAGTTCCCAGTGGCATGACTAGTGGGAGCCGAGCCACGTTCGTGTGCTCAAACTTACTTGAGACTCGAACAAGCATATCCGCTCACGCACGATGTCGAGCCGGACCAACCTGTTCCCCCACCTAGGTAGCGAAGTCAGCATCGCTTAGTCTGTAGAACGAAGCCCTTACATTGACCCCAAGCTGATTGCTGGGCGTATGCCGCTGTGGCCAGCAGAGAAATTACGCTTGCGATTCTCGGTGACATTGCGAAAACAAAGACCAAATGGCTGTGGACTTGATATACTGTGGGTATTGAAGTGAATTGCTCCCTATTTGAAATCTATATGTCGAAGCCTGGCGCCCCTGCGCGATCCCATGTCAGCGGGAAGATAACCCGTCGGACCGGAAATACCTCATGACAAGAAAAGTAGAATAAAGGAAAGGAATTCGACGTCGTCTTCAAGGACAGACGGTTGACCAGGGATAGACGTGGCGCGCGGTATGAACCTTTGGCGCACCCCATGTTGCATGTCCTTGTCGCCAGTAAGGGTGGTTCGTGAGACATTCGCAACTACCCAAAGATAGCGCGGCATATATTATTTGGGATGCTGTATTGAAGCGATGAAACGCGTAGTCATTCCCGTCGGTTTCCACCAATCCACCGATGTTCCGAAATAGTTCTCGGAGGCCACTCTCCGCCAAGCTAAGCCACGCCCGGTCCGTCCTCCGGAATTTTTGGGTTGCAGGCGTGATAGAAACGGACTCTTGGGCAGCTCGTCCACTTTTGTGACTGCTTGCCGCATAGTGACGTTTGTCCTCGAGGCATTGCTTAATCTTTCGTCGTCGTGTTCATTCCCAGACGGTTAAGTAAAGTGTCCCGTATACCCTTGCGTGAATCAGGGTCGACTTCCTTCGCAACATCCTTTACTGCTTGTAGGACCCGAACGTGCTCTTTTTTCAAACTCTCGAACGACTCGTCCAATTGTTTATGCCATGGATACAAGACGAAAACCTGGAAACCCAACGCCGACGAGGCTACGACGAAGTTGGTCAACGAAACCAAGCGTGTGAGTATCATCTTGCGGGTGTTTGAATGTCAGACGGATGAGGATATGACTGTGTGCGATAAAATACGAAGTGAGCGGTGTCGTAGAGTTGCGCGGCTGATGCAGGGGAAGTTCACAAGTCCTGGCGGGTCATGGAGGCATAAGCCAGAGTTCAGTTCCAATAACTGGTGCCCAAATGTTCGACGGCGCCGAAAGGTAACTTCCCACGCGCTGTAAGCCGGGGATTGAGAGCAGGTTACGGAAATTATGTCAACGTGAAAAGGAGAAGAAAATTCAACAAGTTCCAAGTCGCGTGTGACACCTGAAGTCTTGGGTGCTATGGATCGCCGGACTGACCGTTGCAACTATCCCCACAAGGCTAAATGGGTACGTGACCGGCACCGACGTCGCAAAGGCAATAGACAAGCGCCTCGCGAGTTCGAAAGGACGAATACGGATCCGTAGAGAGACCTGTCATGTGTACGAATCCATAGGAGGGTCGCATTTACTGGCATCTACTAACGCCTTGGATGCTAGGTCACACTAATGGTAGCTGGTATGGGCTGATAATCATGCCATTGACCCCATAAACGACCCGCTTCAAAAAGCTTATATTAATTTGCACGTGGACATCGCCCCGACTGCGCAGCTGTCACATGCATGCATAGCATATAACAATAAGCCGTGGAGTGAAAACGAAAGCTGTGTTGTCCATGAGCAGTTGTGGTGCTCAAAATGTATGGCTACAGACAGACAAAGACCTGGGTTGCTATTGAGAGACTGGCGCCGAGGCTTGGCTTCGTCGCTAATACTCCGCACATAATCAGAGCCCAACGATTTAACAGTTTCCCGATGTGCAAATGCGAGGTGCCTGCTTGACTTGGACTGCGAACAAGATTGAACAATCGATTGTCCGGGATTCACCACCATCTCAGGCACCCTCGAAATCCTCGATCGCACGTTGTAGCAGACACAATTGGGGGAGGTTTACCTGTGCACCATACAAAACCAAAACGCGGCGATGGGTCCAAGAAACACGATTATGACGAGATTTTCGCAAGTCGGAGTATCCATGAGGACGTGCTGTAGTGGGAATATAGTCTGAGATGCTAATAAGCTCGTCCATAGAAGTTTCCATCTAGAGACATCAGTCAAAGGTGAACGTAGTCGTGGAAATCACCATCAATCAGACCGCAAAATAATGCTAGGAACGCCCTCTGACTATATAATCGATAAGCAACTTACAGAAACTATGTACTGTGATCCGTAGTGGCAAAGAGGAGAGACGAGAGGAGCTGCTCCATTATGCTTGGACGACTGGAGCCTGCAACTACTTATTAAGTGGGAATTTGGCTCGCTCATATATCCGGTAGTATCGGTGTTGTAAATTGTGCATGGGTGCGGTATATGGATGAACGGTATATCTTGTCACGATGAGGATTGATGGACTGCACGTGAATTATCAGGCACCGGGTGAAGTCGGAGAGCAAATGTAGAAGCCGATTGATTCCGGTCATACGACTTTACGCAGCCTTTGGAGGGTTTCGCCGCAGCGCAACAGCGCAACAGGCCAGTGTGCTACTCGGGACCCGCCGTTCAGCATGAAAATCATTCGAGTCACGTTTCAGACCAGCCTTTCCACGACGAATTAGCTGGAGTAAGAGACGAGAATGGCTCGGGAATGGGAAGCTGTTTCGCATTGGCTTCTCGTGCACCTTACGACTAATTCCTAGCCGAGACCATTCTCTGCATTGCTAATTTGCTTGAAGCTACTTCTCCATAAGTTACCGCTCAAACTAAAGCGCACGCTTGTACAGTAATTAAGTATATAGGGCCGGCACACATCAGCACCCTGAGTGTCTAGTCCCAGTTGCAACCCATGAAACCACCAAAGCATATTACGAATCATATCAAAGTATCTCCAACGCTACATACACTCGGCTTGACTAAATGTTCAAGTTCAACCACATTACACACAGAAACCAGTTCGAGGAGTACTCCTCGGACAAGAACACCAGCCATTCACAAGTCGCCATTTACAATGAAGACGACTTATCTCATCTCCTCTTCCTCGGGCCTGCCGATCACGATAACCACATCATCATCAACAAGGTGGAGCAGAGCGAGCCCGAGACACCGGTAGAGAGCCCATTGGTTCTTGATACTCATGACCACACGTCAGATGACGAGAGCGCGATCCTCAGCGACCTTGAGGAGGAAAGCGACCTCGAGATTCCGCCGTCCCCATCCAGACGTCGTGGGGGGACCATGTCCATCTCCGGCGATGATTTCGAGTTTCCGGTATTCCTGGGCAGACAGGACGAGCCAGAAACCCATCCCGCCCCTCTCCGGCCTGCGCTTCGACGCTGCAAACCAGATGCCGCGCAGGGCTTGGAGAAAGAAACAAGCAGGCACGTTCACATGGCAACCCCCGAGCATCACGTGAGCTCAATAGAAGGATCCATGATGTCGTGGTGGCCAGCTCCAATGGAAGACGTGGAGTACGACTGGGAGGAGGAGAGGAAGGCGCAAGCGACGATACCTTTGGAGCAGCATGTTTCCGAAGTGCAAGGCGTCCTGATGTCGTGGTGGCCTGCCCCTGCGGAAATGTTACAGCATGATTGGAACGAGAGATTTTACGAGTAAAGGGTTCTGATTTTAGGGAAAACGGTGTTAAATGGGTAGGGTACGACTGGGCATGAGCATGGTCGTTTCGGAGTTGTGAATCGCTTCAATTTGGAGCGCGTGCATTATATCAGGACACTCTCGCGGTAGAGGTTATCTATTAGAGGGCATCGTCGGCGAAAGTCGAGATCTGGATAATGAAAAATAGCATAAGCATTCAACTCTCTCAGATATATGAACAGATGACCACAAGAGATTCTTCCGCGATGGGCTACTGACCACAAAATCCTCACTCGGATTGACCAAATAGGGCGGGATGGTGTACGTATTGTAGTCTACTACTAAAATCTGGGTCGGCTGCGGGCCACGTTCCCGCTGAACTAACCTTAAGGTTAGATCATTGTTACATACACATTTACTTACAGTGGGAGACTACTGTAAGTAAGGTACCGGCCGTCCATGCTGTATCCCGGGTCGCGGGTCCCGCGTGTAGCACGTAGCACGTAGCACGTAGCGTGGTGTACACGTCGTACAGCAGCAAATCCAGCGTGTCTCTGATTGTGGCTGACTGCATGGGCCAGAGCCTGCAAAGAATGCACGAGCAGTAGGTAACTTATTATCCAACAAGTTGATGGGATTCTAAAAATCCTTGTCATGGAAAAGCCATCCTCACTAACCTCACGTTAGAGAGATGACGCACTGACCCCCAAGGCCCAGCGCCGTGGCTGGTCACTGGTCTATTATCACAGGGCATGCACGGATCCGTATGAGTGAACCAACCACTTGCATTACAGGGGTCAGAACAACGATACACTAACCTGCGGGTTCGTCTTGCAGGTATTGGATGTAATCGGTAGGCCTTTGGTACCCTTGAGCTTCAGCGATACCCAGCCTGCCAGCTTGTCATTCGCAGCCCAACACCAGCCCCCGCCATTTATTCACACAGAGTATCTTACTCTAGCAAAATGTCACCATTCATCCTCGCTTCCCGCAGTTGTCTCGGATCACTGACTCTTTTTTAACTTGTCGTGTACGCATCAAATGTTTACTTAGTCTTTCCATCTTCTCCAGTTGCTGTGCCTGTTCCCCCGACCTTGGAAGTCTACAGTCAACAGAGTCGTTAGATACCCATCGCAGTCTCTCCCGTCGTCCCGGGTTTCCATCATCCACAACACCCAATCAGGTCCAGCTCCGGCCCCATCACCCTCCAAGATCTAACCAATCCATCAGCCCAAGACCAGGGAATCTCGACCTGCCCGTCACAGACGTCATCCCGCAGAATCCAGGTTGCCCTGCTGTCGCAAAGCAACTTGTTTACTGCCCCAAGGTCGCCAGGTTCGAACTAAGTTGAAAGTTGCGACGAACGCCTCATTCTTTGGACTCAAACCGGGCATTATCCCTGCACCATAACAAGCTCTTGGCTTTCCTCCTTTTAGGTTGCGGTTGATACAAAATCAGACTGAGGCGCACAAAAGTGTCTTCATCCGTGGCTGTCTTCCCCGTCCCGGTATAATCTGATACAAATCTTACCTCCACCTCTTGCTGTACGGATACCGTCAGATAATCTGTCAGCTACAGGCTTTTGGTCTGTCTCACTTTCCCCCTCACCCCCTCCCATCGAGAGTCCCAAGCCGAGTAAGAGTGCGCACTTTGCATATCCTACGTGACGACGACGAAAACGACGACGACGACCACTGCGGTCCAGTAGCCATCATCTATCATCATGTTGTTCGCAGTCTTCTTCGCCTTTTGGCGCTTTATGCAGATCCTCACATTGGTAAGCACACCATAGCCTCCCCCCATCTTTCACTCCCATCGTATCGACGAGTTCTTCTGGTTGCTTATGCGACAGCTCCTACCAAACGCCGTAGTGTAATGTAATGCAATATGTGCTAACCCCCGATGCTAGATCCCAACCATGGGCATGCTTGCTTGGTTCGTCCACGGCTATGTTGAAAACAATGCGCTGACACCAAACTATATTTTGGTCTTGTTCATTGTTTCGGTGCTCGGTCTGGCTTGGGCCATCTTCACCCTGTTCAGTTACCACCGCTCGTCGAACAATGCGCTCTTCGTGTCTATCATCGACTTGGGTTTCGTCGGGGCCTTCATCGCCTCTGTCTGGTATCTGCGTGACATAGCTTCCGCTGACTGCGTCAACGTCAACACCAGCAGCGGCTTTGACGTATACTTTGGGCCCTTCGGTTCCGCTCACTCCAACTACGGCATCGACACCACTGTGAACAAGACCTGCGCCATGCTCAAAGCTTGTTTCGCCTTTGGCATCATGAACTGCGTCTTCTTCTTCTTCACCGCCATCCTGGCCTGGTTCCACGGAGACCGCACAAGCAGCGCCGACCGCAAGACATACTACCGAGAGACACACTACCACCGTCACGGGCACCGTTCCAGTCGCAGCCCTCATAGCCGTCGAAGCTCCCACCACTCTCATCGCCGCGTCTACGTATAAGGCGCGCATGACTGGAATCATGAGAATGGAGGGCGTCCGGATATTCTGCCAGCCATGTTAGCCGAGACACCACCTGTCTCATAAATTATTATTATGGTTGTATGCTATGGGATTTTAGCGAGTTGGGTTGCCCCGCACTGTATGATTTACGATTTTCACGAATGCAGCCATGGTGGTTTTGCCGCTATCAGTTGGGTTGCTAGTTCATATTTCAAGCTTGTTTCAAATTTGGTTATATATAGTAGATAGGAAAGGAGTCCTGCCTGCATATTCCTTTCATCCATTAGTTTCAACTATGGATTGTATCTAGTCTTGTATTCTTCGTTCGTCCCTTTCATGGCTAAACTCCTGTGTGCGTAATGATAGCTATTTAGATAGTGCGGTGGTGAATAATTCCATACATTAATGTGTAATCACTAGACTAGGCAACTCTCGCGATGAGACCAATCATGCATGGATGTCCAGATGCTGCAGTCCAGTTCCTGTTGCAAAGGAAAACAGCACAAGTTGTGATTGATCGTTTCATGCGAGGATAACATAGTGGCAAAGGAATGCATTCCCAGCCAAACACGGCGAATTAGACACACTGATAGGCAATCACAATTGCTACATCATTGTT